GCGTGGGTCGAGATCAGATTACCCCTCTAAAGGGTGACGGAATCATCCAATTGTTGGGTGATCCATAGTGCGAGAGGTTGGTTGGGTTAAACTGTATAACCGATAACCTTTCAAATAGTTGAAAATAACCCATGTGGGTAAGAATAACCGTGCATTTGGGTGACGTCCGTCAAATAACCTTCCGCGCGGCCCGTAGTGAAGGTGTTGCTTCAGGTGATGGCTCGTTCATGTCTTCAGGAGCCAGTCACTTCCAAACATTTGTGCCACCTTATCTCCTGGTCTACGCTCTTGTTGACCGTTCTTGCTGAGCCGTGTCTTGCATATGAACACTTCTCAAGTAGTTCTCGCCACCACGCACTTGCTTCCTTGTTGACACCTAGAAAATGATGACGCAACTCCCGACGGTTATCTCTTTCATCGTCGCCATCGCCGATCTGACTGCTCCTTGTATCTCATTTCTCGCTATGGCCCATGCCGCAAGACACGTCCAGCAAAAACGCCGAGTCTGAACCCTCTTCCTCATTCCCCATCTCTTCCCCGTCCTTCTGGGCGGAAGCCGTGACGCTGGCAAACCCAGAGAATGGCCAGCCTGAACATGGCCCCCTCAAGCGACCGCGCTCTCCCAATGACTGCCCCCGCAATACCAGTCCCGCCCCAAAACGATCCCGCCACTCATCCTCATCCCCTACCTCTGAACACCACCACGGCCTCACCTTCTTGCCCAACCCCACCGATATCCTTGCGCCAGACGATCCCCATAGCTACTTGGCCAACCCCGAGTATGCTCCCAACAGGTTCGGGGACATTGGGGATTATATGAGAAAGAAGCAAATCAAGGTGCAGGCGCAGAATGCCAACATCGCTGCTGCCCTCAGAGGGGGCAAGGAATTGCCACAGATATTCGAGACGCTTTCGTTCTACATCAATGGCAATACCCATCCGCCGATGGAACAGCTTCGAAAGCTGATTCTTCAGAGAGGAGGCACAGTATATCCCGTTATTCGAAACAAGACGATGGTCGATTACATCATTGCGCCCGTCCTCACCGTCAAAAAGCACGAAGAGTTCAAAAAGTATCAAGTCGTCAAGGAAGGCTGGATTGTGGATTCGGTCCAGCAAGAGAAGCTGCTGGACTGGAGAAAGTGGAGACTCGTTCCGCAAGGTGGCTGGCTAGAGAGTAGTAGGAAGGGGCTCGAAGTATTTTTTGCTGGGAAGGGGAAGGGTAAAGAGGAAGAACATGATAGTGGGGTTTCGGACCAGGATGTGGAAGTGGTCGAGCAGTCAGCTCCAGCCGATGGTACTGTGCGTACTGCATCAATGATCATTTACATCTCTGACTCGTCTGTAGTCTAAAGTGACTCCCCAGAAACCTGCGGCTGGTCCGATTCAGCGGCTCTTGACCCCTCAACGTCCCCGTCACTCCATTATACCCATCTCCCCGGGTCAGATCGCATCCGACTCATCTCCGATACCTACCCCTCGCAAGTTGCAAGCCCCCGAAGGCGCCTGGGAGCACTACTATACCAAGGATTCCAACGAGAATGCTGCTAAAGCCATGCAATCAACCTCCTGGCGAGCCCAAAACACTGCCGAGCAAGGTAATGCCGGTGGCTTCATCGATGGGTATTATCAAAATAGCCGACTCCATCATCTATCAATGTGGAAGGCCGAGCTGAAGGTACTTGTCAGGGACGCGCAGAAGAGGTCGGAGGAGGCTCTTGCCAAAGCTAGCCAGGAAGAAACGGCCGGGGAGGCACACTCGTTGGCCAAATCTGTGCTGCCCTCTCTTCCGCTACCCACCGGTCCTTCCACAGCGAACCATGCTTCCCCCAAGGTCATCTTTCACGTCGACTTTGACGCCTTCTTCGTCTCCTGCGGTCTCTCCTCCCGCCCCCACCTCAAAGGCAAGCCCACAGTAGTTTGCCATTCCAGCGGAAAAGGTGGCGGGGTGGGAAGTACTTCGGAAATTGCAAGTTGTTCATATGAGGCGAGGGCGAAGGGCGTCAAGAACGGAATGAGTCTGGGGAGGGCTCGCGAGCTGGTTGGGGCGGAGATTAAGACCATGCCGTAGGTCTTTCTTCGGCATTATCCTTGTGCGAGTAAGCTGACCTTTTCTCCAGGTACGAATTCGAGACGTACAAAAAGTTCTCGCTGTCCTTCTACACTATCCTGATGGGCTACGCCGACGAGCTCCAGGCAGTCAGTGTGGATGAGGCCTTGATTGATGTCACCAGCCAAGTAGCTGCGAGAGCAGCTTTGCCGCCTGAAGTTGGCATCGCCCCGGAGGGGAAAGAGAGGGACCCAGCGGTCGAGCTGGCCGAGAAGATCAGAGCAGACGTAAGGCAGATCACTGATGGGTGTGAAGGTGAGCATCCTATGATGATCAAGACGGCCAGCTGCTGACTCCATCACAGTGAGCATCGGTATTGCCCATAACATTCTCCTGGCCCGTCTAGCAACAAGACATGCCAAACCCGCCGGCGTTCACCACCTCCAGCCCACCCAGGTCTCTGCCTTCATCGAGACTCTCCCCATCGATGACTTTCCTTCCATTGGGCACTCTACCAAATCCAAGATCGAGGCTGCCTTCGGCACAACCATAGCAGGGGAGCTGATGGGGATCACAAAGTCGAGATGGCGGGGGGTGTTGGGAGAGAAGACGGGCGAGATGGTGCATGGCTTCTTGAGAGGAGTGGATGGGAGAAAGTTGGAGGCAGATAAGGTGCGTAAAAGCGTCAGTGCAGAGATGAATGTGAGTATTCCTTTGAGCCTACGGCGACAGCGTGCTGATGGATCCAGTACGGGATCAGGTTCCAAACTCAAGAGCAGGCCGAAAAATATGTTGCGGATCTTGCTGCCGAAGTTTCCAAGAGAATGAAGAACGTCGGAGTGAAGGGTCGGCAGGTGACGTTGAAACTTATGCAACGACATCCGGATGCACCCATTGAGCCTCCCAAGGTGAGCATTTCCGTTTCACATGATAGTCACGCTGACACCTTCCAAGTTCATGGGTCATGGCTGGTGCGAAACTCACAATCGCTCTTCACCCCTCCCCGGCGGACCTATAGACAGTTGCGCCATAATTGCCCAAGAGAGCATCAAGCTTTTACGCACTATGCGTTTAGATCCAATAGAGCTTCGAGGTGTGGGTATCCAAGTCACCAAGCTGGATAGTGAACAGCCTTATGGTGGGGCTAGAGAAGCCGGTCAAGCGGTATTGAATTTTACCAGGGGAGACAAAGGCAACGGGGCTGGAAATGCCAAGGCTGGCCCTTCGAGGGTTCCTTACAGTTCTTCCGAGGAAAGAGTTGACGGGATCGACCCGGACTTTCTCGCTGCTCTCCCAGCGTCTCTCGCAGAAGAGGTGAAGAGGGACCATGCCCTGGCAAAGCGAAATTCTTCAAAATCACCTGCTTCTCCAACTCCAGCCGCCAAAGACCCCGCTAGATTGCGGGCCGACAAAGTACCTGTCCAGGAAGTCATTTCGATACAGTCTTCTAGCCCTATCACGGTGGCCTCTGAAGCGCTGCCCAAAGCCACAAGGACCGCCTCTCCTTCAAAACAACCCACCAAGGATGGAAAGAACGCAGCGGCACATATCGCAAAACAGCTTCGTCCGAAAGGCAAGGTTCAAATGAAAGCTGGGCAAGTAGCCGAGGGTCCACTCTTTGGGGCTTGGAATCGCGTTGAGGCGAGAGCGATGAGCGAGAGCAACGACATCGACGAGCTTCGCGATTCCAGAGCAGGCTCTACTGTGGTCGACCTCACCGCGTCTCCTCCACTGGCCCCTGAAAGGGACATCACAACAGTCCACGAAAACGATGAAGACTCGACTGAGGTCATTCCGGGCTATACAACTTCTTATCTCCGATCTCTCTCTATCGACCCAGAGTTCCTACTCGCACTGCCCCCCAGAATGCAGCAAGAGGCTATCCAAGAGCAAGTAGAGAGGGAAAGAAGGCGGAAGACACTGTGGCACCCAAGAGGAGGGGCAAGAGGGATCAGCAAGAGTGTTTCTGTCTCGCCTGTCAAGGGTGGAGCAAAAGGCCGAGATGGGCCCGGAAGTCTTCAGCCGGCACATGCTCAGGGGCTAAAGATCATTATCCCTCCTAAACCTTCACTCATGAACGCCACCACCTTGCCTGACATCTTGGACACTGTCGAAAAATGGATCGATTCCCGCAAGAACAACCCTCCGGCAGAGAGGGATGCTGGTAAGGTTTTGGGGTATCTGCGGAAAAGCATGAATGAGAGTATGAAAGGTGGCAAAGTGGGTGACGGAGCTGATAGATGCGTGGAGGTGTTGAGATGGATGAGGATATTGCTGAGAGAGAAGTGGTGGGATAAGGAGGGAGGCGGTACAGGCCTAGCAAACGAGGCGGGCGAGGAATGGTGGAGGGTTTGGAGAGCCATGAGAGATGAGGTCAACAGCCTGAGCGTACAGAAGTTTGGTGCCACACTTGTCATTTGATGTTGTAACATAATCATCGTTAGTATACATATGATGATACATGAATGGTTTTGGCGACAGACAGATATCGGGAGCTGCGACAGGATCTACGTTTATGAAGTTTTTCTACATGATAACAGTACAGTACGTTTGCGAAAAGTAAGCAGAGCTGTCAATACGGGGTTATTGAGGAAATCACGATGAGAAGATTATGATGAGGGTGTATCAGAAGATAGTGGGCTGTTTCCCTTGGAAGCACTGATCAGACAGTACAAGCAGCCTTTGACGGACGTCTTCGTCGTTCTCATGTATCCGGGTGCTGTGATCAAGGGAAGAGGTGTCTTGAGTGGGTCCATAGTGACACCTGCGAGAAATAGCGTCAGTCAGAGCGGCGATGGCTCCTGCAGAGTTGTCAGATCATAGTCAGTCCTCGAATGTTCTCTGCATACCAGCCGTGACATCTGCAAAGAGTTAGACAAGCCGCATCGAAGTTCCAAAACATGAAAGACTCACGGAAAAGATCCGAGTAAGATGGACTCTCCTTCCCACTCAACTTGCTCAACGTAGACATCAACAAGTAGAAAGGTCCATGCCTGGCCTTGATGTATTTGCCAGCCCCACTGCGCTTACAACCAGCCTCTGAAGAAGCAACAGCGCTTCGACAGAGGGTGAGAAGAGCGTGGAGCTCAAGATTCGATTTGGGGCGAAGTTCATCGATAAGCTCTTTCTGCGGAACAGCACTGATAGTCACAGCACGAAGTCGGTGACCAGTAAGCTTTCCACCGGGCATGAAGGTGTTTTGGCGAGTTGCTAGGATATGGCGGGCTGCTTCGAGGGAAGCGACTTCGATGTACTGAATGTATAGTTAGATCCAGACACCGCGTACACAATCAGTATGTGCTTACGAGATAGTCTTTGGTGCGGCCGTCAAACTTATTGAGAAGTATATGAACTGGCTGGGGGACCTTGCGCGAGAGAGAGTCCATAGGCAGGAATTCTTCAACCACCGAAGGGGTCACGTCCCATCCAACATTGTCGATGCCTGGAAGCCTTGATCAGCATTTGACGCTGCAGGGATATGCAGGATGTCATGTATCGGCGACTCACGCATCACAATAGAGCCATTTTGAGTGACAAATGTGGAGGGTGTGAATGATCCTATGCCTTGAGGTGCCGCAATGACCTTGGAACAGAGCTGCCCACGCGCTTGATGTTTTCCAGACATAGTCTCAAATGTAGTGATGACATCAAGGCAAGCTGGGCATTTGGATTGGCCTTTGGTCACAGAAACGGCGGCGACAGTGGATGAGAAGCAGCTGGCACATATGACATCCTGCAGAGCCAGTCAGGTTGAGTATCAGACGGATGAATGAATGGTCACTCACCCGACAAGGAATGATTAGTGTGGCTCTACTAGCATCAAGTTGCCTTCCACATGACGCGCATTCGCAACCTTCCTCAGTGTCAGCCTGCATGTTAGAAAGTGAAGTTTCTTTAAGGCATGGTTGTCGGTGCTGATCATCGCAGGGACTACCAGTGATGGGTTCGATCATGGGTGCACACTCCTCGTTGATGACGGAAGGTCGGCTGAAGAACATCGTCTGTGTGATAGGAGTCAGCAAGAGCTGAAGAGGAGGCGGCAGATACGTACAATCTTTGTCATGTCGATTATTCGCATCTGTTGTCTGACTCCATGGCTGACAGGCGTCAGAATGACAGGGGAACCCCCTTCTGTGTTAACCAGTCTGTCTTCAGCGTCCGCGTCTTGAGGCGCCTCCTCAACAGTAGATAGCTTCCTTCCCCGAGATGTCACCTCGTCATCCAAGAGCAGGTCAGGTACACCAAGTTTGATCCAGTCAGCCCGAGGGTCGCAGTCTCCTGTGCGGGCCGGCGAAGGCGTCTTGCTAGTACGACTTGTCGGAAGAGGTGTGACTGGTGGTGGTCCATGAGGCGAAAGGCAGGATCTCAATCTGTGAAGTGGACTGAGAATAGATGAAGCCGACATGAAGTTCCTAGAAGGCGTAGAGGGCAGAGAACTGGAGGAGCTGTAGGCTGAGGAATCGTCCGAGCTTTCGCTGGTGATCTCGAGACACTGGTTGGGATTGGGTCCGAGGATGATGAAGGTGGAGTTTGAGTCAAGGAGGCGCATGTCGAGGGTGGTGTATGGGGGTGCAGACGCTATGCTACTGGGGGAGGGATTGTAAAGAGGCAAGAGAGAGAGAGAGATGGAATGTGGTTGAGTCAACCACCCCGCCTCCACCCCGCCTCCACCTCCACCTCCTTCGCGCAATGATCGGAGGTGGCCGGCGCGCACGTGGCCTTCTCCGGGTACCCGCATGGGCTGTCCTTTAAATGCGGTCTATTCCACCACTCTTCCTCATCACCTACCCACAATGGCCACCGATCCCCAGTTCCTCAAATACGTCGACGACCACCAGCAAGACTACATCCGCCGTCTTGCAAACGCAGTCGCCATCCCTTCGCGAGTCGCCTTCCCTCCACAATGCTCGAGATTGACTCTGTGCTGACATTCAGGTCTGCTATTCTCGCAATTATACAAACAGTGTCTCCGGTAACTTGAGGTGAGCTTTCACCCAAACTGCTTCAGCCAATACGGCGGCTGATACATCCTTATCTAGCTACGTGAAAGATGTCGAAGCCATGGGCGAATGGCTCATTCAGCAGCTCACTTCCCTCGGTGTGAAGGCTGAGAAGCGTGCTATTGGCACCCATGAGCTTGAAGGCCAGACTGTTGACCTGCCACCTGTTGTCATTGGGCAGATCGGCAACGATCCTAAAAAGGTGTGTCGATAGTCCATCACCAGGCATGTAGCGGGATCTGCGGAGAGGGGTCGGACTTGGGCTCAGACCAGCGCCAACTTTGAAGCGGACGGAGCTCTATCTCGTCCCTTTCCTTTTACCTTCATTCGGCGACTCTAGGTCCTTTACCTATCGTGCGATTGCGTGCTAACCTTCCATTTTACAGAAAACTCTTCTGGTCTATGGCCACTACGATGTCCAGCCCGCTCTTCTCGAAGACGGCTGGCTCTACCCTCCTTTCGAGCTTACCCCCGACCCTAACGGCTCTGGACGTCTCTACGGCCGTGGCTCAACGGACGACAAGGGCCCTGTCCTCGGATGGTTGAACGTTTTGGAGGCGCACCAGGCCATCGGCAAGGAGCTGCCCGTAAACTTGAAGATGGTCTTCGAGGGTATGGAGGAGAACGGATCCATCAATCTCGACAAGTTCATCGAGTCCGAGAAAGACAAGTTCTTTGCTGGTGTCGACTGCATGTGTATCTCTGGTGAGTCTGCCACCGACCGAGGCTCAGTCGATCGTGTTGCTGATATGAGATTCCAAAGACAACTACTGGCTCGACACCAAGACCCCTTGCTTGACCTACGGCCTCCGAGGTATCAACTATTACGAGATCAAGATCAATGGCCCCGACAGGGACTTGCACTCTGGAGTCTTTGGTGGTACCGTCCACGAGCCTATGACTGATCTCATTGCCCTCAGTGTGTCCCAAGTGCTCATTTTGTCATCCCTGCTGACAATTTACAGTGTCCAGACTTGTGACACCCGAAGGGCAGATTATTGTACCTGGTATCAAGGACCTCATTGCCCCAGTGACCGATGATGAACGGGCCAAGTTCGAGGCTATCCACTTCGAAATGTCTGACATCCACGCTGCCGTTGGCGGAGATGTCACCATCTCTGACGATACTGTGGCTACAGTATGTCGGTTTTCGAGTAGAAGAGTAGCCCACTGACAAAGCTTTAGTTGATGGGCCGTATGAGAAATCCCTCTCTCTCTTTGCACGGTATCGAAGGCGCCTTCTCCGCTCCCGGCTCCAAGACCGTTATTCCCTGTCAAGTCAAGGGCAAGTTCTCTATCCGTCTCGTCCCAAACTTGACTGTCGCGAGTGTCACCGACCTCGTCGTCAAGTATGTGCAGGATGAGTTCAAGAAGCTCGGCTCCAAGAACAAGCTTGATGTGTATCTGACGCATGGTGGTGAACCCTGGCTTGTGAGTGATGCTTTCCCGTGGACATGACTCGTTTGCTGACTCTCTGTTACAGGCTGACCCTAATGTGAGTCTGGGTATATTGTGGAAGTAGATATGTCGCTGACATTATGGTAGCACTACTCTTATCAAGCCGCTCACAAAGCCACTGAAGCCGTCTATGGCCAAGTCCCCGACTACACCCGAGAAGGTGGTTCTATCCCCGTGACCCTCGACTTTGCCAACATTCTCGGCCTCAATGTGCTCCTCCTCCCGGTCGGTCGAGGCGATGACGGTGCCCACTCGACCAACGAGAAGATTGACACTGACAACTACATTCGGGGTACGAAGTTGCTTGGTTCCTATATGTACGAGCTTGCTGCTGCCAAGCCATAAGTCGGTTCATAGACAGTGGTGGGGATGATTTTGAAGTCTTTATGCAATCATGTGCATCTTGCTTTTACACTTGTCTACTGATCACAACAAGGGGTGTACAGTGGTCACTATTAAAATCCAGCCAAGTCAAGGGCGCTTATAAATTGGGACGTTGCCTGATTGTCGTCCTCGTCCTCGTCCTCTTCGTCCTCTTCGTCCTCGTCGTCTTCATCTTCTCCATCCTCATCCTCTTCTTCCGATACTTGTTCCTCCTCGTCCGTTTCAAGACCCGTCTCCGTTCCCGCGGTGCTCGCTCCGGTATCCATACCGAATTCTGTTGAAGTACCGGTGGCAGAACTGACCGATCGCAAGTCCTCAGAGTCTCGCGTAGTAGATAGAGAAGGAGACACGGCTTTGAGGGCTTCAATGGGGCTCTGCCTGACAGTCAAGTCGCCTTCTTCCGCTTCATCATCATACCCTCCTCCCTCCTCTACGGTCTTGCCATTCTGTCCATCCTGATCGTCCTCAGCATGCGGAGGGGTGGCACCCAAAGCATGTGCTATGCCACTCAGTCCAGCAGTCATCAAATGGGCAGCGGCACCCAAGACGCCCTCATCTGGCGAACCAATCCCTTGACGCAAGCGCGACTCGTTCCCTGGGGCCGAGTCTGGTCTACTTCGAGCAGCTGTCTGCACCTGGCCAACGTCATGATGATGATGATGATGATGATGGTGGTGGTGAGACCGGCGAGAGGGGGAATTAGTCGTTGAGCGCGTTGGAGTGGGTACGTGTAGTACGGGCGCTGTCTGATCCTTGCCAGGAGGATGGGGTGAGAGGACTCTTTCCCCGCCTTTCGTTACTCGCTCCTTGTCTCTCTCCCTCTCACGGCGACTCGGTATGCGAGCGAGACCGTCACCGATCACAGCTACAGGTGATGCAACCTGCATATCTTTTTGACCCGCAGCGCTTTGATTGGGGGTGGGATTTGATGAAGAGGCAGGTGGAGTTGGGAAGGTGAGGCGCATGGTGGGGTGTTTGCGCGCCTGTAGGGGGTGGGGGAAGGGCAAGATGTTGGAACTGGTCGATGAAGCAGCGGATAAGGAGGAAGAAGGACGGTCTTTCGTCTGTGGTTGTGGGTAAGGGGGATTCGGTGAGGGGAAAGCTTGGGAGGGCCGGGAAACCGAGGGTTTAAAATCTACTTCGGAAGATGCAGAGGGCCAGATCCAAGATGGATAAGGGGGCGGAGGGAGAGTCAAAGTCTCTTGAGAGGTAGGTGCGAGGTATGCAGTCACAAAGGGCAGAAGGGGAAGATCTTCTTGGTCTTCCTGATACCTATCTTTGCTGGTCAACGAATGTCCACAAAGAGTGCCCAGACTGATAGACATACCGGCATATCTCATCCAAGATGGTGTCTTGATGCCAACCTTGAAGCTTTCGCAAGCAAGCTACGACAAGAGTCGTATGTGACTTTCCGTCGACATCTGCAATGTACAGGGGGTACGTAGTAGTATCTAGTATCCACTGCATGCATCCAGGTCAGCAGAGGTCGAGTTGCCATGGTCCATAGTACTTGCCTTGAGCACCTGGTCCACTTGTGGCCGCCCCATGCCCAACTTTTCCTCGCTCATCTGCTCGGCAGCTTCCCAATAGATGGTCACTCCCGTTTGCTTGGCCCATCTCAACAGGGGATGGTCGTCTTCGAGTGATTTCTTGGAGAGGACAACGAATGTCTTGAGCTGGAGAGTTGCAATGAAATGCAGATTGCGGAGTGCCGGGATGGCGCCCCTGTAGAGAAGATTGGTCGGGGCAGTGGAGACGATGCTGTGGTGGTAGGGCGGGGTCACCATCCTTGCTGAGGGCGCCATGGACGCCTCCATCGTCACTGGGCTGGATGATTATGGAAAATAAAAGCGGGAATGATAAAGTTACGGCATTCCTCGACAGCTGGGAGAGTCTGGATTTTTATTCTCTCTTGCATTTGCATCTTTCTCTCTTCCCCCATCCTGCCAGCCCGCCCCTTGCCATGCCCAGGCCTACCCTCATACAATCCGTCTTTCGCAAACCATCCCGCTCTTACGCAGACACCAACGCGCCCTCCCCCTGGTCCGACACCTACGACTACGACGACGACCACCAACAACCATCCTACTATCCTTCCGCCCAATCCTACCGGCAGTACCCTCGCCGGCCCTCGTCGACGCTCTCAGCCGTCAGTGAGGATGCAGGGATTCACAGGACCAGATATCAGAAACCTTCGAGAAGGGCAGACGGATTCGTCACGCTTCGCAATGGAGAGACGGTGTTTGCCCCCGGCGGGTCATATAGAGAAACCACTTCCGAGATCAGCCCAGCAAGGCCGTTCTCCCCAACACAGTCGCTCCCAATAGCACCCCCAAGTGGTCAAGCCATTAAGAAGAAGAAGAAGAAGAAGGTTCATGCCCCCGGTATAAGTTCCCAGATACCCGAGAGTGAGACTGGCAGTATCACAAAAAGCGATACGCCTCGGAAGAAGAGGAAACCAAAGGCAACGACATCACCCGCCTCCCCAACGTCAATCACACCCCCTCTACCCCCTCCACCTCCTATCCACTCAAGATTCAGTGAGACATCGTCTTCCGCCTCATCTTCGCCGGTCCCCATCTCTCCCGTCACTCTTAGACATTTTGCGCCTTCCGTTCCGCTTGAGGCAGGGATCAACGAAAGAGCAGGGCCGGAACGGATACAAGTGAAGCCAGAGAGGGCTGCTATCGCGGTTTTGACCAAGTCGAAATCCGTGTCACCAACAGCGCCGCTGTTGACCCCTCCAGCGTCTGAACGATCAACTCCGAGCTCGTCTTCCCAATCTGTCGCGCGAAGTAGGCTGGTATCAGTGCCGCCAGCGGTTTCCGCTGTAGAAGAGCAGACCAGGTATGTGACACAAAGACAGCCGAAGGCGAGTGCAAGGCCATTGAGGTATGTTTGCTTCGCATAACGGCATGATAATGTTATTGATCCAATAATAGTATACGGACGGCAGAGTCAGACACCGACGACGACGTCTTTTATACCCCAAGCTCGTCCATCGCCGACCTGAATAACTCTCTAGCTGTGGAGGAGGAAAGCTCGGATGATATGGCTACCCCAAGGCCCCCGCGGCCGAAAGCGTCTGCACCCATCCTGAACGTTCTTCCTCCTACACCTGCCCCGATTCCTGACCCTCCTATATCGCCTTTTGAGTCCACTCCAACATCTTCTCGGTCAATTGCCACATCCTTTGAGCCTGTTGCGCGCCCCAAAGCTGCTCCCATCCGTCCGTCGATGGCGATGGAACAGAAGGTGCCGCCACCTCCATTCAAAGACGAGGCAGACTTTCAAAGTGATTCAGGAGAAATGGGATCAGACAGGGAAGAATATCTAGAGCGCCATGGTCTGAGGCCAAAATCTAAACTTTCTCACAATCGCTCGCGCTCGCAAGCCTCTTCTTTAGTCCGATCATCCAGCCGTCTGGGGTCGAACAACAACTCGCCTTCCCTGTCTCGCTCAGCCACATCGCGGCACGTATCGCAATCCTCCTTCGAGGGAACTAGCCGCGCCACTTCAGAACTCTCATTCAGCAGTGCCCGGGAAGGTGGCGGCGGTAGCACGCGAGGGAGTGTCAAGGGCGGGTACGGCAAAGGGGGCTGGGCAGCGGCAGCAGCGAGCGCCAACGAAGGCAGGTCCGGGGCAACATCGCCGATCATGTATCTTCCGGAAAGAGGCACGGGGTGGGAAGACTTCCAACCTCCCATGCCTATTTTGGCACCTCCAGCGGCCGTACCGCCTCCAAGGCAGTCCAAGTTCACTCCTCTTCCTCCTGCTTCGACGCCGTCGTTTGACAGAATCCTTGTCGATACGTCGAAAGTCAGCAATTCTGTCACCGCGCCTTCCAACGACTCAAGCCCCTCCAGAGAACACAGTGTTGGCCCACAGGTTCCAAGTAGGAGTAGCCCGGACTCGTTGTCGTCGCCAAGCGAGTACTCACAAGCTTCTTATGGCTCGAGCGGGCTGCCTATTCCTAGCCGATCATATGTGCAGCAGGCAAATACTGCACGGACGGGCCAGAGCAGCGGAAGCTTGGAGCCCGAGATGCCTGCTTCATTCCCTATCCGCACCCAATCTCCTCTTCCTTCTTTGCCCGGACGACTCCCCTCTTCATCTTCAATACGTCCTGTATCGCCGTTACCCTCTGAGACATCCCAGGCCTTCGCTTCGCGCCCCACTTCGCCTAATCCCAGTATGCTTCGCCCCACGACTCCCCGAGCTGGCTTCCAGCCTCCTTCGTCTCTGGACCCGGACATGCTCACCATATTACCCGAAATGACACCCCAGGATTCCGAGAGGTTATATCAACCTACGGAAAATTTCAACGGGGCCCAGCGAAGCCGGTCCAGGCTGTCTCTACATGAAGGCGCGCTTTCAAGAAGGTCCAGCATGTTCAGAGCGAAGAGCGAAGTCGGACATTCCAGGCCAGGCAGTGCTGCGACAAACAACGAAGCTGGAGAAGAAGGGGATGCTCTGGGTGAGCTTCCCGCGCCAGGAGTCATCAGACGTTCAAAAAGCGTCATCGGTGGCAAGCTGGGTGGCAATTCACAGAAATGGGAGGGCAGCTCGTATGGTGATGGAGGGGTATTGATGGAATCGCATGGAAGAGATCAGGACGGCACGGGTGGCTACACGTGAGTTGCAGAGTTATCATGAGGGCCATCCTGCTGATCAGTGTTTCTAGTAATTTGGTTCTCCCTTCGGGAGCGTACCACCCTTCACACCCATCCAAGACTGCTCCGAGCCTTGACTCTCGCATCCTAGGTTTACCCCACTCTACCATGGCTTCCATAAGTCTCACGAGTACCAGAGATCACTACCAAGCGACCCCTCTGCATCTTCGTGCTCAACTACCGCCTCTTGTGGACTTTGCTTCTCACATGAAGCCTCCTGTAAGCTCGAAAGTGGGCAAAAGCCAAGTAATGGTCCAGGTCTATGCTGTGGCTGTGGATGAGTTTGATCTTAGGACTTTGGATGAGAAAGGGAAAAGTGACGTTGGGAAGTGGGTTCCAGGAAGGAGCTTTGTTGGTAGAGCGTTGGTCGTTGGTGCGGATGAGAAAGAGATCGTCCGGGGCGATATTGTCATGGGAATCCAGGACATCCGAAAGGTAAGTGCTCGTCGCGTAGTGGACGCTTTGAGACATGCTCATTGATCTCCACAGAGCGGTTCTCTGGCCGAGTACATCACTGTCGACCGTCGTCACATCTCCCGCGCACCCTTCCCTACCCAGTTGACTTTGGAGCAACTGGCGGTCCTTCCTTTACAAGGCATTGCCGCAGCACGTTCTGTCATGGGATCCCTCTCGCGTACCTCACGTGCTATCATCCTCAATGCACATACGGGGATCGCGGCTCTCGTGTGTCAAGAAATGTCTCGAGCTGGTGTGCACGTCACTGTGATTATTCCTGGTGGAGAGGACGCGCAAGAAAACCATCAGAGGTGCTACGACAACGGGGCGAAGGGCGTTTTGACAGGTTCACCAGCTGCAGTGTTGATCAACTTGGAGGAAGGGAGGTATGACTTTGTGTTCGATACGCAAGGAGGGGCGAGAATCTACGAAACGGCGAGAAGGGTATTAAAGGACGGCGGCAAGTAAGTCCATATTCCGAAGGATTGAAGAGATCAGACGCTTACGAATGTTAGGCTCGTGACCACCAAGCAGCCGGAACAAACACTCAGACATGTCCCTCCTCATTTGACGACGCGACCGTCCGGGCTCAAAACGCTTCGCATGGCCTTCTCGAGTAAGAGGAAAGATTCCAAGTTCATCGATCTCTCCTACATCTCTCCCACGGCTTGTGGCGAGCCGGAGGTCGATAGTTCCGGATTGGATTTGAGAGACGTGATGGAGGAGCCTTGCATGGCGGCTTTCAAGCCGTTTCTAGATAACGGGGGTGGGGATGGGGGACCTGCTATTCTTCCGTTCGAAAAAGGCAGAGAAGCCTTCAGATATGGAGGCTGGGGCGAATGTGGCGTTAGAGTTGTGAGACTCATCAATTGAATGTCAGACCTGAATTTGCTTGTGCTACTGTACTATTGCCCTGGTCGTCTCTTTGTATCTGCAAAATTTCAATATAATTGCTAGTGAACTATTTTATAATGATACACGCGCAAGTCATAGTTATGCATTCAATCATACAAGTTGCGGGAATGAAAATACAAAGGCATTCCGAAGCATTGTCATCATGGTCCAAAGGTACCGTATCCATTTGCTTCTCGGCCCTGACCAGAATCGATCTCTCCTTGCCCTACCGCACATGCTTCGGAAGCACCAGTCCCGGTGCTTCTACCACTGCCCCAGCTCCTCCCAAGAAATCCGCTCTGTTTGCGCACCAACGGGCCGGCATTAGGGGAGGACACGGATCGTCCTATACTCCCTTCGCCAGCAGCAGCGCCCCACCTGTAACCACCACCAAGACTTGGAGGTAGTATGGGCAGAGCCAGTGTGAGAGCAGACGGCGATCGTGCGGGAGGAAGGTCGATGATGGAAGAAGATGAAATGGAAGAAGCAGAATCATCTGCATCTTCCCCATCATCTTCACCAGCGCCTGAGTCTGTTTGAGAACTTGACGAGCGGTGACGACAATGCGTATATGTCGAGCGAGAGGGATGACATTCGCCAGAGAGCTCTGAGAAGTAGTCTTCATTCAGAAGACTGCTTTCTTCTTCATCACCATCGTCGTTGTCCACCCCACCAAAGACATCGTCTTCTTCTTGGCCCCCGCCGCCACCCTCGCTAGTCCATTCGCTGATACCACTCTCGCCTCTGACATGGCCACGCACCCTGTCTCGAAAAGAACCCGGGGTGACCGTGGCTCGCTCGCTTGCAAAGCCAAAAGGCATGGGTGATTGTGTATGCGTCTGTGGCAGGCGAAGAGCGAGAGGGTGTGTCTTATAAGAAGGCGGCGATATACGAAGCAACAGCAAGAAGAGCAGCTGCAGATCGCTCATTAGCCATCTGTATGATTCTCGAAGGAGAGGATCCCGGACTGACATATTCACAGACTGCGAACCCTCCAAACTAAACTGGCATCAGTCTTCATCCCATTGTCGCCCTGTAGTCCGCACTCACGATGCCCAGAAAGCACGTCAAATCTCCGTCTACAGTCGTTTTATCTCCATGTGCATTATCTCCCCGGACGAGCACTCTCCTGCATTCTTCCCAGGTCGCCACGGTCAGGCTAATTCCGCTACTTGCACCAATCCAGCCACCTCGAGTACGCCATTTGCGAGTGAAAGCTACCGCCGAGCAAAGGGCAGCACGTGCAAAGGCCGCGGTAGTAATATAGGCTGGAAGAGAGGCATGATGTTTGGCCGAAGTTCCCAGTAGATACTGCGCGATGTGCAGACAGTCGAGAAGGGCGATAAACACGAGCGGGTAGGCATAACGCAGTGAGGGCCGACGGGACGAGTTCTGTGAGGTGAGAGGCGGAGTGGGGGTGGGCAGTGGGTTGATGAGGATTGGGGCGTAGGTGGAGGTGGAGCTTATGGAGGCAGAGCGGAGACGGGCCATGCTTGGGCAAGAGGCATTGTCAGTTGGACGACGAAACGAGCGACAAGTCCAGAGGGGAAAGCCAGTGCTCGACGCGCTCTTCACCAGGCACATATCGATGGGGCTTCATGCGATGGAATCCGACTGTCTATTCTCCACAAATCTACAATTACAAACGTTGAATGCCTAGATACTACATCGTGGCTTCGTACAGTAATGGTCGTACGTCATATGAATAGAATTGTCCATGAAATCTCGCCCCGCATGCTCATCGCTCCGTCGTCTTCCAATCATCTCCATGCTGGCCGCCCAGTCGCGTCTCCCACAGCTACGCCCGCATTCAGCCTAGCCATTGAAGGTCTGGAGCTCAGGCTTGGTCTTGGGATAGCCCCGATTGCATAGGTGTCACCCGCGTTGAGTCTGCTGACAGATGCTCTTGAGGAGAGCCCGCGGGATGCTGAGAGGATGCCACTGGTATTCCCTGGCGAGGAAGCTGCAGCTTTGAAATTGCTCATAGAAGGCCTAGAGCCGAGAGCTGGCCCCCGCACGGGAGGCGATCCTGTCGACGTAGAATGACCAACTGGGATTCGCATCAGCCTCCGCATCCGGACGATTTGCGTCTATAAGTAAAGAACATGATAGACTCACCTTGGACAGACATTCGCCTTTTGCCATCACTCCCTAGCCTCTTAGCACCTCCTGATAATGCAGACATACCACTCGGCAAACCCTTTCCTAAATGAGAGAAACCAGAGAACGATGTCTCGCCATGGCTCGGGATCATGCTCAACCTTTGCCTCGGCCGGTCATGCCTTGCTGGACCGATCATAGACTCTCGGCGATGACCTAGTACTGGGGGAGGGGGCATGGTACCATCACTAGATGGCATGCTAATCTTGATGTTTGCGAACGCTGACGAGCCTCCGGCCTTGCCGGCCGATGTTATCGAGGATTTGTGGAGGTTGGTCACAGAAGAAGTTGAAGGGGGAGAAGGGTGGGCAGGGATCTGTAAAGAAAGCTCGCCAAGAGGGCCAGGTCTGTGGAGCTTGGTGGAGAGCCCCTTGGTGCCGGGTTTACTAGCGCCCAGAGGAGAATTGGACGAGACACTGAGATCCCCCGAATTGTCGGCTTGTGAACCAAGGCCCCGTTCCAATCTCATTTGCTTCCAAGCTGGTACGTCCTCTGTGCCCTTGACTGTTGCCAGTGAGGAGAGCAAGGAAGTATTCGCAAAAGCTGCTGTAGGAGCAGGATCAGGTCGTAAAGCCGAGGGCACCAACTCTGACCTGTCCTCATCCTTTATCGCGATGTCTAAGCTCCTATCCGCCGCAGAGCCCATCCCATCTATACTGACACTAGGACTTGTGAACACTGGACAGTCAAGAGCGATAGATCTGTCATCGATCTTGCCCTCTCCTGTCTGGTCCGGCCAGCGCAGTTGCTTCTTCGTCTCCTTTGGTGCATCTGGTGCAGGGAAGGGGGTTTTGCGCAGACCGCTCTTGGGCGACGGGGGACGTGAAAGGTGTCTTCCAAGTGAAGCACGGCGAGGAGACGGAGCCGGAATTGACAGGGGCAAAAGATTATGAGGAAGTGGAAGAGGATGGGGAGTGTCGGTACCAAACACGGCAGCCACGCTATGGTCGACCTGTCGGCCCATAGAGTGCATACGCCCCCTGAAAGCTGCAAGATCGTCCAGTGACTGCAAAGAGTCTACAGCTGCAGCTTCAGAGCGAATAGTGGTTGAGAACCTTGATAAAGTAGAAGCCGCTTTGGTCAGGGCTTCAGCCTGCTGCGAGATATAGTCACGCAGACCTCGCTCTCTGGCGGCCGCCACACTCCTGGCGATATGGGCCCGGTGCTCAGCCACCTTGAGCTGATGCTTGTACATGGCTTCGCTCATATCATCCCCAAATTGCCGCTCCTCAGCCTTCTTCAGCAAGTTGGCGAGAGTGATGTGCTTGAGGCTTTTGCTTTGAACACCGGCTTGAATCTCATTGTTGAAGCGGAAGGAATCATCTTGCTGCTGTATGAGAGCTCGCAGGTGATCTTTCTCCCTCTTCGCGTCCTCCTCTGGTCTCCCACCCTTCACCTCCACACCGATATCCTCCATTCTTGCGTCAAGAGCTTCCACCTGAAGGACTGACGCGTTCCAGAGTGCGTCCATCTCGGAGCCCTCCACGATCACCGGCAGAAGAGCATCGAGTTCAGACTGTACTCGGCCAAGTTCCTCTTCCGATTCTACGGTGGCTTTGTCCAGGCGCTTCTGCTGTAGACCAGACTTGGTACTTTGTTGATTGTTCAATTGGCCTCGAAGAGTCTTGATCGTCTCTTCAAGAGTTACAATCTTCTGCAGCCATTGGGCAGTGCGGAGCTCGACCCCAGCCGTATTGCGAGACACCTTGGTCGAAACCTTTTTCGCTTTATCGGCCCAGAGAAGTGTATTGTTGGTCTCCTCGATATCCCTGGAGCTCGGTGAGATACAATTGATCATGACAGTTCGACAGTTGCCTCCCAAAGAAAACTTCAGCAGCCGTGTGAGTTTGCTGTCTCTGTAGGGCACATGAACCCGAGCCCCTCGTACAGGCCGCTGACACAAAGCAGATATACAGCTGCTCAAGGCAAGAAGGGATTTGTTGATGTTGGCACCCTCCTTCATCCGTTGCCCTCTGTTGACAGACGCTTTCTCACTGCCCGCCAAATCGATGATGGACAGTGTAGCAGAGGTGGAGCATTGTCGGACCACAGAGTTTGCCACGTCAATATCTGTACCTCTCTCGTTTCTGCCGACGTTGATCTGGAGTACAAGGTGGGAACGCGAAGACTCAGAGTTTCTCTCGGTGAAAGAGGTGCTTCGCCTCTCATTGCCCAGCAAGACCAGCTCCATCACTTCCTCGACGGAGGTGGGACGGCGGAGGGTCACTTTGTCGATGGTCACTCTCTCCTTCTCATTTTCCAGCAGTTTGAGGCCGCCGTGGGGACAGCTCGGGTAGTCGTCATGGAGAAGATCTCTGATGGTCTCGTTGTAGATTTCCACCATGGACATCTCAAAGTAGGTGTCGAATTTGTCCTTGGTCTCTTCCACAAGGTCAAAGAGTTCGCGCATAGTCCGAATGATGATACCCGGCTGCTCTTCTGTACCGGAAATGGTATGCGTCTTACCGCATCCGGTGGCCTGTTGTGCGTCAGACAATTGGCATCACGCGCAGAGGAGGACTCACGCCATAGGCAAAAACAGTGGCATTATACCCATCGACTACGCCTGGCAACAGACTCTTCGCAGTCTTGGCAAATACCTCCTCCTGACTTGCTTCCATTCCAAACACTTGATCGAAGACATATCTAGACACGATGAGCCCGTTGTGCCAGTGGTAGAAGCTAAAACTCACTTTCTGTTCTTGTACCTTCTGCCCATGATAGGTCCTGTTCTCCTTCCGGCACTCATATCCACTTGAGGTTTGTCAAAGTCTAGCATTCTGTGATCGACGACCTCTACAGAAAGCCCATCATGAGCACTGGCTGGCTTTGAGGGCATTCACGTCACTTACCGACGACTTCACGGAGAGACCCTTGAGTCGCGACTTTCGCAGGTGATTGCCCAAAATTTCCATCTCCCTGGAAGAACGGCTGCGGTGTTGCTTTCTGAACGAAGGGGAGCTCCTTTTCGGGGTGCCATGGTCGCACGCGAACTAAGCAACATCAGTGAGCTTATGACAGGGGCGTGCGCGGCTTGACGAACCTGCTATCTGAATGGCGTTGCTGTCCATGATGTTGTGTTGGCTTCTCCAGCGACTGACTCAACCCTGGGGCTCTCCCCAGGGGGATCAAACGAATGTGATGAACGGGATGGCGCCGAGGGCCGGGGCGGAAATGATGTTGATCGTTTGTGGTGTCTGGGTGCGCCAGGGAGTGATCGAGGTGACGATCTGAGCGGACCAGAGAGTGAGAGGCAGCAGAGGCGTATCTGACGTCGTGAGCGCAGTCCTGAGCTAGGGCGGGGGGTAAAAATGGAGATCTGTTGGACGGAAGGGTGTTGTTTACGCTTGTGATTTTGCCGCAAAGGTCTAAAGGCAATCGCGTCTAATTTAACTTGCACATTTTCATGACTTTCTCCCCGCGCGGGTTTTTATCGCGCCCATCGTGCGCATCGGTCAGTCGCGCTGACGTCTGGCGACGTTCACCAGTCTGTCACCTTTCATCAATCTTATGGAATTGTACATGGGTTCTCAGAAGATTTGGCCAGCCCTCTTCATGGGAATCCCGGAATCCCGTTTGACCGCTTGCCGCTGGCCCCGCTGGCTGCTCTTGCAAGAATGGCAGGCGGTGACCGGGGATGCTCATGCTATAATTGTACTCTGCAGGTGCTCATGACGCGGGTGGACCTCGGATGCAGCAGATTTCTTCGCGGGTAGTGATGAGTGGCAAGTGCTAATATTATCATGTTCTTCTGCGACGTTGAGCCTCCCGCCTCGGCCGCCTCAGATGGGCGTGAAAAAGAATGCATAGAAAGGAGCTGAGGAGGCCAGGGCAACGAGGGTGGGGCAAGATGCGTGTCACCAACTTGGAAAGCCAGGGGGAAGGGAGCATGGTATGTGCGTACTTGCATCTTCAGGACAACCAGCATCAGCGGGTGACGAGCGAAGCAAGTGACTATTGCCTGTCTAGCGCTGCTGTGTGTCGCTGCCCGAGACAAAGAAGGAGAAGGGGGAGCGTTTGTCGAGCGATGAGCTCGATGTCCAAATGTCCACTGGGGCAGGCCCTCGAGTGTTTTTGCAATTGTGACCTGCTACATCCCTCCTACCACATTGCATCACGACTGCAAGCAGCCCACCAGCGGTGCTATATACGTATATGGTAAATGTCATGGTTATGTTAGTGGCTTTGTCTCCGTCATACAGCCCCGGCACGAGCAGCATATGCGTAGTTGTACCTCATTCTGCACTTACGGTACATATGACTGCAAGACTGAGGTTAAGATAGTCCGTTATGCTTCTCACCCTGAATAAGACGTATCGCGCCGTGTTAGCTTCGGTCATGGAATTCTCGGGACGTCGAACTTGTCCTTAGCGTCCTGCAGATGTCTTATCTGCGTCTTATTTTTCTTCTCCTTCATTCATTCTTTCATCAATACCAACCTTCCCCTCCCATCCTCTTCCATTTTCACCCGCTTCAAAGGGACCAGCTGCGCTGTTCAGTCCCTCTCCTTCCGCCCGTTTCTACGCCCTGCATTGTTCTCGTCGATTGTGTCATCACTGTCTCTGAGCGGCCTTTGCGTTGACCGCATCATCGCCGTTCTCACCATTCGAGATCCCAATATAAGGAGCCTCTTCCAATACATCTACCTTCTCCTCATCCACCACCCTTTTTCAGTTTGTGGATAGTAGCTCTAGGGTTGATCCCACAGATATCTGTTTTTTATACCCCTTCCATCAACGTCAGCCGCTCTTTGTAAGAGCAGCCACCCATAGCCCTCAGCCCCCAGGTCCTCGACGCTCCTCTGGCTTTTTGTGTATACCTTTTGCTCCCTTCGGATCATCTTTGAATCTGCTACCATGTTCTCTTCTGCCAAGCTCAGTCTGGCTCTCCTGTCCGTCGCTGCTTCGGCTTCGGCTCACATCGGTAAGTGCCCCTCCTTGTTACTTTCATGACTATGTGACCATGTTCTGACCCTGCTTCTCACAGCCTTGTGGCACAACGCGTCATATGGGTAGGTTTCACTTCAGCAATGCTAGGACAAGAATTCGTACTGACGTTAGCATAGTTATGATGACAGCCAACCCAACCAAAGCGATCTAGTTCAACCTCTTCAAAACCTCACTTTCGGTAAGCCTTCCCATGCTAGCTTGAGCCTTAGCCGAGTCTGACCAACAACATTCAGATGAGTGGTGGTTCCATGGCAAGATCGACAGCGTGAGTGCACTCTCGATATCTCTGGCAGTGGCTGATCAAGATGTAGCCTCCCGCCGATGGCGCTGTAATGAACCTCCCTTCCGGTGGTACCTTCCACGGTGAAGTGGCCTGCAACAAGGCACTCACCACTTGGGGTGGTGCTCCCTCCAGGCAGACTGAGTATGCTTGTGACGCAGTCGGCGTTTTGCACACCACGTGAGTACTTAATTGGGAGCGAACCTTAGTTTATATGCTGATATGTGTACAGTGATGAGTTTGGGGAAGAACCTCAAGATGTCAAGGGCTGTGGCATTGGTATCGCATACAAGAGCGATGTCGAAGACATCACGCCCGAAGATTTCACCATCATCTCCGTCAATCACACCTGCCCATGGAAGAGGAATGTTGATTTTCAGATTCCTTCGGACCTTCCTCCTTGTCCCACCGGTGGCTGTCACTGCATGTGGGGTTGGATCCATGCTTCGGATGCTGGTACTGAGCAGAATTACTGTAAGTCCACCTAAGATACTTTCAAAGACTTCCACCACTGACCTTGTATTAGTCGTCGGCTACCGATGCGACGTCGTAGGTGCGACAGGTTCGATTCCTCTTCCCCAGGGTATGCCCAGTCCCACTTCTTATCGTTACAAGCTGACGAGCGTCGCAGCCAAAGTAGCCAACAAGTGCCCCACCGACACTTCCAACTGTACCGTCGGCGCCAAGCAGCCACACTACTGGCTCCAAGCGGAGAAGAACAACAACTTCCAGGACAATTTCGACCCCCCATTCTGTAAGCATTGGCTCGACATCATACGTCAGCAGTCCTGAAGGCTGACATGTTTCGCTCAGACAATGGCGACTACGGGTTCTCTGACGGAGCTCAGACAGACTTGTTCGAGGGGCATTCAAGCAAGAGATCTGACGTTGAATCTCAAAAGTTGAGGGATGACACGAGAAGGAGCAGGGTACTCCGTCGGTCTGTTGGTGGGGCGAAGGCTTGAGGCCGAGGGCCATATTCCAGACTTTTGAGAAGTTCTTTCCTGGATTGTGACATTTGAGGCCGTGCCATTGTCTTGTCCGTCCGAATAATATGATAATAATGACTTGATGCGTCTGATACAAAGTAAAGTATAAAGTGAAGTAATATTTGAAATAATTTGAAGTATGTAGAGTAAAGAGTCGGGCCATATGCCCATAACGAATGTCTATGAATACACGTCCACAGAAGGTATCAGGAGTCTCAGCACAATCATGCCTCGCCCCCAGTCCCAACAAGTCCTTTTGCAAGTGCTGGTCTCGCAAGAGGGTAGCATGGTGCATGAAAGGAAACTGGAACATGTGGGTGGGAGGCGCCGACTTCGCGGCAGGTTCTCGTAACGGATATAAACATTTTTTGAAGTCATTTATATTACGTTTACATTATGCGGCCCTCCGTATACGATCCGATGTACTACTACTGATGTATTCATCAATGCAGGTTTCGAGATTGAACTTTAACAGAAAAAATGGTTCATGGACGGTTTCGACGATGCAACAATCTACACAAGAGGAAAGCTCAGCCCCATCATGGCTGGTTCCGGCGATTCAACCAGTTCATAAGAAGAAAGTTCAACCCCGAAGGTTCTTGAAGACTCAACAATTTACACAAGAGGAAAGCTCCTTGGAGGTGGAGCCGTCGGCGGGAACGAGATCCGCTGGTGATCGCCATGGTTTGAATAGGGCAAGCATAGTTCTCGCGTGCTCCTCGGCCGAGGCAGCAGAGTCTCTCGGGATTGTAGGGCCAGAGAGGATGGGGACGACAGGGGTACGACGAGTCTGAATGCGGTGCGCGCTGAACTGGGGATGGGAAGGTAGGAATTCAGGTGCTGCCTTCTGTGGCCCCTTCTTCCTGGCACTCTTGGCGGTGAGCTTTTGGTAGCGCGCGACAAAGTCCCAGTAGCAGACAGACGACAAAGAGTTGGGTCTCCTGATATAGTCGTCTACCGCATACGAGCCACCACTGTGCCGTAGCTCGTCATCTGGGTTCCCCATGCGCAGAAGTGTCACCGTTTGCTCAACATCCCCTCCAGTTGGCCTTGGCATTTCGTCCAGATCCAGTGACTCCTCCAGCCTGTCTGCTTCCACAGGGACATCTTCGCTCCCTTGCGACCCACGAGTTGCCGGTGCAAGTTTGCTGTTGGACAGACCCAGGTGGCGAGCGATATCCCACCATTTCACGTTTTGGAAGCGAGCGTTCGTATAGCGATGTGGATATCCGAGGAGGTGATGCATGACCTGGAAGCAGAACGGTAAAGTTAGAAGATGCCAGTCTTGTAAGTCGGTTCATCCACTCACCTGCTCACTGGACAGCTCCTGTTTACCCGTGAGGGTGTTGCACGACCTGACCAAGAGAGACTTCATCTGTCTCTGCCGAGCCTCGGCACCCGTCTCTCCGACTCTCTCCGCTTCTTGACCCAATAGCCTTCCATTCCCTCTCCTAAACCTCGCCTCGATCGCTGCAAACATTGTTGGGGTGTCGAGGGCGACTTTGGAGATGTAGTTGCTGATGTAGTACACAGCAGCCATCGCCATCATCCCCGAGCCGACGAACTTGATGTCCATGTTACAGCGAAAAGCTCCCACCATGATGAGGTTGTACATGTTGAGCTTTGGATGTGTGCGCTGGACATCGATGGTGCCGTCGTCGTTGAAGTGTGTGTGCAAAACCTCCTCCTTGGGAAATTTGAAACGACAATCGGCATCTCCCAGCTTCTGAGCCCGACGCAGTTTAGGCAGGTGCTTGAAGCAAGTAAAGGAGTGGTCATGCAGTTGACCGCACTCCAAGACCTCCATCACATCCTGCCGTACCCTCTGCCAGTCTTCTTCAGACATGTGAGGTGGGAGGTGAGGTGGCGGTTGCAGAAGAGGAAGGGAACGATGGTCACCACGTTGGCGGAAGGCAAGGGCGTCATCGTCACAAGGAGGATATCGCCCACTGGGCACGGCACCCTCAGGCAACGATCCGGACATGACAGTGTCAAGCCAGCGACACACTTCAGCGGCCCACTCAGGGTTTTCCTTCTCATGCTTTCTGAGCTCTAGCGGTGAAGGGGCGTGCTCCAGCCAGATAAGCATGTGGATGTGAAGAGCTCCCCTTCCCTGAGCTGTAGTGGTTTAGGCATTTGCCAAAGATGCCACCCTCGGGGGAGCCGTATGGAAGGAAGACATTGATAAACCTGTCATTGCTGTCAGCATATATGGAAAGTCAGATGATGATAGTGGGCACTCACTTCTCCACCATGAAGTGGAAACCTTCTGCACAAGCACCGTGATCCGCCGATGCCGCCGAGAACCTCTGAGACACCTCCTCTTTCAGTTCATCACTCAAGCCAAGCCTCTCGTCCAGGTCAACATCTCGCCCTGCCATCACACTGACCACAAAATTCTTCGAGTCCGCCGGGTTGAGAGTCACAAACAAGCTAGGCATGCCAGAATGCCGCAAGAGGGCACGGAGCTCTTTCCTCCTGTTCCGATGTGAGCCAACAGACCCAAACATGGAAGACGACATGAGAGTCACCTTGCGCATCCTTTAGCTTGAGAAGGTGCTATACATGAGCGGCAAAAGACACCTTCTTTGGGCGGAGGGGGTCCTCAAACACGCCACAGCCATAACCGCGTTTGTTGACCTTCGTTTGTGGTGCGCTGTAAGGCTTGGTAGTGACAAGGCGGTTTGATGGCGCAGATAGAGGCATCGCAACGTTGTAGCTCCTGACGTCGTTCCCAGCTGTGAGTCAGAAAGCAATGTCAGTTCAATTGTATACAAACATACATCAGAACTTACCATCAGTATTGGCTTTCGGGACATCGCCCTCCGGATGAGACCGAAGGGCTGGAGGAGCGTTGGTGGGGGGTGTTGCTGGAGGATGTGCGCCTTTGATGACCTTCGTTTGGGATGCGCCGTAGGGCTTGCCAGTAAGAAGGGATTTTGATGGGGCAGATAGAGGAGTATTAGTGGGGGGGGTGTTTTTGGAGGACGCCCGCGTTTGTTGTTGAGCCTCGTCCGCGGTGCTTGCCGTAGGGCTTGGTAGTAAAAAGGGGTTTTGATGGGGCAGATTTCGGCATTTTTGAGGGAAGAGCCAGGATCAAGCGAGTGATAGAGTAAGACGATAGTAACGATGGGAGGAAGTTGAGAGGAATTGAAAGGAAATTGAGAGCCAGAGGCGAGCGAAAGGCGGGTGGTGACCCCAGCGGCGTTGAGTGGTTGTCGGAAAGAGTCGGAAGTCGGAAGTTGTTGGGTGCGGGTGAGTGTGGTGGGGGAGCGAAAGGGATCATTGTATGATGAGCTCTGCAGCTAGATACTGTGCATGTAGATGCAGACATCATTGAAGACGACCCCATTCAGGACAAGAGTCCCTTTGCCTTGGGCAGGGAGTCGGGCGTCATTCCCCATTCTGACGTGACGGGGAGGCGAGAGAGGTTGAACATTTGAGACAAGCCCACGTTCAAATGAGCGGGAACCTACAGACAGAGCGGTACAGGGGGATGAAATGCTAAGTAGATAAACGAAGAAAAGCAGCAAAAACCGCGGCGGAGAGCGGCGGCGGGCGAAGGAGTTACATAAGTGCTCATTAAAAGTGCCCCCCAGATACCCTTAGTTTCAGTTTTGTCCACCCCCCCGCGGACGCGCCGTAAGACTCTTTATACTTTATATTAACTCCGTTACGAGAACTTGAGTATATGCATTCACAGCGTCCTCAAAAAAAGTGAATTTGGATGTGACAGATGCGAATTGTTGGATAGTTGGGTGGGCATGTGGCAGTGCATGCTTGGTCCCGCTCGAAGGCAGGGATCGAACCAAATAAAGCGGGTCATGGCGGTTGATTACGTCAGCATGGTCCTCTCAAGCTTCTTCTTAGATCTTGTTGCATGCATGTTGCGCCACGAGCCCACGACCCACGAGCCCACGACCCACAACCCACGACCCACGACCAACCATATAGGCCATATAGATACTTTCACGTTCTGCGGCCTTCTGCGCCAGTCAACACCGTCCCTTGGGCTCCTTTCCAGCCGCTACAACGGTCTTGCTTTGCAATTACTGGGACTCGGAGTCTGCGGAAAGGCAGTACGATCCGTGAACAGTTCTGGTTCACTACTATCTCGCCTGTGAGCTTACATACTGGGACACAAGAAGACTTCAAGCCCCAACAATCCGGCGCGAAATCGAGTGACCTGTTTTAGTCACTGTTACCAGGAGACAAGGAGAGCGGAAGGAGGTCATGATGATGACTGGGGTTGTTGAGACCGGGCTGCTGAGGTGTGACTTGTCCAGAACGCGACGCGCGAGACGCTCACATAAACCTGAGTGACAGACCACCAGCAGGCATGCACCAGAGCCCAGAGCCATCGCTGCTCGCTGTCCCGTCATCAACATTGCTTACCGGTAATTATGGTAAGGTTGTTCCGTAAGCTTCTGCCCTGCGCCGACCCTGATTGAGACGCGTCGCGTCGCGGTAGTTTTCGGGTGCGAAAGCTCGGGAGGGGTGAGGACGTCGATCCTTCGCGCATGCAGCAGTTTTCCGTTTCTTCTGCATCCCAACCTCCCAACTCTTTCATTCCGCCGGCCACAAAGGAGCAGCTGGCTGTCCCGTTCCTCTCCCCTGACCCTGTTTTTGCGTTCGTTCATTGTTTCACTATTTGTCTCTGTGCGGCCTGTGCGTTGACCGTGCCTCCGTCCATCCCTGTTGTCATTTAGTGCGTACACACCGTGTCTATATATACGTCTCTTCATCTCCCCCGCCCCTTCCTCCTGCCTGTTTTCTTTACTGACCTGTGAACTATAGCTCTAGGGTTGATCCCGCAAATACCTATTATATACCCTCCATACCCTGCCCACCTCAGTCGCTCTTTACAGTAGTAGCCGTCCCTAAGTCTCAACCCTCAAAGCCCCAAACACCTTACGTCTCTCCTCACTCTCTGTGACCTCTATCTTCGGTCCCACTCTCGTCACCTCGCGATTCGCCACCATGGTCTCCTCCACCTTCGTCAAGCTGAGCTTGTCACTTCTCTCCCTGACCACTTCGGTCTCGGCTCATATTGGCAAGTCTTCTTGAGATGAATCGCTTCTAATAGCTAATTCCAATTGCAGCTCTCTGGCATAACTCCTCCTATGGGTCAGTCTAGTTCCATACGTGCAGCTGAGAGGATCAATCAGGCTGACAATTTTTTTGCGAGTAGATATGATGTGAACGATCCTAATCAGAGTGATCTCGTTCAGCCTCTCATGGATCTATCCTTCGGTGAGTCTGATTGCGATTATCTATCTATGACCCTTTCTGATTAACCACACATAGATGATTGGTGGTTCCATGGTAAGATCAACAGCGTAAGTACTTGTGCTTTTGGTATCGAGACATTGGCTCACCAGAGCGCAGCCTCCTGCCGATGGTGTATTCATGGATCTCCCTGCGGGCAGTACCTTTCACGGCGAAGTGGCCTGCAACAAAGCTCTGACGTCCTTTGGTGAAGTACCCTCCAAGCAGACTGGCGAGTGGGCTTGCGAAGGAGATGGCTCTACAGGTGGTATTGGTGCCATGCACACCGCGTGAGTCGTCATCGTTGGATCGGCTGTGGCGGCGGTCACTGATCTCTATTCAGCGATGAGTGGGAAAGCAGCGACCCCCAAGATGTCAAGGGTTGTGGTATTGCTATCGCGTAGGTTCAACAGCTTCGCACGTTTCGAGAGCAAGGACTGACTGTCGCGTCCGAACAAACAGATACAAGAGCGATGTCTCCGATATTCAACCCGAGGATTTCACTGTCATCACCGTCAATTACACCTGTCCTTGGAAAAAGCACGTCGATTTCCAGATTCCATCGGATCTCCCTGCTTGCCCAAAAGGCGGCTGTCACTGTATGTGGGGCTGGGTACATGCTGCAGATGCTGGTAGTGAGCAAAACTACTGTAAGTTTGACCTTGTCAGAGCCCAATCTGTTGCTCACTCAAGCCTAGTTGTTGGGTATCGATGCAATGTTACGGGTGCCACTGGTACCACTGCACTCCCTCAAGGTTGGTCTCCAAAGCTCTCTCTTTACAGTATCGCTGACTTGATCATAGCCAACACTGCCAACAAGTGCGACTACCCCACAGATACCTCCAACTGCACGGTTGGTGCCAAGCAGCCTCACTACTGGTTTCAAAAGGAGAGGAACAACAATCCTCAAGGCACCTATGACCCTCCATTCTGTGAGCAATGCCCCCGTCTTCAAAAAGGTTATATGGCTCACATGCTACAGATAATGGGGCGTATGGCTTCATGAATGGTGCCCAGACAGACTTGTTCGCCGCTGTCGGTAATACCTCCACGACTTCCAGCCACTTGGCGACTTCTGCAGGATCAACAACCATTCTCGCTTCAGAGGTCTCTTCTGCAGCCGTCTCATCTTCAGCCGTCTCAACTTCAGCTGTCTCCTCGACAGCGGTATCTTCTTCGGCGTCTTCGGTCTTGGTCTCCAATTCCTCGTCCGCAGTTCCAGCGACTGCTGCTGTATCTTCTTTCCAGGATTCAGTTGTCGCTCCACTTTCCGCCTCTGCAGATGTCTCTATCTCAGAGGTCTCCAACTCTTCGACTTCATCCGTCGCGTCCCCCATCACCCTTACGCGCACGATCACAACGCACCACTCCACTGCCACTGCCATGTCAACTGCCTCAACCTCCTCCAACTCAGCATCCAGCTCTGTGTCCTCGTCGATCCAAGTCGCTCCCTCTTCCAGCGCCACCGGCGTCTTGGCTGCTGCTGGCAGCAGCAATGGTACCGTTAGCTATGTTGCTACAGGTAATCAGACGACTACAGCGGGCCACTGTATGAGCAAAAGATCGGGCAATAGGCTGCATCGGGTTCGGGACGGTAGGAGAAGGAGCAGAGTCCTCCGTCGGGCTGTTGGCGGGGCCAAGGTCTGACGCCGAACGTCTCTCTCGTAGCTTCGTGCCAGCTGAGGCTCAGAGGCTTCTGAATTTGTAAATTAGAGCATTCCATGGCTGTGCCAGTGTTGAACGTCTCTCTCGTAGCTTCGTGCCACTTGAGGCTCAGAGGCTCCTAAATTTGTAAATAAGAGCATTCCATGGCTGTGCCAGTGTTGCGTCTTGGATCTGTGTCTATTGCTGCTTCTTCGCGATTCGTTCCTTGTGTACAGTTGGGCCTGGTGCCGCACGGTGAAAACAAAAATATGCACGTCTATACCACCCCATCACGACGTTGCATCTCTGACGTGTGAAAGTATTTGCTGGGCTTGCCCGAAAGCTGAGTGGACGCTACATACATAGGCAGAAGGCCGGACGGCGGATGATGGATCTCATCATGACTCTTGATTACGTCAGCTAGTTTCATTCCTTCTGAACTTATTATTAAGCTTCTCTCGACGTTTTTGCTGCTGTGACTGATTCTTTCGTCTGCTTCGACCCTGCTTGTGCGCTTCGTCAGCTTGCGACCCGTGACACCCCCGCCGTTGCCATTGTTCCCATCCATAGATCACCATGTCCTCGAAGCATGCTTCGGGTTCCGCCACGCCAAGCAGAGACCAGTCCCCAGCCGCCCCTGCGCCTGGTGGACAACAAATAGATCCGTACCGGGTCCTCTCGACTCATGTCAAAAAACCCTTGGCACCCCTTCTTCCAGGTTCAGAGCCTCTCCTGCCCACCCTTCTATCTCTCGACTCCACCGCGTACTCTTCCAGGCTTTCGGGCAAGACCCTTCAGACGACGCCCGATCAACCATCGACTGTCTCCTCGCCTCTAGTCACGGGGCGAAAGAGGAATAGGGGGAATGCATTGGAGAAGTCAAAAGCTAGAGCAGAATGTCAGGCTACAAGAAAGAAGAGGGAAACATTAGGTCATGAGGGTTTACGGAAGGTCAAGAGAAGACTGGGGAGCGTAATCGGGAAGGGCCAGTGCATATCGTGAGTGGTCTGGCGTAACCAGAGATCATGACTAATGTCATAAGGTATACCGCCCTGGTACCATTGTACCACCTGCATACGACCTACATCTGTCAACTGCTAGCGTTGCCTACCCTACCCGCCTTGATCCCACCATTCCTACCGCCATCCAACCCAGAACCCCTACAGACCAAGATATCGAAAGCCGACTTCACAGGCATATTTCTTTCTGTCATTGCGGCGCGCTGTGAAAGCCTGATTGGAATCAAAGGCATTGTCATCGAAGAAACTGCCGAGATGTTCAAAATCGTCGTCGAAGACGACAAGGTGAGAGTGGTCCCGAAACAGGGATCTCTCTTCCGACTGTCGTTCCCTGCCTTTTCCCCTCCGCCCCAGAAGCCTCTTGCAGCAGGGATAGTCCCATCGCCCTACCCACAGGATCTCACCCATCATTTGGCAACATGTCCCCGCATCGAAATGGATCTGCTGGGATCGGCATTTGCCTATCGTTCAATAGACCGAGCGGGTCGAAAGTTCAGACCTGCTCAGGGAGGCGGAGGTGGTAGTGGGTGGGCAGATGGCTGGGTAGCAAAGGCGGGTGAGATGGGGCAGATGCTGAATGGCGTAGATGGTTGTGAACGCTTGAATAAGACCGAGAAATCCGAAGCGAAGCAGGGCCCGAGCAAGCGAAAGAGAAACAAGTCGAGGAGGAAGGATTTGCCAGCCTGGGGCAATCTTTAGCCATACTCAAGTAGGCGGACACTACGTACAATGTATGTGTTATAGTTGTGTCGGCGGTTTGAACATACCAGACGGGGTGACGAACGATAGATCGCTCCGGAATGCAAAAAGCCAAGAGACCCAAAAGTACAATACATTTAATACATTTCTACAGAGTCTATCCTACAACGCCTGGAAGTTGATGGCATGCAATGCCCTCTGCCTCTCTACTTCATCCTCTTTCTTCTCTTTTTCGTTCAATCCCAGAACTACTGTTCCGAGAACAAGGACTGTCCCCAGTACGGCAGCACCTACCCAAGGCACCCAATCTCCAGGCTTGAGATACAATTGTGATTTCCACTCTGTTGATCGCGCCTTGACTGGAGACTGGAGCTCGAGAGTCTTGCGCTCACCGCTTTCTTCTTCAGATGCTGATGGATATGGCGGGTTGATCAGGACTTGTGAATTGGGGATGAGAGAATCGAGGTAGGTGATATGGTTGGGAGGGAGAAGGGATGCACCGATGAACAATTTCTACAGAACGTATGAGTGCCAAATTTTGTCAATCTGAATTCAGTGCTCACTTCAATGTAGTTATTGGTACGGCCGAGACCAAAGAAGGCATATGGAGTTTGTAAGGCTTGGTATCCTGTTTGAGGCAATTGGGCGACTGGCGCATCTATCAGCATTGCCGAAAGCCTTCTGAGACCGCACGCACCTTGTTGGGCGACTCTATTTCCGACGGTGTCTAGAACAGTCAATTTGTAGGTGGCACCCGAATAGCTGACACCGAGGGGCTGTAGCACAACCGCAATCAGTCATATGACACACAATCACAAGGTCGGACTCACACTGTAGGACTTCCCTCCGGCACTTGGTTCACACTTCCCGCTGCACACGCCATTCAGGACTAGACAGTGGTCAGTAACAAGACAACTCAAGGACAGAGGACAAGGTGCACCTTCAGTCTTGAGGAAGAAGGCATCGTGGTAGAAATTGTTTTGAACGAATGTGACCTTCTCCTTGTCCTGTTTCCCTGATCGCTGCACCATGATATCCAAAGACCCCTGAGAGAGTGTCAGCCGAAACTTCAGAGACCAATGATTTACTTGCATCCTCATCCAAGTCCAGCCAGCTTGCCCCGATGGCGTCTTCGATCTCTTCTAGATCCTCCCAATCCTTCCCACTCCCAAGCCTCCAGCCCCTCGCGATGCCTTTCCCGCACCCCACCACGTTTTTTCCGCATGCAATACTCTCCAGTATCTGCACTTGTGTGCCTTTGGCGGTGGACATGACAAACAGGAGATCGGGAAACCCATCGACATTGTAGTCGCCTGGTCGCAAGGGGGATGGAAGGGAGGGCTTGCCAGGAGCATGCAGGAGAAGCCCCAGCTCGGAGGTGCTTTGGGAAAGGGAGGCGATAGGTACAGAAATGAAATACTTGATTGTGGTCAGAATCATGATCACAACGAGGCAACTGTACTCACAGGATCATAATCGTCGAAAGCAAATTCAAACTTTTCATCAGAGATGCACATATCGCCCCAACCTCGACATTTCAAAACCCCTTCCTGGATCCATTGAGATGCTTCTGTAGAGCATAGCGGGGCCTGCTTATTATAGGCGATGTTGATCTGGCAGTCAGATCCGAAGCCAGTGGATGAACTAGTCTGCGAACAGGTAGGGAACACGATATCTATTGATCCATCGCGATCTGATCCGTGAGTGTAAGCATTGTAAACCATCGGTTGCAGAGTGACTCACTCATGTCGGCAAATGTGATGGGGCCGCTTCCGGGAGGTAGGTTGTAGTTGCGAGACAGGACATAGCCGGCGTCCGCTCGGTTTAGCCATATTTGAAGAGAATCCCCGGTGGTCCGGGTGCAGTGGAGAACCAGATCCGGTAAACAGTCGCCGTCGATATCGATGAAGGCACTGCTATGAGGGTTGGCCAGTGAGCAGACTTGGTCAATTGGTCTAAGAGGGGGCGTCTCTCTGTGATCTTCTGTAAGCTTGTACCCCAGAAGGCAAGAGCTTGCTCACAATGACAACCCGGTTCCGTTGTTCTTCCATGTTACTATGCCATCCGAGGATTCTGTGGGGTGGTAGCCCAATAGCGAGGGCCTCAAAGACCCATCAGCATCAAACACGATGGGCTGAGCTGAGGTGGAGATGGGCAACGACCATGATTCTGGTTCTGGATATCCCAATCAGCATTGTCACTGATTAAGACGAGGGTCACCCACGGAAACCGCCATTTGGACCACCTCCAAGATAAACATCCATCCCCAACCGCTCCGTTTTCCCGCCCCACCAGCCCCCATCGGCAGACTTGTCGTACATCAGTAGCAGATCCAGATGCCCATCGTGATTGAAGTCGCCCGGCACTATGTTGGAGATTGTAGAGGAAAGCGCGAGAGTGTGCGATAGTTTGTACTTGAACTTGTCTGCGCAATCGTTGTCAGCTCTGCCCAACGACACTATGAAAACCCGGCCGACCTTTATCCCACAGATATACCTGAACCGTCTTGCCGTCGTTCGAAAGCGTGAAGAGATCCAAACTTGCCGACTTGTCAGCGTCTCCAGTCAGAAAGCACTCCACCATCTTACTTGGGGTCTCCGTTCCAGTCTCCGACAGCGGCGACTCTTCCGTCGAGCTTGCCGAGGCCTAATGAGCCTGCATCGATGAAAGCTTCGTCCTTGAACCGCTTCTCTTTGAAGGGCCAGATGGCTTGGGAGGGGGCTGAGATGAGGATGAAGGAGAGGAGAAGGGCGAGCTTTGAGGCGAGCATCTGCCGTGGTCTGGTCGAGGAATAGCTGCCGAGTGCAATCTACCACAGACGATGAAATCGTCAACACGTCCTCTGCGACAACAACGCGCGCGGATATCGCTGACGTAATCACCGGCAATCGTCTGTCGAATGCCGCCGAAGGGCAGCCGTCATCATATCAATGTGTTTCTTCGTCTATCTCGTCTTGAAATTCCCAGAGAGGCAGCAGCAAGATGAGAGAAGTGTACCAAGGGGAATCCCCTTCAGAATCGTCGACAGCACCCAGAGTCAGCCAGCTTGATTCTGATGAGCTCGATGAAGCTCTCGTTTCCATGCTCGGCGAGAAAGTGTCGAGGTCTTTGGACAACTTTCGGGTGGGTCAGATGTGGTTGTTGTCGAGGCAGAAGCTGATTCTGGTCATAGTCGAGTATGTCCTGGGACCTAAAGCCGGAACTCGAGCTCGTGATCAAGCTCGTCGTGTTCAGATTCGGGGTATGGGATCAACTATCGCGAAGCTCTCCGGGGGCAAAGCTGCAGAACTTGAAATTGGTATTGGACCCTAGATCAAGGCTCAAATGTAAGGTTTCGAGCTTTCAGTACTTGCTGCGACTGACATTGAACAGCCACACGGAACGCTTTACTACTCTACTTGATACTTCATCCTCCATTATTTCCTTCCTATATATTGAAGCGAATCCGCCAACACGCTCTCTCACAACAATGGCCAGATCTTCCCCAGCATGACTGGCGGTTTAAATGCTGGAAGGCTATAGGAAGAGTAGAAATAGTCGCCAACATGTGGGCGGCCGTTAGCTGGAGCATGTTTCTTTGGGATGGAAAGTAAGTCCTTCCCTGACTCTCTTGCAGCTCTGCTGATCGCACTGTAGATATCCATCTCTCCTGTTGCGCCTTCTCGGCCTACGTCTTGCTCCCTCCCAGCCCCATTTATCCAAACTTGTCTCCTACGAGTTCATGAACCGCCAACTCGTATGGAACGCCTTTACCGAGTTCCTCATGTTTGCGGTGCCCCTTATGCCGCCCATGGTTTCATCTTCTGCGGTCTCGCCGCAAGAGTGGCTAAAGCCCATACGAGGACTCTTCTCACAGCGCACGGACATCGACTATCAATCGCTACCGATTATTCCTCCCGCTGAGCTTGCTGCCGAGAAACGAAATGAAGTCAAAGTGCACAAGGGGCCTCTGGCTCACCTACCAAAGACAACCTGCCCCATCTGCTATCTTCGCCACACCTCTGCCCCTGTGCCCTTATCATCCTCCTCCCAAGGCACATCCATCAGCCTGCCTCCGCTGCCTACTGGGGCAGCAGATTCAGCGGGCGACACGGAGGATAATGAAGATAGAATCTTTGTACCAGCCCGGACAGACTGCGAGGGAGTGTGCGTCTGGTGCTATTATTGCATAGGGGAAGAGCTATACAGAAATCAAGAGAAGGTGGCGCTCAAGCCAGTATCCAAGAACGGGCCAGAGGAAAGCGATACAGAGGAAGGCAAGTGGAGTTGCCTGAGGTGCGGTGGAAAAGTCGGCAGGGCATGGCGAGTTGGTGTGGACGAAGACGACTAGGAGCTTTTCGAGTTGTTGTATGATACATGTGGCTCTGTAGAGTATAACACGCGATATGTGACGACCATTCACGATGCCGCTATCAAGCCCCCGCATTACCCATAGCCTTCTTTAATCGCTGCCTCAAGACTTCATCCCTCGAAATATTAGCCGTCGAGCTCGCACTCCCGTTGTCGACGTGTGACTTTGATGAAGTAGCCCCTGCATCTTCAGCCTTAGGCGCTGCCGATACAGCGACAACAGGTTTGGATTTGAGGGGAGACGAGGGGACAGGTGTGTGGGCTGTAGGAGTGGCTACTTCAGACTCGGGCCCCGGAGAAGGGATGACGATGGCGGGTTCATCGGTAGGTTTCAAGATGCGGATAGTCTCGATGCAGACTGCTCGTCGTTGCCATCTCCGTCTTCTGGTGAACTATGCCCAATATCAGTGGCGATCTGGCCTTTCAGTAAGCCCAACGTACCTTGCCCAAGCCACCCTTGGGACCCACGCTCTCCCACTTGTTGTCGCCATATACCCAACCGTCATTGTCCGTCGCCGTATCCGTTTCCGGCACAGTCTCTGTCGGCAGGTTCCCTGCACCACCCGCCACGGTCGGCGCCGTTATTGACGCCGCATCGTCTTGAATCGCACTATCATGACTCCCCGTTCGATCCCTTAACAATTCCCCACTCTTCCTCGGTGAACTATTGACAGCAGCACCAGGTGTCCCCGAACTGACTGCTCTGCCCTTGAGTTTTTCGAGGCCCTTGGCGAAGGCTTGCTCAGCCATGGACTGGGCCCGGGTAGGAGAGAAGGGAGCATCGTCGGACTGGGCCGTCGGCGAGGTGCCAAAGCCACTGATGAATGATGAGGGACGGGCGATTTGGGCTGGTGGCTGGGCGACCGCATCGTCTGCTTCGGCATCCAAGTCGCGAGATATGGGAGCAGAAGGAGCTTTGTGTTCGACATTAGAGAGCCCCGGGCCAGCTCGCACGATAGACCAGTCGTCATCCAGCCACTTCCACTCTGCCGATCGTCTGATGCGGGCATACCTGTCCGTCATGGTAGCTGTATTGATGACGATGGAAACCGGCGCAGGGAGGGTGAATGATGAAGGCGGCGATACTGGGAGGACATGCGAGTCACACCAGCTGGGGCGCTCTTGAGGAAGAAGAGCCGACGTCCAGTCGAGACCCATCCACCATCGCTGATTCTCGTGAATCTCGAAGCGAAAGTAGATGGGGTCTTCCACCTTGACACTATCATCCTCATGGTCTTCCTTCTTGCCAACGTGTATGCTGCTTTTCTCGGCCGGCTTTCGGAAAGAAAAGGTGGATGATGGCCGACGTGAAGCGGCCCACTTAGACTTGAGCCAACCCCAAAGCGAAAAGTTGAGTTTGAAGCGGTACGACGTCTCGGGAGGTGACCCGAATGTAAAGAGGAACGCCAATGCCAGCAGCTGCCTAACTAACAGCGAGTTTGACAGCAGCGTGATGAGGTGGGCCAAAGGAGGCGAAGGCAAGAGAAGAGCGATGGTACCGAGCAGCGCCAAGAGCGTCCTGTAACCAAAGACAAACTGGCCTAGCACGAGCCACGTCCCCCAGATGACAGCCAGACCTCTAACGAGACGCACGACACCGAGCTGCCTGAAACGGGCGTAGATGTCTGATGTCGCTGGCAGAGGCGATGCGGGCATCAGAGCGTAGACCGCGTTGATGTCAGCCAATGTCAGGAGAAGAGTGTCGGGTGTGGAAGGGGAAGAGGGAGTGTTGTCCGGAAGCTTCTTTCCTCCCTGCGTTAGGCGCAGAGTGGTCAAGGGTATCAGCGGCAGAAAGAGAAGAGGCGGCAACATATACCTGCAGCAGCGTGAGCAAGGGATGACGGTACTTGTTGGAAAGGACTGACCGGAAGGCGGGCTGCGAGCCTAGACAGAGTGCCCACCATGCGGCGACGACCATCCAGCTCTCGACTCTCCTGCGGGGTGTCCAGAGAAGGACCTCGAGGGCATGCCTTGTGGCTTTGATTGGGCGGGCGAAGAGGACAAGGAGCCTGAGGTATGGGGCGGGGAGGGATGCGACGAGGTCGTGGGACTGGAGCTGGGTGGTGGGGGACGGGAGTGGCGGGGGGGGCATGTCCTCGCTGTGGTGCAGGCTGAGTTGGCTCGCGCTGTAGCTCGCTGAGAATTCCTCGCCAACGAAGGCCAATGACCGACCCAAGCGCTGAGCCAAGGACATCCGTCATGGCAGGCGGACATGCCCGCGCGTTCAAGATTTTAGGGCCACCTGCCATTCTTGTCAACAAATCCCAAGTTCATCTCGCATACCCCACCAGCTACCTGCAACACCCGACATGGCCGGCAGCACAAAGCAAGCACAGAACAAGGGCAGAAGAAGCTCTCCCAAGCCAGCTTCAGATGAGCTCGTCCTCGACCAGAACGAAATCATGAGGGCCATGCTGGCCATGCAGAAGGGGAAGCAGAGGGAGGGCTCTGACAGCGATGATGAGTCGGAGAGGGACGAGTCGGAAGGGGACGCGTCGGAGGAGGAAGCGGAAGGGTCAGCAAGCGAGGCAGAATCTTCGACGTTTGCTCAACAAAATCTCAAGCGACGCCGCTCATTGTCGCTGTCCCTCGGAGAAGAGTCTGAGCCAGAGGCAGCGCAGCCGGCAAGACAGACTCAGGGCAGGGTGGGAGTATCTCGTACCGCCACTTCTACAAAGACTCCTCTCAAGACGCAGCCAAAACCAACTGGTCTTCAATCTGCCCCCAAACCCGCCGCTGGGACATCTTTTGAAGATCTCGGGCTATCCCAGCCCATCATTAGAGCGCTGGCCTCTATCAGCATTACAAAACCTACAGAGATTCAATCCGCTTGTATTGGCCCGATCATGGCTGGAAGAGACTGTATTGGAGGCGCCAAGACGGGTAGTGGTAAAACGATGGCATTTGCCCTTCCGATACTAGAGAGGATCGCTAGAGATCCGTTCGGTGTCTGGGCGGTTGTGCTCACACCCACTCGGTGAGTCTACAATAACATTGCGAGGAGCCGACTAATGATCAATTAGAGAACTCGCCTATCAACTCACTGAACAATTCCTCGCCATTGGCAAGCCCCTTGGCCTCACTACGACCACCATCGTCGGCGGTATGGACTCTATGAAACAAGCCAAAGAGCTCGAGGGCAGACCGCACATCATTGTCGCTACCCCTGGTCGTCTGTGCGACTTGCTGAGAAGTGGTGGTGTTGGGTCAGGCAAGCTGAGCCGAGTCAAGATGCTGGTGTTGGACGAAGCGGACAGGATGCTCACGCCGACGTTTGCCCCTGATCTTGCGTATCTGTTCTCACAGGTACCTGCAAAGAGGCAGACCTGTCTATTCACGGCTACTGTGAGCGAGGCCATCATGGACTTGGCCAACAAGCCGCCGCCTCCCGGCAAGGAGGCGCCCCATGTATACCGAGTAGCATCCGAGTGAGTTGTTGCAACTTTGTCCGCTTTGCTAACTCTACAATAGCACACTGACCGTTGCCAACTTGAAGCAAAAGTACCTCTTTATCCCCAGTCAAATCCGTGACCCCTACCTCCTCTACATCCTGCAGAACCCTCTCGAGGATATCGACATTGCCCTCCGTATCGACCCCAAAAAGGCCAAGGCCCAAGAACGCGAAGCCACCATGGGCAACAAGAGAGGGAAAAAGTCTAGATCCGACCCGGAACCTGCGGAAGAATCACAGTCTATCCCATCCACAGTCATATTTACCCAACGCTGTGCCACCGCCCATCTCTTGCACCTCCTTCTCAACTCTCTCGACATCCCCTCCGTGCCCCTCCACTCTCACCTCACCCAGCCCCAAAGACTTCTCTCCCTTGCCCGGTTCCGAGCTCATGAAGTGCCTGTACTTGTCACCACGGACGTTGGTTCGCGTGGTCTCGATATCCCCGAAGTCGCGATGGTGATCAACTGGGATTGTCCCCGCAGGGCAGACGACTATGTCCACCGAGTGGGTCGTACCGCCCGAGCGGGAAGGGGAGGTGTAGCGGTGACCATAGTGACCGAGAGGGATGTAGAACTGGTCAAGGTGATTGAGGATGAGGTGAATGTCCAGCTGGAAGAGTTAAAGTTAAACGAGGATACCGTGTTGGAAGGGTTGAACAAGGTGTCTATGGCCAGGAGATTAGCGACTATGGTGAGTACAATGTCGCGATCGCTTGCTGCTGCTGACTGGTCTGTAGGAAATGCACGACTCGGGCTTTGGGGAACGACAGGCTCTGAATAAGGCCAAGCAGATCAAGAGGCAGAAGAGGGATGCCACAAAGTAGAATAGAGAGTCATTGTCCATGCATGTACAGCATTATCCTTCTTCCTTCGGTACGACCGCCCTTGGGCTCCTGGAACACGTTCTGCATCCCAGTTGACTGCCCTTGATTCACCATGAGACGCCCAATATGGCCGGCGGGCTCGAGAAACGTAGGCTCGGTGCAGCCGCCTCCACCCCCGCCTCCTGGCGTCGTCGGAGCGAGGGGCTTGTGTCGAGCCTACGAGAAACGTGCAAGCCCGAGGGAATCACGACATTCTTCAAGCGCGCCGTTTTTTCCAGCGTCCAAAATTTGATGTCTCTATCGTCTCGTCTTCCACGACTCGTATCCCGTTCGCCCTCTCGCTCGGTTCTTCTCAATTCCCAGCCTCCCAAGACATATACAAAAATGGAAGACGGCCAGAAAGGTGCGTCGGGTGCGTGAAAATCAGGGACAGAGCTGATGCGCGCATTCTCTCGTTCTTGTCTTTTCTGTGACACCTGCACAACAGTCCTCGTCGGTTGCATCGGTGGCTCTGGGTTGTACAACCTCGACAACTTGACTCCTGTGTAAGATTTTCCACTCATGCATACCTGCACCAGCTCACAGTCCCCCCAGCAAGACCCTCGATATCACCACCCCCTGGGGCAAGCCTTCTTCTCCCGTCACCATCTCCTCTCTCCCCACCGGCGAGCTCATCGCCTTTATCTCTCGTCATGGAACTGCACACACCATCACCCCCACCGAGGTCCCCGCGCGCGCCAACATTGCCGCTCTCAAGCACATTGGTGTCGAGGCCATCATTGCCTTCTCTGCCGTCGGCTCTCTGAGGGAGGAGATTGCCCCGGGAGACTTTGTCATTCCTAACCAGATCATTGACAGGACCAAGGGTATCAGGGAGGACACCTTCTTCAGGGGTGAGGGGCTCGTCGTTCACTCTATGTTTGGGGAGCCATTCAGTGAGAAGCTCAATGCGTTCGTGGCGCCCCGAGTGGACAAGATCTTGAAGGCGCAGGGCGAGATCAAGTTGCACACTGAAAAGACTGTTGTGTGTATGGAGGGTGAGTTATATCTCTCAAAGGTGTCGAGCTCGGAGCTGACTTCTCCAGGCCCTGCGTTCTCTACCCGAGCCGAGTCCCTCATGTACCGTCAATGGGGCGGCGACATCATCAACATGTCTGTCATCCCCGAGGCCAAGCTCGCCCGTGAATGTGAACTCGAGTAAGCCATGCGTATAATTGAGTGATCTGATTTGCTGACAGCCCACAGCTACACCCTTATCTGCACTTCCACCGACTTTGACGCCTGGCGAACCGGTCACGACCCCGTCACAGTTGAAGAGGTTGTCAAGACGCTTCACACCAACGCCGGCAACTCGCGAGCTGTCGCTGCTGGCATTCTCCAGGAGGTACACGCGCTTGTCAGCGAGCGCAAGGTCCTGACTGATATCAAGGGGAGCATGAAGTTTGCTTGTGTCACCAGGGCTGATGTGAGTTTTTCTCGGATCGTCAGATGAGTTTGTTTGCTGATAGTTTGGCTAGGTGCAACCTGTTGAGTCCAGGAAGAAACTCTCTTACATCTTGCCTTACTTCTCCGACTAGACGACCGCAGGCCGCAGGAACATCCAAGGAACATAGATAAGATGCAAAGATTCGAAAGGGCGATTTTCGTGGCGACTGTAAATCATGTCTGGGACCTGATCAACGATCGTGTTCCACGTTTGCTAGATGCTACACCTTGTTCTTTACCTTAAATGAGATGCTCCTATGTAGATCATGTAGACGAGATGGAGTCGGCCGGCTGGTATGGTGAATGAATGGTAACTTCAAGCCCAGGTCCACCGCGCAGGGCCGGACGTGTGGCAGAAGGTTGAACGATAACGTCTCGCTTGGTATGGTCTCCGTCCAACACGCTCATGCTCCAAGCCAAGCTCCAAGACGCTGTACCTCTGAGCGGTCACGCTCGTTCAGACATGGCCCTCTTCTTGACACTCGAACGACTCGACACACCTTGGGAAGCTCAGTGATGGGCGACAATATAAATGAAGCAAGGCTGGTAACTGTATGTCAGGCCGACTTGCCCTGTGCCCCTCAGATAAGCTTCGGCGGTGACCGCCCGTCCGATTGACGGGGCTGGACCTACCGACCTAGTGCTGGGAGGGGGCAAAAATTTCCGGCCCACTTTACGGAACTTACGGCAGGTTGTCGCGCACCCTGAGCTTTTCATGTAACGACGTCACACATTCCCACGGCTATGCCAAAGGTGGTGCACCATGTGCAGCCTGTATGTAATCTGGATGTCCCTCGGGCGGAGCACCATCTGCACCCCCATCTGCATATTCCACCATCCGCGAGCCCCAAATAAGCAGCGTGGAGTGGACAAACAACAGGGCTGCGACTTTCGGCAAGATCACGTACTTGTATAGTCACTGCCAAATTGACTTGGCTTTTCTCCTGGCGGCTTCGCCTCTCCTGCTGCAGATCGCCCTGAGCATCGGTAGCGCTGGGCTGTGAGAGATGCATGACAGCGTGCATACCCCAGTGCCGGGCATTGCGAGTGGCAGAGGTCGTTCAACGTGGCGGGAGCAAGCGAATGAATGCCGCTGGTTCGGGAAGCACGCCGTTCGAGGTTTGCGTCATGAATTTGCACTAAGGTACCTACCTGTTTCTGGTCCCTATTTTCTTCCCCTGTCTTGTCGCCATCGCTCCAGGACGGGCTAACCAAATTCTTTATGCGAGCTGTTAACTGCTAGCTGCTAGTCTGCCCCCGTGTTTACTCGTTCATATATTCACATCCCATCTCTTCTTTCTCTATATACTAACCCCCTTCCCGCAGGCAAAACCGGTCGCCACACCCCATAGACCGTTCCCATCGCCCCATTCCGCCATGCTCCAGTCCAGCGCCCTCTTGGGCTTCGCCGCCGCCTCCTACCTTTTTGCCGGGGTCAACGCGTTCGGTGTGCAGAGTTATGCCAACTTGTTCTTCGGGCCTTCCAATGTCGTCGAGAACGACTGGTTCCAGGGTATTGACTCTCGATGGGCGAGAGAGATGAGCGAGTACTGGGCAGATCAATTAATAGAGACCGGTCCTTGGTGCAAGTTTTTTTCTTCTGCGAGCGGGAAAGCTCAAGTGGCGTATGCTGATTCGGGTGCCCTGCAGCTGTGACGAACAAATCCTACACGGCAAAGTCTGGCGACAATAAGTGAGCAGGCCTATCGCCATCAAATCGAGGCGTGTTTGCTAATATTCACCATCAGGGACTATCTCTCCTGGGCTGTCTACCACTGGCCTGACTGCTCGGATGTTGGCAACACGACTGAACTCACGGACGAAGAGAGTGAGTCATGTGGTGAACTGGGTCAAGGGTCATGCTAACCGTATACTAGTCTATGACCAGTGCACATACGTCACGAGGGATGGTCAAATCAACCCCGACACTGAGCTTGGTATGTCGGATGTGGCTCAATTTGGGTATCATCGCTGACGCGCGGAACAGTGCACGACAATGACGCTCTGCAGAACATGAGCAACAGCATCTACCTTTCTGCTCTGGCCTACCTCCACACTGGCGATTCCAAATATGCCACTCACATCAACACCGCTCTCGACACTTTCTTCGTCAACGACGCGACGCGCATGAACCCCAACTTGAACTATGCCCAGGTCGTCCGTGGCCCCGGCGACCAGCTGGGAAGGCACACTGGTGTTCTTGATTTGGCCTGTATGGCCAAGATTGCTAGCGGAGTGTCGGTGATGAGGGAACTCCAGCCTACGGAGTGGGAGCAGGCCACAGATGATGGTGTCGTGTCTTGGGCTTCAGACCAGCTGGAGTGGCTTACGACCAATGAGCTGGGTATCGCAGAGAAGAGCTCTACGAAGTAAGCATCATTATTTCAATTCCATTCGTATCGACCCTGACGCGCGTCTGGCAGCAATCACGGTACTTTTTATGTCAACCAAGAGTACGTCGCGCCTTCTTTCCCACCACCCATCTCTTGAGTGGCCCGCTAATCAATCCACAGATGCGCTCTCCACATCATTTTAAACGACACGCAATCTTGTGCCGACGCGTTGAACGAGTTTTACTCGATCGGACCATTCCCAAACCAGATTGACGCCAACGGTGACCAGCCTCTCGAGTCCTCCCGTACTCGTCCCTACCATTACCGAGCTTACAACCTCATGGCTCTGATCACCAACGCCCAGATGGGTGACTTTGTTGGTCTTTCGCCTTCTGCTTGGGAGAGAACTACCTCCTCCAACGCAACTCTGATCGACGCCCTCACCTACGCCATGGCTCAGAACTATACCGACTCTGGCGAAGAAGGTCAAATCAAGATGCTCAACCCTGCGATCGCTGCCGTTGCCTCCAAGTACGGCGACGACGACGGCACCTACGCCGCCTTCTTGAAGCAAACAGACCCCTACTTCCCCGGCCAGCCGTACTTTGCCCTCAACGAGGGCTTGAGCGACGCAGGCATCAAGCAGGGTCTGTTGGAGACCACCTATGGGTCTGTGCCAGCGCAGCCTACGGTCGGCTCTGGTGACCCTGATGATCTCATCCACAGGAGAAAGAGAGAGTGGAAGCCCAGAGGTACTGGGTGGCCCAGCGCTGCGCCCACACCCGCTCCATAGATGGAGATAATGAGGTATTTTGTGAGGTTTGGACAAGGATCAGAGCATTCTTTGCGAGAGAGTGTAGACATGACTTCGGGCTGCGTGCTTTGTTTTGCCGTTGCCCTATTGCCATTGTGCTCTCGAGGCGTGCTGGCTTCAAAGACTGAAAGACATCTATTAGATTTCGATTTCCCATGGTGTCGTAGGACGGACACTTACCTTTGACCTTTTTCTTTCTACCAACCTTGGACTTTCTTTAGGGTGTCCACATTTAATCATACAAGGCCGGGCATTTACCACCTTTTGTTGTATACCAATCTTGACGTCGTAGGAGGACGACACACGATGCACTTCTGTAGCATACCATCAGCGATAGTGCGAAGATAGTGTTGGGGTAGAAGAACAAAGCTCTACGCTGACGAAAGCAGACTGATCGCTCACGGCTTTGTGGATTCTACTTTGAAGGCCGGGGGCCAATTTGGGAGTTGGCATTGAAGGCTAGTTTCTGACCGAGAGGTTGATTGCTGGGTGCGATTGCCGCAGATCCGTTATTATACTGGTAAGCATGTGCCGTCATGCACCTGCGCTCCACATACTTGGTTTGGCTACACTTAATGGTAATATTACAATCCTGCGTGGCTTGGGACACCGCTAGGAGTCGGGCTAGCCAATTTGTCCTCGTCTCTGCGACGGTTGTAGGATTGAATGATGGAAAGACATTCGAGCGGTCGTGATATGTGCGAGCATGGCATTGGTAGGCCTCAAAAATGCGCAAGTCACAGGATTGAGCGTCAGTCGTTATTTGCGAGGCCATTGATAGGGTTTGGTCTGGACTGGTCGGGGGCGATATCGAACCTCGGTACGAGACTGCGGTGCCATGTCGGATGGCCGTAGTTGCCAGGGTAATGGAGAAGAGTTGTCGGGGGGATTATTATGGAGCAGTACATGTAAGAAGAAGGATGGCATGCATGGTGTTTTTCTCGAGATCCCTCCCCGACGCACCGCTCATCGGTTGGCGCCCAAGGGATGCCCGCTCGCGGCAACATCACACGTACACGCAAAGTGACACTTTACATATACTAGCCCACGGTCGTCCTCGCAGGGCATAGCATGTGCGTCTCGACATCCCATGGTATGCATATGATAGAGCAACTGCGTCAGCCATGGTGGGCGGACTTCGTGGCAAGAGGAAAAGGAGGCAGATCTCCCTTGGCGTTCGCATTGGACGATCAGACTAGACCATGGATGGCCTGTGTCTGGCCAAGCACCGGTAGGCATGCATCTGCCCACGATACTCTAGACCGGCCATTCCAGCATCGTGGTTCGAGACTCATCTAGTGGCGGACATGTCCGGTACCGAGTATGGTGGTAGAGGGCCTGACCTGACGCGCCTGATATGCAAGTCTATCCTCGACAATCCAAGAGCCATCCAGTACTGGCCACGTTCAAGCTGCCTCTGATCCGGCCCGCTCCTCTCCCACAGACCCTCACCCCTGCTAGACCAGACTCAGACTGTGATTGGCGCAGACCACGCCGACGGTCACTATGCTCCCGGACCAGCCATCACCAACCGTCATCAGTTCCCGCAACCTTCAATCTACACTCTCTCATCCATCGCAACATACTGTCTCTTGGAATGATGATGGACAGTGCCTTGTGTTGACCACAAAGAGAATATACGTATCTGTAAGCGATCAGAATGATATGCGTTCAAACTGACTGACCTGTTTTTGCCAGACCCCTTATCTTGCCACCAGGCGTCCAAAGCCAATCCGTCCCCTGGATGACCGGTCAATCAAGTCGATCCTGAAACTGCAAAAAAAGAACCCCGTCAAAGTGGAAGACCAAAGTGACGCGCCATCACAGACAAAGCGGGCCAGACGCTCTAAGCGCCCTGCAGGAGGAGAGATTGAATGGTGGACAGTCGAGGCCCAGGTGAATGACTTCAATAGGAAGGAAGCTTTTGACAATGACGGTACGTGCTCGTCGCTGTTACGCGGCGGCCCCCAGACTGACACCAGTGCAGTGCCGTCGCTGTGTGCTACCATCGGCGGAGAAGGCGATCCTCTACGACAGGCTGTATGGTCGCCTTCCGGCATAGCACCTTCAGGAGGGTAAGTATCACAAAGAGGGCTTTTGCCTTCCGTATTGGCTGACAGTATTGGGATAGATGCCTTATGTGTATTCTCACGGGCTCTGGTCGAGCTTTGATATTTGCGCCTGATGGTGATCCTCAAGCTGAAGCTTGGTTGGAGGTGAGTTGCATCATACCCGGCAGCTGGATCTGATATTTTCCCAGATCGAAGAACTGGCCCTATCATCCCGAAATTCAGCATCACCGTCTTCATCCCCGCCAGAAGAGAAGATGGATCCACAGGAAGATGATGTTTTGGGGTGGCGGTCGACTTGTGCGTTCACTGTCGCACTTCCGCTATCAAGTTCTGAAGACAGTCTGCAGGTATCGCTTGGTCCAAGCACATCCCTTCTACAGATATGATGGGTGTCGATGGTAGTGTCATTGCCGTTGCCAACCGATCCGGCAGTATTGCCCTATGGACGTACGTTACCCAGCATCGGCTTTGTACCCCGCTGAACTTGACAACTAGATATGCCACACAAAAGACATCAACACAGCTGGACTATTTAACGATATGCCCAGTGGGATCTTGGTCAACACAGATGGCATGGTCGGAATGGACGCCTCTTGACGAGGACACATGTCAGTGAATACGCTTAATCCTAGGCTCCCCTCTCTGATCTGCAATTTGCCCGTAGATAAGTCACGCCTGGCTTTCTGTGTGTCTGACGGATCTATCAAGACCATTGACGTGACGAGAACCGCCAAGGCTGGACGGAGCAAAAGAAAAAGCTGGGAATTTCAGAGGGACGATATAACGACTCTTGATCACGGAGATGGGCGAGTGATCACCTCGCTGAAATGGATCAACGTGAGCTCTTCCGATCAAGTTGCATGACTACTAATACACTCGAAAGAACGTCCTCGTATGGACGAAGGCAGGCACAGTGCATATGCTGGCAGATGACGAGAGCCGGAATATCTCCTGGCGGGGCTTTCGTTCATTTGGACTCGCCAGAATTGGTCACTGGGCTGGCGCAAGCCCTTACAGCCAAGTCATTAGTGAGTGCGAGGAAAGTTTTACGCCCTGTCACTAACGACCAACAAGGTATCGAGCTGTTGAACCCTACCACGCTCCTTGTTGTTCAATCCTCTCTTTCGACACACCTTATACAGAGCTTCGACTCCTCGCCGGCTCTGGTCCCTGTCACCGAGCCATTGCAGGTGGCGCTTGACGCACGAAGAATATCGCTGGAGAACCTGGATACCGTACCGGCTCCTCAGCTAGACGGCTGCGATGGGCTGGAGGAAGATGGGTGGACCACGCATACGTCGGGATGGGCGCGGGTGGGCGATTGGGGTAGGAGCATGATTTGGGCGACTGAGTGAGATATCTATCTCCAATCATGGTTGGCATACACTGACATTCCGAAGATTGACGAGTTTCCAGACACTCCACATAGAGAGCGAAGCGCACCGCTATGTGCACCTCATTATGGCCGAAATATGTGCTTCGACGGTTTCGGACGAGGCCTTCACACATGCACTCAAGAAGACCTTGCGGAACCCGCGTGTCTGTGAGTATCTTCGAGGCCAAAAGAATCAGCGCAATCACTGACCAATCATCGGCCAGTGGTTCACATCTCTCCGCAATATGTCCTCATGCCATTCATGCTACACATGCTCACATTGTCGCCTTCCGACACCCTCGCAGCCGATGTGCAAGAACTCGTACTGCTGTGCCTACAGAGGACGGCCGAGTATGACTCTACACTGGCGTCTCAGAACATTGTCGTCGGCCTATGGAACAATTCGTCGCTCAATTCGCTCCGCCTTTGCTTGGTTCTCACCATCTGGTGTAGTGTGAGTCTCGTCGTCAAAGATTTTCGCGCTGAGAGATAAGCCTAACAACCTTCGCAGTCGATCTTTGATCAGTCAACAACCGAATTTCAGCTTTTGGTCTCGAAGCTATCGAAGAAAATCCGCTCGTATCTCATCACCCTGAAGCTAGCGTGGTTGAGCATCACAATCGATACACATACGTCTCTCGGGCCCTTCGACCGACGATTCATCGCTCGCCTTATCAAACGCGTTCAAGAACCATCGGACCCGAGTGGCATCTCCGCGCCGGCCGACACTATCCAATCTAGTGCTCGGAGTCTGTCAACTTTGCTGGGCTGGGATCAAGATAGCGAGGCATCGGCCGATGAGCGTTGCCCCATTTGCATGGCCGAAGGCGAAGACGGCGGCGTGTGCAAGAACGGACATTCCATGCGTGAGTTGTTTCGGCTTCTAGCGAAGATAAGGAAATGGCGCGCACGTCAATACAATTCTCGTTGGACAATTACAAATGGGCGCCTTTTGAAAGCTGAACCAATGGGAGGCGACGCATTTCCCTCGACACCCCATGTTCTCTTGCATTTCTTCACATCACATACAAAATGCATGGACCAAGCTGACTTTTTTCATAGCTGAGCGCTGCTCTCTGACGGATCTCCCTATCACGTCCGAAACGCCCCGTGTCTGTTCAATCTGTCTGGCGCCTGCTTTCACGAACCACAGCAGCGGTGACCCCATGACTCAACATGGCGTCAATGGGCCGACACATCAAGATACGGTGGTGCAAATGGTGTTGGATAGTGCCATCGGATGCGCCATTTGCGGTGGCCGATGGATCACGAAAAGCAAAAGACGCGCGTTGGAGTAGAGGTCAGAGACCGGAGACCGAAGAGTTGCGAAGCGCGAATAGAGATAAACCTTATCTATAGTGCGTTGGTTTGCCGAGGCAAAGCCCGTGGCCCGTGGTCGATCGCCGTGGATGAGACTGACCAGCCAATGGCGATCCACGTATATGCATTGATCGTCTGTCCTGATTTTAGACGAACCAATCCCGGCCGTTGAGAATGTCAGCCTCATTTCAATTAAGATTATCAGCGAGGCTCGCTCAGGGCACTGAAACACACTTTCACCGATAAGAATTGGTACATCATGCGTGCTCTGAGTTCAGTTGTAAGAATCGGCGTGATATCTCGAATGTCCAAGCGAGAACGCTCGATTTAGTCCTTCGGGTGCTCGCACACTCGGAAAGTAGATTGGTGGCCTTGGTGAACGTGGAGGGGCCAATGAGATTGTCCCAAATCGAAACAGCGATGTATGCGAATCGGTGTCTGCTGGGTTATCATGGCAGCTATGGCCGAACGCCTCAATTATACCTTACAACTTCATGGTGAACAGGTGAACTAATCGGAGAGACACGTCATTTCATATCGGACGAGTCTCATCGGCCGTAGTGTCCTGCAGCTCCTGCCCTTGGTGTGCCGTCTGCCCGTCTGGGCAATCTAAGACTGAGTGACAAGCGCATGGTATAGATGTGGTCAGCATGTCTGTCGTCCGATTCATACGAAGGTCAAGGCTGCTGGACCGGCTTTTCGACTGTCACAAATACTTTTGAGCCTCGGCCAGTCGAGCGAATGCCGTGCGGTGTGCTGACTCCAATGTGATATGTGCATTGGACACCCGCAGGCGGCATCTCATCATACGAAGCACATTCTAAATTAGCAACACGTAGCGACCCAGCTTCTCCATAATCGTGCTCCAACGCTGCTTGCCTTTCCCTGCATCAATACACCTCCACTGCTCCTCCAGTAACTCACGCTGCATGGGGCACATTATCAGCCAGCTTCCATCGGAGGGATCGTGTTCACAACTCACAGCTACTTCCAGGTCTTCGCAGTAGTCCGACTGAAACGCATCGAAAAGTTCACGAACTTTTTGCCGGACGTCCTCCTCACAAAAGACGCCAGCGATGAGTAAAGGCCAGACTAGCATGACAGCCATCCTCATGGCAGAAGCTTCCGATAGCAGCTCCAATATGTGATTGATCGAGTTGACTATCCGTGGAGTGGTATGTGGTTGCTCCAAAACCTGATACATCAGATTTTGCGAGACTTCATCTGGATGAACTCACATCGGCCAACAAAAAGACTACACCAGCATACTTGTAAATGTAGTCTCCACACTACGTCTTTTGATCAGCAAGCAGCTGTCAGACCGAATCTGTACTAACAGTGACTCTGGCATTCTGCGGCAAAGCGTTGAGACTGTTTCCCCAGATATCAAGCTCCAACAGAAGACAGTGCGCTTCGCTCTCAAAGTGCTGTGTCACCTCCCACATCTCTCGCGTTTGGTGCGAGAGTGAGACGCCCAACCGTCGTTTTTGAGAGTCGACAGAGACAATCTATGTACCCAGTCTCAGCCAAACACACACTTGTATATGACTAAACTTACTCTTGCCATGAGATCAACCATGGCTCTGGAGATACCGAACGACCGTTCGACCGATTCCCATTCCCAGCGTGTCTGAGAAGTTTCTACGCTGTCGAACCACCATGAATCAGAGTTGCCCAACAGAGATGGCTCCTTTCCAGTCACGAAAGATGCTACAATGGCTTTAGCTTGTCCTCGTAGGGTTAAGGGCGTGACCGGGCGTACAAAAGACATCGTGGGTTGCAAGGTTCTCCAAAAGGTAGCGCCGGGTGAAGGAATATCCAGGACCCTGAAGCATTGCCTGAGCTCCCCCTTTCTTGCTGATCAGGCTGAGAGCAAACTCCAGATTGTCTCGCCATGATGAGTCTGCACTGATTACCTGTGATGTGTCAGCAGCGTGCGCCGACACAGAAAATGACGACGAACATCTCGGATGCAAACCAAAGTGCACGCTGCGAGGATGCTATCCACTGATGTTGGTTAGTCGACCAATGGCGTATAATATCAAATTTCCAGCTCACATTGTTCATCTCCAGTCTCCGCTTTCGCAGCGAGAGTTATGTTTGCCAGCGCCGCTCTCTTGAACTTTTTGCCCAATTCTTTCAACTTTTTGCGCTGTCCTTCCCATCCAACGCCCAGCTCCGCTCGCCCAACTGCATCAGAAGTCTCGTGCGTAAAGTGCGCTACTCCCGTACTAAGCATGCTCATCCGCACCGCCGCACTCGCTGCCGAGTTCGTATCCAGTAGTCGGCCTGGCGTGCAGAACGCGAGCAGGGGATTTGGCCCAATATTTCCCATGGTGACAAGAATTCGCGAGGCGATATTGCAATAGTGGTGAAAGAGCATGCGGGAAGTGGGAGAGGGGAAGGCGTTGGACAGAACGTCGACGATGCCGAAAGTCAAGGAGTTGTTGGAGAGGTTGTGATCGCGGTGGGAGGGGCCGAATTCGAAAAGGGTCTCGTCCGTATCATAGGCACTGTGTCAACCTCATCAGATGAGCACATCGCTAAAGCATCCCGGTAACTCACAACAGTATTGATTCGACCAACTGCAATCTCGGGTGAGGAGGAGGTGGCGGAGCACTAGGAGTGCGTTCTTTGGACTGCTCTTGAGAGTTGTGAGCATGCTTGAGCAAGCGCCGATTTATCAACAGGGACTTGTTCAGGTCTCCAATATGTGGCTGATATGGCTGAGACATAGAGGAAGCGCGATGGACACCGGTAGATGAGGGTGGTTTCGATGCCGGACCCACAACGGGGATGAATTCGTCAAGAAATGAGAAATCTGTCGTCGCAATCTGCTACAGCTGATTAGTTTTATTACACTTTCAGTCAATGATCTTACATGTTGCACCGCTGACTCCATGTCAGGTGATATACCTAGCCCACTCATATCAGCCTGAGGAGATATTGAAGCGTCTCCCAAAGCGATGCGAGAGGACTGGCTGCTCGCGAAGGTGTCTTTTCTTCTCACCTCGCCCTCAGCTATATCCAGACGGCTTGCACTGCTGGGATTCACCAACGTCGCAGAGTCGACAGGCCCAGCGGTCGTTCGCCGCAAATCATCCTCAAGTCGAAGACGAGAGGTCGTCCGCGCGGGCTCTCCATTCAGCTCAGCTGGCACAGATTCACGGCCACCAACACTCTTTCGCTTGGTTCCTCGGGTCCCCTCAGCTTTTGGTGACGGATAAACGCATTCTTTTTGTGATGCCACACACCGAAGACAAGCTGGGATGGTTTCGTCGCATTTGACCTTCTTTGAGCGGCATGGGGTGCAGCCAGTAGTCGTGCGGGTATACCTGATCTTGCCTTGCCCTGTACTGGTACTTGCCTGTGGCGACGTCAGATACATATTGGCGCGGCAAAGATGGTCCTCTTTACAGCATGTTCGAGAATACTTTGCGCTCTATTCGCGTCAACAATACGCCCTGGACGGTCTCGGAGTCAGTACAGGTCTTGGCTGACGTAGCACCCGTTCACTCACTTGCCTGGCGCGATACCTCTGCGAAATCGAGATGGTGGGACATAGAGGCTTGAATACAAATCGTATCTTTTATAGCTGTGGTAACGACATGCCCATTCGCGATAAGATTGTTGCCCGGTCTTCCGTCCTGGCTCGACACAAGCCGCTTGTCGCAGGCCGCCATTACATTTATTAAGGATTTCAGAATTCAAAATTTGATTCCGTCGCACCCGTTTGGCCACAACTCATGCAGATCAGGTCATACAGCCTTAAAACTCGCGCAGCATGTAGTAAGCAGCAGTTGGAACACACCTGTACTGACAGTTTTGTCCTACATCCAACCGTTGCCTATATAGGCCCAGAAAACAATTTCGCCAGACCATGTCAGTCAGGAACGGCGATTTTTCGTGCTGAGCCGTGCCTGCAAATGAATTCTGCTACGATTTGGTCGTTTTCGAGCTGGACGCCAGCGGCTCTACAGCATCCCACAGAACACGTAGAGGATTGCAGAGGGTGGCGTTGGATGCAGACGTATCTCGTCTACCATAATGCCAAGTAAAGGCTTCCGAATCGTATGCATGAGCGAGCAATAAGCTGAAAGATGCGACGGAATCAAACGTTGAATTCTGAAATCCTTTATAATGGCGGAAGACCGGGGTCAGGGGCAGGTTCCGTACTGAGTCGGAGATGGCGGAGATGGCGGAGATGAGCGCTCGCCAGCGGCCAATACAATTTGTGGGTGGAGTACCGCCGTGTAGCGGCCACCACCGGCAACGATGCACCCGGTGATTTGCCGGTGATCCACTTACTCGTACTGTACTCGTATCATTAATAGTTGTGCAGAATATTTCCTGGCTTGTTCACTCGCACATCTCTTCGAATACACCGATCTACTCCATCTATGAGCAACATCGCTGCCGAGATCATCCTTCACCCCAAGGTCAACCAGACCCTCGCTGTTCTCGCTACAACAGTCGGCAGAGACAAGGTGTGCCCCAATCACTCATCTGCGCAGTATCTGATGACTTACTCCGCTCGATACTCAGGTCACAAGGCTTCTGCAGTACATTGCTAGGCTCTTAGCATGGTCTCTGTTGCATCGTGGGAACGTTGAAGAGGCTGCTCGTTGGAACGGACTCAAGGGTGGCCTCGCGAATGGTAGAAAAGGTGAATTAGCACTGCGATGCCATTCGCAATACATTGCGTACGAGTTTGACTGACAGCCATGGCCTAGTTATGCGCCTGTTCCGTCCTGCCGAGTTCCTGCAATCAGCTATAAATCTCGCCCAGAGGCCTGTGTGAGCGAACGCGCTTCGGAGACCCTGTCGGCTTGCTGATTCGAATGGCACAGCACCACCTTGAAGGGTCCTGCCCAGGTCGCCCACATTGCGCAGATTGGACGCCAGATTGGCTACGCAGGCTTCCATACAACGGACATGATCACATGGCTGTCCTCCATCCGATTCCTCAAGTATGACAAGCTGTACGTCGCATTCCTGCTCTCTTCCAATACCTGCTGGCTGATTATGATCCCCTACAGCAAGACAGACCGTATACAGCGACTCATGTATAAGTTCTGGTTCGCCGGTGTCCTCAGCTCCTTGATTTCATCTATTGCCTCACTGCTTCGGCTTCGCGCAGACTCTAGAAGGTTTGCGCTTTCGACCGAAGTCGCGAAGAGGGAAGAGAAGGAGGGCAACTTGGAAGCTGCCTCGAAGGACGCGTCGGACAGAAGAGAGCGTGGCAGGGCTTTACTCGCGTGGGTCGTCTCGATGGTGAATGTTGGGAGATGTACTAATACAATGGCCCATAGTCAACGTGAAACGATCATCTCGCAGATCCTCAGCGACTCCTTGGACATCTGGATTCCTGCTACCGGTCTTGGACTTGCCAACTTGAGCGACGGAACCTTGGGTCTCTTTGGGTGAGTCGAACCGACCAATGTCTGCACAATAGCTCACGCGAGCACCAGCGTCGTCACGTCATGCATGGGCGTCCAGGCGCAATGGAACAAACACTCAGCTGCGGGTGTGAGAAAGACCAAGTAGGATGGTATTGAAGCGCATATATATCAGTGGGGTCGTTTCTGTGCTGAGGGGTGACAGGTGTCTTGTCGACTTGTCCTGTGATGTCGGCGTACTCTACTGTACGAGTACATGGGAGATCGCAACATTGTATGAAGTGTATATGTATGTGACATATGTTGCAAAGCAAGGTCACAGATAGACCGTACATAGACGTGCAGCTTGTGAATCTAAACGCTGTATAGATATATCGCTCTCTCTCCCCTCTGATATCCGTTGCCACAAGCGCTCAACCATTCGGCGACACCGGCGGCCATTCCGCGCGTGTTTCTGGTTTCTCTATTACGTCTCGTCCTCTTGTTCTTATTGAATGGCCTCCTCGCCTTGCATTCCACCTTGAAATCCATCGTTTCAACCTCTACATCTTCCGCTCAGAAGCGGCTGCCCTCTACGGCGCCCTCACATACCCACCAATTCCCCGCGCCACCCTGGCGCCACCTCAACCCCGGCCCGCGAAAAATAATACAGGAAGATGTTCGGATTCGGTCGTCTGGGACACATCGCCTTTGATCTGGTGATCATCTCCGCCCTGCTTGCCGGTGTCAAGAAGTCCACTGGATATACGTAAGCTTCGCTTGAGTTCGTGCTTCGCTCTGTCACAGGCTGATCCAAAGCATTTTTGTCGTCTTTGATAACGTCCCTACCATCATCGACCGACATCAACAGCCTCAAAATGACCCTCTTCACCGACTCTGCCCTGAGATCTTTCATGGACTCGTATCTCGCTATGGGTGAAACCATCTTTGGCATGTTCAGCGGGTATGCTGTCAACTCGAGGTACTTTAAGAGGGAGATTGAGTAATAAAGGGTGGGGTGAAGAGGAAGATGGAAGCCGCTGTGGTCCCTAGTGATGATGAGAGGAAGGGATGATGCTGGATGCTTGCTTTGCTTTCTTGACTCTTGTGACTTGTTGTTGTAGGTACTTGTCATATATGTGACTGGGGTGTCCCATCTGACCCAGCAATAATAACCTATCGTGTAATATTTGGCATTGTGCTATGTGGTACTAATCATATTTCACTCTCCCCTTCAGTCGCTGTTCGACTTGAGCTATCATCTCGGACTTCATCATCTGATTGGGTCAGATCAATTACTGTCGCTGTCTCCGTCTCTGATGCCACGAAAGACGAGGAAGTGACACTCTCTGTACCCGTTGCCGTCTCCGGCTCATCAAGCAGCTTCCTTCGTTCGAGCTCATCCCATTGCTTCCTCTCCGCCTCGCCCTGCTTCTTCTTTTCCTTTCCGTCCTCCACAAGCCTTTGGATATCTCGCTCACCCGGGGAACCCTTTTCTTCCAGTGGTCTCCGACTGGGCTTTGCGCGGGTCTTGACATGGCGTTTGGGCCGACGGAAGAAGGAAATCATTACACATGCGCCCAAGGAAGAAGTCAAAGTCAGGGCCAGAGAGATGGGAGGCAGAAGTATCAAAGGGGGTAGGGGATAGGTCGTGATCAACCATCTGTACACTATCAGTTCTGCCGGACGGTGCACTTGTTGCCAAATTACCTGATACCAGCAGGGCGAGGTATCAGCCGCACGATGATCCACCCCGTCGTCTTGATCTCCCTGCCCCGAAGACTACCCGTGCCATCTGCAAAAGCATCCTCCCGACCTATACTGACAAAAGCCGATCCCACTCCAGGACCATGAGGTCCATTCGGTTTCAAGACGACACCTTCCATCAAATTTTTATTGAGCGAAACGACATTGCGAGCTCGGGCAGAGCCGACAAAGCCAGCTTTGAGCCTCCTTTGGCGGGTCTTTTTATCGACAGTGTCGCCGTAGCCGATCAGGCGAGACGGGCAGAACGAGCGGAAGGGCCAGGGGATAACACATGGTGGTGCGAGATGCGTAGGGAACGCTGGGAGAGGGAGGAGCGAGGTGGCGAGAGGGCCAGGTGCTAGAGACTGATATTCATATGAGTATGGCCCCTCGCGGTTATGACACAATTGACTCACAGGCTGGGCTGCGCTGAACAGGACGAGGCTTGGGTCTGCAGCACCTCGTAGCTCCAAGGAGAGCATAAAGTTGTCTGCGATTGCAGTGAGCAATAATTCGGGGAGTCATGGCTTGGTCTGCCTACCTGTTTCATCCGCCCCATTCGTGGGTCTGACAAGCTCCATTTCCACTTGCACATCATATCTCAAGTCTTCTATAAGACGCTTCGGAGGGATGGGGATCGTGACATGAGGTAGTCTGTGGCTCTTGGAGCTGTACTCGCCCTTGTCAGCTTCGTCTGACGTGGGCCTCATACTTTCGCTTACCCGTAGAACAGCCAGCCCTCAACCTCGATGGGTCCGCCGGCCGACCATGACCAGAAGAACGCTCCGACTACTAATACCGAAAATATGGCAGACGCAAAGGCGAGAAACAAGGCAAGGACGACCTTTATAATAAGTGACACCGTGACTGGAGAAGTGACTGCTTGCCTCATGATTCGGATGGAGAATGTTATACTGCTGGAAGTGAGCTGACATCTCGCGAGCAGGAGAGCACGTACGGAGTGACAGAGAGTCGTATGAGAGCTATGAGAAAGTCGAGGAAGTCTGTGCCGAGGGACCTGCGATAGTACCGCTTGTCGAGGTCTGCCTGGGAGAAGCGGTGGTCTCTGGGCGGGGGCATGGCGGCGGCGGGCTTCCGAGTTGGAGAACGAGAAGACCACAGCTTAACTGTACATCGCTCCTCCCGCCGTCGCGTCCGTCGGCCTCGGTGACGTAATGGCCTACATTGTTGATGATTGCCGGCAACTGCGAGCAGTCATCTACAAGTACATCTCCACAATGCCCTCCCCACAGGTCACAAAGATCCCCCCCAGCAGCTTCGTGCCCAGAGACCACCACGGCCCACAACAGAACTCCCCCGCCAATATCCCCGGGGGCATCAAGCCCAGATACTTCAAGAACCCGTGGCCCTCATACCGGACTGCATCTCTCAAGGATGCCTATCAAGCCTACCAGAGAGGTGCCGCAATCGCTCTCCACCCATCACAGCTCAGGGGAGTCGCCAAGCTCGAAGGCAAACAAGACTCGGACGTCGATGACAGCGAGTACGAGCTGGAACCAGCTTGGACCGAGTCCGATTCCATCATGCCCAAAAAGATATATGTCAGGCCCGAGTTCGCCCGGGTAGGATCGGGAGATGAGCGAGAGGACTGGAGAGATCCCCCAGTCAAAGTGGTAGAGCCGACCTGGGGCGATGGGTCTGATGGACGAGAAAAGGTCACTTGGCTCGGTCATGCGGGCGTTTTGATTCAGATACCGTGGAAGACGTCAGAGAACCCGGATAATAAGAGGAACGGCTCTTGTGGTATACTGTTTGACCCAATATTCTCGTACCGGTAAGCTCGAATCCTGCTGTCTGCGTGCGCGTATGCTCATCTCGATCTAGATGCTCTCCAACGCAATACGCGGGGCCAGCGAGGTACATTGACTCTCCCTGTACAGTTTCCATGCTGCCCGAGATTCACGCCTGCTGTATCTCCCACGACCACTGTACGTTCCAGGGACAGAGCGCGTATTGCTGCTGATTGATGTAGATGATCACCTGGACTACTACACAATCATGGATCTCTGGAAGTACCACCAATCCACTATCCACTTCTTTGTGCCCATGGGTATGTGCATTTGGGACGGATAAGAGCATTGGCTGATACCTCTGAAGGCCTGAAACAGTGGTTCACTTCTTCCGGCATTCCTGCGTTCCGCGTCACCGAACTCGACTGGTGGCATGAAACTGTCCTCACCTTCTCAGAAACTTCAGGCTTTGACTATAACCCCCACAATCCGCCTCAAGAGTCTGAAGATGCTCTCAACAAGACGCCAAACTTGCACACCCCGTCTGCTCTTGCGCTCAAAATTGTCTTCACTCCTGCTCAGCATCGATCAGGGCGAGGTATTCTGGATCATATGACGACTCTCTGGGGAAGTTGGTGTGTTGGGGTGGTGGAAGATGCGGACAGAGAGTATGCTCTGGAGCCTGGTATGAAAGATTGGAAGGGTTTCAAAGCCTATTTCGGAGGGTATGTTGCCGGTAATCTCCATCCATAGTACAGAATCTCACGGGACTACAGGGACACTGGCTATAGATATGCCACAGCGCCTGAAGAAGACGATAGCGCAATATGTCCAGCGTTTCAACGTGAGACGAACGTCTACATCATCGGTGACAGATACTGACACCAGCGGTAGATATCGGTGATCTCTACGGCCCCTTCACTTTCGCCATGCTCCCACTCTCGACTGGATCGTCTCTTCCATTCCTCCGCACTGTCCTCTCCCTGTCTCTGGACCAGTACCTCCTCACATCGTCGCTCCACTGTTCGCCCGCAGACTCACTAGAGATTCACCGTGTCATACAAAGTCAGCGGACTTTGGGAATTCATTGGGGTACATTCTGCGATGCCGACGAAGCGCGGGGCACAAGGGTGGAGTTTGGCAGGTCGAGGAGAGCGGTAGGTGTGAGCCGGGATTGGGAGGCTGAGGAGGCTAGAAATGGGCAATTCGTCATAGCTGACATTGGCGAGACTCTCACAATGCCTGCTCGATGAGGAGCACCATTCCCAAGAAGTTTGTTGAGATTTGTTAGTAACATGTAAAACCCATTATCATCGATCTCTGTACAAAACGAATGCATGAGGCTGGCGCTCCGGCTTACGACGACAAGGGGCGACAACAAGTTTCAAATGCAAAGGTCCATCGTCTCTCTCACGCTCTTCTTCCCTTCATTCTCTGCCTTTTCAAAGCCTCCTTCCTTGCCCTATGCTCTCTCTCCTCTCTTTCTGCAGCTTGATCCTCCAGTCTGGCTGCCCGGGCCGCCTTTCTCTCCTCACCCTCCACATCATCCATGCCCGCCTCCATATCACTCGAGGCGTCGCTGAAATCATCATCATATCGCCTCTGCGGTGCGCCACCAGGTCGACGGAAGAGCGCCTGGATCTCAGCAGAAATCGTGGAACGGGGAGGTTCTTCGAAGGATCCTGGTCGGCGTTTGAGAGGAGGCGACACGATGGAATCGTCCGAGTCGGTGGACTCTGAGCTCGTGGATCGACGGCCACGTTTAGGAGAACGCATTTCCGGGTTTCTCGCGCCAAGAGGCCCAGCAGTGGATTTGACGGGTACCATCTCCGCCTTTGACCGTTTGGCCTTGAGATCCCTTGCGACGTCGTCGACGCTCCTCCTATCTCTCGTATCTCTATCTGGGCACAGCTTCCTGAGCTCGTCGGGCTCTGCACCTGTCCGCGTCTTGAGACTCCCGCCGGGCACTCTGTCCTTCCCTGAAACTCCGCCCTGTGCCTTCGGCGGCTTCGACGCCCCGGTTTTTGCTAAGGGGGGTAGATATACGGGTTCCCGCGATTCCACAAGTGCACGAATATTGAACAGATTGTCCCCTGCAGACTTTCTTGCATTTTGAGCAAACAGGCGGGCAGCTCGTTCCTTTCGGGTTTCGGTGGCAAAATAGGTGTTGGAAGATTTGGAGGATTTGCCAGAGGCGCCAGACTTTGAGGGACCAGCTTTGAATGGAGTGTTCCGGCTAGGGGCAGAAGCACTCCCGGGCGCCTTGGCGGCAGCCGTCTTGCCAGTTGGCTATGCCAGGTAAGCCAACTTTATGCAGTGCAAAAATAACTCACCTTGCACGCAGGGGTAGATACTGGCCTCTTAACGTCTTCGGCAAATGGGTCGTACTCCACATGCGCTGCCTTGCTATCAGGCTTCTTGGTGAGCGACTCATTCATACGCATCAGCTCTTTCCGCCGAGCTTCTTTCGACGCTGCCTCTTGCTGTTTACGCCTCTGCACAGAAGAAATCAGTATATGAGCATCTCCTTGTCGCTATTGCGACACACCTCTTCTTGCTCCCTGGCAATCTCCTTCTCTCTCCTCTGCTTGATCTCCATCTCGCGCTTGATAGTGGCCTCTTTCTCTTGTTGCAGCTGCAAGGCGCGTGCCTTCATTGCCTGATACTACATGGCCGTGATAAGTTGATTTATATCGTGACTGAATAAGAGCACTTACGTCGGACATGATGGCAGTAGAGCGTACCGAGAAAGATAAGTCGAGAGGTTATTATTGGTTTCGTTCTTATCGGAGTTGAAGTTTGCTATGGTCTGGGGGCAGACAGCATGATTCTACAGACAGCTCCGAGCGTTGATCTTGTAGAGAGTTGTTTTCGAGAAACGAATAGTGAAGGCGGCAAGTTGAAAGAACAATGCAACTGCTACGCGGCGACGGCGGCCACCGAACGGCAAAGCGTGAATTTCCCATCTCATGATGTGACACCTTTCGGCCCGCTATGAGGATGCATGCACGTATGTAAACATTGCTTGACACTTGATGACCACAGCTCCAAAGGAAAGGTCATACAGAATAAGAGGAGGTCTGGTGGCGAGAGGCAGAGAAGCAAAAGAACTGCCAGAGACGGAAAGGCAAAAAAAAATAATGTGCCACGGCTGTGAGTCGAACACAGGACCCTTTCATCATGCAGAGAACACTACAAGTGAAAAATTATAACCACTAAACTACCGAGGCACAAGTGATACTCGCACTTATTTTATAACGCTATGTCCTGTAATCAAGTATATGACGCTCGCGTGTCGCCCCTTGCTTGCTCTTCGTTGTCGCGCTGACTTTCGACTTGCTTCTTCTGTTTCAGCTCATCGATCCACCCTTTCGTCAACTTCATCCATTCGTCTTTCGATCCACTGCCAGACGGTAATCTCTTTGAACGACAACACAAGGGACAAAACACACATCGATCAATATGGAACAGCTCCAACGAATGCTCGCGGGTGGCCGTGGTATGGGTGGTGGTGCCCCCGCTGCCCAGACGATGGTGGCCGACAAGTGAGTATATCTTTCTCATAAACTGGCTTTTGCTAATTTTATCTCTACTCAGCGGTGAAACTGTTCACATCTCTGCTCTTGCTTTGTTAAAGGTGAGTTCAGACTATCCAGCGCAGAGACAGAGGCTTATACGGATTTGGATAGATGCTCAAGCATGGACGAGCCGGTGTTCCCATGGAAGTCATGGGTTTGATGCTTGGAGAGTTTGTGGACGACTATACCGTAGGTGTCCTCTCAAACATACGATGATGAAGCTGACCGCTGGTCACTAGATCTCTTGTGTCGATGTCTTCGCCATGCCTCAGAGTGGTACCACCGTCACTGTTGAGTCCGTTGACCATGTGTTCCAGACCAAGATGCTGGACATGCTGAAGCAGACTGGCCGGTACGTCACGATCCCCAAAGAAAACCCAGTCATTGTGCTAACATCCACCCAAGACCCGAGATGGTTGTTGGATGGTATCACTCGCACCCTGGTTTCGGATGCTGGCTTTCCAGTGTTGATGTCAACACTCAACAAGTATGTCACCTTGTTCTACAGCATTCGTTGCGGTAGCTGACCCTATCAGTCTTTCGAACAACTTCACCCCCGAGCGGTCGCTGTCGTCATCGACCCTATCCAATCCGTACGAGGCAAGGTCGTCATTGACGCCTTCCGATCTATCAACCCTGCCACCATGGCCACTGGCCAGGAATCCAGACAAACTACCAGTAACATCGGTCACTTGAACAAGCCGAGTATTCAGGCTCTGATTCACGGTCTCAACAGGCATTACTACAGTCAGTACTGATACGCGTTTTTGGTGGCAATGCTGATGATTCGTAGGTTTGGCCATCGACTACAAAAAGACCGAAGCGGAACAAGGAATGTTGTTGAACCTTCACAAGAGAGGGTGGACTGAGGGGCTCAAGCTGCGGGACTTTGAGGAGATGAAGGAAGGAAATGAAAAGGCTGTCCAGGTGCGTGTGATCGACAAGTGCAGTAGAGCCGGAACTCACTATTCTTGCAGGACATGCTCAACCTCGCTGTCGCATACACCAAGTCTGTTCAAGAAGAAGCCACCATGACCGAGGAAGAGCTCAAGACACGGCACGTCGGCAAGCTTGACCCCAAGCGACACTTGACGGAGGCGGCAGAGAAGGCTATGGGTGACCAGGTGACCCAGAGTTTGGCCATGGGTGTTTTGGCCGAGCTGTAGAGTTAATAGTATGGTAGCATGTATCTACAGGGTGGACAAAGGATTCATACAACAGAGTGAGGCAGGCATAAGGGATAGAGGTGATCAGCTGCGACAGTGGCTCAAGGAGATTCCGCAGAATTGCGCGATGAGCAGATACAATATCAACTAGAATCACATCAGCAAACACATCTCGAGAGTTTTGACGCGCGACTCACGAAACCAACGACACCCGTCAAAGCCATGATCCTGATATTCTTCCACCACTGTTGTCTCCTCACAGCTCTCGCTCCTCTCCTGAAAGCATACGCTTGTCCAGCCAACGTATCTGTCTTGTCTACCAGCAAATCCAAACGTTCTCCGCGTTGAAGTATGGAATCAATGTTCTGGACCATGATGTCCTTACTGTTATACCATTAGTGAATAGTGCCAAGCTTTGGGATTGAACATACACGTTGTTGAGATCGGACTGGGCTTGACGGAGAGGATCAGCGGGCGGAGCAGTAGTGTACTGGTGCATGAGCTAGACAATTGAGTTAGCTTTGGCACAAACTTCCATCAGGCAGGCATACCTTGCTCAATTCAGACTCAAAGTCCTCGGCGGAGTGGGCCCCAGCTGAAACGATGTCGTCGCTGTCGTATTGAGCTGTGAACTAGGGGTGTTCTCTGTCAGTACTGATTTCTCGCCCGCATTCAAGCATGGATCACTCACCCTTCTCTCGAGGTCTGCAAGGAAAGCGAAAGGCATCCTCCTCCCTACAGAGTCGTCGGCCATGACAAGGTAGACTACGCCGTTAGACGAAACATAGTGGATCAAGCGGTCTTGCCAGACATCTAAGGATGATTGGTCAGTTAAGGGGTAGATACTTCATGCTATCAGGTACTTGCATGTAAGCTTTGAGTTGTTTGGGGGAATCTTTGAGAGAATAGTGATCTGGGCGGCTGAGGCGAGTGAGCCGGGTTAAAGGAAGAGATGGAAGGCTGGCTGACCTGGCTTGAGCTCTGCTGAGCCGGTGGCGTGTTCTACGAGGACGGTGGTGCCCCTTGCTATGAGTGCGTGGGTGAGAGACATGGCCTGTGCTTGGAGATGGTACTCGTACTGGGAATTGACTGGGAACCACAGTGCAGAGAGCATGCCACAGCCGGACTGCGGACATCCCCGCCCGGACACCGAATGCTCCCGCTAGGACGCGCCTGACATCCCAGCTCGCCGTTGCGTTGTTGTGCTCTTTCCACAAGCAGCAATCCACAGCAACGCCGCGAGGGGCAGCCATGGAGACACCAGCCACCAACGCACGCAAACGGCCGTCCACCTTCTCCCTCGCCCCCCTCCAAGCATCCCCACAGGAACCCCTCATTAGCTGGACACATGACCAGGTATTCAGAACGGCCGTCATGCAGGCGACTGAGAATGGCAAGTCACCTTCTTCCTCTACTCGACGCCCCATGCTGATGTTTGCCCCAATGCAGAGTCTGTCGCCTTGCCATCACCAACGCAGGCCCCTCGACCCATATCATCCGCATTCTCCTCCTCAGCCCTGTCCTCTAACGACGGCGGCGCTTCTCGACCTCGCAAACGAGCTTGCCGCAATAAACGATCCCTACCTCCTTGTTTGCGCACCAATATGACATCATCTTCATCGTCACACTCCCTGACAGATAGCTCGTCCGGCACAGCGGGCAGCTCGTCCAGCGGCCCGCTCCCTGGTACCAAGACGCAACTCGATCTGCTGCTCGAGCAATTCAAGCTACAGTCATCCCCACTGAAGCCCCAAACGGATCAGAAGAGCAAGTCAAAAAGAAGCAGGGGGAAGGAAAAGGAGAACGTGATTGGGAAAGAAAAGGAAGGCGAAGCATCTACCCTGGCGAGACGCTCGCGTTTGGGGGTCTCGTCGGAGAGCTTGGCCAGTGACTCTTCTCGATCGAGGTCCAGTGGGTCGTTTGCGAAATCAGCTCTTCAGCGCGATTCTTCGTCCTCGTCTATCCTGTCGGTCACTACCAACACTACTATGGCAGGCGCATCTTCGGGCCCTAGCGACAAATCTTGTCATCCACGTCCATCCCTCCCCCGCCCTCCTCTATCCCCTGCGAAACGAGGCCCTGTCCCACGCACAGGTTTGGGATCTCAAGGCAAGCTGGCTAAGCCTCATGGAATTCCTTCCCGAGTGTCGAGCAGCAAACCGTTCAAGACTCCTTTTCTCGAGCCCAGAGAGGGTCTGAGATCGAGCCCTCGCCGCACGACCGCTGCCCCGGTCCCTGGGCCCGCTTCCAAAGCGCCCATATCCTCTGTACGGGCCCCTTCTCCCCGATCCGCTCCCTCCAAACGATCGGCCCAAAGCCTGCATTCTCTACCCACCTCTGTAGACAGCAGCTCTCGTGATCTGGCTCCTGCTGAAGGCAAGGGAAGGTTCACAAATTTTGATGTGGGCGAGAATGATCCGGAGGGCGATAAGAGTTTCGATTCTATGGACGGATTTTTTGATGAGATGGGGCCAGAGGTCGAGATGCTTTTGAAGCAGTGTTGATGTCTTTCGCATGATTAGTCATTCGCGGCTTGGTCCGTTTTGCATAGCATACCATTTTCTGTGATAATTCTTGTTGTTGAGTTCCCATGCATGTACTGTACAACCCTACTTTCTACGGAACTTATCTACAACATCTATAACCATCGCAGCCGATGCTCGCATCACCTGTCCATCCATGACATGGCATCGCTGTACTGCCATTCGCCGTCCCAAAACCTATTCCACGATCAGTTCTAATCGTCTACTCGGCATTTATTGAGCGAAAGCTTACCCGGCTCCGATGAATCCACCAGCACCTTGCCATTTGGACCGGGGTCCAGTTAGAACCCAGTCAGGTATCTTCCGGGAGTCAGCGCTTGTAGCTTGGTACACTCTCATGTCACCCACAGGAACACCGGTCCGTAAAGGGAACAGTCTTGCAGCAAGTTCCAGCCCCAGTTCATCGTTTCCGGCCAGTAGAACCGAAAGTGACTTGGGGTGCGTTGGATGAGGGTGTAGCGCAATGATACCTTGATTTGCCGGTCGAATCAGCACATTTCTTTCGGATCCCAAATTGCTCACCGGCCCCTCGGTCGTAGACAACCCTATCCTTATCGATCAACATAACCCCTCTTGTCGGGAATTCCACTAGCTCATAAATCAGCTCCGAGTCTACAAGGACCGTTTGAATCACTCACATGGTATAGATTTTTGCGCTATCATCCATTCAGTGTATCGATTTTCCTCGGGTCTCCCAATGACCACCACGTTTCCTGGACCTATCTCCTGCTTGGCAGCTCTCTCGAGCCCTCTCTGGTGGCCGAGGATCTCGCAATCTATCCTGTGATAGACGTACAGATCATGAGCAATCCTCTTGGCCACAGACAAGTGCCTTGGGTGCTCGCCAGACAGTGAAGGAACTATGATACTGAATCGGGCTTGGGAAGACAACAGTCGGATCATCGGCCCGTTCGCTCGAGGAGGCGTAAGAGGGCTAATAAGGGAAGGTAGAAGGGCGAACTGTCCAGTGACGGTCTTGATATAGGTCTCGGTAGTGGCTGACGATCGGATCTCGATACGCTTGATGTTCATACCACGAATATCCAATGGCATCGAAGGTCCGTCTAACTTCCATTGCCGAGCGTTAACGTCCAGTCTGGCTAGTCTGGTGGCAGTAGGTCAGTCTATCGTCCGGCTAGACAGCTACGCTCCGAGCCGACGCCACTTACCTCCCGGGAACATCAAGTTCTACAATCCTTATACCTGCCCTGCCACCAGTCTCTTCAGGGTTGGCAGTCGTCAATGTATAGCCCCCTTTGCGCTGCTCGTCCCAAGTGGCCTTCGAAGGCAGCCCGTTGATAAAGTCGACCACTTTAGCATTGCGCAGCACATCATCCCACCAATGTTTCTCTCGAGGTACCTCTGCCACCGAAACCGAGCTTGTCGGCGTGCCAGCCCAGGATGAGATCAGAGCAGCATGAGCTCGAGAGTGGCGAGGCGGGACATTGTCATCCTCAGTGCCATGGACGGCCAGGATAGGTATGTCGGCAAGGTTAGAGGTGTACAAGTCGTTGTTGTAAGGCGTAAGAGAAGATGAGAGGATCCCCATAAGCGACGGGTCCGCATAATGAGTTGAAGTGCTAGACGTCCGTAAGCATATGATTCTGTGAGATGAAAGATGCGTACTAGTCCGAATAGGGAACGTAATGTTGGATCGTAAGCCATCCAGAAGCCGCAACAACTAGAGATCCATGTCAATGTGCTGCCCGAAAATGACAGAGGATGGGCTTCACCTCCAGTGACTCGGTCTGGATACCGAGCGGCAAGATGCCATGCTCCCTGTCCACCATTGGAATGCCCTATCAAGCTGTACAACGATGTCAGTCAGCAAGAGCCATCAGGCAAGTATACTCACACGGTCTCATCAGACAATGCCACTCCAGCCTTCCTCAACGTCGCCCCGGCAGCCTCTCGCGCCGACCAAGCATCTGCCATACTACTTCCATGCCAGTCCTCGCCCCACTCATTCTTCCCTGTCGGCAAGACAGACCACAGCCCTGGGATCTGAGGCCTCGCCTTCGCGAACGCGTCCCCAACAGCGCTATTCTTGAGGTCGACACCGGCACCGTGGAGGGCCAACAAGACGGGTGATGCTTTGTCGCCCTGCTTGGCCGGGGAAGGTACCACTACCAAGGCCTCAGAGACGCTGGCAGGGACCATATTTGGCCCAAATCTGGGGTCGACAGAAGGGGTTGCAAAGGTGATCCATATTTCTGAGCCCGGAGTTGCCTGGCCGTCCTCGCCAATTTCGGGTCGGCTGAAGGTGACGGTCGAGCTGACGGACTGGACTTTGCTGCCCGCAGTCTTGACCTTCAGATCAATGGTGATACCATTGGCGTCGGCTGGCAAAGGAGCGCGTTGGGTTATCTTTAGGGCCACATCCCGGGTCTGGCCTGAAAGGATAGTGGCGTTCTGAGGCAGCTCCAAAACGAGTGTGGTGTCAGGAGGCCTGGGTTGTTCAGACTGTTTGCTAAAAACAACCTTGCTTTCAACGCCCAAAACCTCGACATGAGATGTACCCTCTGCTACATTGATCCCCAAAGACGCCCACTCGCCCAACAGCCATCCGGCAAAGACACCTGGGAATTTAATTTGGGAATGCCTGACCCGGAAGGCCATCGTCTTCTGGGGAAGCTTTCGGGCGAGCTGGAGGTTGACCTTGAACTTGATCGTAGGTACGCCATCCGAGCCCGGATCACCGAATTGCCTGATATCGTACACTGCCCGAGCAACGACGATATACTTGCCAGGCGCAAGCAGGATCTGCCTCGCAAACCTTGACAGCTTTCCGGGCTTTGCACCTCCCGAGGAGGTGGAAGCAAAGTCGTAGCTGTCGCCTTGGTACCAAGTGACAGGCCCGGGATGGGTCGATTCGCCGGGGTCAGGAACGGGGATGAAGGCGTACTCGGCCAGCTGTATGGCGTCGATCTCGACGACCGTCTCTTGACTCTCGTAGACGGGTACCTCCAATGAAGATCTGAGAATTGTTTGATACTGCAAAGAAGACCAGCCGTGGTCGGCACGGAGTTGTACCCAGCTGCAGTCATGATCAGTTTTCTTGCTCGCGAACCCCGAGCCTTAGGACTTACTTGACTTCTGGGTACTTTACATCGACCCACCCATCTGCTTCTTCTTTGAATTGCGACCAAGATGTGGTACCTCCAGTGCATAGCTCGCTCGGCCACCTGTCGGCTGCATTTGCCGGCCGCAGGGCGAATTCGATATCAGGGTCCACAGCAAGAGATTCGGTGAACGCTGCAAGAGGTGATCCTATCAGAGGATACTCCCTAGTACCTCTACGGTCTAGGTCAGCCCCCTGGTAGATTTGGGGTCTCTGTAATTGACTCACATGGGGAACGGGCCGATGCCTTCCCATGATTGTATGGTGACTTTCTCAGGCGCCATCGTGTCGCCTCGGGTGATTGTAGGGTGAAGTGTTGATTTCAAGATGAGCGGTCCTTTGGACTGCTCCGTATGTCTGCTATCAAGTAGCAGAGGTGGTACAAGATTGACGTGGGATGGAAGAGTACCTGACAATACGGTGACCGGTGAGCCTGCCGCGGCGCTGGACACCGCAAGCGTCGGTGGACCGACCCGACTCTGATGATTGCTCATACATGCGTGAGGTAGCGTCATGCTCAAATCGTTCTCAAATCATTCTCGATGTACAGTCAATGCATCGACGAATTCATACAGTACAATCGGTTTCACCCCACGGCGACTTGAACATGCGCTGATCCAAGTACGTTGCCGCGCCATCCGTCATAGTCTACAGAACAAAGATCCTGAACAAAAGAAACATGAGACCAACCTTCGCATCGTCCTGACCGGCTTGCGACTTGATACTCGAAAGACTTGTGAGCTTTTGCGTCTTGCGTGTTGCCTCGCTTGATCTCAATCTTGAATAGACTTGCAGCCATCTTGCATTGCTTGATAGGACACAGATACGGAACGCTGATGGAGTGGGTTTGACTTTTTGTACAGATACTTTTGAGACGCTCGATATAGTTGAAGAGAGGGGGCCATCCTAGTACCTGGGGACCTCGGGAGGGGGAGGGTCAGAAGCATCGTAGTCTCGAGAGCCGCCGCTGGCACGAGGGGGAGGAGGGGCGTCATAGTCCCAGCCGCTGCTGCTACGGGGAGCAGGAGCGTCATAGTCGCGGGACGCACCCCCACCGCCGTTGCGAGAAGGAGAGGCTGAGTACCTGCTACGACGAGAGCTGCAAAGTGTCAGCCGGGAGCACGACAGCATGTGGACACTCACCTCCTTCGGTCGTCATAGTCGTAAGACTTGTCGCCGGCGTACTTGTCCTTGTGGTAGTCGTATTCATCACGCCTGCTTCGACCCTCGTAGGGGTCTCGGTCACGACGGTTATCGCGATAGCTGTCCCGCGAGCCGCTACCGTGGGTTAGTCGAGTCAATGATCAGGAGCTGGTAAACACCCACGAGTGATAGTCGTCTCTCCTGCCATAGTCACGTCGGTCATCGTACCTGCCGCCGCCCCGACGGTCATCACGTTGATAGCTATCGCCGCCATAGCCCCCCCTCTTGACACCCATGTACTGTCCGGGAGTCGAGTGATGAGGCTTCTGAGTGGCCGAGTAGTCAACTCGAATGTTTCGTCCGTGCAGGCTGAGACCATTGAGCTTGTCGATGCACCTGGTAGCGTCCTCAACGGTCCTCATAGTAATGAACCCGAACCCCCGAGATCTGTCGCTCTGCTGCCGATATCAGCGCGAGAAACGGGGCACGTCAAACACACGCACGCGCTGGTCGTACACAATGACGACCTTTTCGACATCGCCGTACCTCATGAACTCATCTTCGAGGTCACGTTCACGGGTGCGGATGGAGAGACCAAATACACCAAGGACATTGTTGGCTTCGACCTTGGGAGCCTCGGGGGGGCGAAAGGGAGCGGGAGCGCCGGATCCACCGCTGCTATGGTCAGCCATGTACGCTTGAAGATTGCTAGGGGCTCACTAGGGTCGGTCGTAGCCACCTCCTGTAGGTCTTCCAGCAGGAGCATCTTGGGGAGGGCACCTGTCTGCGGCTACGTCTCTGGGGGCCTCGTCGTAGTCGTACCTGGCGGGAGGCGGCCGAGCCGAGTACCGGTCCTCAGAGACGCTAGACCGCCTGGGAGGTGAGGCAGCTCGAGTGTCATAGGGGTCTCGGGCGGGGACGGGGGCGGCCAAGTCGGGGGGAGCGTTTTCGTAGGAGCCGGACTGAGACTGCAGACCGTCAGCGGTATCTCTGGGGAACAGGACAGACATACCATGATTGCGCGTTGAGTAACAGTGCGAGATGGGAACGAGTTGACTGAACCAGAACAGTGGAGGGACGGGATTAAATGTATCTCTTTTCTCGAGTATCTCCCAGCGGGGAGTACCGCTGGCCGGTACACCAATATCCCATTCGAAGTTCCCGTAGGTAAGTATGTGTGTTAATAACAGTAATATGGCTGGGTTTTGGCGGCGATTGTCAATTTTCGTTTTAGCGTTGGTATCGGCTGGAAGCTGTGCGCAGGCGTGTCCGCGTGTCCCGCCAACGCGTCGAGATGTGACGCGTCCGCCCAAGCCCTCTTTCTTTTTCGAGGCCTCGCTGCTAGTGCAGCGTCCATGCGTGCTATGATGCTGCCCCCCAGACACACATATATATACCCCTGCTTCTCCCTCCCCTCCCTCCCCTTCTGCATCTCTTCCAGCAGCCAGCAGCCAAACCCCCACAAGGCGCGACAAACAACGGACGCCCCTTAACAAATTGCCTCGTCCTCGTCACCAATCAGGGCAATTTCCCATTTCCCCAGATTTCCAAGCGGAATTGCGGCATCAAAGCGTTGGCGACCGAGCGCCGTAGCCCGCCCTCGTGCCAGCATGAAATGAAAACTATATAACACACGGCGATTGCTTTTCAATTCTCTTCATCCCTTCCATCCCACGTCGTTCTTTACTCCCTTATAACCCTATCACCCCACTAATACCTGCAAAATGTTTGCCCGATCTGCCATTCTCCTCGCCACCCTTGCAGCAGCAAGTGCTCAGCTCACCGTCAATACACCATTAAGTATTGAAGCTCGTAAAGCTCAGGCCACCTGCTAACACCCAAACAGGCCTCTCTCATCGAGTGCCAGCCCGCCCTCCTCTCTTGGTCCGGTGGTTCTTGTGAGTGTCGTTTCTTTCGCAATTCGATCGTCTCTTGGAAGCGAGTGTTTGCTGACTTGGCATCCGCAGCCCCTTACTACCTCTCCATCATTCCCGGTGGTGAGTCTGGCTCTGCCGCCCTCAAGGACTTTGGAGAGCAGTCCGGTACCTCCCTCACCTGGACCGTCGACATTGCCTCTGGCACTTCTGTCACTGTCAGGGTAGGTCACTTTTTTCGCACTAAACACGGGATCCGCACGCTAAGACATGTCGCAAGGTTACCGACTCTACTGGTGCTATCAACTACGACGATGTTGTCTCCGTCCAGTCTGGCTCCAGCACCTCTTGTTTGAGCTCCAGCACCTCTGCTTCTGGTATCACCGGCTCTTCTTCTGCGTACGTCGCCTTCCTTTGTCCTCCTTGGTCCTCTGTTGTTTACCTCGGGCTCACCTGCGTTTTCAGCACTTCTGGCGCCGCTGCCGCCTCTGGCTCTTCTTCTGCCGCCAGCTCCGGCTCTTCTTCTGCCGCCGCCAGCTCCGGCTCCTCCTCCGCCGCTGCCGACAGTTCTTCTACCGATGCCAGCTCCGCCCCCACCTCGTCTTCTTCTTCCTCCTCCTCTTCATCCTCTTCCGGCGCCATGGGCTTTGCTTCTGCCTCCGTCGCCGGCATTGCCCTCTCTGCCGTCGCTGCCGGTGTTGTCGCCTTCTTCTAAGCGCGATAACGAGCTTTTGGCCAGCCATGCCTTTTTCCCCACGGGATATCTAGATCGCCGCGATGTTTTTCCTTTTTGACTTGCAGGTATTATTCACGCATTGACGTCCCTGTCACGAACATTTTACCATTTTGAGCTGTTTGACGCTCCCGAGCGCTGTTGATACACGTCTCCTTTATGCAATCCTCTATCCGATAATGCAAACCCTCAGCCTCTCCACTATCAATCTTACAATCACTGAGCTTGAAGCCAGATTGAGTGATCCACGGTGCGTAATGCTGATACGCTTGCCATCCCCAGCAATCCCCAGCACTTGTGCCTCGGATGGCAGCGGCCCGAGTCGAGTTTCGACGTTTTCGACATTTATCATCCGCTGCAACCGTATCTATTTGCAAGCATCCCTGGGGTTTCAGGGTTGGCAACCTCCGCAGTGGTTTGACAGATACGGGGGCGGGGGTGGCGTTGGAAAGACAGAATGTGGACTGATGTTTCTTCCTCTCCTGCCACTGCGCACGGTCTGTACCTGCGGTTTCGCCAAACATCTTGGCATTTGGTCTATTCCAGGTAACATCGGTGTCGCAACTCGCAATCCGTCTTGAATCCGTCGACACATTATTTTCGTTATTGGTAGGAAGAAAGTTATGATAATTAAATAAATGTTGCGTGTAACCCGGCCGTCTCCCTTGTCTCACGTGTATGTAGTCTTTATTATAGACTTGTACGTATGCACATGACAATGCCGCCACAGTATCGTATCTACACCGCCAACGACCAAAACCACCTCTTTCAACCTTCCTTCGAGTTCATCTGGACTTCTCCGTCAGCAATCTGTCTGAGTGCTGCACTCGACCGCCTTGTCGACCACTTACGAGTTGCCGGCCAAGCTCACACCCCCTATCCCTTCATCATTCTTCATAATCAACAGTCTTCAGGGATCGCCGAGCCCTTGAACAGCTTCAGCCCTCGTTCATACTTTTTAGAAGGATGGAGACTCTTTCCAGCTCAGCGAAAGACAAAGCCAGGGAAAGTAGGATCAGCAGAGTCAATGTAGAATCTACTCTGGCTCATCAAGTTGGCCGAACCCCGTACCATCGGGATCACCGCTGGGTACGGAGAGAAAGGATTGACCTTTTCTGTAGAAACGATAGAGCCGTCAAAGACAGTGTTGATGATCGAGTGATGATGGAGCACTTGGCCTTCTGCCAATTGGCCTTGAGCGTAGAGCAGGGCCACCCGGGCAGCAGAACCGGAGCCACAAGGCGAGCGGTCAATCTGACCGTCGGCAAAGACGACGCAGTTGCGCTGAGTGAGGCTGCTTTCATCACTGGCGAGCTTGTCGTAAAAGCATACTCCATAGAGCTCGAGATCTCTATGACGAGCCTTGTTCCCCAGTACGGCTTTGATCTCACGCCCCAGAGACACAAAAGCGTCGTGATTCGTCTCGATGACCTTTAGACATATAAACTCTGTAGAGTCGACAAAGGCATAGAGAGCGCCTCCCCAAGAGATGTCGAGGGAAATGTCTTTACCCAGAGAGGGAAGATGCACAGAGAGCTGATCAACGACTTGATAGCTGGGGACATTGATAAAGTCGGCGTGGACTGGCTTGCCTCCTTGCGTGGTGACTCGGGCAGTCACACGGCCTGAAGGGACATCAATGACCACGTCTGTGACCCCATCAGACGGGGCCTTGACAAGGCCTGATTCAATACTCCAGAAGCCAAGGGCTAGGGTGCCATGCCCACAGGCAGTGGAGAAGCCATCCTTGTGCCAGAAGAGAACGCCGAGGTGCGCTCCGTCATCATTCGGAGGGACGATGAACCCGCCATACATGTCTGCGTGCCCCCGAGGCTCTTGGCAGAGGACACGGCGGAGGAGGTCCAGGGGGTGGTCGGGGCTGCTGAGGATGTTGCGGCGGCGGTCTTTGACAGTAGGACCCAGGGTGTGGCAGTGGGCCGGGAGGGTGGGGACGATGCGAAATGGTTCGCCGGCGGTATGCCAGTCGTCGGTGGACACCCAGTAGGGGGCTGGGGAGGACATGATGAAGGGGTGCAGGTATGTGATGGAAGAAAGATGGAGATAGATGTGTCGGCTTGTTGATAGGCCCGATGCCCAGACGACAGCTCGGCGTCGCTGAGAGTCATTTGTAATCAGACACCATGGGCTGTCCTATCGCCTGTGTCGCCCGGCCTGCACAAGTCTTCTTTTAGCGTTGGGATCAAGTACAACATCACATACATAGACATCTCTACTCTAGACGCAACCTATGCAGTCTGACTCGCCATTATATCCCTATACCACCGCACCGCACCATCACCTTGTCCAGCTTGATCATCCCTCGCCAGCCCGCCCTCCGACTCCATCAACTTTACAAACTCCTGCGCTAGCCCTATAGGCAAGGACTCTTGAGAAGCAAACTCGATGAGGGAAAAGGACTTTTCTTCGGACCCCGCGCCCTCAGCATCTTCGGGTGCGGGATTCAGGCGTTCCAAAGTGCGTGAGAGGATGGAGGAGGTGGAGAAGGAAGGGGTGTGGAGGACTTGAAGGGTTGAAGGAAGGGAGAGCGATGTGATTGAGGGATTGGTTTTACTTGGCAGGTGGGGTAGAACATCGACTAGCGTTTGCGGTGGCAGTAGAGCTTCAGAGCATCAGCTAGAGTCAAGAATGGTGAGTTAATGAAGACTCACCGACACCCCTCGCCCGCATCCATAAACCCCAAACTTCATCCAGCCCTATGACTCCTCTTCCCTTCTCCCCGACCATTAACCCAGACTCTCCTCTCCCCGTCAAAAGTCCGCCAAGCTCCCTGGCAAGACCCTCGTGATAATCCAGCTTTGTCTTCGCCATCTCCTTTGTCAAAGCCGGTGCTTCCAGCCCCAACTGCACGAGCGTCGTCCTGATCATCGTAGCTTCTTCTTCCGTTGCCCCACTGCCATTACTGGATCGTTGAGCCGACAGCTTTTGATTGAGGGACTGGGCGAGCTTGACCATCTCCCCTGCCCGGAGCATGAGTGCTTCGAGGTCTGCAAAGGCGTGTTGCATGTGAGAGTCTTGAGCTTTGGCGTTAAGGTCGATGGATTGTAGAATGCCGTCTACGCAGTTGTCAGTCATGTGCAACACACGAAACAATGAGGCTTACATATACCAGCACCAGAGCGCTCTCCATCTGGACCCAGAGGAGTTCCTACATTTCCAGCTCCCGAGGCTCGCTCCCAGGCCTTATCGCCCAGAATACTCTTCAGCTTGTTGTACGCATCTTTATCACCACCTTTTCGGAAACTGAATCGTATTATCTGGTCCTTCTCTGCATTTTTAGCCCTAGGCGTAGACGAAGGTAGGGCGCGTGGGAGAGGGGTCGTACATATCTCGCAGTTGGGCAGCAGGGACGAGTTGAGAAAGGTGCAAGCCGGACAAGCGACAGTGTCCTTGTCCTCTTTGATATTAGGCTCTGTCGGAAGCGGACCTGAAGACGAGGGTGATCCCCCTCTGGAGGGCTCGGTTGAAGCAATCGCTTGAGCATAAGGTACGCCACATAACCCACACTTGCTGGCTTTTGCGATCCCGTTACTCTCGTTTGCAAAGCCACAGACACGGCATGACCAGCTATTGGCATCGTTCTCATCTGTAGAGGTCGCAGGATTCTGCGCAGGTATACCCAGGGTCAGAGTGATCTTTGCCGAGGAGCGCATGAATCCAGCGTAATACTCTGTCTGCCGGACATGGGACAGATGTGTTTGTAGAGAGGGCGGTAGGACTGAAGCAGCGTTGCCGTAGGATGGAATGGTAATCATGCGTTGGTTTGTAAGGTGCAAGGTCAAGAGCTGATGGCTTGGAACCTTGTTGTTGCTGTAAGACTGTCAGTCACTGTGGACTAAACTGTAAGGCATAATCACCCTTCATAAAGCCCGACGTTGTCCCAGCTGCCGATCCATTCTTCGCCCTGATCGCGGTGGACAGACTCAAGGACAGAGGCACCTGGACGGACTGGGGTCCATGCTGACCAGTAGACAGGCGATAGGTCGGGGGGCAGCGACATGCGATCGGTGGGGAATGATGCAAAAGTGAGAAGATGGACGCTAGCGGTGGACTGTCACCGTGAGAGTCACTCCGCAGACGACTGCAAGAGCCAAGACTCCAAGAGGCGTGGCGGTGTATCTGGCAAGTATCTTTTGTATGTCGTACATAGCGTACTCGAGAGATGCAAGGGGTCATGAGCGCATCGGTACGGGGGAAGGCCATGCATGGAGGATGTCCACAGTCCAGGTTGGCATCGCTTGCTCCCGCCGCCTCCTCGTTGCTCCCCGCGTTCTTTTCGTCACTCTCCCAAGTACTCGTACACCTCGCACCGCACCCATCTCCATCCGCCCCCACCCCCTCACCCGCCATGGGCGACCAACCCCCAGCCCTGCCTCCCACCCCCGCCTCCGGCCAGACCACCTTCGACGCCCGCCTCGCCTACATACAGTCCTCCTCCTCCCAGGTCCCCACAAGGCAGAACTCCTACAACTATCCCACACACCTCAACCCATCTCATGCCCGGACCCAGGGCCCCTCCCAGGGCCCCTCGAGACGGCCATCTCTTGAAGGAAGGCCCGGTCACGCAACCCATCCTTCCATGTCCAATGCCCCTCTACTCAACGGGAACGCCCCCTCGGCACTTGCTCACCCCGGCTGCGTCCTCTGTGGGCTGGTCAGGTCGTGTGGAAGCAACCCTCCGTCACCTATTCTCTCCCCGCAACACGACACATCGTTCATGGCGTCCTCCTCCCAGACGCCTACCACAGCAGGCAGCTTCTCACAATCTCCATACCCACTTCCATTCGACAGAGGAGGTGCATCTAGCCCTTCACCTGACGGTAGGCGTACGGGGAACAGAGTAGGAGGAAGAGACATTGTCTATGGCGACAAGGACATCACCATCTACAAGGCCGAGGGAAAAGAGCGCCTGTGTCAAGATGGAAGGCATCTCATTATTGTGGTCAACGAGCATTTGCAAAGCGTGTATGAATTTGTGAGTCACTCCAGCCCAAGGTGCAACATCTGCTGACCACGGAACCGTAGGGGGCTTCCGATATTCCCCTGCTGAGCCATATCATCGATACCGCCGTCCAGATCCTGAATTCTGCTGCTTCCGCGTCCCTTGACGATGAAGAACGGGGCAAGGAGAAGGACAAAGTTCAGGTCGGGTTCGTGGGGTCTCTCATGAGTAAGTTGACAGTGTCATCTCCCAGACCTCTACTCATCCCACCTTCAGAGGATCCTCAGTCACCCTATGCGCATCTCCATGCCCACGCCTATCTTCCGCCGATCGACACGAAACTCGCTGGTTCGACTCTTTGGCGCCGAAATGTTGTATTTGGATCGCTGAACTGGTGGAGCGTTGAGGATCTGCGAGCAGAAATCAGGTATGTGATCTCTATAGCATACCAACAGTGCTAACGCTCTACTTTACAGAGAGGCTACCTCCAACAACAGAGTCAAAACTGGGTATCAACACCGGGAAGCTCCGATCAATCAGGTGCCAGATGCTGGCTCAACTGTGCGCTCTTGGTCTACTTTGTATGATGGGACAGTGCTCACTACCAAACAGGCTCCAATCTATTCCAATGAGAGCGACTATCATGATGCCCCTTCGCCCTTGCTTGCCCCAGGGCCGCTTCACCGTCCCCCCTCCCGCTCACAATCACGCTCACCAGGAGCTTCGAGCTCAAAATCTCCTCCCCCTCGCCCCTCTAGCTACCCCATGACCAACATGGCAGGAGGCTCAGATGTATCATCCCGCACCGTCACGCCCTCGTCGGCAAGGGGCTCGGGAGATGTACGCCGGCATGGAAAGGGTAAGGCGAGTGAAGATTTTGAGAATGTCGAGATGGAAGACAGCCGGAGGTCGCGAGAGGGTTTCGTGTAGGGATGTGAGGAGGGTGCTGGAGGATTTGACGGGTCACGAACAAACGAGGGGGAACGCTCAGCATAAATGCTTTCATCAAGCAAGCTTGTCACAGAATTTTCATTGTTTCACCACACACGCACGCACATATATATATATATATATCCTTGAGATAAGGTCTCCTTCCTTACTCTTCATTCCGACATTTGTCTTATACTTGTCTGATCTTTCTACTGTCATATACTACGTACTGGTTTTCGGGTCCGTCTCGGACGATGTGACATGATATTCACGCTCAATGTGTTACTGTATTCGACCTTGCTCGTGTTAGAAAGCACAGTATCATTGTAGACTCTGGTCAACTGAGAGTCCATAATAGATGACTTTGAGATGACTGTTATTATTGATTGATCCCGGGTCTCGGGTGTCCGCGCAGGTCGAATTTCACGATTGATTGTGTCGTTCTTTTCTACTTCTTTCTTCCACCTTTCGTTCATCATCCAGCTATCGCCCAATCTTCCACCCCGCTTTTTGGTACTTCATCCCGATCCAGTACTCGGCCAGATATCACCGCATCAGTCGCCTTCTATCCACCCTACAGTCACTGAACCGACTGCGTCGACTCACGCAGCTCACAGCGCCCATGAACCCCTACGCCGGCCCTTCTTCGGATGCCTTTGCTCCCCAAGGACTGCAAGAGTATGGCGGTAGCCTGCCGCCTCTGGATACCAATTCTGGTATCGTCAACGGCAACCCCGAATGGAGGTGAGTTTTCCGCCTCCTGCTTATCCGGGATTATAGCCAGTCGGAATGGAACAGGGGCTGATGGGCACGTCTTTTAAAGGTATGAGATGCGTCGGGAAGCCCAGCTGATAATACCCAATCTGTACCTGGGACCATTCCAGGCGTCGCTGAACGCGGCCAAGATGAAAGCAATGGGCATCACTCATGTGTAAGCTTCAAACTGTGGTCCACACCGGTCCTGCCTTTGACGGTCACGCTGACCATTGTCCAGCCTGTGTATCAGAGATCGGAAGGAAGAGAAATTGATATTCCCGAGGTTCCCACAAGAGTTTCAGTACATGACGCTTGACATTAGCGATAACCCTGTGAGTTTCCCGCTTCTTTTGTGCTTGGCGCAAAGCTCATGCGAATCTTGGTAACAGGACCAAAACCTCATCACACTCTTCCCTCGCTGTAGAGATTTTATCGAAACAGCTTTGCTCTCGGGCGGGACAGTCTTGGCACACTGTAACGGTACGCCTCTCCTGGTCGTCCTCTTTCTCTGGACTGACGGACATGAATAGGCGGCATCGCCCTTTCGCCCGCTATCGTTATTGGCTATTTGATGTGGAAGTACAACTGGACTGCCGAGTCTGCTCTGGCACACGTGCAAAACAAACGATACTGCGTCAGCACCATGAGCGTAAGTTGCACCGTGGTCAAATGAGCAGATCGCTGACATATATGCGGCAGTTTCAAAATCAGTTCAAAGAGTACGAGCCGATCTTTATGGCGCAAAAGATGGTACAGTTCGCGGCAAAGAGGGAGAACGGCAGTAGCAAGAGACAGGTTGAGGAATCGTGCGTCTTCTTTCTATGCCTCTTGAGCTTGTATGACTAACGTGCGGATACAGGGAAGACGAAGATGGTTACCGGAGAAAGCATAGAGCGGCACCAGAGGAAGGTATGGACGTGTCAATGGATGATTAGGGGCTTGCTTAGGGGCCCTGAGATATTATATCATATGTGTAACGAGAGACGTGTCTACAGTTGGCAGCAAGTGTAAAGGCAAGTTGACTATCCTATTGGAGTAGACTTGCGCATCTCGGGCGTGTTGTAAGCTCCTTGTTGACCTGGCCATTGAGGGGCAAGCCTACCGATCTAGACCACTCATGCTTTTGATTATGACTGCCGAGTGTTCAGGCATGAACTTGATCATATACCAGAAATAGAGCTCGCGTTGAGAGCCGGCGAGCCGCCAGTCTTCTGCCGCCTTCCGTCGACTGCCCGCTGATAATGACTGGTAGTTACAACTTCTGTCCAGCCGAACATGAACGGTGATTAAGGTGCATGCAATGGATATGCAATGGATATGCCCACGACCCACGAGGCCCACGACTGATGAGGTTGACTGAGAGACTGTAGTCCGGATTGGGGTGAAAGGCGCATTCAGGGCTTGCATCTCAAATTCTAAATTCCTAATAAAAGCCCGAATTTCTTACCATTGGCTTTTTAATTGCCGTAAAGGGCAATTATGAGCTTCTGCCTGTCGAATTTGATTCCGGCGTTCCTGGCAGGTTTTGGGATGATAAGCAGATCAAGGAGATAAGAACAAGGTTGAGCCGGATGCCGGTTGTTCTCTCGTCTTTCCGATATTTTCACCCTTGCTCACTGTTCGCAGAGGAGAAGAAGGTTGGTACATAGGCTTTATCCGAAAGACAGCCGGATCGACGCAAGTGGTCATAACGGCTCTTTCGAAGCCTTCGGCAATGAAATCGGTCACGATGAGTGTCCTTTTGTCGACGCCTCTTGAAATCTAATGCTACTGTGGCTGATTACCACTTGGCATATGGACGGAAGAGGTATTTTCAAATGGATCCGGCCATAGGCCGCCCGCATTCTGAGCAGTATAAGGGAGATGATACTGGCGTGCATCCTACGACTTTCCCCACTAATCATTGTGCCTTTGCTTCCTGTTGCTTGTCCCTCGCATTCTTTCTTCTCCGTCTCACGTTTTGACAGCATATCCATTCTGCGCTGGACGCCCTTCCTTTACCATCTTGCCGTCGAGCACCATTCTTTAACATGTTTTCCACTTCCATTACCCTCTACGCCCTTCTCTCGACTGCTCTACTGCCATATGTGGCAGCTTCTCCGGCTCCTGATATGATCTTTGTAAGTCACTCGTGTACTCAAGTATATCTCAGCTCACGATAACTTCAGACTCTGAAAGAATCATTCTTCACTCCCCTCGGTTGCTCCACCACCTTCCGCCCCACCTCCATCCTTCACCAAGTCCCCTCTCCCCAAGCTTGCTTCTCTCGCTGTTCCTCGTCCCAACTCGCCGCCTATACATCTCCCTCGTCCTCTTCCATGTCCCAGTCTGTGCTTTGCGCGTGTGGATCGGAAGTGATGATGGAGGGCATTGGGCGAATGGACAGGTGCAAGGGGAACAGCTGGTACTTGTACAGTAACGAGGAGGTCGATGAGCTTGTCATCGTGGAGGACGACGAGCGGATGGACAAGCTTTCAGTGTTCTCGAGGAAGGGAGAGAAGAGTTCGAGTAAGGGGCCTATGCCGTTGGCGATATTGAAGAAGTTGACAGCGGCGTCTAAGAACAGGATGTAAGTGTATACTTATTTGTTCAGTGATGCTAGATGACTGACAGTCGGCATAGATTCGACTGGTGATCTTTCCCTCATCAGTGCTGGCCACGATATTCCCCTTTTTTGGTATTTTCCGTATATAAATGCTTTTATAATCATACGACAGATGGACACAACTTGTAATCAACACTCTGACAACAATCATATGACGGAAGCAAGAAGCAGGATCCACACTCTCCTCTACGAATCCCAAGTGGCCAAGCCCCGATGTTGCAGATTTCCTGCACATCAAAGAACGGAATGATTCGAGAGACCGAAAGTAACATGTGAAGGCACTGTCAGCAGTAGTTGGTACGCATGCATTCAGCCAGGCGTTGGTCAATGTTGCGTGGCCGGTTACCTGTCGACAAAAGTATGGTGTCAGTCTATCACCACCCACCCTCATCACGAGGAGCTCATTTGCTATTGCGATGCATGATACGGTCTGCTGAATGATGATTACATTTACAATAGTGATACTGAATGCGACTTCGATGCTTCTTCCTCTCATCGTCTCATTGAAGACGGGGTCAAGCTCAATTCCACTGCTCTTCTACAACCACCCCAGCTTCTTCCAACGAGCTCAAGACTCCCTCCCAGACGTCCCTGTCATAAGGTCCTTGCACCCCCCGAGAATCGACTTGTCCATCAGCCACCCTCAGCGCCGCAAACGCCAACGTCTTCCCCACGGTAATACTCATAGACGACTGATTGGCCGTAGCAATGTGCCTCAAAGAAGCCGTCACTACCTCTTCCCTTCCTCCGGGAGTAGATGGATGGAGAGTGAAAGAATGGTGCAAAAGGCATGTATCGCGCTCTCCGGGTTGATATGCGAGTTTATGGGAGAGGAGGTGAGCAAAGAGGTCGATGGGGGTGCTGAGCTTGGGGATGGGAAGAGACGAATCGCCGAGGAGACCGAGCCACTTTAAAGCTTTCATAGTCTTCTCGCCCTCCTCTTTTCCCACGAGGTCCGTGATAGCACTGTGCTGGTCTTGATCCTTCAAGCAGTTGACTCCGAGCTGTCTGCCGGCAGACTGGCGGAGCAGCTCAGACCAAGAAGCAGGGGGCGATGACAAGACATCCGAGCTCAAGAGCCCGAGGCGACGGAAATCATCCAGAAGAGTGGAGAAGCCAGGGTATCTGAGCAAAGGAGTCAGTCGGCGTCCGTCGTTTCTGATACATAACTTACCTCAAAGTTCCTCGGAAAAGATCTGTCAGTCCCTCTACGGGGCCCAAGCCATACTTTTCGGCGTACGGGATGGAGTCACGATTTGCAAGACCCTCGAGCTGGAGCCCATCCCAGAGCCTGACATCTGAGAAATGACGCTCAAGTAGGCGATCACCTGGGATCGTAACATTCTGCCCTTTCGTCAGCCAACGTTCCCAAGAGGCGGAAGAGAACTGACCTTTCCATCCAGTTTGAACATTGCATCGTTCTGCGCCGCCGTCAAGACGGCATTCGGGCTCCAGCTAAACTTGTACCCCAGCGGTCCCTTGCTTGCACTCCTCTCCGGGAGGCCCCCGCACCAAGAGACAAAACTCTTCACCTTCTTCCCCTCTCTCTTGACCCGCTCCATGATTCGCATGGCTGCCATCGAGTCGATCCCTGGGTCGAGCCCGCATTGGTTCAGCAGCAAGACGTCTGCGTCGACGGCAGCGGAATGGAGGGCTTTGATGTCGGGGGAGATGTAGGAGGCGGTGACTAGATGTCGAGAGTGGCTGATGCAGTGTTTGGCCACCTGGGGGTGTAAGGGCGCGGGGAGCAAGCTTGGAGGAGTAAGTACTGTGACCATGTGTTGAATGACAGGCTTACCTGACGACAACGTCTGCAGCAGCAACAGCTTCACTCAACTTGGCGTCATCAGTAATGTCGAGCGAGATAGCTTGGACGTTGGTTCGGCCCTTGATGTGGCTTTCCGCCTCTGCAATGTTGTTGCTGGCTATGTCTCGTGTTAGACTTTGTATCTACGAGCAGTTAATTGCGACCTACCGACAGCAAGCAGTACGTCTGACCGCGCGGCAAAGACTTCCACCGCTGGACCAGCCACAAGCCCACTCCCCAACAACAACACCTTCTTCTGAACTCCTCCTCTTCTCGCAATCGTGGCCTCACTTCGCTCATCAAAGAATGAAGGACTCCCAGAAGCTTTCCAGGCGTCTACTTTGTCGGCTAGCCATTGGTGTTTCGGCTGAATAGTGCCAGAGCGGACAATAGTAGCACGGTCCAGTGTCTCTTGTTCCCCAGTAGCGGAGGGAGTGGGGAGAAGGAGCTGACGGATGTAGGGGTAGAGGGCGGCGGAGAAGTGGTTGGAAGCATCCGTGGCTGACGAGAGCGATCAGCTTGAGCTGCACCAGACATAGCTCACTTACCCAACTCGGTGGGGAGGATGTCGATGGAACTGATCAGGATACCACCAGGACCCTCGTAGTGGGGGTTATCGATAGTCGTAAACTGGTCCACAAATTCCAGACCTCCCTATGCCACTGTCAGTCAAGCTACCATATCGCCGGCAAAAGATTCACTTTTTGGTCACAAGAGACATCCTGCACAGCCACCAGCTTTTGCTGGCCCTTTGCCTTCCTCAAAAGGGTAGCAAGGTCGGAGCTGGAGATGGCTCGAGGGTACTGCTTACTCCAGCTGACGCCGTTGATGATTGTAGTGAGATGCGGCGCAATCTTTACATCTTGTTAGTCTTGTACGTCCAGAGCGGCGAAGAAACCCACCTTTCCGGCAAAAGTGCTGGTGTACTCCTCTGGTGAACTGTAGTAGTGACTCTTGTTGAATGATTTGCCGCCGCGGTGCTCCAGGTAAGATTCGGGGGTAATTTGACAAGCATAGACCTATGAAAGAGTCAGGTGGTGGCTGAACGAAGGCAACGTTATATCATACCCTGTTCGAGTCTATATGAAGAGTCAGCATGATTGAATAGTGCTAGCCGACTGACCTACCTTTGCTCTTGATCCTCGGCAGGTCCTCTGCGTTGACCCATTCGACTCCAAGCTCCTCTAGTATCTGTCTTGCCCCGGACGATACATTACCCGCTCTGTGACTGTATGAGAATGATACCAGAACATAGCAGTACTACCTACCCAGTAAGACCTATCACGATCGGTGCCAACCCAGCAGCGGGCTCGTTGGATCTGATCTGCTCTCCCGTCTTTCGCAGAGCATCTTTGAACGTCGAGAGAGTACCATAAGTGTATGGTCTTGCAAGGTGCTAAGTCTGTGCGTGAGAAGGACCACGAATCTCGATAACATGGCATACCAGTAGAGGAGTAGCGATGCCTCTCTTCAAAAGAGCCAGTCCGGTAAGAGAAAGCGCCTCGCCCGCGCCAACAGCTCCAGCATACCAGCCGAAAGCAGCCACTCTTTTGAGTTGTGTTTTGCCGTCCTTTCCTGGCTGCTCGCTTGTGAGAAGCTCGTGATCAATAAGGGTCTGCGTTGGGTGCAAAAACGCTGACAGCAGCGGGACATTGTATTCCTGCATATAGGATCAGCGAAGGCTAGAAAGAATTGGTGACGATGCTCACTTGTCCTTTGTGAGTATGCGAAAACATCATCCATGTGCGTTCCTTGCCTTCTGCCTTTGACGCGTCCAGCAGGGACTGAACGCTCGACAAAGGAGGCTCTTTGATACCTAGCACCACGTCTACATTGTTCGACAGAGATGATACTACACTGGCCCCCGCCTGGGAGAGATGTCAGCATGACAGAAGCAAGTAGGACGCCACTCACTTGGGTGTACTGCTCATCTGTAAAGCAGCGCCTTCTGCAGCTCTCGACATGGATGGTCAGCTGATCTTTGCCGTCTGCCAAGAGGCGCTGGACGGTGTGGGGTGTGAGGGGAGCGCGCCTCTCCCATATCCTCGCTGGGTCCTCGCGCCTGAGGCCGAGGGTTGTGAGGGGGCGGTGGAGGGGGCGGGGGATGCTACTGGGGACACGGGGGGTGAGCATGGTAAGCATGGTGTGCATGGCGCTGTGACGGGGTCCTGGACCATGGTGTTATAGCAGCGAGATGAAGGGAGCATCTACCCGCGCGCTTAGCTCGGCATCCCGCTGCTTACGTACACCGGGACCAATTGGCGTGCGCGCATCTCCTCGTGCATCTGATTCGCCCCGCCGTGGAGTGCCCGCCATATGACACTCCGATGTCGCTCTCGTCCCAGACCACGCTCATCTCCCAGCCCCATCTCCACCGCAGAGCCTCCGCCCACCATGCCCACCCACGGCGCAGACCATCCCACGCCCACGCCCGCAGGGGATCAGAGAGCGAGGGCAGGAGGGCACTGGCCGCGGGGCTCGCCATGCACACTCTAGAAACCGGCAAGAAGAAGAAGCCTGCCGAGGTGAGTCTCCATTCAGCCGCAGAGACAGCGCTGACTCCCCACAGCAACGACCCCAGAGCCAGCATACATCGCGCTCAGATACAAATCTTCCGCACCTCTCCCGCACCAACTCGATGATGTCCAACACTTCTCACGCATCCCAGACAAGCAACAACTCTACTGTCAGCCGGCCGGGTGCCAAGCCTCGGAGGAGCAGGGAGCAGGTCCAGATATTGGATGAACAGGGCCGAGAGATCGATCCCGATGAGGAAGAGTGGGAGAGCGGGGAGGAGGCCAAACGGGGCAAAAAGTCAGACAAGAAGAAGGACCGGACAAACGCCTCGGCTCTTGCTACCAGCGCAGCGATGCGCCGCACGGTCAGCGATACCTCTGCCAACAAGCAGGAGCAGGGGGACGACGAAGGCGGGGACCAACGGCCGCCCCTCACTCAACGGACGACAGGCTTTGCTGGCGCCGTTCAACCTCTAGACCCACAGATTGCTGCCGAGATGCCTTCAGTGGAGCCGCCCGTTATCCAAAATCCTATCAAGCGTGTCGCGAGCTCCAAGTCGCTCGTCGGGCCCATCTCTGCCATGACCTCGGTGGAGAATACGCCCGACAGCGGAATCATCACCGAAGCACCAAAGAGCGAGCAGGAGCGACTGCGAAAAGCCCAGGAGAACAGTCTCTTGTCTACGGGACTTTCTCGAGACCATCCAGAGCCCAAGGAGGAGTCACCATCATACCCTTTCCCCAAGATGCCTTCCCCCGAGGAGCCGCTCAAGCCCCCATCTCCTCCTCGGCCTGAGTCTCCACTGAGAAAAGAAGGCGGCCAGCATAGGGAGCGCGAGGCTTCTTCTCTGCCTGGATCTAATGGCACTCGCTCGCGTCAAGTGTCAAACAGAAACGCCCCTTCGCTCAGACATCGCTACTCCAATTCTTCTCTTCGCTCTATTCAATCTCTTCGTGCCCCTCCCCACCCTCTCAACTCGCCCACAGGGTACCGTACTATGCGCAACAGTACAGCTGCATACGACTCGCCATCGAAAAACTCTACAGATGAGAAGCGTACGCGGGTCCCGAGCATGCACCAGCCGCCGGTGCCGAATCCTCAGGTCAACTTTGAAGTAGCTCAGGGAAAGGGGTGGGATCAGATTCCCGAGGAAGAGGCGCTTGGCTCTGGTACGTCTGCTGCTGGCACCAGTAGAAGCCAATCACAGCAGCCGGCACAGCCCCAGTCCCATCGACGGAGCAGTGTTGCGTCTACCCGCTCACTCCGGAGTATCTTTGCGGGCACCCTCGCACCTCCGCCGGCCCCTGATTCTTCACAAAACTCGAAGCGTCTCACAGCGCATGAAGCTGCCTCCGCCGCCGCCAAACGTCCCACCACCAACAACCCAGTCCTCTACCACCACTCGCTGGGGCATCCCTCGAGCGCTGCCGAGTCGTGTTTCCTCATCTCCCGCTTCTTGCCAGAGAAGAAACTTCAGAGGCCAAGCTGGGAAGTTGACCCTGACTTGACAGAGGAGGAACGGGCGCAAGATCCCGGGGCAAAGTTGACCAATGGAGAGTACAGGACGGCGCACGAGACCCTCGTGCACACCTTCAGGCATCTGGGCAGTGGGGTGCAGACGCAGAAACGCAGCCTGAGTAGAAACCAGTCGTACGGTATCCTGCCATCGAGCTTGACACTGTCGAGCGTGGCTGCGGCTACCGGGGTCGCCTCTCATATTGCGCAGAATGGAGTAGCAGGCGCCAGTAATGGGGTAGCGAGCAATGGGCTGGGATCAGTAAAGGGCAAGGATGGTTCGAGATTCGAGTTGTCCAGCGGGGGTTTGAATGGAATGTCGCCGTTCGAGATGAGTGTACAAAGAGTATTGAACCAGCGACCGGGGCGAGTGGCTTTGTGATTACCTGTTTGTGGCATGTAGCATGTTGTACCGCGCTTGGAATACGCCCATGGAAGAATATCATATACGAATGGCCTTGAACGTCATGCATCGTCCCTCTAGTGATCGTTACCTTTCGTCTCCACAATCCGCCAGGTACAAATACAGTGATACAAAGTCTAGCGATCGTTCTTCTAAAGCTCACGAAAACCCAAGATTTGCCAGACGTTTCAACATCTTGCCTCCCATTGTTTCTGTACCATTCTCCAGCATTTGACTCCTCTCCCACAGCGCCTATGATGCGTTAGCCAAATTTCAAGTGCCGATAAGGAGCTCACGTCTTCATCCGTCAAGATCACCGTCTCCTCCATCAGCTTTCTGAACCCAGGGGAAGCCTCCCCCTGGGCCGCTGGACCCCTGTTCTGACACTCGGTAATTGTACCCAGAATCTCCCCAAACCGCATAAACTTGTCCCACTGCACCATCCCATCGCTCTTTCTGACATCCTCATGCCTGACTGATTGGAGCCGGATGACGAGACTGAGGATATTGTTGATGAGCGGTATAGCCCCGCGGCCATGGGATATGTCCGCTTGCAAAGCCCGCCTGTAATGGACATAGCCTCCTCTTGGATCCATCAATTTCAGATGCGATTGGGATTCCTTTTCCTCTGCGGGCGACAGCTGGACGAGGGCGTTGGTGGATGCCAGGCGGTGGACGGATGTCTCGCGAAGACCAGAGATGACGGCGTAGAGAGAGTCATAGTTGTTTAGCCGGCGTAGCTGGTGGGCAATGATCATGAAGCGTTCGATGAGACGAGCACGATGTTTGGGCTTGTGGGGGGCGAGAATCATTGTAGATATCCTGATTGTGATCAGCGGTGACTATCACAAAACACAGGACTCACCACCGTGATAGCCGGTTGAAAAAGGCGATAGACTTGCCTACCGGACCATCTGTCTCCTTTCCAAAGTCGTGCCTAAAGACGTCACGAGGCTAGTTGCAAGGTCAGACACGAACGCCAGTCAGCATCACGACTCACTCGGATGTTTTCAAACAGCTCCCATTGCAACCTCGTCAATTCTGCCGCAAACGTCCTCGGATCCATCCTCAAGACCGAGTTGATCGCATATCCCCATCGTGCTTCGGAAATCTCGTCATTCAGATGTGGAATCACATCCAGCTTTTTGTGCGATCCACTCGCTGAACGGCTTTTACCCGAAGAGATGGAGCCTTCCTTTTCGGTCTTTTGTTGTGGCAGCGGAGGAGGCGGAGGATGGACGAGATTCGTCGTGGGGCGAGGTTCAGAGCCACTCCGTCTTCTCTGACTATCAAGCGCAAGACTGCTGGTGGACACCGAGTTGCTGGACCCAGTCTTGCGCCCAAAAGAGTCGCTCCCTTGCCCGTCGTCAAACCTTTCCAGATCATACAAGACTTCACTGTCAATGACCAACTCGGAAGTAGCCGAATGGGGAGGGTTGAGTTCGGGCTTCAGGGACCAGGATTGGTCGACGTCTGTCCGCTGGGGGAGGAGGTTCTGGGCAGTGACGAGATCGGAGAGCAAGTGGGCCATGAATGTGTGCTTGAGGAGGAGGGACACGATTTCGGAAAAGATGTCTGCCGTAATGGGAGCACAGATGTCACCAGTGTAGCGCGTCGTCCAGTCCACCAGAGCCCCCGCAAGTCTAGAATGTATCAGTCATGGTCCGTAGACGCCCCAAGATACGCACTTCATCAAAGCCCAGTTCCTCACATCCCTAGAGACGCCATACTCTTCGACTTCTTGGAACCGAACAAGAAACTCTTTCATGACCTCTGACGGTTGGCAAAACCGTCGATATGTCATGAAGAAGGCTTTGATGAACTCGTCGTCTACACATCATCAGTGCTGAATCTTCTGAAGTGTGATGACATACCCTTTGACGTGACGATACTCGTGAAGAGATGGTTGTAGATATCCTCCAGGCTCATATACACGGGCGGTTCACCTTGCGCCCCCTGGCTGACCGTCGAATCTGCCCTAGCCAGCTTTTCGCCCACCGCCTTCTTGCCAGCATCGGGCCCTTCTTCCGGTCTAGCCAACCACCCCAAGCTTTCCTGACTCGCCCCCTTTTCCCCTCCCTCTTGAGCAGGTTCCGGCTCATCTTCCAACATTTCCACTTCTCCCTCATCCCCCACTTCTTGATCATATACGCCGCTGGCACGTGTAACCTCTTCACTGTTCCGCGGCGTCAAGCTGAGCTTCTTTTTCCACATTAATTTATCCGCGTGGGATTCACCGTCCGAATCTGGGGATTGGAGATGATCCAGGGGAGAAGATTCGGCGGCGGCAGCGGAGGAGGAAGCGTCGGCTGATGATGGCAAGGTAGAGTCGGTTGAGAGGGCTTGGGAAATGTTGACGAGTTGGCGGAGTTGACGGCCTGCCGAATGCATCAGTTTCAAGTCATACACATGGAAGGCAGGGGGGTCGCATGGCAACGGACCGTGCTAAAGAAAACTCACGCTGCCTTTGTTCGAGTTTGTACAGCAGCCACCTCAGGGCATTCCGCATCTTGACCTTTCCCTCCTGCGTCTTTTCTGTCACTTCGATCAGACCGACGTTGAATGGTTCTCCGACTGTGTTTCCGCGGGCAGCGAGTACTTGGAGCGGTTCATGCGGGTCGGATTTGCAAGCGAGGAGGACGGTAGGGATATTTATATTTGCGAAGCGGGCTGTAGACAAGACATGTGGGAGGGTACAGCCGTTAGTATAATGCGATGGAGGACAATGGGAGATGGCAGCCCTCGATGCAGGTGCACACACATGCGGATGTACCGCCCGACACCCTCGCGCCTCGCGCCTGGACGATCTCTTAATAAAGAATATGACTTACCCACACAGTCCTTGAGCCCTTCCAGAGTCTCTTCGCGCATCGCGTCGTAACAACAGATCACCCCGGATACACCGGGGACGGAAGCGGGACAGATAGTGGGCGCGTCCGGATCCAGGTCGAGGGCTCTGATGTCCATCTCGAGGAATTCGACTTTGCAGCTGCTCTCGAGCTTGCCTCCGGGGGCGATCTGCGAGTAACACGAGGATACTGTTGCATGTCAGTTTGTGATTGAAATCATCGCAGTCGAAAGGAAGGGATCGACGTACCGAGATGGCCCTTGACAGACTGGATTTTGACGGGATTGGACATGCCCCAGGTGCGTAGAGCACGAGCAATGACGGTGGTCTTGCCCACACCTTGGTGGCCGACGACGGCAATGACATGGTCTGCGCTGCTTGCCGGGGGTACTTGGGGCTTTCCACTTTGTCAGCTTTGCCCCTGCATACGAAACGCGACACACCTCGGTCCTCGAACGGGCCGGCTGGCTTTGCCCCCTCTTCATCTGACCATCATCCCCACTCTCGCCTTTGCCCTCCGTGACATCCTCAAGCTCTGCGGTATGCGCGATTCTCGACAATGTCGACCTTCTCGTTCTCAACGTCCGCGTAGGCTGTCCCCCGGTACCGGGCGGGAACCGTGGGCTGGAAGGGGAGAGCGAGCTGGACGAGTTTGAATCAGACACTGACTGTGCCTTCATCGATACCCGCAGCTTGCTCATCGCTTCCTGGTCCTGCGATCTGAGCTTCATCCTTGCCGACTGGAGCAACGCTGCCTGACTTGGATCGGCCGCGAGATCCGGTACATGCTGAGCATAGGCTGACATGATGGGCGAGCTGCTGGGGCTCTTGTGCTTGTAGGAAGAGCGCCGGGCTTCTTCTTCCGACATGGCGAGGCGGAGGGTGGAGGGTGTGCTGGCGAGCGGGGTGTGGAAGGAGGCCGGGGTGGTGGGCGATGGGGTGGTGGGAGAAGCAAAGTCGGAGGGCGTGGGGGGAGCGAGATGGTCGAGGGTGAGGTGCTGGGCGTTTGGTCGGTGCATGGTCTGTTGAATGTGAGCGTGGCCGCCAGGCTCGCCATGGACACTCACGACGGTACATGGGTTGATGGAAAGACGAGCAAGTATATAATACGCGTCTCGAGATTTAACGCGTTCGCTGTGTTTGAGGGACAATAGAGCCAACCAGTCAATTAGCGAGATGTGCTGTGGTTGTGTCAGCTGCTCGTCACGTCGCGTAGCTGGCAAGTCGAGTAGATCGGACGTGGAGCTATGGGGCGAGTGGACAGCGGGACCAGGGGCCTGATCGCAGCAGAGAAGGGGCATCCACACGGGCCACAGGAGGACAATAGCGACGGGGAATATGTCGAGATGGGATCCCCATTGTTCTCCCCCCACCCATCTGGATGGGTAGACTCGATTGGACTCGGATTTGGACGGCTGCAAATGGGAGGAAAGGAGGGATGTATCCGGTGAATGAAAGCCAAAACCTACCTTGTGCTCGTCGGGCGGGGCGAAGGAGAGACGCGCGGGCCGCCGGGGCGGGGTGCGTGGCCGAGGGCGGTCTATGGACAGGTGCAGAGGGAACAGCTGCGGGTTAGAGCGTGCGAGGGAAAGACATGGGCTTTGAGAAAGTATACCCTGAGGGCAGAACGGTGCATGGCGAAAGAAGAGATGGGCGCGCGGTCCAAGCGCGTGCAGTGGCCTTCGGCTTTCGAAATTCGGGAACGGCCGCTTTCCCACGGTCGACGAGTCCATCTCCATCTCTTCGTTGCTCGCGTTATTTCCAGCTATTCAATCATTCAACATGTTGAGAACGCCTCTCCGCCTTGCCCTCCGGCTACCAAGGCTGAACGCTATCACTCCCCAGCGGCGATTTGCGCATGCGCTGCCCACGGACTTGCCCCCTATTCGCGCCCGCCTGCGACCTCTTGTCCCATTCTTCATCTACTGGACCATCATCACTTCGCTGCTTGTCCACCTCTTGCGGACACGGCAAGAGTCGGGCGAGTCTCTCTCTCGGCAAAAGGCCAAGATCAGCGTGCTTAGCGACCTGATTGCGCGGATACGCAACGGAGAGGACGTGAGCGAGGACGAAATGCAGCGAGAGATGGAGATGGTGGGGCTGCGCGAACGGACGGCGCTGACGCTGGGGCTGGACAAGGAGCTGAAAGAGGCGGAGAATGTGGGGTGGCGGGAGGTGCTGCTGGGCAAGACGGCTCAGACTGAAGAGCAGGCAGCCCGGGAGGAGAAGGCGATTGAGGAGTGGGCACAATGTGAGTGGAGGATGTGAGGGGCGAGGCTGACGAGAGCAGTGATGGACGGCAGCGAGCCACAAGCGGGGCCAGAGGCTGAGGCTGAGGCCCGGGCGCCGTCTATCAGATCGCTGCTACGGCCATCCGAGCGGCGGCAGGAGGGCGGGCGAGAGGGGATGGCGTCGCGTGCGCCTGGGTCGAGTGTGTACCTATGAACTGCATTCCACCGGAAGAGCCGTGGCGGCGATCAGCGGGGTGTCCTTTCGTTCCTGCGGCACTGTTGCAAGGGCGTTGCGGGCGTACTACTACTACTACTGATGGCTGATGAGCGATCCCTCCCCGGCAACGCGCGTGAGAACAGGGCGTCCAGTCCTTTCCGTCACCGTCCCCGGTCCTTTCGAGGCCCAGACCTGCCTAGTGCATGTCTGTGCGATTCCAAGCTGCCCACTACGTATATATACTCCCCTCGAGAACCAAACACCCCAACCGCTTTCTCATCCGCCTCTCTACATCCTCGCCATGTCTGCCCAGCCACAACAACTCCTCACCTCCTCCTCACAGCTCCCCACCTCGCCTGCCCACCAACAGCCCCAGCCCGTCCCCAAGACTGCCACCAAGCAGAAGAAGCAGCTCCGGGGGCCCGCTGGCAACATGGAGCTTTTCGAGTGGCAGGCCACCATGGTGAGTGTCGTCTCTTTGCCACCTTACTGTGTCTCCCTGTTGCTTGGTTCTGCCTCATCCTTGCGCATCCCAGACACGAGGGGCCCTTCACCATGGAATGCGTGACGCGCCACGCCGCGTGCATTCCTGTCTGGCCGCTTCTCTTCTGTCCGCGTTTCCCGAGATGTCCTTTGCAGACGCCCAACTGTGTAGCTAATACTCTACGCAGTGCTGTCTCGCCCCTCTCGGCTCGTGCTACAGACAGCAGAGCAACGAGTCTATCTACTGTTCAACAGTGAGTCCACATGCTTCATCCCTTTGTGCGATCGACCGCTCCGTGATGAGCTGCGTCGGGCTTCGGGTGCCCCTCCATCATCATCACACCGACATCAGTGGAGTTGTATCTGGGGCTGCGTTTCAACCTAGTCCTGCGCACTTTTCATGTTGCGAGTGTCACGACCGGAGAATTCTACTCGAGCACTGTCCCCTCACCTCCAATTGAACTCTATCCCGATCCCATATGGGAACAGTTTATCCGAAGCGAGACTGACACTTGTCACAGCACACATGCCAGGCAATCAATGTCGACGGTGAACGATGTGGTAATTCGATCACCAACCCGCGCCAAAATCGGTTCTGTCCCAACGGCTGTCAGTCTTTTCCCCTTGCTGTTGAAACCAGCGCCAACTCTCCTTAGGGCACTTTGAAAACGCTCGTTACGACAACGTCGTCGAAATGGTCGAGCGCCGCAAAGCCGCAGACGAAGCCAATGCTATCCGCCGCAAGGCTGAAATAGCCGAACAACTCGCCCTGTTTGAAGCCCAGTTCACCCTCACTTCAAACGCCGACAAGGCTTCTTCCTCTGGCTCGCTGCAGAGTCCCCAAGTCGTCACCTCGGCTCTGCCGCAGCAAAGACAGTCGGGCTTTTCGACGACATTCCGGAGAGGCGGGCTTTGGTAACACTCCCTCTGTCATTTCATTTGTACATCATCGCCGTTTGGGGTCTTTTTTGTTCTTACCCACAATTTTCCTTGCTTTTGAAAAAAAAAAACGAGTTGCCTACTATAATCCTAGTCGTACCGCTCTCACCTTCTTCCTTGATACCCCGTTGTAACCACCACACTTTTTAATTGTCCACAGTATCCCATTCGTTGTAATTCACGATACCTTTTTTATGTAGTATTCACCATCATCGAGCCACCCCATCGGCCTCCTGCGCGGTCAGAGGCTGCGGCAACACATGCATTATAGTCACCTGAGTAGACAGAGTGGTATGGGTGCTACAAGTCACACGAGACATTGCCAACCTAGTAACCCCCGTGATACTTTTGCCCACTAGACTTTTGATCCTTTGCCCCGCTCCCCCGAATCGACATTCCACGGCCATCACGACTATCACGCGCATCCCTATCCATCTGCCGTCCCCAGTCTGCCACATTCCCACCTTGTCCGCCTCCTCTTCTCCACTCGCCTTCCCAATCACGCTCGTCGTCCCTCCCGCGCTTTCCACCCCCAGAAGCAGGACCTATGCGACTCTTTAAAGACGGTTTAGGCGAAGCCCCCAGGTCACGAGAACGGGGAGAAGCTCCTCCACTTTGAGGACCCATGGCGCGCGCCAGCAATGCTCTCGACCCAGCGCCTGCTTCAGCGCCTCGTCCACCTCCCCGGACAGAAGGCGAGTCGGCGTATCCTCGATCATCAAGTCTCGGCCTGTAATTCGCCTTGGGCGGTGCCGAGCTGGGCGGCAAATCCCTCGATGACTGTCCCCCACGTTTACGCGCCGGCGGTGAACGCGATGGCCGCCGCGGAGGTTGCCCGCCACGTCGCTCAAAGTGATCATAGTCGTCTCTGTCGTTCCGCGATGCGTGATCCCGTTTCGCTCGGTCTTGGTCCCATTCTCGTCCGCGCAGCTCAGAGTCCCACGGCCTTCTACCATCGCGGCCTGCTGGTCCGCCGCGGTTCTGTGGTGTACCCGCTTGTCCTCGGCCACGGGTCTGCGGTGTCCCTTGTCCACCCCGCCTGTCTCTCTCCCGGTTCCCGCCAAACCAATCGTCCTCGTCCTCGTCATCTCTCCCGCCTCGAGATATCATCTTTTGCTTGGCCTTTTCCCGCCCACGGCGACCAGCGTCAGCACCGTAAGAGTCGTACGCAGAGTTGTAAGGGACGTCGTCGTCGGTGAACCTCGAGTGGGTTGCTTTGGGTAGGTTTTTGGCTTTGGGGGGGGCTTCGTGAAAGGGCCCGCGGGAGGACATTTCGTATGAGAATGCAGAGGGGGCGGTTAGGCGTACGAGCGAGCCTCGTCGTTGGGGGCAGTCCTACTTGGAGTTAGTTTGGTACAAGGGATAGAGAGAGACGTACATCGCCAAAGTGGCCTTCTCGAGCGCAGTTGTAGCACCATGCTTCATAGGGTCCACCGCCCATAGCTTCCTTTGCCCATCCCTCTGCCTTTTCCTTCTCTTTGATCACGGATTTGCGTTCGTCGTCGCGAATATATGTGTAGACCCGCCAGATCGTGGGACAGTTCTGTATCTGGTCAGTATACATTCGATGGATAGAGTTGCGACTTGCCGTATCGGTATGACTCGAACCACCACAGCGTTCACAAGCAGTCCATCTCTTGTTGCGAGTAGCAGGATCGGGACATTCAGACTTGTGATGGCCTCTTTGCCCACACCCATAACAGACTTTACTGAGAGGACAGTCCCTTCTCTCATGTTCGTCCACAGCGCCGCAAGTCGTACACTATCATAGTTAGCTTGGGTCATGACAAGATGGATAGACATACAATGACATGGGGGCAGTCGACAGAGCGATGACCCGGCTTTTTGCAATTCTGACACACTTTTCGAGAGTCGGCAGCGGCCAGGAAGGCGGCTTCATCGTCTTGCGTCTCTTCAGGCTCTGGGTCGAAATATCGCTTTGATCCCTACTTCCGAGTGAGCTTTTGCCTCAGCTCTAGTACGCCCACTTACCCTTGTGAGGTCATCATCCACGAAATGCAGACCAGCCAAAAAGTCTTCATCCTCCACCACCGTCCTATCGCCCTCCCCTTCCGCTTGCCCCTCCTCGCTCAAGAGGTGCGTCTCCAACAATACATGGCTTGGCAACATCAAATCCTCCTTATTATCCTTCTTCTTTTCCTTGTCCGCCTGCTCTCCCTTTGGTATCAGCTCCACATGAAGCCCATCTCCCGTCGTAACAACAGTCGGTACCATCGAAGGGTGAAACACCCCCGGAGAGTTGGCATGATGCCCGTCTGCTCTTTTGGGAGCTTCAGACATGGGGTGGTCGTCGAGGATGATGTTTCCGTCTGCCAGGTAGGTGTCATCGTTGGACTCTGGGGGGTTGGGTTGGTCTTCGGGCGGAGGGGAAGGGGAGAATTGGACGTTGGCCACGAGGGAGCGCATAGGCTTGAAAGCCGTTGGGACGTAGCCAGACATGGTGGGGGATGTTCAAGAGTATGCCGGCTTGGGTTTCGATGATCAGGTTCAAGCTCGAGGGTTGGCCTGTGGACGATCTCGTCTGGTGATGGAAGCGGCCGTGGATGGCGTTGAGACAGCGCTCAGAGAAGCGTGGCCGATATAGATGTCGACTTGGGGTCTCGAGTATTGTGCGATTGTGAAGATATGGCTGACACGAAGATGAACCAGAGTCTTTACGCGTCGGTCGTCAAAATTCCAACAGTGCCTAGAGTTGTGATTGTCATCATCCAACTTTGAACCCTCTTCGGTTCTGATCATGCTGTCGCTGGCATTCATGCAACATTCAGGGGATCTCGTGAATGGACATTACTAGGCATCCATTGCTGCTGCTCTTGGTTCAGACATACCAATAGATGCTGATGTGCTGTTGCGATAATGCAAATATGTTCAAAAACATGAATGGAGTAGTGCGACAGTGGTTACTCGGTTCGATTAGAATTTTGTAATTCCTTCATCGAATGCCGTCAGGCGCGCAGGTTCGAGTCCTGCCTGCTCCTTCTTTTTGCTTATTTTTTGGAGTCGACTATGCACACACTTTGGATGCATCTGTGACTGTCTTTTTTTGCCCCGTCCCAACCCTCAGCCCCAGCAGAGACATCAAAGAGTTGTAGCAGGATAAGAGACACAGTAAAAAGGCAGCGCCTTACGTGGCATTATGAGTTGTTTTCGAGGCGACGATGGATTGATCTTGGATGAATGTTGGCCGGCTGAAAAGACGAGCAAGTGCAGTGACAAGTGTTGCCAACAACTGTCCACCCAGCCAGCAACAGGGCTCACAGCGAGACAGACACCCTCGCAGACCCCGGCCGAGTGCGTACTCCTTTCCCCCGACGACTCGAATTATCGACTCTGCGGAGACATCATTACCAACGGTTGCTGACTACAGACCAGATCAGCTACTTTCTTGCCGCTCTTTGCGTACCATCAGCTTGTTTTGACCGAACACCCATCTCCCAAAATGTCTTTTAGACAGCACGATCGTGAGCTCGAGCCCGCCCAGTCCCCCGTGCAGCAGCAGCTGACCGCTGGTAGACTCGAAACCCGTCCATATCCCCACCACTGAAGACGAGGTGCTTCAGTACTGGAGGGATATCGACGCCTTCAAGACCTCCCAAAAGCTCTCTGAAGGCAAGCCCGAGTTCAGCTTTTACGACGGTCCTCCCTTCGCGACCGGTCTTCCCCATTACGGTCACTTGCTCGCCGGTACCATCAAGGTGTGTAGCTTTCCACTCTATTGGGTTATTGCTAATACCTTGATAAGGATATCGTCACCCGACATGCCCACTCTACCGGCCACCACGTTGAGCGTCGTTTTGGCTGGGACACCCACGGTCTTCCTGTCGAGCACGAGATTGACAAAAAGCTCAAGATCACCGGCAAGGCGGACGTCATGAAGATGGGTATCGACAAGTACAATGCCGAGTGCCGAGACATTGTCATGCGATACTCGGACGAGTGGAAGGCCACTGTTGAGAGGATGGGTAGATGGATTGATTTCGAGACTGGTTACAAGACCTTGGACCCCACTTTCATGGAGAGTGTGTGGTGGGTCTTTGGCCAGCTGTGGCAGAAGGAGCAGGTGTACAGAGGTTTGAGGGTCATGCCTTACTCCACTGGGTGCACTACTCCCTTGAGTAACTTTGAGGCTGGTGAGGACTACCGAATGACCTCGGACCCTGCCAGTAAGTCCTTGTCTTTCTATCCTACTCTGCTGACTCGGTATAGTCACTGTCTCGTTCCCTCTCGTCGACGACCCCAACACCTCTCTCCTCGCCTGGACCACCACCCCCTACACCCTCCCCTCCAACTTGGCTCTTTGTGTCAACCCCGAGTTTACCTACATCAAGATCCACGACTTTGAGCGAGACCAGAACTTTATCCTCCTCGAGTCCTTGCTTGGCACGGTCTACAAGGAGCTCCAGGGCGGCAAGAAGCCCGACCCCAAGAAGGAGCCCAAGTTTAAAAAGGTCGGCACCTTCTTGGGTAAGGACATGGTTGGCTGGCGATACGTCCCCATGTTTGACTACTTCACCGAGCAATACGAGGACAGGGCTTTCCGAGTCCTCTCCGACCCTTACGTTACCGACTCTGACGGTACTGGTATCGTCCACCAGGCCCCCGCCTACGGTGAAGACGATCACCGAATCTGTGTCGCCCACAAGGTCACCCGAGAGGACGAGATCCCTCCTTGCCCCATCGACGAGTCTGGTCGATTCACCGCTGAAGTCCCCGAATATCAGGGCAAGCACGTCAAGGAGGCCGATGCCCCCATCATCAAGGACTTGCAAAAGAAGGGCCGTCTCATCACACGATCCGACATCATGCACTCTTACCCCTTCTGCTGGAGATCCGGTACTCCCCTCATCTACCGTGCGATCCCCTCGTGGTTCGTCCGTGTTGCCCACCTTTCCGACAAGCTTGTGGCCAATAACGAGAAGACTCGATGGGTGCCTTCTGCCATCGGCGAGGGTCGATTCGGTGGGTGGATCAGGAACGCTAGGGACTGGAACATTTCCCGAAACCGATACTGGGGTACCCCCATCCCCTTGTGGGTCAGTGAGGACTACCAGGAGATGGTCTGTGTCGGATCCATCGCCGAGTTGGAGGAGCTGTCTGGTGTCAAGGGCATCAAGGACTTGCACCGAGAGTCTATCGACCAGATCACCATCCCTTCCAAGCAAGGCAAGGGTCAGCTCAAGAGGATCGAGGAAGTCTTTGACTGTTGGTTCGAGTCTGGAAGGTGAATTGTTTCAGATCGTCTAGTGCAACGCTGACATGTCATCAGTATGCCTTACGCCCAGGCGCACTTCCCCTTCGAGAACAAGGAGCGATTCCAGAAGAGCTATCCCGCCGATTTCATCTCTGAGGGTATTGACCAGACCCGAGGTTGGTTCTACACCCTTTTGGTGCTCGGTACGCACTTGTACGACACTGCTCCTTGGAAGAACTTGATCGTCACTGGTCTTGTCTTGGCCTCGTAAGTTGCATCCTTGATTCAAGACGTTTGCTCATGGGCGAATCCAGCGACGGTAAGAAGATGTCCAAGAAGCTCAAAAACTACCCCGACCCCATGGAGGTTGTCAAAAAGTACGGAGCCGACTGTGTCCGTCTCTTCCTTGTAAACTCTCCCGTAGTGCGAGCCGAGAACCTCCGATTCCGAGAGGAAGGTGTGCGAGAGATCTTGACCAACGTCATCCTCAAGTGGATCAACTCTCTTAACTTTTACCTCGGCCAGGCCGAACTTTTCGAGCAGACTACCGGCCAGAAGTTTGTCTATGACCCCGAGGCGAAGAAGAGTGAGAATGTCATGGACCGATGGATCTTGGCTACCTGTCAGACCCTCATCCAGCACGTTGAGACCGAGATGGGCGCGTACAGGCTGTACACTGTCATTCCCAAGCTCCTCGACCTCATCTCTGATCTGACCAACTGGTACATTCGATTCAACCGAACTCGTCTTAAGGGTGCCAACGGTCCCGAGGACACCAAGTCGGCCCTGAACACCTTGTACGAGGCCCTCTTTACCCTTTGTCTTACTCTGGTACGTACAATCAACTACAATGCTGGCTGTGCTGACGTTATTCTAGTCATCTTTTACTCCCTTCACTTGTGAGACTGTCTACCAAGCTCTCCGCCCCTCCTCCCCTGCCCCCAAGGATGCCTCTGAGGACGTCCGATCTATCCACTTTTTGTCCTTCCCCAAGGTCAAGGCTGAGTACTTTGACCCTACCATTGAGAGGCAGGTGCAGAGGATGCGTGCCATTATCGACCTTGGTCGATTGATCCGAGACAGAAAGACTCTCAAGGTCAAGGTGAGTACTTGACAAACAACTCGCTTTGTGCACCGGCTGACTCTATTGTAGATCCCCTTGAAGGAGTTGATCATCTTCCACCGCAGCCAAGAGTACCTCGACGACGTCAAGTCTCTTGAGGGCTACATCATGGCAGAGCTCAACGTCACCAAGATTGTCTATACCTCTGACGAGGCTTCGGTCGGTATCAAGTACCGCGCCACCGCCGACTGGCCCACTCTTGGTAAAAAGCTCCGAAAGGACATTGGCAAGGTCAAGTCATACCTTCCCAAGATGACCTCGGACGAGTGCAAGGACTTTATTGCCACCAACAAGGTCACCATCAACGGCGTTGAGCTTGTTGAAGGCGATCTCAACATTCACCGGTTCGCCGAGTTGCCCGCTGATCAGGCCGCCGACTATGACAGTGCTAGCGACAACGATGCCATCATCTTGCTGGATATCCGCCGACACCCCGAGCTTGAGAGCCAGGCTCTCCTTCGTGGCCTCACTTCTCGAGTCAACAAGCTCAGAAAAGAGGCCGGGCTCAAGCCTTCTGACAAGGTGGATGTCTTTTACCAGTACGACGAGGGAGAGGAGGATGTCATTAGGGCGGCCATCGGTGGAAACGAGGACTTTTTGCAAAAGCAGATCGGTGCTGTGCCTGTAGAGTTGAGCCAGAAGAGCGAGGGCAGGGAGTTGCTCCAGACCGAGGTCAGAAGCAAGGAGGCCGGGGAGATTGGGCAGGGAGAGAGGTTTGTGCTTAGTCTCGCGTCGAGGGCGTAAGGCGATAGATAGCGTGATGATTTGTTTGGGTTACTGGTTTCAAATGCATACGTATGGATTCTACCACACGATGGTTGTGTGTGCATATGAATTGCATCGCTTGGAATATACAATAAGTTTGTGACTAAGATAAATGAAGACTGCTTATCTAATGTACATAGATGTACAGATGAATGTCGACGATGTGATTGACTTGTATGGCAAAAGACTGATTGAAACAGAAGGACGAAAAGACGAAAAAAAATACTTTCCCCAGAAGACAACTGAAATTTTGATTCTCTTTACGGTGTCGGCTCATTGCCCGCCTCTTGATTCTTGATCCAATCGTGACGATACTGTTCCTCGGCATCCTTGAGACTCAGCTGCATTTTGCCTATGGCGATGTCAGCAGATGGATTTAGGAGGTGTTTTGCGACCTACCGTCTTTACACGTCGCCTTGGATCTCATTTGGGCGCAAAGATCATCGATGAGAAGTGAGTCCATAGAGTTCTGAGTATTCGTAAGCATAGAACCCTTGTTGTATACGAAATACTCACCTCGTACTCCATACCCAGTTTGATCCACAGCTCGGAAGGCTTGACTGTCCGTCCATTCTCATCAATGATATGCACAATATCATGACTCTTCTTGAAAGGTCCAGGTGCGATACATGTGCCAAGATTGGCTGGCAGGCAGTCCCCAGATTCGGAACCGCTCGAAGGCTTTTGAGCGCCAGAGACACTTGTGTTGGACGATAACGGCGAGTTGCCAGAATCGGTGTTTGACCGGGAAGCGGACGACTCGGGTGAGACCCCGTTGGAATTTTGGATAAGAGGTGATGGCGACATGTTGAGATAGTTGTTGGGGCTGAATGTGGAACTACCCGTACCAATGTTGAATGCCGCAGAGGGAGAGTTGTCGGCGCCGAAAATCTTTCTCATCTGCGCATTGAATGCGTCGTCATCACCAACGGGCTCTTGTGGAGCCGCATTGTCCGAGCCAGTAAGAGAAGCAAGGAAATCAGATACACTAGAGTCGACACCACTTTCCCAGTTGGCCGCCGCGGCGTCGGCAGAGGAATCACGGAACGCGAATTTGTTCCAGTCTGACGTGTTGCCAGTCGCACCAAGGTTTGGGGTGGGCGCGGCTGGTGCAGGCGGAGGAGTTGGATCTGTCTCCATGGCAGATGCCGAGTCGGGAAAGTAGTCACTGAACCCAAAGCCAGCGTTGGTGAACGACATGAACTCGGGTTGCGAATTGAGCAACTGGAACGGACCACCTTTCGCGTCACTACTGTTTTGATTCACAGCAGGCTCGACACCGTTGGGGTAAAGACTGGACCAGAGAGCGGCAAACTCAGAGTCTCCTGCGGTGGACACGGAGCTAGGAGGGGATACCTTCTTCTCAGTTTGATGCTGAGCCGCCAGGGTGGGAACGCTAGGATCCTTGGGAGGAACACCAACACCGCCGAGTGCAAAGGCGTTGAAATGGTCTGGGAAGAGATTGGGAGGTGTCTGATCAGTACCGCTTCCGACTGACACAAGAGACTCTGGGCTATCTTTGAACAAAGACGCAGCTGAAGAGTTGCGATGCGAGGCAGGACGCATATCGTTAACACTCTTGAGACTGTCTTCGGTGTTGGTGTGAGGAGGTGTAGGGGGCTTGGGGTTCTGTGGCTGTGGTGCGTTGGTGCTAGCCGGGGTGCTCATGGGCATGGAAAAGGTGAATGCCGACTGCTTGAGAGCGACATTCTCTTCCTGCAGCCGCTTGAGGATCCCACGAAGATTCTCGTTTTCAATCTGCGCGCCATAGGCCTGACCCTCGAGCTCGGAAACCTTGTCTTCAAGCTATTGAAATATGAGAAATGGTCGATGATTGCAGCGGCATACTCACATCCTTGACCTTTGCCTCACGCCTCTCCCTAAACGCCTTTTGAGCCGCCCTGTTCTGCTCCTTTCGCCTCTCAGACTTGCTGAGCTCTTTACGCCCCTCGCCATCCGCGGTTGTCAAAGACTTGCGGCCTCCTCTCCTTCCCGAGCCCGAAGCACCCGACGCCGTCCTGCCTTTTCCATTCTGCCTCTTGTCTTCATGTCCAGACGGCAGATCAGACTCGGATCCTATGCGCAATGTCAATTCAAAGCCCGGCGAAACGGCGAGCTGACTAACCCTCCTCTTCGTCTTCTTCGGCAACTCGACTGTGCTGACCCGCCTTGCGTTTGTTGCGCACATTAGCGCCCGTACTCAACCCAGTGCTGTTCTGCCTGTCTAGGGTGGAGTCGGACTCTTCATCTGCGCTGGCGTGTCGAAGGGGCTCTGAGGACGATGGGGCAGAAGGAGGGGTGTCCTCTGGGGTGTCTCTGGCCGGAACGGGCATGCTGTTGAAGAGGGCGGCGGTGGGGAGAGAGGTGGGATTGTTTGACTGGTCATTGTTGAATGACGAGGAGAGGTAGTTGAAGAGGGCGGTGGTGTTTGGGGAAAGAGCGGACTCCATGGTGAAGGAGTGGCGAGGGGAGAGGGAGATGCGATGCGTGCATAGAGACAGGGGTTAGAATGGATTAATAACAGCTGAGTCATGCATGAGAGGGTGCCACAGGTGGATAACGCCGCTTTGCTCGATACTCATCTCCTCTGTTTGCTGTCGGCGCCCCCCGCCCGCTTCCTCCCATGGCACCCCCCCCAGCGATGGCAGCGGCAATGGGCTCCGTGCCGGGACAGAACCGCGACGCCATCATGAAACAGGTCCGTCCTCTCGCCCTCTCGTCCACGCTGACCTCCGCCACAGCTGCAGGCACTCCAGACATCCCACGCTCGCACCAAACAGCTCTCCCAACAGCCATCCAGCGGACACCAATGGCCCTCTTCGTCCCACGCCCACAGCCCATCACAGGATCACAGCCCGTCCCCAGGTCTTGCCCAGCAGGAAGGCTTCCAGCTCCCGGGCATGCCCCAGTCGGGGTCCAGCGATGGCATGTCGGCACAGGCGCAGCAGCTGGGGTCCATGTCGCAACAACAACGCGAAATGTTTCTGGCCCAGCAACAGCGATTGCAGCAGGGATACGCCCAGGGTCAGGCGCGGCCTCCGGTACCCCAGCATATCCAACAACGGCAAGGCTTTCTCAAGAGCTTTGCCCAGTACTTTCATGCCTCGGGGCAGACGCCTCCTGATGCTATATTCAACAATGGGGAAAGAGAGGGGTGTTTCAGAGTGGGTGAATACTGGATGGATGTGGTGGACTTGTTGATGGCGGTGATGAAGAGTGGCGGCATCATGGCCGTGAGTGCAGCCTTGCTGGTTTGAAAGCAGCTTACACTTCCCCTAGGCCATGCAGCAACCGCCAGACAGCCCCATGTGGCGCATGCTGCTGTCCCAGAAAGGCATTCCCGCCGTCCTTCCCCGTCCCATCGAATGTCCCAAACCCCCAAACTCTGACCCCAACTCGCCCCCAACCATGACGACCAACCCCGTCACATACCTCTCGAGTGCATACTTTGCTTGGATACAAGGTTTTGAAGTCAACATGCAGAAGAATCGACAAGCATCGTATATGCGGCAGCAGCAAGCGGCCATCGCGGCGGGTAGGCCACCGCCAGCCCCGCCTATCAACCCCAGCATCTTGAACACGCAGAGACTGTCTGGTCAAGCAGACAGTCCGTCTACACCAGGCTCGGCGGTCCCTCCTTCCCCAGCTACAAATGCCCTGTCTTTCGGTCAACAAGGCACACCGACCCCTTCCACACCTGGGGGTTCGACCCAGCCTTCAGGGACTTTGCGTAGAAAACCGTCGGATAAAAAGGACAGCCTATCAGTGAACACGAGTGCGGGGCCGGTAGATGGAGGGGCAGACACACCAGACAGCTCGGCAGGGGGCAAGAAGAGAAAGAGGGGAAAGAATGGGAAATCGCAGGAAGTGAGTGATCCGTAGCCTTTCGGGTCTACGAGCTGACATTGTTCAGGAAACGCCTGCCCCTACTCCAGCACCGGAACCAGAAGAACCAGAACCGCCCGTATCCCCATCCAAACGCCAGCGCTTTCGTGTCGAGTACCGACCCATCCACTTTCCCATCCCTACATCCGCCGGCTGGGACCCCAACATGGTCTCTGCCACCTATTCCAAAAACTCTCTCCGCCAGGGTACACGGCCGATACACGATCTTGCAGTCGTGGATATGGAAGCCGTCCTGATGAGTTTGAGAAGTAGGATGCCGAAAGAGCTGGGGTATGCGGTCACGGTGTTGGCAATGTTGTCGATGCCGCACCCGGAAGAGAATATCGGGGGGTTGCCCCTGCATCACCTGAGAGAGGTCTTTCTGGAACTGCTGGATCTGACGGACGAGATGACGTTTGGAGAAGGCGGACATCAAGCGTGGCTACAGGCACAAAACCCAGAGGTCAAAAAGGAGGACCCAGACGCCGAGACAACGGGGTCGGCGCGGGGGATGGATGATCTCAACAGATTACCATTCATTGAACTGGAACGGCTAGGGAAAGATTTCGACTTTGAGGTTCTGGGCGACGAAGAGGAGGAGCAAGTACAATGGCGCAAAGACGAGACGGGAGGCAGAACCAAGCTCGTCCTGGCCTGTGTCAACATCATGCGCAACCTCTCCATGTTGTCGGAAAACCAAGAAATCATGGCAGGCTATCCAGAAGTGATCAATCTCCTGGCTGCCCTTTGCGACGCTCGTCTTTGCCGCTTACCTGGTGAGGCCCTCGACAAGAGCACAAAGAAGCCATTTTCCGTCATGGAACTCGCCCGCGTTCGGCGAGATTTCGTGACCATCTTGCTCAACCTCGGAGGAGGTGTTGATCTGCGGCAAGCGACTCCGTCTGCCACTCTGGCAGTGTTTCGTAATCTCAGCTCCTTCCTCGCCTCAGGCTGGGAGTCCAACAATCTTCGAGAACCCATATACGGCCCAACGCTTGCCAGCTCAATCCGCGAGACCGGTCCCCCTACATCTGTCCCCTCGGTGGGCAGAGCCTTGGGAGCGTTCTCTCTCCTGACGCATCCCGATTCTAATCGCGAGGTACTCGGCCAGGTCGTCCCCCAGGATGAACTCGTCGAGCTCTTTGAGAATCTGCTCAAACTCTTACCCATCACCAGGCGTCACTTTGAAGCCATGCACTCTCTAGAAGAGTCATTAGGCCACTACGAGACCCTGGGTCTTGCCCTCTACTCTCTCGCCTTTTTATCCCCCCTCGCGGCCCGGGCAGAGATGCGCAACGTCCCAGGCAGCCTCGCCCTGATCACTCGCGTCATATTCGACACCGCCATCCAGAAAGGCCACAACGCCAGCAACCCCTTTGCCATCCTCTGCAGACGACTGTGCGAGACGTTGGGTGTTCTCAACGGTACTGTCATGCCGGGCGGGGCGGTCGAAGGGGTCAGTGGGATGAGCTTTGGAGGAGGCGGGATTGAGGGGAGTGGGTGGAAGTTTGCGAGTGAAAAGGTGGAGCAGGGGTGGTTGGCCGGGAGGGAGGAGTCGGTGCTGGCTGCCCTACTGGGCGTGAGGGATATCAACTGGACGGCGTTGGGCGAGCTGGACGGGATGCTGTGGCATACAGAGTCGGAATAGGAAGGGGAGCTCGCGCATAGAGCTAGATGACGTTTGTCAACAATTACAAGGTGTGCCAATGTAATATTCCAAGATTGTATGCAATTATATATATGCTTCATTCTGTACGTGTTGGTTTGGACTAGCCTTCCCAACCTTTTCACTGTACTCGCCGGATCTCTTGGGTAGTTGGGCAGGGCAAAAAAGGTAAGGAGGTTCGGGATTCGCCGCGCGCTGGTCGATTCTCACATGTGGATGTACTTGAACCACGGTGAGGAAAGAGGGTAAAAAAACAATAATGCAGTGTCTTGAATGGCATACAGAGTCACAACATCTGCATCTGCTCGGGGTCCACCCGCCAAAAAGCCGAAAAAAAAGCAAAAAGAAGGAGCAGGCAGGACTCGAACCTGCGCGCCTGACGGCATTCGATGAAGGAATTACAAAATTCTAATCGAACCGAGTAACCACTGTCGCACTACTCCATTCATGGAAACTTTGCTTCGCGCTACATCCAGACCGTATCAATGTCTTGTAGGTCCCTTCTCGTTCATGCATGTAGACATCACTCACAGGAGTGCACAGGTCTCTACTACTGAAAGCGTCTCAGTACCGTAGCACCGCAGATGCGACGTTTACCGGTCATGAGGTAATGTCCGAAGCCTCCACCTCTGCCTCCACCACACAAGTTCCAAATGTTCTGCGTTCTCACTACCGAGCTGACATGATTGATTCAGGGGTTGTGCCATCTCTACTGTATACGATCAACAGCTGAAGCTAGTACAACTAAGATACCGGCATAATGTCGCAAGAAAGTCTATCAACAAGCAATCTTCAGGCCCTGGTCCTTCTACAGCGACAATACTTTGCGCTTTACCCGCCATATCTGTTGACGCTTCCCGACAATCGGCTTCTCGCCTCCCCACTTGGGCAAGAATTCATCATTCAACAGTTTCTTGGAGGAAGAGAAGGGGAGGACGGAGGAGTCTCTTGGATCAGGGACTTTCAGCCCGAACAAGGGTACCAAGCAAAGTTCTGGAGGAGAGTAGTGGCTGCTATAGAGAATGGTGTAGCTATTGGCGGTCATCAACAAGGCGACGAGTGGGTAAGGTCCTTCCATCGCTATCCGCTGGCATAGCTGATATGACTCAAGGCTGTAGACGATGACATCTATGATCACGTGTCGAATCTCATGGTATCGTCCTCTACAGGGTTCCAAGTACCCAGACCGTCGTACAGGACATTTATATACGACCTGCCGGCAAAGACGCAACCTCATGCGGAGTGTACCGAGGACAAGAACGGCGGACGTATAACACTGTTGGAAGAACAGATTGTCATACAAAGCGGTACCACGGGACTGCGAACATGGCAAGTCTTTCAACATCTGTTCGGTCAGGCATTGACCATGTCACAGGACTGCAGCTCTGCATCTGGGCCACCATCTAATTCAAAACTTGTCGACTTTGTTACCTCCACTATTTGCATCGAATACAGGTTTCATCGAGATAGGTGCAGGAACTGGTCTCATTTCGATCCTTCTATCACATCTGGGATTCCCTGTCATTGCGACAGATTTGGGCGATAACGAGCAAGACTTGGAATCGGAAAGCAGCTTCAGGACGCCTTTAGGTCGTCTCCACACCAACCTGTCGTTGAGTGAGTAAATGTGTGCAGAAGAGCGGAAGGAATGCTGATCAGTCCTCATAAGACTCGTACAACAACGAGCCACCGGAAATACACCATCTGGATTGGTTTGATGCTCGAAAGGAGCCCAGCGACCCGTCATACGATCACAAATGGGCTGATCTGGTACAAGCGAGACGGAATGTGATTGCTGCAGATGTCGTGCGTTGAGTCTCCCACAAACAACGAAGACTGACGAGAACTACTTAGATCTACGACCCGGATCTTGTACCGCCTCTCGTCGATTCCATTGATGTCTTGCTGGGGAGCGCGAAGGATCAACTATGCGCCGTCGTGGCTGCTACTGTAAGAAACGAAACGACATTTGAATCATTCTTGGCGCAATGCGGTGAGTTCATCAACACGCCATGTGTTGTCGAATGCTGATGCTGTGAACAGCTCAGTACCATCTTACTGTAAAAGATATCGAGCTGCCGCCTATACCAGACGCAAATCCGACCTTTTGGGATTCTGCTCTAGACGCTGGAACAAGAGTTGCAATCATGCGAATCACCAAAGAGACCAGGTAGCTAGTACATAAATCAACATAAAAGTTTTTGCGGACCCATGTTCAAGTTGGTCCTGGTTGATCACGTCAAGTTGTACTCGATAGATACATGAATCCCCAATTTTACAACAATGTGCACCCATTCCAAAAGTAATGATTGATATAAGCAGCATGCATGGCCCCGTAAGAATACAATGCGATACGCTTATTCGGCCTCCTGGTCCTGGAGCTAAATATGTTCGTTAGCGTGGATGAAACTTGCACAAACGCTCAACGTACCAAGTCACTGTCACCAGCGTCCTGGATGGACATGACACCGACACGGTAAAGCTTACCGGCGGCGGTACCAAGGTCGACGTTGGAGCCCTCGTAGTGGTGGACTCGGGTCTTGGAACTGATGCATTGTCAGTGGTTAATCCGCGAAACATGGCAATATACTCACAGCATGGCGTAGTACTCGATCTCAGACTTTCGGATGGGGGGGCAGTTCTTGGAGATCAAGATGAGCTTGGCTGTTGGTGTCGATATCCATCCGGGTGCAGGGACAGTGAAATGGTCGCAGGAAGAGGGCAAATATGGAAAGCAATGGTTAGCATAAAGACCTTCTCAGCCCGAAGGCTCCAGTCCCGAATCGACGTTTCTCCTACGCCTCCATCGACTGCCTCAGAATTTCAACGTACCCTTGCCAGATCGGAGCTGCTTGAGGGCCTGCTTGTAACCGAGGGTGTACTTGCCGGACTTGACAACAAGCTGGAGCTTGGAGTTGACGGACTCGGAGTTCCTGGCGGACTTGGACTTCTTGACGGGGGCCATTTTTGCTGTTTTGAACTTGTTGGTTGGGAGACGAGAGAAACCTCGAAAAATCAGTTTGGCAGCGTTGAACGGAGATACCGGCATTTAGCCGTGTGGCGGAAGTGTTACGTAATGCGCCTATTGTCTCTTGCATTTGTTGAGCTCGACGCGAGTATCGTGGATAGCATTTCGCCTCTTTTCTCAAATCACAGATTGTCATTGCCAACCGATCGATACTTGTCAGCAACCCCATCAGAACCCGGCTCCCAATAACATCCATCAACACCCACCCCCAACAGTATGGCTTCTCCCCTCGTTGTCGGTCTCAGTCTTCTTGGTGCCGGTCTTGCTGGCCGTGTAGGCTATCAAATGATGCGGGCTTCCAGCGGAGGCGCAAAGGAGTTCTTGAAGGGAGGATTCAAAGGCAAAATGGACAGGTCGGAAGCGCTGCAAGTGCTGGGACTGAGGTGAGGACGTTTTCGCCTGCTTTACAGTGTAGAGTGCTGAAGTGCGATTGACAGAGAGCCTTTGACCTCCAACAAGCTCAAGGACGCCCATCGTCAGCTCATGCTTGCGAACCATCCTGATCGAGGAGGTGCCCCTTACCTTGCTGGTAAAGTGAACGAAGCGAAGGCTTTGCTTGAGTGAGTGACTTGGTTCTTCTACATGTGCGGCGTATAAGATAATTTGCTGACGGAATATCCTATTCTTCTCAAACCCGATCCATCTGTCTTCTACCGGCTTTATCATCTTCTCCCATCAATCTCATATCACTCTCGCAACCTACAGCAAGGAGGTCTCTAGGAGATAGCGATGACTGGAGAACAGAACTGGAGAAATTTGTCATGGAGGTTTAGAGCACTTGTATAATTACGTCACTTGGGATGACTTTCTACGGGCTTCCAGGATTGCATGCACTACTCTGTACAAGCAGGCTCGCCAGCCTCGCCGAAGGTACTACCGACATAATCGCGAAGATTAATGGTTGCACGTTGTCCTCGTCACACAATGCATCCAATATGACTACTGAAGTGATGCTGGTGGTGCACAATAGTACATTAGGAAAGCGACCAGGATACTGGTATGCCGTTTGCTACCATTATCTGCCCTCTTCTAGAAGGAAAGTACAGTCCCGAAGACCTCCACTTTTTGAAACCACTGGCTCGAGACTTGTTCTTCCAGTCTGACTTTCTTGATGCGCGTTTTTGCTTGTCTTCAACTTCAACCTCCGTCTCATTCCCAATCGCCATTATCCACCTCACCAAAACCCTACCATGGCGCCAGACTCAGATGCCACCGACGAGCAGCTATATGCCGAATTGCCAGCTCCTCGATACGTCTCGCCTGCAGAGTTTATCGAGACCTACCATCCCAATGTTCTTGCGCCCCTCGTTCGATGTTCAAAGCTCCCCTTTCGGCATCTCACTTCTCTATACGAGACTCATATCACCCATACTCCGATGATATTGGCAGAAGAATTCTCGCGCGCTCAGATAGCCAGGACGTCCGATTTCAGCACCAGCAGTGATGAAAGAGGCGTATATTGGATGACACCAAAGAACGGAAGCGCAAAGGGCAAAGAGAAAGAACACAACCAAGACTGTCACCCCGAAGACTGTCGACCGACAAAGGCTTGGAGAACATACCATCACCCACCATCTACCACGCGCCTGCCTCCAACTCCTGTCCCGCCCAGTGCCCATGCTGAGCTGGTTCGGGGTGTCCTGCTTGCTCAGTTCGCGTCGCCTAACGGAAAGTCTCTTGCGGATGCCGCGGAGCTCATATCTCCGTTTGTTGATGGGCTGGATCTAAACTGTGGTTGCCCGCAGAAGTGGGCTTATAATGAGGGCATCGGATGTGCTCTGCTCAGAAAACCAGATCTTGTACGGGATATGGTGAGGGCCACGAAAGACAGAATGGGATGGGACTGGCCAGTCAGTATCAAGATCAGGATTGACCAAGACCCCAAGTAAGCACGCCTCGACCGATCAGGTACCAAAAGCTCATACGTGCAGCATGACAGAGCTGTTGATATCTAATGCTCTTCAAGCCGGTATATCCCACCTTACCATACATGGCCGTAACCGCCACCAACCATCCACGGATCCTGTCAACCTTCCTGGCATCAAATTTGCGGTAGAGTGTGTGAAGGGGGAAGTGCCATGTGTAGCCAATGGTGATTTGTGGGAGCTCGAGGACGCAAGAAGGATGCGCAGAGAGACGGGCGTTGAAGGAGTCATGGCAGCAAGGGGTCTTTTAGCCAAGTGAGCTGTCCTTTATCTGGTATATGCCCTTCGCTGACTTCTCAGTCCGGCACTCTTTGCTGGCTACGACAAGACTCCCGAGCATTGCGTTTCGCAGTTCATAAATATTGGATTGGACTATGGCTTTGTCTTCCCCCTCTTCCACAGGCATCTTGCGTACATGCTCGAATCGCATATGGCCAGGGCAGAGAAGGTGTGGTTCAATTCTCTACAGTCACAAGCGTCCGCAATCGACTTTCTGGAGGAGCGCGGGATAGATTTCCGGACGCAGAGAAAGAGCCTCTGGGACGCGAGACGGGGACGTGTCGTTATAAATGCATGCTAGGATACGATGCAAATTGCCATATGCTAAAGGGATCATGATATAAAAATAGTTGTATGTACACACATAGATGCCTCAAATGCTCTCAATCTTTTTGGCTGATATCAAATGCCTCCCCATTCGGCGGCTGCTGATGATGATGTCTAGCACCTCCGTTGACCTCCCGCATCTCCATATCCTCCCCCTCGGCCAGTGTACCCATATGCGCTCGGGGAGGTCTGCTGCGTCCCCTCGACTGAGACCGGGAGGCTTCAGAGTACACCATTGTCTCGCCATCTGAATCATTGACGTGGGCCACTGCAGCGCCACCTCGCGGCATGGTAGGCGGAAGATCCTGGCGGTGTTGCGAAGAGTGCGATGACTCGCCATCTTTTTGAACGCCTCGGAGGTGCAATTTGGTGGCTGAAGGAGCCCTCGAAAGGGTGTGCGCTTCGTATTCGCCCTCGAGATCGCGTTGGTGGAATGCGTAGTCGGCCACATACTCGCCGAGTTCGACTTCCTGCAAAGCCATTGTCAGCCCAGCCCTGCAAGTAACAATCGATCCAGACTCACGTCCATACCGACGATCTCGGCCTCTTCAGTCGCGCGGAAATGGCAGCCAGGGATCAGATTGATGACAAACATGATGGCATAGGTGACGACAAAAGTCCATCCCATGCCAACGACAACCCAGACAAGCTGCTTTCCGAGTTGAACGTAATGATGGTCACTGACGATGGTCAGCAAATTCCCTTTCTTTGCCGATGAACACTCACAGCCAACCTCCGTCAATCTCCGAGAACCCGTCGTTGGCAGCGACACTCGCTTGTGTGAACAATCCAGTCATGACGACACCGACTACACCAGCGAGAGCGTGTACGGCGAAGATATCCATAGGATCGTCCACTCGCATGCTGACCTTGACGCGAGTCGCCAAATTGGAGACGGCGGCAGAGACAAGACCAATAAGAGCAGCAGCCTGTATCACGAGATCAGCTTTGCCTCCTACTGGCCAATATGAGAGACTTACGGGAGCACCAACATACCCAGCGGCAGGAGTTACAGCGACGAGGCCAGCAATAGCTCCTGTGCAGTATCCAACGACGCTCCATTTTCTCTCAAGACGGAAGTCCATGATGAGCCATACAACTCCACCGACACTTCCAGCAAGGTTGGTGTTGAAAACCGCGAGAGCTGCTTTCAGGGAAGCACCAAAGCACGAGCCACCGTTAAATCCCAGCCAGCCAACCCAGAGGAATACAGTGCCAAGAACCACATTACTGAAGATAAGATATCAGATGAAGTTCTAGGATGGAGGTAATAGACTCACCCGACATTGGATGGCTTGAAAAGAACACGCTCGGTACCGTAACCTCGTCGTTTACCACTTGATCGAAGATCAGGACATGGCCTTTAACGAAGGAACACGATCCAAAACTCACATGAAGTACGAGTACGCCAGCCCGCCGGTTCCTGAAGCAATTTCTACTGGGACTCCACCCGCGTCTGTTATGAAAGTGTCATTAGCTGGAGTTCTGCGTAAAAACATCTATGACCTACAACTACGTGAATGGTCAGCTCATGTTCATGATCGCGAAAATGCAACTTACTCGAGAATTCCCCACTTGTTCGCCCAGCCATTGACGCTCCAAACCCAATGCGCCAATGGGTCGTACACCAATGTCGTCCAGCAGAACATGAAGATCATGGCTACAAAAGCAGTCAGTGACTGCCCATAAGTGCTTGAGGGTATACAAACCAGGCAGCATTCTACTTCTCTCGGCGGCCGCTCCCAGCAACACCGCAGGCACCAGCGCGGCAAACATCTGGATGCTATTAGCAAATTGGCCCTCCAACGACTAATGCACTCACCATCTGGTATGTGGCAAACACGATCTCGGGCAGCTTTCCATTGGTTTCCGGTATGGGCCTTTCCAAGACATTTCGGAAACCAACATTCCTGACCAAAGCTCAGCAAGACTCAGCTCTGATAGCATTACAACGTACCTGCCGTCACCCCAGAAACTGCCACCACTCTCGGAAAACACCAGACTGTATCCGATGAAGAACCATTGGAATGATATGACGCCCAAAGACACCATACTGAGGAAGAGCATTGATAACGCATTCCGCCGTCTTGATAGACCAGAGTACAGGTAGCCAAGCCCAGGAAGCTAGAGATCGAAATATCAGTCTCCTCATCAGCCTCCGCACTGCGAAGCTCTGCCAGCTTGACGCACCATGAAAACGATGAGGGCAGCAGAAGTCAACACCCATGCAATATCTCCCGGGTCGTACGCTGTGCAATGGTAAGTGCTAGCAGGACACGGCGGGGAAAAATATGCTGACCAGTCTGTTCACCGGCTAGCGTCGATATAATATCCGTACCCAGGGGCTCAAAACTGACCGCCCCATCGGATGACGTGAGTAGGGCTCCATAAGTCAAGTTGACCATGTTGCAAACCTTGCAGGTGAGCGTTGCTGTGGTATGGTCCGAAGCGTCGGTGCTCGAGAGGCCGGGGTAGAAATTGGGTGCTGCTGACTGGGGAAGTTTGTGGAGATTTTTTTTTTCTTTTTTTTTTTTGGTGGTGCCGGCGTGCGAGTGCGAGATGCCGAGGGGTGTGGAGGGTGCTGTATGGGCCGCTGTACGGGTGGGCGAATGGAGGAGAGACGACAGGAAGAGAAAGAGAGAACGGTGATTCACTGGCTGCATCGGCTGGCGCATATACGATGGCTCGCTTGTCTGAAAAATAGCTAGTAATCAGTCGAACCGGGACTGGATTGGCTCATCTTAGCTTTTGATTGGAGCGGCGACCCCCGCCTTCCATAAGGCACCATCAGAGAACAGAGTGTCAGAGATCTCAGTTGGATCTCAGAGACAGGCAGAGAAGCATGTATGCTTGACAGCACGTCTCAGTGCATTATTCAGTATAACTCATTTCTACCATCTTTACCATATCGACCAACATGTCATTCGCAGGTGTGTCGATCCCGAGCCCATCACCCAGCTTGGCGAGATACCCATTGATGTAGTCAATCTCCGTCGGCCGCTTCGCCCTGACGTCTACTGCCATGGAGCAGGTGTTTCCTAACGTAGCTCGAATCACACCCTCAACAATCTTTCGGATATTCTGATAGGAAAACAAGTGTACAGTTTCCTCCGTATGCCCGCGCAACTCCATCAACGATTCAAGCACGCGCGAAGTCTCTCTATTCACCATTTCCAAGAGTTTCGGTCCATGTGGCTTGATACTCATAAGCGCGCTATTAGTGAGGCTTCCCCTTCCCACAATGGCAGAGAGAGGATTGACCGCGCAATTGACCGCAAGTTTCAACAGCAGTGACCGATGTAGGGAGCGATAGGGAAGGAGAGAAGGATTCAAGTCGGATACTGACAAAAGAGCTTGTAATGTGTCTTCAAGGTTTTTGAAGGCTGGCTCGGAGGGGCATATCGATTTCTGATGCAGGGATTGACTGTCGCTTTGGGACATATCCCAAGGTGTGCCCTCGTACCTTTTATGTGGCACAACTCCCCATTTGATGTCCCCAGCTCCGAGGGGGGTATGGTGAAGCACCTCCCCTTTGCTTGAGCCATGGGGCGATACCCCATGTGTAGTTGTACCCAAGACAAAGTGTGGTCTTGATCCTTCATCCGGCCAGAAACGAGAGCACAGCTCGTCGTACACTCCCATGCCGTTCTGGAAAAGGCTCACCACCGAGTCCCGGGACAATCGTGATACTAGAGGTGCGACGGCATCCGAAGTCTGACAAGTCTTCAAGGTGATCACCAAGGAAGATATTGCATCCCGGCGAGGGGCGGATGTGGACTCGTAGTCGAATGACTCGGATGTCGCTGCGATGCCGTCGCGGGAGACGCATAGATTCGCCCAGCGGGAGGGTTCGCGGACAAGAAGCGTCATATTGAGGGAGGATCTGGACAAGCGAATGTGATGAGACAGAAGAGTCCCGATGGACCCTAAGCCCAGCTTTGGACAAGGTATGAGTTTCAAAGCCAAGTATGGGATCCGGGTACCCACCACGTGTAATCTTGCTCTTGACATGTCTAGCTGTTGCACTTGTCTTGTCCGAGCAGGGAATACCCTAAACTTTCCCTCCTCTCGGCACCCTGTGGCCTTGCGCAAGATAGGCGAGTCGGCGACCCGGTCGCAATGGGCCGAGGAAGCTGAGTTGATTGTTGTTAGGTTGTTGATATGACTACGCTGAGATGCCAGTGCTTGTGGGTAATGGCACGGGCAGCTTGGGTAGCGATGCAACAGCTGAGAATGCTGTGACTAGCGGAAAGAGTGATTCATGATGCCATTATTGATGCCGATGGACGCAGAACGGACACCCGAACAAACCAGCCAGGCACGCAACAACAATTTCGGTCTTTGATCCCCAAGTCCTCGTCTACGTAGTACTTGCTCTATCAAGTTGCATCAAAAGCCTTAATTGGCCACAAAACATCATATTCAGCATCCATCAATCACTCGCACCATGACGGAGCTCGACAGCCGCCTAGACGCATTTCTTGAAGGCCGCAAGCAGAAGGGACGTTTCAGGACTTTAAAAGAGTACGATACATCGGCCTCCTCTGCGCTCGTTGACTTTGTGAGTGGCGCCTACCATCCCTTGATCAGATAGATGCTAAATTAACCACATTCATCCAGTCCTCCAATGACTATCTGTCTTTGACGTCTTCACCTGCTTTTCGTGCCCTATACCTCAAACGCTTGGCGACCGCCGAGTCCATCTTCGGCTCGACCGGCTCACGCCTTCTCAGTGGCTGTAGCCCCAGCCACTCATCCCTCGAGATCCGGCTTGCCGACTTTTTCAACTCCCCCTCGGCCCTGCTGTTCAACTCGGGCTGGGACGCCAATGTCTCTTTCTTTGCGACTGTCCCTCAATCCTCCGACTGGGTAGTCTACGACGAACTAGTGCATGCGTCGGTACACTCTGGACTACGGTCGTCTCGTGTCCCTGTTGAGAGAAGGGTACCGTTCAGCCACAACGACCCAGAAGCTTTCGCTCAAGTCTTGATACAAGTATCGTCCTCATCAACTTCCCAGACCTCGACCGTATTCTTGGCGCTCGAAAGCTTGTATTCGATGGACGGGGACATGTCTCCGCTTCCTGCGCTCTTGGATACTATGGAGAGCTACATTCCCAGATCTCGAATGTGCGTAGTCGTGGACGAGGCCCATTCTACGGGCGTGTATGGCCGTCAAGGGAGAGGAGTGGTGCACGCGCTGGAAGAAGGAGGCTGGGCTGCCGGTGACGATCGCCGGAGAGGGAAAGGCCGTGTGGATGTCAGGCTGATGACCTTTGGGAAGGCTGTTGGATGCTCTGGAGGTGAGTCGTAACTCTGTGTCTGTTTATGGCCGATGCTGATGCTCGCATAGCGGTCCTGCTGTGCTCTCCGACGGTGCGGACGTTCCTAATCAATTTCGCGCGGCCATTTATATTTTCCACTGCAATGCCGCACTCCACGGTAATTGCCTTGCAATGTGTCTGGGATATCTTGCAAGGGGGCGAAGGAGACGAGGTCAGTTGAGCAATACATCTGAGAGCACCGACTGATCCTTGACACAGCGTCGAAACAAGCTCATGGGTATCGCTCGCTACCTACATTCGCTACTCGATGATATGCTGGCCACAACATCTCCACGATTACTTTGTCTTCCGCCCGATCCAGTCGTACCCTTCTCCTCTTCTCTCTCGGAGCTGCCCGCCGACCCACCGACACCCATCCTTGGCCTCTTGACGCCCACGCCTCATGCCCTAGCAGCGTTTCTCCTTGAAAGGGGCTTCATAGTGCGCCCCGTGGTACCTCCTACAGTCCCTCCTGGGGGGGAGCGCGTTCGAATCTGTCTCAGGGCAGACTTGGGCAAGGACGTGGTGCACCGTTTGGTGCAAGCGTTGCGAGAATGGGTTGATCGTCAGGCTCCTTCCAAGGCGAAGCTGTGAGAGCTGGGGCTACCATCATTTTGTATCGATAGCTAGATGGCTGCCTTTATAAATGTCCATACTCTGCCCGCAATGCATACAGCTGGGTTCGCTCGACTCGCTGGCATTTGTTGAGGTCACGCACGCGGAGCCCCCGTGCCTGGTCTTGAAAAGCAGCAGCGATGATTCGTCGAGATTTCGGGTCTGTCGGCCGGACTCGAATCTCTGACTCTTTCTCGTTTTCATTAATCCACCGCCCAGCGCGATTGCCCGTCATCTCTCTTTTCTACTACATCTCACCCCCCAAAAATTCATCTTGTAAGCATCTACCCTTCTCATCCCAGCTTTCTTAGAGCACCTGGCTGACGCAGAGCCCCTTCGCCACCCCAGCTCCACCATGCCCGCCCCCACTACCGCCCCCCGAACTCTCTACGACAAGGTCTTTGACGACCACGTTGTGCACTCTGGTGAGGGTGACACCCTCATCTACATTGACCGACATCTCGTCCACGAGGTCACATCCCCACAAGCTTTCGAGGGTCTGAGAAATGCTGGCCGACAAGTCAGACGACCCGATTGCACCCTGGTCACCGTTGACCACAACATTCCGTGAGTCCTATTACATGAGTTTGTCCGCGAATCTGACATGTCTCAGCACCATTTCCCGTAAAAACTTCAAGAATGTCAACACTTTCATCAATGAGGCGGACAGTCGAGCTCAGGTTGCCGCTCTCGAAGATAACGTCAAGGGTTTCGGCCTTACCTACTTTGGCATGAACGACAAGAGACAAGGTCAGTGTACTCAAGCGACTAGAGAGCTATTATTGATTCTTTTCAGGTATTGTCCACATCATTGGCCCCGAGCAGGGTTTCACCCTCCCCGGCACCACTGTCTGCTGCGGTGACTCCCATACATCAAGTGAGCCAACTTTTCCCACTACCTGTGCACCTCTGATCGCGCTCTTTAGCCCACGGTGCTTTCGGCGCCCTCGCTTTTGGTATCGGTACATCCGAAGTTGAGCACATTCTCGCCACTCAGACCCTTCCCCAAGCCAAGTCCAAGAACATGCGCATCAACGTCGAGGGCACTCTCGCCGAGGGTGTCACCTCCAAGGACATTGTCCTCCACATCATCGGTATCATCGGTACCGCTGGTGGTACTGGATGCGTTATCGAGTTCTCTGGTTCCACCATCCGAGCTCTTAGTATGGAGGCGAGGATGTCTATCTGCAACATGGCTATCGAGGCCGGTGCCAGGGCTGGTATGATTGCCCCCGATGAGATCACATACGAGTACCTCAAGGGACGACCTCTCAGTCCCAGGCCCGGAGAGGAGTGGGAGCAGGCTGTAGCCTACTGGAACACCCTTAAGACCGACTCTGGAGCCAAGTATGATATTGAAGTCGAGATCAAGGCTGTGGACATCATTCCCACCGTCACTTGGGGAACTTCTCCCCAAGATGTGGTCAACATTGTCGGTGTCGTTCCCGACCCCAAGGACTTCCCCGAGGCCCAGCGCCCCAACATTGAGCGAGCTCTCGAGTACATGGACCTCGTCAGCGGTACTCCCATGGACCAGATCAAGATCGACAAGGCCTTCTTCGGGTCTTGTACCAACGGTCGTATCGAGGACATGCGATCTGCCGCACGAGTCATCCTCGCGTCCACAAAGAGCGGCGGTCCCTCTCATGTCGCCGAGGGCGTCTATGCTATGATCGTTCCTGGTTCGGGCTTGGTGAAGCAGCAAGCGGAGGCGGAGGGTCTCGATGTCATCTTCAGGAAGGCTGGATTTGACTGGAGAGAAGCTGGGTGCTCCATGTGTCTCGGTATGAACCCCGACCAGCTCAAGCCTGGAGAGCGATGTGCCAGTACCTCCAACCGAAACTTCGAAGGTCGTCAAGGTGCCGGTGGCCGAACCCATCTCATGTCTCCCGCCATGGTGGCTGCCGCTGCCCTCACGGGACACTTTACCGATGTCCGTACCCTCATGGGCTCTCACATCAGCGAGGACGGTGGTCTCAAGATCACTTCATACTTTGACTACCTTACCCCCGTCGAAGTGCCCGAACAACCGGTCCAGCCTACCGAAGAGACTGAAGAAGGCAAGACCCCTGTGAAGCAGGCTACCGCTGCTTCCGCCGGTCTTCCCAAGTTCAACGTCCTTCGAGGTATTGCCGCCCCGATGTGGGAAGCCAACATCGATACCGACAAGATCATCCCCAAGCAATTCCTCAAGACCCTCCTCCGGACTGGTCTCGGCAAGGCTCTCTTCTGGCCGCTCCGATACAACAACCAGACCAACGAAGAGCTCCCCGAGTTTGTTCTCAACCGTGAACCTTTCAGATCTGCTAGCATGGTTGTCTGCAAGGGTCCCAACTTTGGCTGTGGTTCTTCCCGAGAACACGCCCCTTGGGCTTTGAACGACTTTGGTATCCGCTGTATCATGGCCCCTTCGTTCGGTGATATCTTCAAGACCAAGTGAGTCCCTCTCCTCATGGGAGATGTGCCAGTATTGACGTCCATGCAGCTGTTTCAAGAACGGTATGCTCCCCCTCCAGCTCGCTCAGGCGGAGCTTGATGACCTCTATGAAGACGCTTCCCTCGGTCTGGAAATTACCGTCGACCTCGAGAACCAAGTGGTCACTAGGCCCAACGGCAAGCCTCCCATTGCTTTCTCTGTCGACCCCTTCAGAAGACACTGCCTTATCAACGGTCTCGACGACATTGGTCTTACCCTTGTTCACCGAGATGAGATTGAGAAGTTTGAGGGCAAGAGGACCGCTGTCTGGCCTTGGCTCGATGGTGTGGGTTACGCGAAGAAGGGTCAGAAGGTCATTGCTGTTCCCGTGCGTAAGGGCGTCAAGAAGACGGATTGGTAAACTCTGCTTCACAGAGGAGGGCATTTCAGGTATCACAGTTGTATATATTATCACACATATGCATGAGATTTCAACTACGTCATGAGGCGTTGCATTGCTGCTGTGATGAGCAAGGGAGAGCAGAACATGTATCGGTTTTATTGAGCCTAGTATCGGTGACATGTCATCATCCATACCATATACAAAACATCCTCAGCATGAAAGGAGTAGTGCGACAGTGGTTACTCGGTTCGATTAGAATTTTGTAATTCCTTCATCGAATGCCGTCAGGCGCGCAGGTTCGAGTCCTGCCTGCTCCTCTTTTTTTTCTTTTTGATGGGTAGACTGGTGATCTCTAAGCATATGCATATGTGATTCGGTATGCCGTTCACAGAAACCCATGTTTTTTTACCTTCCTTCCTCGCCGTGGTTCAAGTACGTCACGCGCGCATGTGGAGGCAAACGAATCTCGAACAGCGACGTCAGCCGTTCTTTTTGCATCTCCTTCGAGTCCTTACATCTTCGTGGCAATTCCATTCTTTTCCCGGCGTCGACATCATCTGTGTGTGTCTAGTCTCAACCTCCATCCCTCAGACCATGGTTCTACTCCGACACTTGTCCCAAAATATCCTACGGCCTGGCTTGGTACGGCCTCATGCCATCTGTACTCGGTATCTTCAACCACGGCCGACTGGCATCCTTCGATCAGCTCGGCTCGCTTCCTCCACCGTCGACCGTCCACCGGTTCCACCAAAGGCTGCACGCTTTTCAAAGATCCCAGCTTCTCACAAACCTCCTAAGAGACGTTTGGAAGCTGCGTCCCAACCTCTACGAAATGCGGCCTCCATGACTCGAGGCCCAGTCCTCCAGTGCATTGCGCATACGACCGCAGAAAAGTACGACCTCTCTGCTCTCAGCAAAGCGCTGAAGTCACTCGGTGTGCGATGGGATGAGGTTCCGGAAGGAGATCCTGATCGTGCATTTGTCATCGGCCCGTGGAAAGGTCGAGGAGGGGCAGAGCGTTTAATACGAGGCAAAGTCAACAAATCCAATCCCGCTATTCAGAAAAGCCCTGTGCTTGAATGGGCAGAGAATGAGGCGCATGATCTGCGAGATATGGGCTTTGGCTATGGGGAGCGAGGAGAAATCTGGGTTTTCAATTCTGGCTCGTTTGTCACTTGGGGTTTGACGGAGGAAGAAGGGAGAGCTTTCCTGAGAGAAGTCATCAGGAGTGGGGGGGCTGATGTAGAAATCGCCCGAGTAGCCCCTACAGAGTACGAAGTAGAGCAGGTCGACTTTGTGGTGGATCCTACAGCGTAAGTCGACCTATAATCCAATGTACAGCCGCTAACTTATGACAGGCGTACACATATATTGGGAAACCTCATTCTACTTGGCCGCCCGCCTAGGCTATCGACCTTCCACCCTTCCCCGTCTTTGGCTTCGCTGTTGGCGAGATACACTTTATCTCTCTCGCTGTCACGGTCATCGTCTCTGTCCGTGTTGGAAGACCGACTGGATAGCCACATTGCTTCAGTCTCTCGTCTTCCGCGGGCTCTGGAGAAATACGGGCGACAACCTATGCCGAGAAAGGAAGTCATACAGAAGATGGGCGAAGTAATGACCTTGAGAATGGCTGTCAATACCAGTGGCGGTGGCCTGGATGATACTCCTGAAGTAAGTACCGTTGTTTCCAAGTTTTCAAGTTTTGCATCACTCACTCATAATGTCGCGCAGTTCTACTGGTCGGAACCTGAACTAGAATGTCAGTCAAGTCTGAGACTGGACGAGAGTAAAAAGCTGAACGAACACTTGTAGCCTACTTTGACTCGGTCGCAAGTGAATTTGAGATCAAAGAGAGAGTCGAGTCTTTCAACCAGAAGCTCGATTATGCGGAAGATGTTCAAAACACTCTTCGTGCTCTCTTAACAGAGGTGTGTCAATGCCTGTGGGACAAGTCACCTTGCTGACATGTCTAGTCCTCTGCTCATCGAATGGAAATTATCATTATCCTGCTTATCAGCGTTGAAGTGATCATTGTGAGTAAGCTCATACCATGCTTGCTGTCTCTGACGCCTTTTAGGTACTCATTCGTGAAGGACCCGAGCTTGTGCACAAGTTCGCCGAGGCATTGGGTCTTGCCCCTGCCGAAGCTGAGGAGCTGGCAGATAAGCTGCAGGACGTCGCCGATAGATTACCTCCGATGGGCATACTCCCACCTAAGCAGGACAGAAATGATCATTGGGCTGATGGACCTAAGCGCCAAGTCTGAGCTATCTCTATACTCCAATCCCACTGCATGCACACCTCATCTTCATAGCTGGTACAAAAGTTCCCGTCTTCTACATCGTATGATCGGCGATGCGGTAATCTATGAAATGCTATGCATACCCAAATACCCAAATGCGAATGATATGATAAGTTGGTTCATTAAGCCTTGACACCAGTCCACATGGTTGCGATACCAAAGGTAAAGTCAACCCACGCACCACCCTTGCCCTCCTTCAATTGCCCGGTCTTGAAACCAGCCTCCTGCACCAACTTGGCGAATTCGGGCTGGCTGGGGAACCTCTCAATACTCTCCACGAGGTATTGGTAGCTCTCCGCATCTCCGGCAAGGATTTTGCCCATCACGGGAATGAATTGGAAAGAGTACTGCCTGTACACTTCCCGCAAGAGAGGGTTCTGCACTTTGCCAAACTCGAGCACACCAATTCTGCCTCCGGGCTTGAGCACGCGGTAAGCTTCCGAGAGGACGGCGGGAAGGGATGTGCAGTTTCGGATACCGAAAGCGATGGTGTAGAGGTCGATAGAGTTGTCGGCGATGTGGGTGGGGAGTTGTTGGGCGTTGCCGTGGGTGAAGGCGATCTGAGGGGCTACATCGAGTGTCAGGACAGACCTGGCGCAGATATAATGTACACACTGTTGTAGTACATGGTCTTTGTGACTCTCTTCCTGCCCTCGTTCAACATGCCCTCATTCAAGTCGACGATCTCGACCTCGATATCCCTGCACGCAAACTTGTCCTTGGCTCGGTCCAGTAATCTCAGAGCGATATCACCGGTACCTCCAGCGACATCGAGACACTTGAATACTGGCTTGTCTGCTGAGACGGGATCCGAGGGGTTGCGGTGGAAGGACGGGGGGAGACGGGGGAGCATGGAAGAGACGAATTCGTCTTTCCAGAGACGGTGGATACCGAGGGACATCGAGTCGTTCATGATATCATAGCTGGAAGCGACCGAGCTGAAGACAGAGCCGACTGCATCACTGTAAGCAGATATAACTCGGCTGGCATGAATGGCTCACCAAGAGACTCTTTCTGCGATTCCGGGACATCTCGGAAGCCAAAGTGGGTTGTCTTGTCTGCCGCAGGGTCGGGGATGGCGAGGCGGGCGGCGGTGGTGGAGAGGTGTCTGGGGGGCAGCCTGGCGGCCGCTCTGAGGGCGGGGGCTGCGCTGCGAAGGTGCATGGTGGTGGAGCGAGGTGAGTGCACTTGGGAAAAAGATGCGATGATGTGCCCTGAACCAGCGGCGCCAGCCTTTTGATCGCGTCCACAAAATTCATATCTCATGTTTCCTCATCTCGCTTTTCTTTTACTCTTTGTACCATACAAGCCTTCATAAACCTCCCTCGACACTTCTCGGATCCCCCTCAGCATCCCCCCACCCTCTCCATCTTCAGCAAATAGACAATAGACAAGACCACCCTCTTTCTCAGCTCGAACTTTAACGGCGCCACAGCGATGATCAGCTTATCGCTACAGTCCACCATCCTCCTACTCACCGCCCAACTATTTTTTCCCATACCCCTCGCATCTGCTTCACCCAGTACGGATCACGCCTCTGCAAATGTGGTGATACTAGAGAGATCTTCTGGGGTGGAGCCACACGACATCATAGGGTCGGCGGCGAGCCTACGGAAGCGAGCCAGTGGGTATAACGACCCCAGGACCGAGGGAGGATACATGGTCACCGTAAGTCTTATTGCCATACCGGGACAAGGTGTATTCGCGCTCGAGGCGTGTAGGACCACACACGATGACTGTTCTTTCATCAAAGCTGACTTTGTGCCCTCGCTGTTGTAGATTGTCAACGGAACATACCCAGCCGGCCTGGGTGAACCGCTCAATGTCATCCTCTCCGGTGACTCGGACGATGCAGTGCTCGTAAAAAGCGCCGACAACGGAGGGTTCTTGAATTACATGCTGTACGTGCCGCGCACTTGCCTTATCTCGGTCAAAGTCTGACATGTCGCAGAGCCTCGGGTTTGGGTGAAGAATGTCTTGGCCAACACTTGGGCGCAGACCAAGAAGCAAACCTCGGTGACGGTCAAGGCAATGTGACCGAAGTCGAAGAGTTGAGGTACAACTACGGAGATCCATACATCGGAACTTGCCAGGAGACTTTCAATGGTGGTCTGCATCTGAGATATTGGATTCAGAACCCCACTGGAGCGTACTTTATGGCTGTCAGTGTGGAGCAGAGTCTTTCTTTGGGACACGATATCATTGCCGACGGGTGAGCCACCACACATATCTATTTCGGTGCGCACACTGACACCGTGCAGCTACAACATCGGCCGAGATGAGCTTGTCGGCAACATGACTGGGCAGACTATTGACACTCGAGGTCTGACCAATGGCTCGACTGTCAGCGGATCAGCGACCTACAACAATTACACATATCAGACCGATGTCGAATATGTCCCCGGGTTACTATCCAACTCTAGTGGTGAGTCCTGATGCTGTAGTCAAAGACTGTGCTGATAAGCGTTGCAGACGACATCAACCACTATCTCACGTGAGGCTCATGTCATGCGACATTGGAAAGACTATGCTGACGTCTGTACGGTGTGGAGGAGGACGGGTACCCCGCTATTGATGGACTGGTGGCGGTTTTGACCGTCAAGATCACCGACCAGCCCAGCTCGTGAGTCTGATTCATCAACTGCACATGCGTATGCTCATATTTCGTCTCACAGATTCGCTCTGCCCGCTTTGGCGTCATATCCCGCTTTATCGCTGATGCCCTTGCTCATCTGTTCCCTTGTCACTTTGATTTGAGTTCTCTTTTCAAGTCGTGATGGCTTATACCCTGTCCATTCTACTTCAAATGCGGCTACCTATCGCTTGACCATCTATCATATGTCTTGATACAATTCTTGCGAAGACCAGTATCTTTATTGTAGCCTTGCCCCTGCTTATACTCACGATATCCCTTTTGGACTCTTTTTGTCATTTCCTTCTTCGGATTTTCTTCTTGTCATATATACCCCAACTAGATTAGATACAAGTTTCTTCCTGGCGTGTCACTATAGAATTCAAAACAGCGCATAGACGGCGATTGGTGGATGTATGTAAAGGAAGTTCGTTGAAAGCCCTGAAATGGTTCCGTTTGGTTCGGCACCTGCCGCCCTCGGCGCTTTCTTCCTCTGCGTCTATACATACTCTATCGACTGTCCTTGGCCTCTGAAGGATACAACGAAAACATTCTGCCGGTCACATCAATCCCATCGGAATTCAACCAATGAACAAGAACGCCGAATCCACCAACGCCTCTTCTGTAGCCAACAGAAAATCCTCCGTCTACGTTTCTGGCATTGCCCCAGCTGTCAACGAAGAACAGCTCTTGCAGGCGTTTGTCACATTTGGAGACATCATTGAAATCAAAATACCCCACGAGCCCCATGACCGTGAGTCTCTTTACGACGGCCGTGTTTGTGGCAGGATGCTCATGCACAACCAATAGCCAAAAAGCACCGAGGTTATGCTTTCATAACCTTCTCATCTGCCGCCGATGCGCAAGAAGCCATCGACAACTATGACTTGAATCAACTACCAGGATATCAAGGGAGCGATAAATTCTTGAAGTGCAGTCTGGCACAGCCGAGCAAGTATGTGGATGAGAGTGGAAGAGGTGACCGCCCTAGTATGTCGTTTGCATCCCGCCACATGAGTCTTTGCTGACCGCGTGTGTAGTCTGGGAAACAGAAGAATGGAGAGCAGAGCACGGACAGCCGAAAGAAGACGGGGAGGGAAACGCTGGAGAGTCATAGTCAGATAGAACCATGTGATACTACTATACACCTGTTGTAAAAAGTCCCCCGATAAAGTCCCCCGCGACTGGTAAAACGCGGACGTCATGGCCGCGCTGTCCTCCTGAGACCTTGCCGCTTCCGTCAGTCGCTCTGTGCTTCTCTCAGCTTTCTCTTATTTCCATCCAACCGAATCAGCCGCTTTCTTCTTCCCCTTTCTACTGTATAACGCCGGATAGATTCGCAGAGAGCTATACGATTCATACTCCTACCTGGATTCCAAAGAAAGCTTTAGAACTTCAGCAGAATGGCGTCTCCTATCGAGGTTGACCAAGCCGTCCCCGGCGACTCCAGTACGTTCTCCAGCTATTCCGAGGGGCGCAAGCTGACATACCTAATTCAATTAGTTGATGGTGAGACTGAACGTGACCAAGACAAACTAAGAGCTTTGCTGACAAAAGACGTGCAACAGAGGGCTTGTACTCTCGGCAACTGTGAGTTGCGGCATCCTGCCAAGCAAGCGATTCTTCTCTGATACTGACTTGATGTTTCTAGCTATGTATTGGGTCACGAGGGTGAGCTATCTCATGAGCGACATCGTAGATGAGCTGACGATGGTGTAGCTATGAAGAAGATGGCCAGTTCCAACGTTTTGATCGTCGGGATGAAGGGTCTTGGTGTCGAGATTGGTCAGTAATGAGTTCTCCGCCCCATATATGCTCTCATTGGAGTCATGCTCATGCTCATGCTCTCACAGCCAAGAACGTCGCTTTGGCTGGTGTCAAGACTGTCACCATCTACGACCCTTCACCTGTCGAGATTGCGGATCTTGGTACTCAAGTGAGTTTTTCAACATGCACGGGACCATATCCTGATGCGATCGCAGTTCTTCCTTCGCGAAGAAGACGTCGGCAAGTCAAGGGCCGAGGTTACCGCCCCTCGCCTCGCTGAATTGAATACCTACGTCCCGGTCTCTATCCTTCCCGGCGCCGGCGAGATCTCTCCCGAAATGATCGATCCTTATCAAGTCGTGGTTCTCACCAACGCCACCACTCGGAAGCAAGTTGAGATCGATGAATACGCTAGGCAGAAGGGCATCTACTTCATCTCGGCGGATGTGCGAGGATTGTTCGGAAGCGTCTTCAATGACTTTGGCAAGGACTTTGCCTGTGTGGACTCTACCGGAGAAAACCCCCAGAGTGGTATCATTGCTGCTATCGACCAGGTCAGCAGGCTCTGAGATGTTCTACTGAATGCTGACAAGCTGGCAGGATGAAGAAGGCATCGTCACCTGCCTCGACGAGACTCGACACGGTCTTGAAGACGGCGACTTTGTGACATTCTCAGAGCTCAAGGGAATGGAGGCTCTCAATGGCGGCGAGCCTCGGAAGGTGACTGTCAAGGGCCCTTACACCTTCTCGATCGGCGACACTCGAGGCCTTGGCGAGTACAAGACCGGTGGTCTCTTCACCCAGGTCAAGGTGCCCAAGATCCTCCAATTCAAGTCTCTCAAGGAGAGTCTTGCCGAGCCTGAGCTCTTCATCACCGACTTTGCCAAGTGGGACAGGCCTCAGACTTTGCACGTCGGTTTCCAGGCGCTCTCCGCTTTCTACGAAAAGATTGGGACTCTTCCCCGACCTCGACATGCTGGCGACGCTCAACAGGTCATTGCTCTTGCCAAGGAAATCCACGCTGCCAACAAGGGTGAAGGGGATCTTGACGAAAAGACCCTCACTGAGCTCGCATTGCAGGCTACCGGCGACTTGTCGCCCATGGTCGCTGTCGTCGGTGGTTTCGTCGCCCAGGAGGTCTTGAAGGCTTGCTCTGCCAAGTTCCACCCCATGCAGCAGAACATGTACCTTGACTCGCTCGAGTCGCTCCCCACCAACCTTCCTTCCGAGGCCGATTGCCAGCCCATCGGCTCCAGATACGACGGCCAGATTGCGGTGTTTGGCAAAACATTCCAAGACAAGATTGCCAACATCAAACAGTTCCTCGTCGGTTCTGGTGCTATTGGCTGTGAGATGTTGAAGAACTGGAGTATGATGGGCCTCGCTACTGGTCCCGAGGGTATCATCCATGTCACCGACTTGGACACTATCGAAAAGTCAAACTTGAACCGACAATTCTTGTTCAGGGCCAAGGATGTGGGCAAGTTCAAAGCGGAGAGTGCGGCTAGAGCCGTGGCTGAGATGAATCCCGAGTTGAAGGGCAAGATTATTCCGCACGAGGACAGGGTTGGTCCCGAGACCGAGGGTGAGTACTTTTCCATGGTCCGTCGTTCAGAACTCGTCTAACGCTCTGCACAGACGTTTACGGCGATGACTTCTTTGGGGCCCTTGACGGTGTCACTAATGCGCTCGACAATGTGTCTGCTCGTCAGTACATGGACCGAAGATGTGTCTTCTACCGCAAGCCTCTTCTTGAGTCCGGTACTTTGGGCACCAAGGCCAATACCCAGGTCGTTGTTCCCCATCTCACCGAGTCCTACTCTTCCTCTCAAGACCCTCCCGAGAAGTCTATCCCTTCTTGTACCGTCAAGAACTTCCCCAACGCCATTGAACACACTATTCAATGGGCACGAGAGGCTTTCGACAGCTTGTTCGTCAACCCCCCCACCACTGTCAATCTGTACCTCTCCCAGCCTGACTTTGTTGAGACTACTCTGAAGTCTTCTGGGCAGCACCATGAGCAGCTCAAGCAGATCGAAAAGTATCTCGCCAAGGAGAAACCCATCTCTTTCGAGGAGTGCATTGCATGGGCTAGGCTGCAATACGAGCGGGACTATGTAAACGAGATCAAACAGCTGTTGTTCAATCTGCCAAAGGATCAGGTCAACTCCAACGGTACTCCCTTCTGGTCCGGACCGAAGAGGGCGCCGGATGCCTTGGCCTTCAACATTGACGACGTAAGTTGACAATTGTGATCAATACATGAGCTAATCCTGTCGCAGCCACTTGATTTGGAGTACTTGATTGCGGCCGCCAACCTGCACGCTTTCAACTACGGCCTGAAGGGCGAGCGTGACCCTGCCTTGTTCCGAAAGGTCGTTGAGGGCATGCAAATCGACGAATTCAAGCCCAAGAGCGGTGTCAAAGTCCAGATCAATGAGAACGAGCCTGTCGCCAACGACAACGACGAGGAGGAGGACATGGACGCTATCGTCTCTTCCCTGCCTCCTCCCGCTTCTCTCGCTGGCTTCCGTCTCCAGCCTGTAGACTTTGAGAAGGACGATGACAGCAATCATCACATCGACTTTATCACGGCTGCTTCCAATCTGCGAGCGCGCAACTATGGCATCACCCTTGCCGACAAGCACAAGACCAAGCTCATTGCAGGCAAGATCATTCCTGCTATCGCTACCACTACTGCTCTTGCTGTTGGTCTCGTCTGTCTTGAGCTCTACAAGCTCATCGACGGCAAGAACAAGCTTGAGGACTACAAGAACGGGTTCGTCAACCTGGCTCTTCCCTTCTTTGGCTTCTCTGAGCCTATTGCCGCCCCCAAGCAAAAGTACAATGAAACCGAGTGGACGTTGTGGGATAGGTTTGAGCTGAACGGGAACCCTACTCTGCGAGAGTTCTTGGACTGGTTCAAGAACGAGCACAAGTTCGAGGTGCAGATGGTTAGTCAAGGGGTGTCAATGCTGTGGAGTTCTTTCGTGGCTCCTAAGAAGGTACGCCATCTTCCCCCCGGATTTGTTTCAAGCTAACGTAATACCAGGCGGCCGACCGAATGAACATGCCAATGAGCGAGCTCGTCGAACACGTGAGCAAGAAGCCTATTCCCCCGCATGTGAAGAACCTCTTGGTGGAGGTCATGGTAGAGGATGAGAACGAGGAGGATGTCGAAGTTCCCTATGTTTTGGTCCACATCTAAGCAGGTATGGACGCTGGTTCGTGACAAAGAGTGAAAGCAAGGAAGAAGTCGTTCTATTACATGTAATAGTATCAAGTTGAATGATTTGTCGCTCTAGCACAAAGCTGGCTCTTTATCCGCTCAACTATTGGCGATCTCGCTGTACTGTATGCACAGAGCGTATCGTACACACTGATCTAGGTGTTGAGCAGAGGGAACCATCAATCGTGGTGACAAGTTCCGGATTCGGCAAATGATAACCGGTGGACAAACGCCCACGCGAAGCCCAGCGCTTTGGAATCTTGGTGGATGCTGTAGATTGACCTGTTGTATATTTCTCGTCACTGTCTGACTCTTGTCATTGACGATAACCATGCCGCCAGCCTATTACCCCGAACACATCGATTACGCTCGTCAAGGCATAGTGAGTGCGGCCGCCGCGGCAAGCTGCGTGAGTTGAGGCAGAGATCGCGATGACGACGTACTTCGGCAGGAAACTCCTGGGACCCGTAGAGATGGACAGACTGGTATGTGAATGAGTACCGCGTAGCTGTTTCCTTGGCTGAAGAGAAACGGTTTCTGCTTTGCTAGGTATCTGGAAAGGAGGCAAGCCAGCGAACGCATCGCACAGCGCCGATAATGACCACGCTTGTGCAGGTATCTTCGACCCCGCCGATTTGAAAGACTCGAAAGAGCCCCAGGATCTCTCTAGACTGCTCGACGACTGTGAGTATATGCTTGTCGCGTTGTCACATCGGGAGACTTCGACGACATTTGACGACGACAGCTACGAACCGTGCACAACGCTGACCTCTTTGATCTTCGATTGTCATCATCAGCGGCTTCTCGATACCCGCAAAGAGTGCTTTTTCAGCGTCGGTCGCTCCATCCGTCATCCACTCCTTCAACATTGGTATACAGCAATTCTATCATCGAGACTACTTATGCCGAGGTCCAGTCTCGCCGCGACGCTTTTGGCTCTGGCCTTCTCGCCCTTGAACGCGAGGGCCAGCTCACCTCTTCGACTTCTCTAGAGGCAAGTCCTGTGGAGATCAAGCATACCGGTGTACCATTCTATGGTGATGATAACAGAAAGAAAGGAAGAGCCAGAAGAGGGTGGGCGGTAGGCTTGTGGAGTGGTAACAGAGAAGAGTGGCAGGTCGTAGATCAGGCATGTCAGGCATATGGACTTGTCGCAGTTGCCTTGTATGCAACACTGGGTCCACAGGTCGCTCGATACATGTAAGTGGTATCATTTACAAGACGAATAATGCTCATTCAGCTTGTTGTCAGCACCAATCATTGTCCCCTATCTTTGATTGTTGCATCAGGCGACCACCTGCCCGCCCTGCTAAAGATTGCTCCTCACTGCCCTACTCTTCGTGTCATCGTCACCATGGACGCCTTTCCTCCTTCTGAATGGGAAATAATTCAACAATGGGCTCACTCAATCAACATCAAGCTTTATACCTTCAATGACGTCGAAGCAAGAGGTAGAGCTGACCTTCTCTCCCCGGGACCAGAACCGGGCGAGGAAGATATCAGCAAGAACAGAGTAGTGGCTATCAGCTACACCAGTGGTACCACAGGTGAGTCGGCATAGCTTTTAGCTGGCAAGATCTGACTTCATTCCCAAAAGGCGACCCCAAAGGTGTCGTCATCACAAGCTCCAACCTCCTATACGCGACCTTGTCCATAGCCGCCGGCTATAGCGACCGCTTGAAGGGCATTCATTGGAAGCTGCTCTCTTTCCTACCTCTCGGCCACATGTAAGCATGGGACGATCAAATTCACCTCGCTCAAGTCACACTCCCTTTGCAGCTATGAGCGTGTCCTTGAGAGTGTGGCGCTATACTATGGCGCGACTATCGCTTTCTCTCAGTGCGATCCCGCCAAGTTCCTGGAAGATGCTCAGTTCTTCAAGCCCCATATGCTTCCCGGTGTACCCAGAATGTGGAACAGGTATCTCTTTGCTCTCTTTGGGATAATGACTCTGGGGAGCTGATGAATGTTCGACGCATAGGATCAGCAGCGCCATCACAGACCAGATGAAAGCCCCGGGTCTCAAAGGCGCTCTTTTGAGGAAGGCAGTGGCCACCAAGCTAGCCGACTGGGAAGAGACCGGCCAGGTTACTCATACGGTCTATGATGCTCTCGTCTTCCGTAAAGTGCGTGTCTTTGACGGTTATGTGCGCGAAAGAGGGAAGGCTGACGAGGTACAACAGATCAAGGCTCTCGCCGGCGGTGAAGTCATATTCATGACCACAGGCTCTGCCCCTCTCCGTCCCGATGTACATGCGCTACTGAAAGTATGCTTCTGTGCCGACTTTGTGCAAGGGGTGAGTATCTCTTACTTCCAGCCTTGATTAAGGGCTGATGTAAAACGCAGTTTGGTATGACCGAGGTGAGGCAGTCTGTCGGTTGAATCACGACGAGACCAGAATGACTAATGTTCTTTTGCGACCCTTCCCAGACAATGTCTACGGGTGCCCTCAAGTACAGAGTCTCACAAGTACCATCCAAGCCTGATCTGACCACTTTTGTTCACAGTATACCCAACGACAAGACATCCCTTGGAACTTGCGGATTTCTCGCGTCCTGTAATGAGGCGAAGCTTGTGGATGTCCCGGACATGAACGTGCGTTTCTATCTATCTTGGGCTCTAAAGATAATGGGAATGAATGCTCACATCGGGTAATCCAAAGTACCACGCCACTGACCAGCCCAATCCTCGTGGAGAGTAAGCATGACAACTCCTCATTGCAACTTGTTGAGGTCTGCTGTGCTGACTGAAAACTGCCTCGAATTCAGACTTTGCATGAGAGGCTATAACGTCTCCCCTGGATATCTTCACAATGAAAAGGCTACTGCAGAGGCAATTGACGACGAAGGGTGGTTCCATACCGGGGAGTAAGTATCGAAAGCTCTGATATTACTCATTCGATCCGTCAATCGAGCGTGGCTGACCTCAGCTAGCATCGGCGAGTTTGACGCTTGTGGTCGATTGAAGATCATCGACCGTCTCAAGAACGTCATCAAACTCAGTCAAGGGCAAGTCGCCTTACGCAAATTGTGTGATCAGCTGACCGATGCGTTTTAGCGAGTACGTGGCTCTCGAGAAACTCGAAGGTCTGTATGCCTCCAACCCCCTCTTCGCCTCATTGCTAGTCCACGGTGACTCTACACGCTCTCACCTTATCGCTCTTGCCGTCCTCGACCCCGAACAGGCGTCGAAACTTGTTTGGAAAGTGTTGAAGAAGGGTGTCAGAGCGGAGGATGTCAAGCAGTTGGAAATGGCGGTGAAAGAGAATGAGGTGAGGAAGGTAGTACTGAGGCAGCTGGCAAAAGTGGCAGCAAAGAACGGTCTGAACGGGTAAGCATCTGATCGTACATTTGCTGGGCTTCAAGCTGACAAGGATCCAGATTTGAGATGATCAAGGGCTTGCATCTGACTGTCCGACCTTTTCCAGACGAGATTCTCACTCCTACTTTCAAGGTCAAGCGCAACATTGCCGCTAAAGTCTTCAGAGACGTCATCGAAGAGGTCTACAGCAGGGGTGAAGGGGAGGTGAAAGAGCCTCTTGCGCCTTTGCCGAGAGTGTCTCGAGGTTGATGATGGCTGTCTACCTCTTACATCGCGTCACGTATATGCAAGTAGACTACTCGTACTGTACTCCTCTATTCCTGTCTGGCAACCGTCGAATGTCGTACTTTCCAATCAATGTTAGTTTTGCGCTTCCTTCTTGGCGAATCACTTCGATCGGCATAGACGCTCAACATAGAAGATCACAATGATGCAGACCGAGCCATTCATCCGGTAATTCTGGAGAAAGGATAGAGAGCGGAAAATGCCCGAGTGAAACAAGGGATCGGTGGGTCTGTCGGAAACTTGGGCCAAGCTTGCAGATATAATGCGCATGCTGTCAGTCAGAAGTACATGGGTACATAGGACATAGAACCGGCATAGCGCATAAGGTGTATAGGGTGCATGGGCTGATTCCTGGAATACACGGGCTAACGGGACATGCACCAGACACCATGCACCAGCACCAGAAGCGCCCAGCGGGGTACTAGGGTAGGAACACCCTGTTCCGACAATTACTTCGAAGCCTAAAGGTGCATGAGCAGCGCAATCGTCTGTCGTCTGTCGTGTATGCACTAAGAGTACAACGTAAGAGCCAGGCCCTGTACTCCAGAGATTGACAGGCGGCAAAAGGCATGTCTGATGTCTGCTACATATGGCACGGAATAGTGGCTTACAGTAGACATGGATGGACCACCAGCTAGGGATTCCAGGGGAGGCATACAGTTCAAAGACGATTGAGGTGACTCGCATGGGTAGTACCATCACGCCCTGCCACTGATTACCGTCGTTGAGTGACAGCCTCTATCTATACCGCACGCTTATAAACCACCCTCTTTCGCAAGCTTCCATCATCTCGCTCTTCCACCGCTCGTCCCACATCCAGCATGCTGCTCACCTTCTACCCACCCAATCTCGACTTCACTCGCCAGGGTCATGTAAGCCACTCCACATTGCCTCCTCCTCCCACCTCACGCGGCGTTGGAGAATTACTGCTCACCGCTCTCCTAGGAGGTACCCGGGACTCAAAGACTGGGCCAGACAGGTGAAATCCTTCTCACAACACTGTACATATCATGTATAGCTACTGATGTTGTGCCCTACTATAGGCGTTTGGAAAGGAGGCAAGTGGACTTCATTGACCGCCTTCTTGTCAGGCGACTGACATTCTCACAGCTATCTTTGACTCGAAATTTATCATGGACCCCAGCGAGCCTCAGGATATCTGGAAGGTGTTTGAAGACAGTGAGTGACTGACATGACCGTTCCATCTCTGCGCTGGGCATCAGAGTCATCCACTCCGTTGTTGTCCCAAGATGCATGATGACGTTGCTCAAGCTGACACCATGCCTACCGCTAGCTGTCAACAAGTATCCCGAACGGGCATCTTTTCAACGCCGAGGACTCTTCCCATCTTCGACTCCCTCATCTCCAGTATACAACGACACTATCATAGAGACCACATACGCTGCTGCTCGTCACAGAAATCTACCGGGAGGAGATCGAGGCAGCTTTTGCGAGGGCCGAAAAAGAGGCTATTGGCAATTAGGTTCGCGAGAGTTTATGTTGCGATATATAGGGACACATGCATTGTTGGCATGATCATCAAGGAGAGACGTTGTATCTATAATCATTCATCACACCTCGTCACACCTCGGCGGGGACACAAAACGATGATGTGGAAGCGCGACGCGTCTTTGTTGTTTTTCTGCATGATCCCAGTCTTGTTGATAGTTCTACCGTTTCTACGCTACCACTGATAATCCGCAAGGGCCATGTTCCATCATCCCCCATCCTCTAGGTCTCCTTCTGCCACCCCAGCCCCTCTCCCCGGCGCATTGCAGCCAGAGTTGCACGAGGGGGGTCTCGCTGCAGACCCGTCGGAAAGTCGCTACAGGACAAAAGTCATTCGAGATGATGTTGAAAGAAGAGAACATGCGAGGATGGGAGCTATCATGCCCGGAACGGGAGATGGATCAGCGCTCGGGGAGGAGTGTTTCTTGTGGACTGATGTGCCCAATGTCAAGAGTAAGTTGCGGTGATCTGTATGAGCGCGGCACTCACGAACAAGCAGACTTTAGATACATCCCCTGTGCTCTCTCCTCAACCCCCTCTCCACACCCATCGGTTCCTTTCTACCGCACAATCCCCTATCCTCCCCCAGTCCCGCTAGTACACCTATCCCTCCTCGACCGCTCAAATTACCTGCGGATATCACCTTCCTTGCTCACTGTCTGCAACGAACGCGGATTCCGCTCTTGTCGTGCAAACGTGTCTGTTCGTGAAGGCGCTTGGTACTATGAAGTGAAGATAGAAATAGGTGACGGGGATCGAGGTGCTGGGCGAGGGTTGGGCGGGGACTCTGTAGTCGGCAACCCGCATGTCCGGCTGGGCTGGGGAAGAAGAGAGTCCAATCTCGATACCCCTGTTGGTTGTGACGCCTACTCGTACGGGATTCGAGATGCCACTGGCGAGAAAGTGCACCTCTCTCGCCCGAAACCCTATGCCGGAAAAGGTTTCAAATCAGGCGACGTCGTCGGCTGCCTCATCAAGCTCCCTCCTCGGCCTTCGTTGGAGGGCAAACCGACCTACCACCCAGCGCACGTGAAGAGACAACGGCGAGCTTTCAACTACAAGAGCCAAGCATACTTTGAGAGCGCAGAATACGCCCCTTGCAGAGAAATGGAGGCTTTGGTCGACCGGGACGGCAAGCTCGCAGCGGCTGCTGCCAATGGCAACGGCGAGTCCAACGGTGATGTAGCAAATCACAAAAAAACTGCAGGCGCTGCTACAAAGCACACCAAGAAGAGCAAAAAGCCATCCGAAAAACAAGCCTCCTCCCCCGAAGAACCTGCCTCTCGCAAACTCGAGCGCCTTTCCGAATCCAGCATATCCTTCTTCATCAACGGCGAGCCTTTCGGTGCTGCTTTCGAGGATATCTTTGATTTCACTCCCCTACCACCCCTTCGGGCTCCTGGGACGGGGAAAAAGCAGTATGGAGACGATGTAATGCATGATGATGGGACGTTAGGGTACTACCCCATGGTTTCCTGCTTTGGTCGCGCCAAGGTCAAGACCAACTTTGGCCCCGATTTCGCCCATCCTCTCCCTGTGCTCCCGGATGGTACTCCGGTCAAAGCTATGTCTGACCGCTGGCCTGAATTCCTCAAAGAGGAAGCCGCGTTGGACGATGTGGATGAGGTTGAAGATACCAAACGCCTGGAGGCGATCTTGAAGGCCGAGAAGAAGGCACTGCAGAAGAAGATGGCGAAATCGAAAGCGAAGGGCGGGAAGAGTGGGAGTGCTACACCCAAGGGTGGGGTTCCGGCAGGGACAAAGAAGGCCCAGGCCGGTCAGCAGAAAAGGAAGAGGGCTGGCACAGAGGCGAGCACTCCTGGCCCTGATAGTGTGAGGGGCCGCACGCAAACGCCTGTAACCGCGCCTTCTAGTGTGCGTGGAAGGACTATGACGCCTGTACTCTTTGCCCAGTCAGATAATGGCTCAGACATACCCGGAAAGTGGGATCAGGAAGGGCAGGAGAGCACGAGAGAACGATCGGTCAGTGTGGCGCAGAGCGATGCTTCATCGCGCGACCCATGGGGACGGAGTCGTGACGAGGTGGAGCAGGAAGAACAGGCGGAGAGAGAGAGGGATATCAAGAGGCCCAGGCCAGAGGAACATATGCTTAGTGCGGGTAACAGCGAAGATGGGTACGGAGAGGAGGAAGAAGAACAGGAAGAGAAAGGAGAGGAGAGGGAGAAGAGGGAGAAGAGAGAGACGAACGAGGAAGAACGAGGGGAAGAGGAGGAAGAAGAGGACGAGGAAGAGGAGGGGATAAAGTGGTAATCCGCTTGCACACCTTATGCAGTCTACATAATGTAACCACCACACGCCTAACAACAACGTTCAAACACATGGACAGAGCACGGGGACTGTAGCATAGCCCAGGAAGATGGAAGGGATGAGGCACAAATATGAATCTGCATGTTCGTCGCCATGTGAAGGTCGTGTCCTACTTCTTCTTCAAGACCAACACAATGGTGTCTTCGTCATCCAGATTAACACTTGCCAAGGTACTCCCATTACTCATCGGCTTTCCACCCCAATCCAACCTCATCCTACTGATCGGCAGATCCGCGTCCATCACCCTCTTGATTCTCTCTCTCACCGTCGAGAAGAGAGTGCCAACAGGAAGGTCGGGAACCTCAATGATGGAGCCGTCGAGCTTCCATTCGGGCTTCTCTGGCATGACGGGAAGTTGGACGGAGAGCTTGATGGGGTCGGGGTGATAGTTGGCCCAGTCTGTTTCACTGTAGAGCTGGCCGTATGGGAGCTTTTGGATCTTGGGGCGCTTGAAGGCCGGGGCGGATGCTCCGTCGTCGTCGCGAGGGTGAACTTGACCAGCAACAGGAGGCGTACCCGAGCCAGGACCCATAGCAGCCAATCGGGAGGGGTGAATACTCGGTGGCACACCCGGTGATTGCCCGCCGAAAGCAGCAGGATCGTAAGGCGTGGAAATATACTCTCTCGTTGACGGACCCGTGGGGGCAGCCGAGATCGTGGCACCGGCATACGCTGTACCGCCTCCGGGAGTAGGCAAGCCAGCAGCCATGGGCGTGGGGACGTGCTGTGACATTCCCGGGCCGATTTGCGGGCCAGGAGAGTTTGCAGGCACATTGTCCAGCCCCATGCGAGAGTGCATCTTTTTGATCTGGTCCTCGAGCGAGAACTGAGATTGGAAGGTCTCTGTGGTCTGAGCGGCGGAAGCTGTATGACCGTCCCAGACGATCTTTTCCCTCTCTCGTCGCTTCTGCTTTTCTTCCTCTTCACGCGCCCTCCTCGTCGCTTCATCCACATCGTCGCCAAAGATATCCGTCCTCGCCGAAGCCAGGTTCTTGAGCGAGGCTGCAATGTCGGCACCTTGTGCGAGCTGCTGATGTTGCGCGCGGCGAAGGTCTTGTTGTTTCTTTTGCTCTTTCCATTTGGGATCGAGGAGCTCGATACGCATATGCTCAGACAGTTGATCTTCGGGGATTAATTGACCACAGTTGGGACAGGTGGCAGTCGAGACGGAGGTAGTCCGTTGCAGACCTATGAAGATTTAGCTTGAGCGCTGTTTGGAGTAGAAGATGCTCACCCTTGGGGACGTAATCCTTCTTGATCTTCATACCCCTCTGCTCCATAGCAGCTCTCTGTACCTCCCTCGCCCTCGCCTGCTCCTGCTCGGCCTTGATCCTCTGCGTCTTTGCGTCTTCATCTTCCTCGTCCTCCTCAATCTCCATCTCATCCTGCTGTCCATTCGCTTGAGTAGGCCCAGCACCGGTCTCTTCCATGACCATCGCCGCCATTCTCTTCTCTGCCAGACTCATAGACTTGAGTTTCTGGATAGAGGTAGGTGGAGGTAGCTCGAGGGCTTCATCGGCTTGTGTAAACTCGATAGTCTCAACCGTGACGAAATCTTGCCAATCGATAGCTGCCATCGCCTTGGCATCTTCCTCCTCCTCTTTCGCCCTATCGTTCTCCCTCTTTCTCCTTCCCCTCTCCCACTCGGCTCTATTCCTAGCCTCTTCGAGCGTCTTCCACTTGCTTCCCTCATCCTTGGCCTCCTTCACCAATCCATCGATGAGCCCTGGAGGGGGGTTGATGACCTTTGAGTACGACTCGACCATTCGGTTGTAGTAACCATAGAGGGAATGGGTGGGGCGGAGGAAATCGAATTGGTAGTTACGACCCTCTTTGACAGAGAGGGAGGAGAGGAAAGAGCGGCCGCGGCGGGCATGGAAGAGGGCAGTCAGGCGGAGGATGTCCCTACTACAAGTCAGTGACAGACAATAGAATGCTAGAACGTTGACGTACAAGTCTTGAGCAGTGACACCAGGCATGTCCACCTTGAACTCCCAAGCTTTCGGTTCCTTTGCCTTACTCTCCTCCACCTTGACCTCCTTCTTCTCTTCTTGCGGCTTCACGATCCCCTGGACGGCGTCCTCTACATCCTCCTTGGCCTTTTGGACCATGTAGCGGTAGTATTGATGGAAAGGGTCCGCATCGTTGAGGAAAGCAAACTTGGGGTCGTGTTTTTGAAAGTCACGGATTTTCTCTTCCAGGAGGAGAGGAGTTGGTGATTTAGATATGTGGGTTGCGGTCTTGTCCACAATCGCTGCGACGATCGTCAGCTCAGTCATCTCATATGATCTGGCGACGTACTTCTGATTTCTTTAGGAGGATAGATGATGCCGATTTTGAGCTGGTCGCTAGGTCTTGGTGGCCTGTACTCGCCCTCATCTTCCTGGGCATCGTCGCCGTTAGGAGTCCCGTTCCCGTTGGCGGGTGCGACATTGCGGAGCTCGTCCTGGCCCGCGTACGAGTTGACGGGCTTTGGGAGGTTGAGGGCGGACATGGGGGTGGGTAGATGGAAAGGAATTGAAAGAGAGAATGAGCGCAATAATAGCGGGAGGGTTTAATTGCGTGCCCCGTTTGTGTAATTACGGCCCAGGGGATAGATACGTGTTAATTACGGCGTGACTGTTTTCTGAAATCAACAACAAACAACACTCTTCTCCATCTGTCTCCTGTCTGCGCCTCAGATGTCTGCCCAAGCCCCCCGCGGCCAGCAACGCCCCCCCGCCCACATAGAGCACCGCCCCATGCGTCCGCCCCCCGCACAGCCAGCAGCAGCCCAACAGCGCATGTCCATGCCCCCGCCACAGAGCACCAGCAAGCCTGTAGTCTATTCCACCCCGAAGAACCCCCAGGGGTATCCCCAGTCCATGTCCAGGGGACTTCCTCGACCAGCTGAGGGTCAGAGCCAGCAAGGCCAGTACTTGAGAGAGTCGACAAAGCCAAACGTGTCTATGCCCCCGCCACGCCAGCCTAGCGCAACTATGGGTCATAAGGACGGTAAGCAACCCCATGCAACAGCGTGGAGGGGCGCACAGACGGTCAGAGAGAGGGGAGGAAAGGGCGAAGATGTCGAAGGGCAATTCCATCAGCTGCTTGTGCGTATCACACCTACCTTTGGAACCATACTGACACCTGCTGTGTTATAGGACTCGCTGCAGGTGCCAGAGACTGTCCGACAAAAGTTCTCGACCGTATCGCAAGATGTCAAATCCAGCATACTCTCGTCTACCCTCACTTCTAACCCCGCCATCCTCTCCTCTCTTGGCCTCCCCGTCCCCGCACCTCAATCCCCGAAAGCTCGAAAAAAGCTTTCCACACCTCTCCTGCGCAAGACCAAGTCTTCCGGTTCGCTCAAGGACGACCAGCCTCAGCCAAACTCCAACGGTGTGGGCAAGACGTACAATGTCAATGGTGGAGGGTTTGTGATCGTCGCGAGCCCCAAGGCGGGCTCGGATGCTACGCTACCCAGCCCTGTCTTTCCCAATGAAGACCTCCGCAGGCAGTCCATCGACTCGAGGCCTTCCCGTCCTTCTTCCAGGATATTTGGACACTCTCCCTCTGCTTCTGTAGGTTCCAACAAGGGCGCCAAGGGTCTTGGAATCGCCATGGGCGAGCAGCCCGAAGCATTCATTCAATGGCTCAAGGCCTATAAAGGGACGGATTTGAGGATGGATGTGGGGAGGTGTAAGAAGTTGAGGATGCTGCTGAGGCATGAGAGTACGGACTGGGTGGGCGCCTTTTTGGATATGGGTGGGTATGTGTTGGTCTTGGATAGGCTTCAGGATCTGTTGGATGTCGAATGGAGGTGGGTATTCTGTCCGTGCTGAGATTGACGGCTGATGGGAATGCAGGGAGGAGCAGCACGACGATCAGATGCTTTATGAGATTCTCCGGTGTATCAAAGCATTCTCCACCACCGAGGTAGGTTTCATAATTCAGCCCGTGACGTCTGCTTACTCTCTTCCAGATGGGCAAAGCCGCCCTCCGTAGATCATTCCCTCGACCCTTCCCCGCCCTCTCCTCCCTGCTCTTCTCCGAAAAGAAGCCCGGAGACCTCGCCTCTCGCCAACTCATCGTCGAGCTCTGGCTCTTCCTCTTTGACCTCTTTGCTCCGCCGTCCTCATTCCCAACGCCCTCGCCTGCGCTTTCGTCATCTGGTCGCTCGATTCGATTCGACGCTCACGCAGCGCCGGGAAGTATCAGCCAGAAAGACTTGACAGATTTTATGAGGACGCTTTTGGTTCCAGAGCAGGAGAACCCGACAAAGGATCAACATGACTTTGTCACTCAGGCGCATAGGCCGAGGATCTTTAAAGCGTGGGTAGGAGAGTTGAGTGATATCTGCCGCGATTACTTCTGGTGCGTTTTCCTCTGATCGCTTGTTCAAGCCGCTAATTGGAGGAACAGGATCATGTGCCATGCGTCAAATACGCTTTGGGCGTTGGATCAAGTGGATGAAAGTCTGGTCGAAAAGCCGGTTGCGCCTGGTGGAGCTACAGGTGGCGTCGAATTTGAGGCCATGAACTATGTCGTGCGTATTCCCATTCACTTTGTGGGTCACAGTAAAATATATGCTAAATCACAATCCATAGACCAACCACTTCAAGCTGCTCAACGCTTATGCAAAGCGACAAGCCGCTGAAGACATCGACAAGGCAAGGCAATTGCATCAAGACCTGATGGCTTCCGGTATGGACCGCATCCTCGTCGTACGTCCCCCTCCCTCCATTTCACTCCCCGCTGACACAGTCTGTAGACCTTCCGTAAAGCCTCCACAACCTACTACCCCTCAGTCCATCTCGAACTCGCCCGCTACGTTGCCATTCTCCGAGCTGCGTCGCCCGATGGCAAGCTGCCGTATTTGATTAGTAAGATGGTCGGACCTCCGCCTAGTGAGGTGGCCAAACAACAGCACAGCGGAGAATGGCTGCCTATGCCCAGGACAAGGTAGAGCTCTCCAGTTGGGAGGAGGCGGAATTGTGATTGAGTGTGTGTATTTCCGGTCCCTGTACCTTTTGTATAAATACGTCGGCAGTGCTTCTCATGATCTAGATACCCTTTGCCATAGACTGTACATACTCATACAGGGGCTTGATACTTGAGCAGCAACATTTTACTAGGACAAGTTGGTATAGCTTTGAGATAGTCTCCTGTGAAATGGCATCTGATCCTCATAATGATGGAACTGATCAGACGTTTGACCATCGGCCATGGTAGAGGTGGGTGTGCTAAATGCATGTAGTCGTTACATCCTGTCTATCCTTCCCTCCTGCGACCCGTCATTCCATCTCAGACGTCGCTTAACCTCTCTCCGCCCTCCTTAATGACTCAAGAACTTTCTTCCCTTCTTCAGCCTACGCACCAACATCTTTCTCGCATTCTTTCCTCCCTTTAATCTCGCCAAAAAGCCGTGCTTGTTCTTCCTTTTCCTCTGGGAGGGCTGGTAGAAGGTGCCCATCTGGACATTCCTCAGCGCTCCTAACGCCCCTGAAAGTGGTGATGTGTTTGTGGTAGTGAGTGGTAGGGGCATGAGGGGAGAGCGGAGGAGGGAAAGGGTGAGGGGCTGCCTCGATGGCAGGTGGGTGTAGAAGGGCGATTTTGTGAGGGATGTGGGGGGGAGGGAGAGGGGTGCTCGGAAGGCAAGAGCGGGTATTTGGGGGAGAGCCCTGGGGGCAAATGGGAGGACCGTTCGGGGGAGACGGGGCATCGTTGTGGTGTGTTGTTGTGGCAGGAAGAAGAAGCAGCGAGCGAAAAGAAAGAGGAAATGAGAAAACGAGATTACACTTTTAATTACAGATACTTACCTGGTGTAATTTGCATCAACTCTTTCATCCATTCCTTTCTTCCACAACATATACATCCCAGCCATGTCCGCCCCCGCCCCGAACTCTGGTGCCATCATCACCCAGCCTCCGCCCCCCTCTACTCTGCGGGAACAACGTATCGCTACCCACTCCCACATCAAAGGACTGGGCCTCGCAGACGATGGTACTGCCATGACCACCTCTCAAGGCTTCATCGGCCAGGTCCTCGCCCGTGAAGCCCTCGGTCTGCATCTGAGCTTGCTGAAGGGCGGCAAGTACTCTGGCAGACCGTTGTTGCTGGTCGGACCGCCGGGTACGGGAAAGACTGCTTTGGCGCTGGCGTTAAGTCAGGAGTTGGGCAGCAAGGTGCCGTTCTGTGCCATGGTCGGAAGCGAAGTGTATTCGGGAGAGGTCAAGAAGACTGAGGTGCTTGGATCTTGTTTCAGACGTGCCATCGGTGAGTATACCCTCATTGGAACGAGCAGAGCTAACTGTATGGCAGGTCTGAGGATCAAGGAGACCAAGGAAGTGTACGAAGGCGAAGTCACCGAACTCACCCCCTCCGAAGTCGAAAACCCTCTCTCTGGCTACGGCAAAACAATCTCCCACGTCATTGTGGGCCTCAAAACCGTCAAGGGCACCAAGCAGCTCCGCCTCGACCCCTCCGTCTACGAGTCCATCCAGAAGGAGCGCGTCGTTGTCGGCGATGTCATCTATATCGAAGCCAACACTGGCGCCGTCAAGCGTGTGGGCCGTTCGGACGCTTATGCGAGCGAGTATGATCTGGAGGCGGAGGAGTATGTGCCGTTGCCAAAGGGCGATGTGCACAAGAGGAAGGAGTTGGTGCAGGATGTGACGCTGCATGATCTTGATATGGCCAATGCCCGTCCGCAGGGAGGGCAGGATATCATGAGTGTAATGGGGCAGCTTGTGAAGGGTGGAAGGACTGAAGTGACAGACAAGTTGAGGAGGGAGATCAACAAGGTTGTGGATCGATACATTGAGCAGGGTGTTGCCGAGCTTGTCCCTGGTGTCTTGTTCATCGACGAAGTGAGGTTTTTTTTGGCATATTCCTTGGACGTCTACTAACGCTCGCCAGGTACACATGCTTGACATGGAATGCTTCACCTACCTCAACCGAGCCCTCGAATCCCCCATGTCCCCTTACGTCGTCCTGGCCTCCAACCGTGGTATCTCCACCATCCGCGGTACCGAGTACGACTCTGCTTCAGGCGGTATCCGCGCCCCTCACGGTCTCCCAGTCGACCTCCTAGACCGGTGTATGATTGTCAAGACTCAGCTCTACACCAGGGACGAGATCCGCCGTATCGTCGATCTCCGATGCCGCGTGGAAGGTATCAGCCATACCCCTGAAGCGCTGGAGAAGCTGGCAGATGAGGGCGAAAAGTCGAGTTTGAGGTATGCCTTGCAGCTCTTGACACCGGCGGCGATTATCAGCAGGAACAAGGGTAAGGGAGAAGTCAGTGTGGCGGATGTGGAGGAGCTGGGAGAGTTGTTTTTGGACGCAAAGAGGTCAACGGGGGTGTTGCGTGGACAGGAAGATTTTGAGAAGAGATACTAGGTGAAAAAGGTGTTGATAAATTATGCCAACAGTTACCAGACACATTTGCCTTCACAGACGATAGCATTGATACAAAAGCTAACCATATATGACAATAAACCTTCAAAAAGCCAACGCTTTCACCAACAATGGCATCTGCGGCCCAAGCGACTCCTCACCCACCACCCTCGCCCTCATGATCGTCGCCGACCTCCTCTCCATCACCGGCTTGCTGGGCAGCTCTGCAAACTCGAAACCGTTGATCAGAACAAAGAGGATAGTCTTAAGCTCTGCGAGGGCGAAGCGGTAGCCGATACAAGATCGAGGACCAGCGAAAAAGGACATGCTGCCGCCCCAGACGCCTGGGATGTCGTTTTCTGCTTGGGGGCCGAGGAAGCGGTCGGGGTTGAACTCTGCGGCGTCGGGGCCGTAGTACAGAGGAGAGGTGTTGATTGCGATGATAGCTAGCGGCCACGGTCAGCGCAGGCTGAAGTCAGATGTGTTTGTGCTTACAAATGTAAATATCAGTGCCTTTGGGTATCTCAACACGGTTCATCATTTTACCATCTCTCCCCACTACAGGATGTCGGAGGGGGATGACGGCATTTTTCTTGGCGGATCTGGTAGAGCTGGGTACGGAGGGCGAGAGCCGGATCACTTCACGGACGAATGCGTCCAGATAGGGCGACGAGTTGAGTGTCTCTCTGCGTAGACCATGTCAGCTTTGCTCGACTGTGTTGGGAACCACACTTACAAGCTGGGGCGTTCGTCATGGACAGAAGAGAGTTCGGTCCTAAGACGCTCTTGTATAGCCGGGAAACGAGCCATGTAGTATAGACACCAAGTCAAGACTAGAGCAGTGGTGTCATTAGCAGCCACCATCTGGAAATTAACGTCAGCTCATACCATCCAGGTCCAAAGGCAGAGTTTGAGAGAATGATCTTACAAAAGTGGTGATTTGGTCGACGACCTCTAGGTCACTGAGCCTTTGCTCTGGTGGGAGGGCTCATGTTTGCTTTGACTTTGAAGTTACCGTCAGCACAAGTAGGCCACATGATCAAAGCCCTTACCAAGGATGGAAATGAGGTCGGTCCCTCCGTCTTTCTTGCCTACACCTTCGATTTTGGCTGCAGCTTTTTTGTCTTTGATCATTCTCTTGGTGTACTGGATTAGTAGGGTATTTTTCTCAGAAAGCAAGTATGCACTCACCATACCGAATCGCGCAGCCGTCCCGTAAGCTGTTGCAGCCACCTTCATTCTCTTGGTGGGCTATGGCAGACGATCAGCTGAGAATAAGTATATAGAAAGCTCGATAGGCTTACTATCACCCGGACTGTGGGAAATTCTATCGACGCTGTGTAGAGATTACCATAGGCTTTTGAAAGCTCATCCTCCACTCCTTTCTGCTGCAGCTGGTTGAACTGATAGCCGAAACCAGTGAGGCCTATGATGTCGAAGGTGGCTTGGATAATATAACGCATCACATCGACTTTGCGCCCTTCGGCAACTTGGTCCATGGGCTGAGGGGGCGTCAGGCTGGGAGTTTCATCAGAGATACCTTCGACAATCTCCAGCAGCTTCTCTCTGAGCTCTAAGCCTTGTCGTAAAAGGTGGGTACCATCCCCGCAATAGCTGCCGGCGTAAAACACCCATTCAGAACCTTTCTCTGTTTCCTATGCTGATCCCCCTCAGCCACCACAAGTCCTACCCCTCCCACCGAAGCGATCTCTGTCCGGATATACTCTGGCTTCGGAAAGAAGTCGGGATGGGATACGATGTAGTTGAGCGCGGTGGGGTCGGTAGTCTGGAATGAGGAATAGAAGGGGAAGGGGAGAAAGGGTGTTTGGAGGGTGGGGCCGTATTTGGCGTGCCAGGCGGTCTGGGGAGCTTCGGATTGAGAGCCCAAAAGGGAGGGGAGGATGCCGAGGAAGTATCTGTCGGCGGGTGGGCCTGGGAGTATTGTCAGTGGTGTCTTTGGTGGTCAGTATACATAGAAGCCTACCAGGGAGTTTGTGGAGAGAGAAGGAACGGTATCTCCAGTATGAGTACAGGTAGAAACCGAGGAGAAGGGCCAAGGAAGCTTGTGCGAACGAAGACCAGCTGATACTGGTGATGAGCTGGCTGACTAGAGCAGACGGGTCGATAGATGTGTTGTCCATGAGTCCCATGGCTGTTGAGGATTGTGGAGTGACCTATAAGACGACTGTCAATCACACCTATATACATCCCCTGATGCGGCCCGGAACACCGACGCTGCATGATCGAGGTGCATGATCGAGGCGCACACGTGACACGGGCAAAGGGCAAAGGACAGAACACGCTCGGCCATCGCCGATCACCTTGCCTCGTGGGTCTCTTCGTCTCACATGTCCACGGAGAAACTGCGTCAAGTCCCATCAACGTCGTCCGCGCTTATCGGTAGAGTAACCCTCGGCCTGCACAGATCACGAGCCACTGAGGACTGATACTGGTTCACCTGCATGCCATTCATCTATTCATTGTCCATCTGCTCCAGCTTTTCCTTCTCCTCCCTCTCCTTCTCCTCCCTCTCTTCCATCTCCACCACCTCAATATCCAGCGGATACGTCAGAACCGCAGCTATCCCCGTCAACAGATTCAGCTGCTGCCCACTCTCATGCATTGATGAGAATATCAACGCTTCTCCTCCATGCGCGCGGACAGCTTCGACGAGATGAACGTAATGATTGCGCTTGACGGGGTCGGAAGAGCGGAAGAGGTCGTCAGAGATGAGAAGGGTGCCGACGGCGCCTCGGTCGACAGCAAGCGCGACGTGTTCGGGTCCGTACCAGGCGCGGAGCTCGTCCGTCGCAAGCATTTTGTGGAATCTACAGCCTGTCAGCATGCAGTAGCATAATCGAGAGAGAACGACTGACTTGTCCAGACCAGCGCCTTCTCGAGCAAATTTGGCCCCAGCCAACATCTTGGCCACCTCCGGCGCCTTCAATGCCTCCACAAGTCCATGCACATGACTCGTATTCGAATGCACCTTGATCCACTTGGACCGCGAGGCTAAAAGCGCCTTGTTGGACTGCAATGTTGCCTGCGAGAAGATGTACTCGTACAGCGCATCCTTTGTGAAGCCCGGGGAGGCGATCACGACGGCTTTGAGGGATTGGAATGGGATCAAGCGGAGGATGGCGTTGTAGACGGTGGAATGGTAGTTGTCGACGGCCTTGTCGTGGCCAGATGTACCGCCCTTACGTTTTCGAGGGACAGGCATATCTATCCGTTGACGAACGGTGGTCATGTGCTCCGAGAGGAGACAGATAGCTGCGGTACCTGCAGTCCATCAGTACAGGCCCAAGTTCGCTGCGGATAGACACACCTTCGCCACATACGATAGCCCCAACTTCAGCCCCTCTTCCTTCTTGCGTACTCTCCTGGATTCGCTCAAGAGCAATGGAATCCCACCCGATAGCCTTTGATAACCGGAAGTCCCTATTCGCCTCCAGATCCAGTGTATGGAACGCCCCCATCTTGACGAATTCATTCTCCTGCACGACCTGACCTGATATTTGCAAGCTTGCAGTTGGTTCTTTCCGCTCGCCCTGGCCGGTGGCAGAGGTGGAAGAGGAGGCGGCGGACTGAAAGTCGGTCTTGGTCACTTGGATAGTGAGATTGGTTCGGACTCGGTGGGAGTCGGAGGAGCCTGTTGATGAGACTGTTTGGACTCGGCGGACTGCCATAGCGCGAACTTGGTCCCCCTGAGACATATTCAGTCATGTTCAAGTCGACACCTTTGAGAAAGGACTGGCCTCGGAGATCAAGTTGTAAACGTGCCACATATCTTCATCATCTTCAGGTCTGAGAGTGACGTAGCCCTGCCCCAGTCAGCTCGGCTTTTCCTGTACACCGATGTACTCACTGAGCCGTCTTTTTCTATGTGTTTGTTCACGAGCTTCATGTCGGCGAGTGGCGGTGGTGTATGAGTTATGACGGACGAATGGAAAGAACGAAAGAAATCGCAAAAACAGAAACGATGATGTCATAGCCTGCACTTGAATGGGCAGCGGACATGCCCGCCCGGACGGAAATTCACTTTCGGCAACTCCCAAGAACTGATATTTTTAACCGCATCCCTAAATCCCATTCATACGGCCACAATGTCGACGCCCAGCCCCGCAGGCCCCTCTACGCCTCAAGAACAGCCCAATAAATGGCTTCCTTCAAACCCCTTTGATATGCCTGAAACCAGGCACTTCATCGCTCAGAAAATCGCACTCGGTACGTCTTCCGGCTGTAGCACTTGGGACATATGCTGATGGGCGCAGGTGATATCTCTCAGGACGATGTGGATATCATGGAGCGAGGTTACAACTGGATGATCTACACCCCTCCAGTACGTCCTTCGACCCAATCATCGGGGCCCTACTGACCAATTCAACAGGTCACAGCAGTTTCCTTCACTTTCCTCATCTGGCAGCTCATGAAGAAACAATATCCCCAGCCTAGGATGGTCACAAGACTCTTCTGGGGCGGTCTTTCGGCCGGAGCTGGAGGGTTTTTGGGATTCGGAGCTGCTGGTGTGGCGGCGGCTATGGAAGTGGAGGACAAGATGGAAGATGTGGAGAGGTGAGCGCCCTCTAAAGGATATGGAATGTCAAGCTGATGGTGATATAGAAAATCGCTGGTATTCGAAGAGATCACAGATCACTCGAGGGTTATCCACGAAGCCCGCATCGCCGCCCTCCTCCCTCCCGCCCCTCCTGAGCCTGTGCTTACCCCCGCCGCTCGTCAAGCGACTACCCGAGGCAGCTCGAGATTACCGAAGGACTTTGAATTCCCGCCCGAGCGTGTTCAGGAGTTGAAGGTGGGGAAGGAGAGGGTTAAGGAGGAGACGCAGAGTACGTGGGGGTATTTGAAGAGCTGGGTCAGCTGGAAGTGAGAAATGAGGTAAAGGCAGTCGACGAGGTCATGTATACCCTTCTCTATCATGCTCAACCTGGACCCCATACTCCCCAGCATTAGCATACGGGATACCCAGTGGCCGGAATTCAAGCAGCGCTCACAGCAAAGCCCTTCGTTGACCAATTCTTTCGCAAGTGCAGAGCTTCGTTGATGACTGCATCTCCATCTGCAAGACGCCGGGCAATGCCATCTGTGAGATTCCTTCTCCCCCACACCTCTCACTCTTCCCTAGAAGTGGTAAAAAAGCAAAAACAACGGCACCCGGGATTCCCAGGTGGTCCCCCACCCTGGTACTAACCGAGCGCTCTCCTAGTTGACTTCGCGGATCAGACGGGACGCGGTACTTTGAGGAGGCTATGGCCGTCGATGTTGAACGAGACGCTTGTCATGCTATAACCCTTTCAACAAACATCGCCGATGAGACTCATGGGAGCGATGAGTCCACTTTCGGTGGAGTGTCGTATATGTCTATGGGTGCAGCTATGATCAGATCCCCGCTCTTGAGACTGTTGTTCGTTGCTCTGCTGATGCAAAAAAGGGGACTCATTCGTCGAACCATGTAACCAGGTCTTCATTTCGTATTGAAAAAAAGAAATGTCCCCAGCGTGAATCGAACACGCGTCTCCTCAGGTACTGATTGTGTAGAAAGGCCACAATGAGATATACGAACCACTATACTATGGAGACTTTAAACGGAAGTTTGCAGAAGTGATGACGTGGCACTTCAGACAATACCGGCCGTCGGCCTGACGCCGACCGACCATTGCCTGACCAAGGGCCTGTCCACTTGCTGTCCACACGCAAAGCGTGTATCTTGTTGAGGGATAGTGTAGTAACTGCCAACACCTGAAATTGCAGCCTTTCACGCCCACGAAGCAGCTGAAGCACTGTTGATCTTGGCAAGATATAACGATGTTGTTGCCCATCCTGACATGGGCTGGTTGCCTATCATCTTTGGCTCTTGCAGCCCCTGCTCTACCCGAGCAGGTAGTTCTCTCCGGTGATAGAATGACCCCTTCGCCTCGTCCCCTTGTTATCTGGTGAGTATTACCCGCTGAACATTACGATACGATACTGACATATTTGAAGGCATGGTCTGGGCGACACAGCCCTTTCGCCGGGCATTTCAAACTTCATCAACAGGACGCAAGAGATTCATCCCGGCATCTATGTGCACTCTGTACAGGTACCAGAGGATGGTACGGAAGATGACGAAAGAAAGGCTGGCTTCGTAAGTCTGCTGGGTATCCTTGAGAGCGGCGCTGACGGGACTGTGGTAAGTGGGGTAATGCGGTCGCTCAGAGCTTGGAGGGGTGCGAGCAGATCAAAGCTATCGACGAGCTGAAAGATGGGGTAGGTTTTTCATCAGGACATACACTGGTCCTTGCTGATATGAGTCATTGTAGTTTGATGGTATAGGATTCTCCCAAGGCGGTCTGTTTCTCCGATGGTATCAACAGTACTGCGACGGTCCTCCAATCCACAACCTCGTCACCGTGAGTCATCCTCTCCCAGTCTCACGAACAAGCTCATCTGTGACTTGCATCAGTTTGGTACCCCTCACTATGGCATTTCCGCTCTCATTCCCTGCCCAACGCCTCCAACTCTCTCCTGTCTCCTGGCAGCACGCGCGGCCCGAGCAGGAATATATCGCCCTTGGGCACAAGAACACCTCGTGCAAGCGTCTTATTTCCGGGACACGGAGAGACTAGAAGAGTTCTGGGAGATCAACGGGTGGTTGAGGGATATGAATGGCGAGAGGCCTTTCGGGAGAGGGGAGGACGAGGGAGGGCAAGGAAAGAGAGGCGAAGGAAAGGGGTTGGGAGCCTTGGACAACCTGGTGGCGATCTTGTTTGAAGATGACCGTAAGATGATGACTCGTAATGTTACTCAAGCTCACGTCCCTCAGATACCGTTTCTCCGGCGCAATCTTCACACTTCGCATCCTATGCCCCATCCAACAAGTCAGAGATCATCCCTCTCCATGATCAAGATCTCTACAAGGATGATTGGATTGGAATCAAGTCATTGGAAGAGAAGGGTGGCCTGCAACTGGAAAAATGCCCGGGAGAGCATATGGAAATCGGAGGGGAGAAAGGATGTGGTGAGAGGATGGTCAGGAGATGGATCGGGTGGGAGAAATGAGGCATCGATCCTGAGAGGTTATCGTAAGACGGCATGTACAGTATATCCTTCGATATCCCACTCAGCCTCAAATGTTCAAACAGTGCATATATAAAGCTGAGACAACAAGTACAAAAGATGGAAATTCACCCGGCAATCTCTCACCACCACCCTTCTAGATTTTGTAAATAGTCCCATCACCTTCCGCAAACATCAACTCATCCTTCTCGTTCATCTTCTTCAGCCCGTCGACCACTTGTCCCGCACTCAACCTGTCCGCATCCGTCTTGCCCTCGTTGACCTTGGGCAACAAGGCATCCAAGGAGATGGAACCATCCTCGTCGAGCTCAGACTCGAAGATGGTGGACATGGTAGCACGGAAGTAGTCGAGCTGTTCTGCCGAGAGCTCAACCGGCTCGGGCGCAGGTGCAGGGTCAGGAGATTGAGCGAGGCCGAGAGACTCTTCAGCCATGTCAAAGTCCTCGTCCTCATCCTCGTTCCTCTCCGCCTGAGTCCCATCCGCACGCCTGTTCTTCTCCCTCGTTCGATCTCTCTGCGAGTCGGTCACATTCAGCCTCTGCACACCAGCTTCCAGCTCCGCATCTTCTTGGCCCGCCGCAGCTGGCTCCGGTACTTCGTTTTCATCCTCTTCTTCATCTGAGTCAACCTCAACGCTCTGGCCTTGGTGGTTGATCTTTCTACGCTTGCGGCGCTCGGGACGGACGACCTCTTTGAAGAGGGCGAAACGGAGGATCTCTTCGGCGGCGATGGCGTCGCGCTCGTCGACTCTGGATGACAGACGGGCCTTGGCGTGGGCGGTGGAAAGACGAATGAGGGTTTCGAGGGTACGAGCCGTAAGAGGCGAAGTCTAAAATCTGATCAGCAGGTACCCGGACAATGTCAAGGCCGACTTACACGTTTTTGGTTGGCGGCCATGTCATCGTTACGCAGACTACTGTAGACGTTGACAATCCAGTCCGCAGCCCCCTTCGTCAACTTCGGGTGAATTCGGCTCTTGGCATACTGGATATACTTCTTCACAAAGGCGATGCTCATGACCACCTTCTTTTTGTTCGCTCCTCTTCCACTTGTGGTGGTGACACCACTGTGCAGCAGTGGGTTGAACTTTTCGAAGACAGCCGTCTCTGTCGTGCGAGACTCTGTTTGGTCTCCGCCGACGTCCAGGTTTTGGTCGAGGTTTTCGATGGGGGGCACGCCTTCCTCAGAGCCGGGCTGGATGTAGCGATGCATACGGAGGACGTGCTCCGAGATCATGCGGTCTCGTTGTTCGTCAGTGTCGTCGGTGACGACAAAGAGGAGATCGAAACGGGAGAGTAGGGAGTCGGGGAGGGCGATGTTTCGGTGGGGATCTTTGTGTACATCGTACTATATGGCCGTCAGCGCTGGATTGATCACACGAAAAGTGTTACTTACTTGACCGTAGATGGGGTTGGCGGCAGCCACCACACTACATCTAGCATTCAAAGAAGTGTGGATACCAGCCTTGGCGATAGTGACCGTCTGCTGTTCCATGACTTCGTGAATAGCCACTCGATCCACTTCCGACATCTTGTCAAACTCATCGATACACACGACACCCCTATCCGCCAACACCATCGCACCAGCCTCCAACCGACGCTCTCCAGTGTCCTTGTCAGTGGTGACAGCGGCAGTAAGACCGACACCGGATGAACCTCGACCGGTGGTAGCGATAGCCAGAGGAGCAGTGTTGAGGACGAATCGCAACATCTGAGATTTGGCGGTAGAAGGATCACCGACCATCAGGACGTTGATGTCACCTCGGATATGACCACCGTTGTCCAAGTTCTTCTCTTCACCTCCCAACAGTAGGAGCAAGACGGCCTGCTTGATATAATCGTGTCCATAGATGGAGGGGGCGAGAGATTGAGAGAGGAGATTGAAAATCTTTGGAGATTTGGATTGGGTATTGATGTTTCGGATGTCGGTATCAGTGAGGGGAGTTTGGGCGATACCGCCGCCTTGTTTGGAGGAGAGGAGGATGACGTTGTTGGCAACGATAGATGTTCTAGAAGAGGATCAGACATGCTTTTGGGGAGAGGCCGGAAGTGCTTACTGGAAACCGCGCGCTCCAGCACCACCACCGGCACTCTTGTAAACACCGACAAGCTGAATTCTGTCTCCAGGCTTGCAGCAGTCCACCAGATCATCCGCCAATACCACCTCCACACTCCTAGGCAACTGGCCAGCAGGCGCTCTCTCCGGCATCTCCTGAATGCCAATGTTTTGGTAATCCCTAAAGGTGGAAAGACCGTATTCCATCAAGAGAGGATGACCATCACCATCGTCCTTGGGGATGACGGTAGTGGTGCCAGTCATGGTGGAGGAGGACTGAATGATGGTGGAGTCGTTGTAGGATCGGGAGTGGAATTTTTGGGTCTGAGGGGCGTAGTGGACTGATCGGAGCATCTTGGGTCGGACGAGGGAGCATCTAGTCACGATGCCTTCAAGACTGACCATCTTGCCGATCTGATGACTTCGAAGAGTTCTAGGATTGCAGTGTTGTTGTCCGAATGAACCAATCATCCCGGCGTAATCTACCAGCGGATGAGTGACAAGGCCAGAGCTACAGCCCAATGGTACTCACATTGCTTTCCTTCGATCTTGTGCTTGTTGGGATTGTGCACACTTTCGACTAGCTGGTTCAAGGCCGCGTCGAGGGCAGGGACAAATTGCATCGGCTGCAAGAGCAGGCCATCCGCATAGGTCCGCTCGTATGCACGGATATGGTTGAGGTCGATGATGAGCCTGACTTGCTCGTCGTCGAGCATCCGCCTTATTGATTCCTTGTAGTTGTAGCCAGGTTGCGACTGAGGGATGTGAGATATGATTCCCGAACACAGGGGCACTCACCTCATCGTCCAGGAACTCGATAAACTGCCTCGTCCTGTCCTGAGTGAGCTCGTCCTGGAATACGGGGGCCTGAGATGGCTGTGCTTCGGCCATTGTGGACGATGGGGTGGGACGAGAGATAAATGAGCGAAACGCGTAAAGTCGCAAAATTCAGGGCATGGCATCGCGACGCGTCCATTGCTGACGTGGAATTAGACTCCCCTGATACGGCGCCTCCACCTTCGGCTTCTCGAGCTTTCCAGGAGCTTTCCATCCAATTTCCATCGTGAGCGCATCTTCTTCTCTTTCCATCTTCATCCCCCGACATGTCTGACGTGAGCAGCCCTCCCCTCCCCATGGCCACCGCTGACCCCCGCAGGCCGTTGCTCTCAAAGCCGAAGCCAACAAGGCCTTCGCCGCCAAGGACTACCCTTCCGCCGTCAAGCTCTACTCGGACGCTATCGCACTCGACCCCAGCAACCACGTCCTCTACTCCAACAGGTCTGCCAGTAAGGCGAGTCTCAAGGAGTACGACGGGGCTCTCGAGGACGCCGAGAAAACTATCGAACTCAACCCCTCCTTCTCCAAGGGCTACGCCCGAAAGGGTGCTGCCCTTCATGGTCTCCGCCGGTTCCCCGACGCCGTCATGGCCTACGAGTCCGGTCTTCAGGCCGAGCCCAACAATTCCCCTTGCACCAAGGGCCTCGCCGATGTCAAGCGAGCTATGGACACCGACTCTGCCTCTCCTTTCGGTCCCCAGGGAGGCGACATGGGTTTGGGCAAGATCTTCTCAGACCCTGGAATGATCGGCAAGCTCGAGAGCCACCCCAAGACCAAGGAGTACATGAAGGACTCTACATTCAGGGCCAACATGCTCAAGCTGCAGGCCACCGGTGGAGGTGACTTGTCAAGCTTGATGGCGGACCCCAGAACGTTGGGTGCGTTGGGCGTGCTGATGGGTGTTGATATTGTGAGTCTGCTCGTGTGTGTCTGACAAGGTCGTGCTGACTGTATCATCAGGATGCTATGGAGCGACCTGAGGGTTCCAACGAGATGCCTCCCGGAGTCAGCACTCCTTCCGCCCCCACCCCTGCTCCCAAGCCTAAACCCGCCCCCACCCCTAAGCCCAAGGAGCCCGAGCCCGAGCCTATGGAGGTCGAGGAGACTGAGGAGGACAAGCAGAAGAAGGAAGCGGAGGCCCTCAAGGCTCAGGGAAACATCTCTTACAAGGCGAGAAAGTTCGAGGAGGCTATTGAAGCATACTCCAAGGCTTGGGACCTGTACCCCAAAGATGTCACCTTCTTGACCAACTTGTCTGGTAAGGCCTGTCATTCATTGCACGACTGCATACTGATCATGGTGTAGCTGTCTACTTTGAACAAGGAGAATATGCAAAGTCTATCGAGACCTGTGAAAAGGCTGTCGAAGAGGGGCGCGACCTCCGAGCTGACTTCAAGGTCATCGCCAAAGCCTTCGGCCGTATCGGTACCTGTCACGCCAAGCAGGGCGACCTCGCCTCTGCCATTAAGTACTATCAAAAGTCCTTGACGGAGCACCGTACTCCGGATATCTTAACCAAGTTGAGGGAGGCGGAAAAGGCCAAGGCGGAGGCGGACAAGCAGGCCTATATCAGCCCGGAACTAGCGGAGAAGGCCAGAGAGGAAGGTAACGAGGCGTTCAAGAGGGGAGAATTCGCCGAGGCTCAAAAGTCTTACACCGAGGCTATCAAGCGATTGCCGTGAGTCACGCTCTTTGGCTATCTTGCACAAGCTGACGTTTCTTAGGACCGACCCCCGAGCCTACAACAACCGAGCCGCTTGCTACACCAAGCTCCTCGCCCTCCCCGAAGCTCTCAAAGACGCCGAATCAGCCATCTCCATCGACCCTACTTTCATCAAGGCCTATATCCGAAAGGCGCTCGTGCAAGAGACCCTCAAAGAGTACACCAAGGCTCTCGACACGCTTCAAAAAGCCACTGAGGCGGATGTTGAAAAGAAGCACACTAGGGAGCTGGAGACAAATATGGCCAAGGTGATGAGGGAGATCCAGAGCCAGAGGAGTGAGGAATCAGAGGAGCAGACGTATGAGAGGGCTATGAGGGACCCCGAGGTGGCGCAAATCATGTCGGATCCGATCATGAGGCAGATTTTGCAGGATGCCCAGCAGAACCCGAGAGCATTGAACGACCACATGAAGAACCCTATGGTGAGTCTCACCCGTGAAAGAGTGAACCTTCACTGACAACCTGTACAGATCGCTGGAAAGATCCAGAAGCTTGTCAACGCGGGTATCATCCGAACCCGTTAAAAAGCGCTTTGTTGTGCATGTGGAGAGTGTAAAATGTGAAGATGGAGTAGCTGAGGCTGTTGACATAATATCATTATCATATATGAGGATCGACCTGTATGCAAGTATTGTCTGGTCGTTGAAAGACATTGGCCACAGAAGAGGTAGCAGATCGAGCGTGGTAAGTGTATGTTGGGAAAGGAATTGTTTGTTGTTCATGCATGAGACATTTTGATCTCCCCTCGCGACTTTCATGTCCTACCCTCTCTTTTCTGCCTCCTCATAGACGAAAATTCTTGGGCAACGACAAATGAGTATGACGCTATGCCTCGCATGATACGAGATAGCGCAGCGGCCCAGCACTAAACCAACGTCAGATCCTGAAATCTCCAACTCAAAACTCTGATCGTTTTAATCAGATGGGTTCTCTATTGCAACGGCGTGACGTCTTTGGCCGTTCACTCTTTGGTGACACCCCTTGGCATCATATATGAACCCCGGAGCATGGGCACCGCCCGTTTTTTTCCCTTTCCATGCATGCCCCACTCGGACCCTGCGATATCGACTGAAAGCGAAACATCATCAGGACGAACGATGCCCACCTTTCTGCCTTCCAACAAGCATGACCTGCACCACCTCAGAGCTCCTATCCCGAAAAATGCTTCACCCAGAGTATTAGCAGCCAAGAACCGTGAGTACGGGCGTGGAGCTAGAACAAGGTGAGGCTGATGATTGGAAAGATGTGGTGGCCATGATGGGAGAGTTTGTGGGGACGACATTGTTCATTCTGTTCTGCCTAGGCGGTACTCAGTGAGGCTTGAATCCCTCCTCAAGGTACTTGAAACTGTACTGGGTGGACCGACGAGGCTATGTTCATAGCGAACGTTCTCGAAAGCAGACCGAGGGGCGAGTGAAAATGATGGCTGACCTTACGAGATAGTGTAGCGCAATTGCCGGCATTGTCTATCACCTCATCCAGCGAGGGTGCTATCAACACCTCTAGCTTGTACGTTGGACAATTTCAGATTCCGCGGCCAGGACTACAAGCTCACCATATTTCTCTCGGCGCACAGGTTCTACATTTCGCTGTCTTTCGGTCTTTCACTCGCTGTCAATGTGGTGAGTCTGCCTCCCTGATTTCCGGGGCCTACGCCTGACCTCTACGCAGTGGATATTCTTTAGAGTATCGGGAGGTCTCTTTAACCCTGCTGTATCTCTAGGCATGGTGCTAGGCGGAGCATTACCACCCCTCAGAGGCCTGCTCTTGACTGTTTCACAGGTTCTGGGAGGACTGGCAGGCTCAGCCATTGCGGATGCGCTGGTGCCCGGAAAGCTCAATGCTGGATGTGCGCTGGGAGGAGGAACGTCGATTGTTCAGGGGCTTTTCATTGAGGTGTTTATGACTGCACTGTAAGCTGATAGGCTTCACGTGATAAGGAGTATGCAAGCTGACGAAAGGCGCCAGCTTGATGCTCACAATCTTCTTCCTTGCGGCAGAGAAGAATAAAGCCACTCCTATGGCGCCCCTCGGTATTGGAATGGCTCTATTCGTGTGTTTTGTTTCATTATATCTGCAAAGTGTAGAAGCTTACAGTCTACAGATTGCCGAGATATTCAGTGTCTACTATACTGGAGGAGCTTTGAACCCCGCACGTGCTTTCGGACCAGCTGTCGTAACCCATACATTCCCTGGATATCGTGAGCAGTTCTGGATTCATGTCATCTGACCCGCTGATTCTCTCTTGCAGACTGGATATACTGGGTTGGTCCAGGTCTCGGAGCTTTGATGGCCACGGGCTTCTACAAGCTCTTGAAGTGGCTCGAGTACGAGACGGTTCTCCAGGCAGACGACGGTCAGTCTTATGAGGACGGAGAGGGACCGGGTCCGGAGGCCAGGGATGAAGAAGCAGCAAGAGTCGAATCCACCGATAAACCACGGGCTCAACAACCCTCAGTGAGTATAGAGTGGTGGTCTATCATCACGGCATAGCGATACTGACGACAGCGGGTTGTAGGAGGCAGTGTATGATCTTCAGAGCGCTGCTAGGATCAACTCCCGACTGGCGAGGATAGAAGTGCTCCTGAGCCAAGTGCTAGAAGCTCAGGCAGCACAGGCGGCCAGGGCCATGTGAGAAGGGCCATCTTCAGTAGTTAGTAGTCATGGTCGCGGTGACCACCATGGAGCATACACTCAGGAGGGAGACACCTTCCTTCTCTGGCAGAGCATTTCCGTCAAGACACTCCGGCATATAGTATACGTGCACTTGTACAGTATAATATATACAATATAATAGCTTTGCATCAGTCTTATGCATAAAATACAATATATGTATTTCTCGACTTGTCACTGGTCAGTCAGAGCAGCGCCCTTATCTTATCGACCATAGTGATCTCCGCTACCACCCTGGTCGAGCCATGCATCATTCCACAGCGCACGATGTGATATATACATGTGCATGTTGCCATACCTGAAGATCCAACAGAGCATGCATAGAGCGATGCAACAGCTGAAGCGCACAAAGCCCAGGCTCCGCTTTGAGATAAGCCACGTGGCGGGACCGGGATAAAAAAAATCCTGCGAGCGGCGAGGTTTGTCAGAGATCCCACAAACCTTTTCTCTCTTTCCTTTCAACTTTCCCCTTTTTCGCCACTTTCTCCCCCTCTCCTCCGCCTCTCCCATACCCCCGCCTCGCCCTCTTCCCCCTTCTCAAAAGTCCCGCTAGGGTCAACTCCCCACTCAGTACGAAAAACTCATAAAAACAGCTCGAAAATCTTCGCCGAGCCCCAAACTTGAACCAGGAATCAATCTTTAGTTGTATCTTTCATAATGACTACTGCCGCCCCCACCGCCCTTCCCGCCTCTACCCACCTCGAGGAGCTTGTCAAACTCGCGAGCTCGGCCAACAACGTCGAGGCCAAGGCTGTCGCCGACGGCATCGCCCTTTCTCTCAAGAAGGCCCCCAAGACCCTCAACGCTATCCAGGATGCCAAGATCATTGATGTCGTCCTTGCCTGGGCTGGCTCCAAGGCTGCCTCCGAGAAGGAGGCTGCCGCCGTCCTTGTTGAGAGGCTCTCTCGGTCTCTCGGTACTGGTGTCGAAGGTGTCTTCTTGCCTCTTGTGCCTGCCATCCTGAACCTTTCCCAGGATAAGGTCCAGCAGATCAGGACCTCTGTCAACAGTGCCATGGTCAGTCTAATCAAGGCTGTTGCCCCTGAGGGTGTCCGAAGCGTGTTCGAGGTCTTGATCAAGGTCTTGGATGACAGCAAGCAGTGGAGAACCCAGGTTGCTGCCCTCAAGGCTATGGAGGGTCTTGTCAAGGCCGGCTCCGAGGAGTATGTCGCGAACGAGCTCGGTCACGTCATTCCCGTTGTTGAGCATGCCATGCACGACACCAAATCCGAGGTAGGTCATACCGTACATCCACAATCTGCCGAGCTAATCTCTGTAGGTTTCCAGTGCTGCCAAGAAGGCTGCTACTACCCTCTGTGGTACCCTCCCCAACCCCGATGTCCTCAAACACGTCGACCTTTTGGTCTCCGCCATGGCCTCCCCCGCTGCTGTCCCTTCCACTATCAAGGGTCTTTCTTCCACCACTTTCGTTGCTGAAGTCAACGCTCCCACTCTTGCCGTCTTGGTTCCTCTTTTGACCCGTGCTTTGAAGGAGCGATCCACCGACACCCAGCGAATGACCTGTGTCGTTATTGGTAACCTTGTCAAGCTTGTCCGAGACCCCACCGTCGCTGCCAGGTACCTTGGTCCCCTCTTCGGTGGTGTCAAGCAGCTCGCCACCGGCGCTGCCTTCCCCGAAATTCGAGCGTTCGCTCAGACCGCTTTGGACATTCTCATTGGCGCTGGTGCCTCTGCCGATGCTACTCCTTTGCCTCCTCGCGACGTGACCCTTGCCGTCACCGAGGCCTTGGCTGTCATGGCTCCTCACTTTGACATTGCCGAGTTCCCTGCCCACCCCTCGCTTCCCCTCTCCGCCTCCCTCCCCAATAGCCCCGTCATCGCTCACGCCATCGAGTACCAGGCCAACATCGTTGCCGACCTCGTCGACGCCCGAAAGTGGGATGCTTCCGCTTGGGAGGGTAAGGCCCTCGGTTCTTTCATGAAGCTCCTTCAGGGAGCTGAAGAAGGTGCCAAGTCTACCGCTGCCATCCGACAGGCCTTCATGGACATCGACAAGGCCAAGTTTGCCCCCGATGTGGAGGACGACGGATCTGAGGGTCAGTTGCTCTGTGATATCCAGTTCTCTTTGGCCTACGGTGGTCTCCTTTTGCTCAACCACACCAACTTGAAGTTGAGGCGTGGTAGGAGGTACGGCATCTGCGCCGGTAACGGTGCGGGTAAGTCTACTTTGATGAAGGCTATCCGAGACGGCAAGGTCGAGGGCTTCCCTCCCCAGGACCAGCTCCGAACCATCATGGTCGAGCACGCCATGCAGGGTGAAGATGCGTCCGCTGCTATCCTCGACTTCATCTGTGCCGACCCCAAGTTGACCCACAAGACCCGTGCCGAGGTTGCCGCTATGCTCTTGTCTGTCGGTTTCTCTGATGAAAAGCAACAAGACCCCGTTGCCTCTTTGTCTGGTGGTTGGAAGATGAAGCTCGAGTTGGCCAAGGCCATGCTTATTGGTGCCGACATCCTCTTGCTGTAAGTACGACGCTTTTAGAAGTTATTTTTTGCTGACTGTAGAATAGCGATGAGCCTACCAACCATTTGGATGTCCAGACCGTTGCTTGGCTCGAACAGTACATCTGCAGCCTTACCGAGGTCACCTGTATGATCGTCTCCCACGACTCTGGTTTCCTCGACAACGTCTGTACCGACATTATCCACTACGAGACCAAGAAGCTTGCCTACTACCCCGGTAACCTTTCCGCCTTTGTCGCCAAGGTCCCCGAGGCCAAGTCTTACTACACCCTTGCCGCCACTTCCATCAAGTTCTCTTTCCCTCCCCCCGGTAACCTTGTTGGTGTCCGATCCAACACTCGAGCCATCCTCAAGCTTTCCAATGCCACCTTCACATACCCCGGTGCTGCCAAGCCCTCGCTCAAGAACCTCTCTTGTTCTTTGTCCCTCTCTTCCCGAGTCGGTATCGTCGGTCCTAACGGTGCGGGTAAATCTACCCTCATCAAGCTTTTGACCGGTGAGACTGTTCCCCAAGAAGGTGCCGTCCACAAGCACCCTGCTTTGCGTGTCGGTTACGTTGCCCAGCACGCTTTCCACCACATCAACTTGCACTTGGACAAGACTGCCGTGCAGTACATCCAGTGGCGTTACCAGGATGGTCACGACCGTGAAATGATGGAGAAGGCTACCCGTGTGTTCACCGACGAGGACAAGGAGATGATGGACCGCCCCATCGAAGGCAAGAACGGCGAGTTGAGGAAGATCGAGTTCATCCTGGGTCGTCAGAAGCTCAAGAAGTCCTTCCAATACGAAGTCAAATTCAAGGGTTACGACCACAAGTACAACGCTTGGATCGGCCGTGACGTCTTGCTCGAGAAGGGTTTCCAAAAGCTCGTCACTCAGTTCGATGACTTGGAGTCTTCTCGAGAGGGTGCTGGTCAGCGTGACACTGGTGCCACTGCTGTCCGAGAGGTCTTGGAGGCTGTCGGTTTGGACGGTGACATTGCTCAGTACAACGAGATGTCTGGTCTGTCTGGTGGTCAGAAGGTCAAGGTCGTCATTGCTGCTTCTATGTTCAACAGGTGCGTACAATCTTGAATATCGTTCTGCCAATGCTAACCCATCGCAGGCCTCAATGTCTCTTCTTGGATGAGCCTACCAACTTCTTGGACCGAGAAGCCCTCGGTGGTCTCGCTGTCGCCATCAAGGAGTGGGGAGGTGCCGTCTGCATCATTTCTCACTCTACTGAATTCGTCAATGCCCTTTGTCCCGAGATCTGGAACGTCGACAACGGTGAGCTTACCCACCAGGGTAAGGTCGCCATCGTCGAGGACGCTTTCGACAACCCCTCTCAGCCCGGCTCTCGAGTCCCCAGCAAGGCTGGTACTCCCCGAACCATCCCCGGTACCCCTTTGACTGCTGCCACCTCTGGCACTGCTACCCCCGATGGTAGCAGTGCTGTTGAGGATGTCACCGACGGTTTGGCCAAGTTGATGGAGAAGAAGAAGAAGAAGAAGAAGATGACCCGAAACGAGCTCAAGGCTCAGGAGGAGAGGAGGAGGATGAGGAAGGTCAACTGGCTGGCCTATGGTGGTACGTCTCTTTATCCAAATCGTCTATGACACTGCTAACATCTCTTTAGGTGAGCGTGAGCCGGACACTGATGACGAATAAGGTGTTGTATAGCCTTAAGAGACATAGATGTTAGATGTGGTAGAAGGTTCCGGCTTGTGTTTGTTTTTATCTCGTGCCTCTCTCTTTTTCAAGGTTGTGTAATATACCGTAGATTAGTGGCATCTCTTTCTATCATGAACTTTGCTAATGCGCCAATCATTCTTTGGGCAGTGACGGACGCAGAATGACGTTGACAAATTGAGTGCTCTTCAAATGTCGTATGGCTGGGAAACAAGGCTGCACCTGCGACAGCGACCCAGAATCCTACCCCATACGGGAAACCTGTACCCGGGCTGGTCTCGCATCGACCTTAATCGTACAGAGCCCCATTGAAAGCAGGTCGTGATGCGTTGCACCAATTGAGATTCTTCATCAACATCCCCGCGCCACATGGGATTACATAAGCATTCTTCCCCACTCAAAATAATCCCGCCGTCCCTCTCTCGCTGACAATTGATGATTCGCATCAGATTGCCCAAAGACTTCTCTCACCGCCCACCATGTCAGCACCCCTCAACAACGCCGCTGCCGCCCAGACCACTTCCAAGCTCCAGGCTTTCCTCAACCACCCCGCCGGCCCCAGGTATGTCCCCCATCAGCCCATCTACCCAGCCTTGGCCATGGTAGATAACACCCTGAGGAGACGTGCTGATGTGATGCCCATAGAACCATCTTCTTCTGGGCGCCCATCGCCAAGTGGGGTCTCGTGGCGGCTGGTCTCAAGGACCTCCAGCGTCCTGCCGAGAAGCTGAGTGTGTCCCAAAACGTAGCTTTGGCTGCTACCGGATTCATCTGGGTGGGTGTTAGATGCTTGGCATATACACAGCATCAACTGATGTGTGATTCTTGTATAGGTCCGATACTCTATGGTCATCACTCCCGTCAACTACTCCCTCGCCGCTGTCAACTTCTTTGTCGGCTGCAACGGTGTCGCTCAGCTCTACCGGATCTGGGACTGGAGACAGAAGAACCCCAACGCTGTTACTGCTTAGAGGGTGAAGGACGATATTGGAACGAGGGCTAGAGAGAGGCTGAGGAGGATAGGAGAGGCCTCATTTTGTTGTAGGGTAGCCATACCCAAATCCGACAATTGTCTATGAACTTACGTCGGTCATCTCAAGAGAACAACGGGCATGCGCAGGCAGTGCAAGAGTGAAATAGGGCATTCATGACTTGATAAAGCTACAAAAATCACGCCAATACGCTACACAACTTGGACCGGAAACGATACAGAGATAGACTCCCAAAATCACTTTCAATCAGATCGTCTGGTATTTCTTCTAATCAAGATCTCCTTCTCTACAACACCTCCCACCTCTGCCTACCCATACTGATCAACCTGACAAACAACGCCTCCCTCCTCCCGATCCTCTTGAAGTGCACAGTCTCGCCATCTTCTTTGGATGCCTTTGGTCCGGCCGTGAGCTCTTTGAGCTGCTGCTCGCCAGATTTGAAGCGGATGGTGAGGCCGAGACCTTCCACATCGGCACCGGAAGCCCAGCCGAGGGCCATGCGCGCCATAGCCACGTGGCTCTGCAAACAACGTCAGCACGTGGATGTGAGGCGTGGGAGGAGTGGGGAGCTGACCTTTTTTATCTCTACAATATCGTCGATAGGACGACAAAAGACGGCTTCTTTGCCGGACGTGGGGACAAAGCTGATAGTAGGCATCGCCACACCTTCCTTCTTGCTGTCAAGGATGATATGGCCAGAAGTGCCGTCGAGCTTGCAGGGATACGCTAAAACTTTGTCAACACGGGCTTGTCCAATAGGTTCTAGCGACTTACAAGAGATAGTCAAGTCGTCCGCCACATTCCCCCTAAAGAAGACCTTATCCACCTTATCCCCAATCTTGCCCAACCACATCAGCCTCCGATCCTCGATCTTGTACCTCTCCATCAACTCTTCAATACTCATGCTCACCTGTTTCCTAGCCCCGTCCACCGACACATCACCGCGGAAACCAGCCAGGTGCTTGCCAGCGCTTTTGAAGGCGTTGGTGAGGTGGGTCTTGGTCTTGTGTTTGGCTTTGACCGCGACTTCGGTGGTGCCGCCTTCTTTTTGGGCTTCGAGGAGTTCTTGGTCGTCTTCGGCGGTGTGGGTGGCGGGGGTGGTGTCGGCGATGGCTTCTTTGGGGGTGCCAGCAAGAGGGGGAGGGCTTGTGGAATGGTTAGATGTGGAAGAGAGCACGAGGGTGAAACTCACGGAGGTCGAGGAAGGGGCGTGCCGAGAGCTTCTGTGACTCGCAACAAGTGCAAAGTCAACTGAGTATCCGTAGGTACACGCGACAAGATCGAGCTATCCTTCATCAGCATTCTCTTTATCTGTCAATGTTTCAAGACACTTACTTTCGCATATCCATCCTCTCCTCCCAGTCCGGGACGAGCTCGACAAACTTCTTGACACCCTTGATCAAGAGAGGCTGAGCCCACATACCGACACCAAAGGCGAAAGTGGCGGCGCGGCCAAAGTAGACAGCGGGGACGTAGGTCAAGAGGAGGCCGGGGGGGAGGAGGAAGGCGCCGGCCATCTTGAAACGGGCAAAGTTTTCGGGGTAGGCAGAAGGAGGTGAGAGCGCGCTGGAGGTTGATCAGCTCACTGCTAGCAAATGGTAGAATATAACCCACTTGGTGAAACGCTCGATGAGATCAGCAAAAGCGCCCAAACCATCCTCGGTCGCTTTCGTCATCTTTGACACCGTCTCATCCCTCTTCCTCTTGGCCTCTCTCGAAGCCAACTTCTTCTTCTCCTTGTCCGTCAACGGCTTCTCGGGCACAATATTTTCTCCGCCCACGACGACGGCAGCAGAGTCGAGCCCTTGAGCAGTGTCGGACGTTCCGTCGACCTTGGTACGTTCGGGGTTGAATTCGTCTTCAGAGTCGGAGTCGGAAGAGTCTTCTCGCTTTTGGCCAACTTCAGAATTGCCGGCCTCTTTACCCTTCTTCCTACCGTCCTAATCTCAGGGTAAGTGACATTCGACGGAGACAAGGCTCGACTCACCCAAAGCAACCTGGTAGTATAAGCCCTCAGAACAGACGTCACTTCGAACGCCTGTTCCTCCGCTTGCTCATGCTTGGTCCTATGCACCGTCTTGCCATCCACATTCCCCAAAAGACTCTCGTCACCTTTCTGGTTTGTGGGGTCTGTCGCACTGGGCGGTGTGAATGGCGCAGGTGGCACAGGCGGGAAGAGGTATCTCCTCGTGAACGGGAAACACACCAGCACAGATAAGAATATCGTCACGCCCAGCATCGTGTACCCAAACACCCAGGCTGTAAAGTATGCAGCGCAATAGGTACCAGTACGCCAGCGCTCTTCGGGAGACCAAGACATGAGTCTCTGGAACTCGCGCGCGCCTCGGACAGAGGAGGGTCCGACGGCAGCGATGACGCGCTCGAGGTTGGAGCGGAGCACTTCGGTGTGGGAAGGGAGGTTGGGGAGGGGCGATACACGGAGGTCGGGCTCGGCTGGGGGCAGCTTGTGGGCGGGGTGGAGGACGTGGGTGACTTGCTAGACACGCTGTCAGCTGGCGATGCACGTGGGGTGCGTGAAGGGATAGTATGCTTACGACGTCGAATCGCCTGAGCATGGCCCAGAGCCTGTCATCCTCGACGCCATGGACGACGGTGCCCTGCGCGGGTTCACCCTTGAGCTCTCTCGCCTCGGCTTTGGTTTTTTCGACCTCGCGCTTGACGACCTTGGGATGCTCCTCTTTAATGGCGTGTTTCTGCTCCCCGGGGCTGGTGGCGGGGTTGGTAGGGAGGGCAGTGGGGGCTGATTGTGAGGATGGCTTGTGGGGGTCTGTGGAGGCTGTGGGGTGGGAGGCGGTGGGCTGCTCGCCGGGGGCGGTGGGGATGTCGGTGGCGGGTGCGCCTGGGACGGGGACGTTGTGTGCGCCCTCCTGTGCTGCTACGGGGATCTCTGCCATCGTGCTTGAGCGAGATGGAGCAGGGAACGGTGAAAGCAAGACATGCGATGGGTCTCTCTGACGTCATCACCGCATCCTTACGTATACATCTCAACTATACTATGTACTCCTCGTATACTACAGCTACGAATGAAGTCGTCCCCTACACAACACAAGCAAGACCCTTATGGGTCCCCTTCACAGTCCGTCTTCCGCTCTTGCCGCGGATAGCCCCCTTCCTATGGAGAGGCCTCATCTCAACATCATCCCTCACTTCACCCAACGCCCACTGCTGCGAAGGGAACGACCCCCAGGAAAAGAACATATCCACCACCCCAATGTATCGGTTCATGTAGTGGTGCAGCATCGTCTGCTGAATGCCAGCCGATGCCTTTGGGCGGCCAAAAGCACTGATGATGGCCTCCTCTTCCTCCTGGAGGACGTGGCGGTAGTTGAGCGCGGCGTCAAAGAATACCACTGCGTGCTCGGGGAGGGTGGTAGGGAGAAGCTGTTGGTCGATCTCCAGGAGATGGAGCTCGTGCATGGTTTTGGTCATGGCTTGGGCCAGCTGTGATAGCTATCAGCAAGCGTCACCAAAAAAGAATGAGAAAAACGCACCATGTCCATAGCCTCATAGAGATCCCAGACAGGGCACTCGCTCTCCTCAATCATCTTTCGCAGATAGTCGGCCTCTCCAGAAGTACCTTGGTACAGCGAAACAAGCTCGAGAAGGTGGGCGCGGTTAAATTCGTCCGCAAAGCCAATGTTGGTGATCCACTCGAGGAAGAAGACCATGTCGATAGTGATGGCCCAGCAGCGGCAAAGGTCATTTCGGTTCACCTATGAAACACGTTAGAATCGTGCCTGCCACCCATGGGTGGGAAGCTTACAGCCTGACCGTTGTAGGTGAAAGTGTCAAAGAACCAAAGTTCGTCTTCAGGCCCCTTGGTCCTGTAGCCGACTCTACCAAGACCTTGGGAAGAAACCTCTTGTCCGAGCTTGGGCTCGAAGCGCGCGGTGGTCACGCCGTAGAACAGGCAAGGCGCCATCCTCGTCTCCTCAAGGAAAGCAGATGCAGACCCATACTTTTCGAGATAAGGCTCGGCGCAAGTGAGGGCAAGCTCTTCGAGGTACTCTGGACCCAGTCTGTGGGCGGGACGAAAGACAGAAGCGATCAACTCGCTTTGGGCGGTGAGGGCTGAGAGGGACATGATGGTGTGAGTGTTTTTTTTTGGGTGGGATGGAGAGAGATGGAGATGCGATTGGAGCTGGATTTCGGCCCATTTGGCATGGCTACGGATAGACCTACGGAACAAGAGTCTAGCGGCGGGTCAAGGATGAAGAGAGAGGATCAGTTGCTAATTCCGCCACCCTTCCGCAAAAAGTCGCGTCGGCCCTCCGAGGTCGAGCATACTCGAGGACTCGTACTCGTACTTTGCTATACATACTCTACTGGCGTTCTGATCCTATGGTATGCATGTAGCTGCAAGTCATGGATAATTCAGCATGACTCGTATGTAAATCATTGATAGAACCTTGCTACTGGTCTCCACGAGGAGGTAGATGATTCTTCAACGCCGGCGCAGGCAAATCATGTATCAAGATGTATACGATCATCACAACAAAACAACAGAGAAGAACACATCTACTACTTTATACACGTCAAGAGACCACCTTCACCTTCCAGGATCAGACGACCCCGGCCGCAGCTTTCAGCTTGCGCGCCTCTAGCATCTTTTCTTCCCTCAACCGCTGCGACTTTTCAACCCCAAACCCTTCCTCAAACACAAAATAAACCTCCTCCAACGACAACCCCGACGTCTCTGGATACAACGCCCAGCAAAACACCCACCCCACCATACAAAACCCCGCATACACCCCAAACGCCCCACTCGGCCCGACCTTGTTCATCAAGCTCAAAAACGTCCCTGCGATGAGGAGGTTGCAGCTCCAGTTGACGGCGGTGCAGATGGATGTGCCGATACCGCGGACTTCGAGGCGGAAGAGCTCGCCTTGTTGCCAGGGGATGTTTCCGAGGCCGGTGGCGTAGCCGGCGACGTAGAGGAGCATGGAGAGGAGGACGAGGATGGAGAAGGATTTGGGGTAGGAGGCCCCGCTTTGGAGGACGCCGCCGGTAGAGAGCGTTAAATCTGTAGAAGGTCAGTATGGCGCTTGCTTTGTCGGGAGTGACGCACAGTGGAAGAAGATGGAGGCGAGGATGAGGGAGATGATCATGACAGGCAATGTCCAGAGCATCGTCTTTCTACGGCCCAGTGGGTCCACAATCTGTACTGGTCAGTATGCCTCGCGAGCAGGAACCCGGGTGCTCACCTTGAGTGCGACAAGCGTAAAGATGACATTGATGGACGCAATGACCAGCCCGACTGCGGTGGCATTGGTGAACCCGACCATGGCAAAGATGGTTGCCGAGTAGTACATCAGGGTGTTGAAACCGCACAACTGCTGAGCGGCTTGCAATCCACATCCAATGACTATGACTTCATCAGCCTGAACATCCATATTTTGCTCAAAGTACTCACTAAGAGCCCGACGGTTTGTCCCAACAGTGACTAGACTTTGCAATCTCTCACCCCATGTCGAGGCATCGTTGTATTCCTTGCTCTGGTCCACAGCAGCTTTCATGATTTCCAGCTTTCTGTCGACTTGCTCAACCTTGGCGAGGGGATAGATGCGCGCAATGATGGATCTCGCCTCGGATACACGAGATCTCAGGAGAAGGATTCGAGCTGTAACACTGTCAGTCAAGGTAGATGGAAGCGGGAAGAGGGACGTACGCGATTCGGGCATGAAACCGATACAAGCAAGCTGAATGAGGGAAGGCATGGCACCAAGACCTACGATCCATCTCCAGCCATTGTTGACGCTCTGAAAACCAGACCCTATAGCTAGACATTGTCAACGATTCTCCCGTCACGCTTCAGGACCACTCACCGTACGCTACGACTTGCCCGAGGGTGATGGCAACACAATTGATCGTCACCAACCTCCCCCTGATCAACGTAGGCGCCAGCTCTCCGATATAGAGCGGCACAATACAGCTCGCAAGACCGACTCCGAGGCCTACAATGAAGCGCCCAGCTACCATAGCGGCGACAGTATGACAGGCCGCCTGACAGACGGACCCGCCGATGAAGGTGATGTTGGCAAATACAATCACGAGGCGGCGACCAGTCAAGTCTGAGAGGATTCCAGCGGCAAGACCGCCTAATAGAGCGCCCAATGTTGTAGCAGAGGTGATCATTTCCTGTACACTATCAGCTAGAATCTTGATGAGAGAGCTTGGACCGACCTTTTGCCAGTCGGACAGAGCAGCGCCAAAATCCTCATTGATGATGACCAGCATCGACGAGATCGCGGCCGTATCATACCCTATGATCACGTATCAGTGATATTTACATCGCGCGATCCAAGTGGTTCACCAAATAACAGTCCAGAGACAGCTGCAGCAGATACCAATATCCAAACAAACAGAGTGATGGTATCTTCGCCTTCCACCACGACCGCCCCCTCATCCATCTCTCCCAGATGCGCCCTCCTCTCTGCCACCTTGTCCAGGTCCTCTTCTAGCCCATCCTCGTCCTCATTTCTTGCAGAGAGTTCGTCGACAAAGTCGCGCGACGCGGGGGTAGAAGTGCCGGAAGCCGGGTCGTGGGAGAAGGAAGTGGGGACAGGGGCGTAGATGTTTGACTGGGCGGGCTGGGTGGTCATTGTTGGGTATGGCTTAAGAGTATCGCTTCCAGGAGCGCTGGGGTACCTCTAGAGCATTTGAAGTTGTAGATGTACAGATGAGAGATGAAGATACAGGAAAGCCTTCTCCTTTCGTTGACTGGAACTACTGCGTCCGGCGGCCGGGAGTATCCTGAGCATCTCCGGTCTGGTCTATCCTCTTGCGGGGTAATGTAAGGGCGTCGCAAATTGACAGTCATCCTCTGAATGGCAGCTTGATGACCTCTCGAGCGGTGGACTACTTCACTTTTGCAGCTACAGATGTCGTACACTATGATATATCATACAACTATGACAACAACTACGTCTTGTCCAACGCTACAACACTCTCAACACCTTCCCTAGCCCTTATTGGCCTCTCATGACATTATTAGACATATGTGATAGTCGTTCCCAGCTTCCACACTCCCCCGAATTTCGCTACCCACCACTTGAGATACCACCATGCCCATTCCAACCAGCCCCTCTGCCCCGCCCGGATCTGGGCTAGACGGGCTTGGACTTGTGATCGAGAGCCTAAAGATATCGTAGATTGAGATGCTGGGGGGCGAGAGCGATGGGTGCGGCGGAAGCGAAGAAAAATCAGAAGGAAGAGGATGAGGGGAAGCGGCAGGGACATGAGGTATGGGGATGAGTCGCTCAGGGCGAGGAGTCGTCCTAGAATACTCTGAGGAATAGGTAAAGAGCCAATGACTCTTATCAACACGCCCGACAAGCCAGCCACAGAAACAGGGTGTCCAGCAGGTATGGGCGTGCCAGGGAGCGAGGGCTTGAACGTGCTCTCCGACAGCCGAGAAAACCCAGAGCCGTCGCTCGCCGCATCCCGCTCCCCGTCCTTCTTCAACTTGTCGAGTCTTTTACTGAGAGGGGTACCAGCTGTCAGACCACGTTGGAGAGTACCAGGCCGGGCGGTAGCTTCGCTAGAACTTGAGCTGGCAGAAGATGTACTGCCTGTACGACGTCGGTTTTTGCCCTTTGCAGACCCCGGTAGCTGCAGATCGGGTGTCGGATCAGAGGATGGTAGGACGAGAGACGATGATGGGGAAGGGGCAGGTAGTGGCGGAGTTTGTTTTGTCTGCATTTTCCGAAGGTGTTTATATAGTACCTATCAATGACACGTTAGCACCTCCCAACCAAGGACGCGGAGCTTCATACCTCCTTCCTGTTTGAACTCAGCACTCCCTCACCCTCCAAGAAAGCCTTTGCCATTTCCCACTCTCCCTCTCGACAAAGCACCTCTCCAACAAACAGCTCGATGACTTTGGTATACCTCTCCCGAGCACCGTCGAGCCGCTTGTGTTCGAGTGCAGCAGAGGTCGAGCCGGTTTTGTGCATCGGACGCCGGGATGTAGGGGAGGGGGTGATGAAGTCAATGAAAGAATTTGGTAGCGCTGCTAGCCAGTTCTCACACAGCCCATGGGCAAAGTCCAAAGAGGGCTTCAAGGGCACCAACTTCAGGCAAGCCAATGTCAAAGTCGACACCAGCGGAGGCGGGAGTAACGGTACAGGTGGGGCTATAGTCCCGTAATACGAAGTCAGACATCGCTGCTGAAGGTACGAGAGTACCTCTTTGGGCGATTTGGGAGGGAGAAGGGTGACGAGGACTTGGGGGAGAGACTGGGTCTTGCGAGGTGGATCGTTGTAGAGGTTGACGGTCGAGCTGATGACCAATTTGAGAGTCTTGATCATCCATTCATCATTCGCAACCTTTTCTTCCCATTCATCATCTTCGTCTTCTTGATCAAGCTGATACCAGACCTGGCGAGGGCCCTGGCGTTTCGCTCTGAGGAGCTCGAGGAGACGGGAGAGGGATGCCTGTGTTTTGAGGTGATCGCGGCGGACGAAAGACTGGACGGCCGTGTTGTAGAGAACCTCAATAGGTGATTCCCGCGGCCGCGAAGGAGAGGGGGAGGGGGATACTCTCGGGGGCATTGCAGGGTGTCGAGGCATTGTGGATGACTTGAGATCAACAAATCCGACAATCGGTATCCTGTATCACCGACAAAAAGTGTCGACATCACGACATTCTCTCGTTCTCTCGAAAAGCTGTAGTTCGTATCACCAAACTTGTCCAGCATTCATTCAATTGCAAGGCATCAAGTCTAAGCAAGACAGCTCGCGACAATCGCTTCAGTACATTCCCGGTGCGATCCCGAACCGAACAAGTAAAAGTCGAAAATCTGAAAACTTCGATAATTTCAATTTCAGGTCGACACCGTCATGCCCCGGTCACCCACGCCCACCGGACATGGGCCAAGCCCGTCTCTCAAGCAGCTCCTCAAGTCTGCAGACATTCTCTTAAAACCCCCTAAACCCCTTCCCTCCAATCCGCCTGATCTCCTTCCCCGGCTCCGCGCGTCCTCGAAAGCCCTCCCCAAAGAATGGCGCAGAAGTGTCCCGGAATGGACAGAAGACGACGAGATGGATCATGTGGGGGACGATGGAGGAAGGGGTATCGACGAGGAAAGGAAGAAGCAGAGAAGGGATGATCTTGTGCATGTGGTGGGTAAGAGGTGTTTTGCAATGGTCAAGGCCATGCAGTTGTGGCTGGAGAAGGAAGCGTGGCCAAAAGACCAGAGAGATGGGCTCGAGGATAGGGACTGTGAGTGAATCGTCGCTTCTTCTTTGTGGTACTAATGGATGGTAGTCCTGTTGGGAACTGGAGATCTTCGACTTATTCGCCTCATGCTTTCCCATACCACCTTCTCCTACCTTCTTCCGCTGGCGACCACGTACGCCGATGCTCTGCCTATGGTCGACGACAATGTGGCTGCAAGTCTTGCCTCTGCTCTCGAGGCCATTCTGAAACTTCTCAAGACGACTGCTCCCCCAGCACCTGCTGCGGGACCGAGCTCGAGACTTCCCATTGCCCCTACCGCCATCACTCAGAGTCTGCTCTCGTCCCATCTCATTCCAATCTTTCTCTCGACCCTCATTCTGGCATATACCCCTTCTATCCCGGCAGATCATCATGCGTCTTTGAGGCTGGCTTTTCTTCAGGCGCTCATGTCCCTCACGCCGGGTCATGCGATTTCCAGCTTGGTCAATGTGTTGAAGCTGCTCGTTCAAGGACGCAAAGCAGACCAAAGCAAGACTACCGGCTGGGTCCGCGAATGGCCAAAATACCCCGAAGGCATTATCAACGGTCTTCTGACTGCCCAAGTTCGCCGTCCTGGTGGTGTCAGAGGTCTGATGGAGAATGTCTTGGGTGACACGGCTCGAACGGACGATGTGACTTCGATTGAGGGCAAGCGCCTCGACCACATCTTCAACGTCCTCGTCCGAATCCCACGTCAAGTCACACCCGAGATATATTATCCATGGCTTCTCTCCGAGCTCTTCTCCATGATACCACTAGACGATTCGTCCTCTCATCACCCCATCGCATATGTGAATACGGCTTGTTATTGCATCCAGCGTCTTTGGCGATCCAATACGTCTATTGGCGATTGGCTCAAAAACAAACTCCATTCGCCTTGGTACCCCAAAGCTCCAGTAGCGAGCGGGACTCCAGTGGAAGTGACATCGTGGCAAGCTATTCAACGGTCTGTGCAAAACACCAGACTGCTGTTGATCCACAACCCCGCTTCGCCCGACTTTGTCGACTTTCTCGTCGGCTCTATCCTCTCGCCTCTCTTCTCTCTACACTCTTTCCTGTCCCTTTCTCCCGCAGCTTCTCTCATCCGACCCGTTTCCACCCGTGCCGTCCGCCAGACTCTCCCAGACGACGTATCATTCCTCCTCACAAGCTGGGGCAAGACAGTCGACAAGGACATGGGCGTAAAGGGCCTTTGGGAGATCGTAGATGCTGGAAAGGGATGGAAAGTTGGGGAAGATGGAGTGAGGCCAGACTTTTTCTGGGAGAGGGTTGGGGATGGGGTGAGGCTCATGTCTGGATCGTACGTATTTTCATTATCTAGATTACCCTTTACTGACGTATCTACAGCCAGCAGAAGTCCCTGTCCGAGCCCGAGATCGTTCTCCCCTCTCTGTCCAACCCCTCCCATTCAGATACGCCATCAGACGACGACGTCGAACGCATGACCCAACGCCTTCTTGCAGAATCCTCTTCATCCATTCCCGACCCTACACTCCTCTGCAAACTCATCAAAGACATAGATCGCCCTGAAGTGGCGTGTCAAGTCATTTTGAAGGCGCTGCATGTGTGGAGAATTCGAGCTTTGATGGACAGCGAGCCACCCATCGAGTAAGTGACATGTGTGTTCTGGGCGAGGGCCCGCTGACTGTGGTGGTAGGGCAATGTTGCATTTGCAGCTGACTATGGGGCTCATGACCCACCTTGGCGCAGAGCTCTTTACCGAACCGGAACAGCTACTAGAATGGATCGAGCAAACGCTCGCTGATCAGGCGGATCGGCTCGAGCAGGAGGATCAGGAGGAGGAGGAGGAGGAGGAGGAAGGTGCAAAGCCGTTGATCCAAGAGGTCAAAAGTATTGAGCAGAAGAAGGGGAGGACAGAGAAAGAGGACGATGCAGCGGATGGTAATAGAGGGCTGATTGAACTTGCTTGTCAACTGCTCGCGTCGCAAGAAGGTAAGTTTGAGAACTGCGCTATGAGCACGCACTTACAAGTTGTAGTGAAAGCAGCCGTTTCCCAAAAAAGTTTGCCCATCCTTCTCCCCATCGTCGCCCACCTCGATCTCATCTCCAAACTCTCCCCGTCATCTTCCACCCGCTCGCTCGCGCACGAGGCCTCCCTCCTCCTGCTCTCGCACCAGACCACCATCCCTTCATCCGCCATCACCCAAAAGTCTGTCAAAGAGACTATCGACAAAGCCCTCGAGCTTGTGCAAGACTCTACTGTCCCTGTCCGGGCGCACGGGTTGAGTTTGCTGAAAGATGTCGTCTTTGACCCCGCATACGACACCGCCTACACGCCTCTGATCCTCAACACCTTCATGACCCACATTGAAGACGACGACTCTTTCGTCTATCTCTCGGCGGTCAAAGGCTTGAGCAGTATGGTCGATGCCCTCGGAGGCGAAGTGTTCAGCGCGCTCATGGCGGCTTACGAAGTGATGGCCAAGAGGCTGAAAAAATTGACGGACGCGGATGATATTGACAAGATGTTGAGACTTGCGGAGGCGGTAGACCAAGTCATTGAAAAGACTGGAGATGCCCTAGGAATATATGCCGATAGGATCATCCCCATCTTGATGGCGATCTTCCCAGACACCAACCTCGCTACAGCTATCAGGTCTTCTGCCCTGTCTCTTTTGACGACGTGTGCAAAGGCGAGCTACTTCTCGCTCTTGCCCTGGGCGACAGACTTGACAAACGCAGCGATCGACTTGATTCAACTCGAGTCTGTCGCTGTATCGCCCTTCAAACCCGGCCCCCTGCACACTGCGGCCCCGCCTCCGCCTAGCTGGAAGAATCCGCTTGCGGGCGGTAGAAAGGTGCAGTTGGTAGAAGATGAGCCGGCTCTCTCTGCCGATGGCTTGTCCATGAGCGCGGGTGAAGAGGAGCAGCAGAGAAAGGTGGCGGACCCTTGGATCGAAGACGCCGAGCCTATCGCGGTTGATGACAGCAAGCATCCTCTCCTCCGACGTGCTGCCATCTCGTTTTTGAATTGGATCTTCAGCGTGGTCACGTTCAAGGTCATGTCGGATCATCATGATACTGCTGCCGACCCTATCTTCCCTTCTGCTTCCGACATATCTTTGACTCCTGTCTCGCACAACGAGATTATGTTTAAAGAGCCGCTGGACCCGACTATGGACGCCGACCTCCAGGTTGGCGCCATCTCGCACAAGCTGCTCGAACGTGCTGCCACAGTCTTGGGCTATGTCCAACATACCGATGTGGACGAGCTGTCTAGGGGGCATGCCGAGTCGGCAGAAAGGATGTTGGGGATGTTGAGAGCGGCGGTCGTTATCAGTCAAGGAGGGGATGTAGAGGGGAGTGGGTTGGAAGATCTTAGTGAGAGCTTGGAGGGGCTGAAGGTTTCTCTCTACTCGTAGGAGACAATGTACGGTTGGTAGGGGCTACATGATCGCATCATCGAGTTACACTACTTTGCTTTTTCCAGATCATCCTTGAAGTCCTGGACCGCAAGCGCGAACCCAGTCTCCGTGGCATCCGCTTCAAAGCCCATGGCCAGAAAGTCTGAATTGTCGTATTCTCCAGCCCACGTCTTGCAAATGTTGATGACCGCCTGATCTTTCTCAAACTTGATGAGATTGAACTTGTCCTTGCCTCCGTGCTCAATTCTATCAAGGTCAGTCTGGGAAGGAAAGGAGGTGGGATGACTCACAAAGCTTCGATAATCTGCCTTGGTCTGACTTTGATTCCCGGAATATTGATACTCCTCGACTCGCCCGACGCAAAATTGCTTTCAGGCATACACATTGCCCACGCAATGTTTCTCACCACCGTCTTTGTCCTCGAGCACCAGAACGGCATATCATCCAGATCCTTGTCCTCATAAGAGCTCGCGATGGGACAGATGGCTTCGAGCCCCTGGAGGGGTTCTCGAATGAGGCCCGAGATGAAAGAGGATGCCGCCGAAGAAGGGGCGCCGGGACGGATGGCTACAGTTGGCAGGCGGACCGAACGGGTATTGAGATATCCCTTCCTGCCATAGTCATACACATACAGCTCAATGATGCTCTTCTGCACACCATAGCTGCTCCCGGGGATGACGGGTGTGTCTTTCGGCACGACATAGTCTGTAGGCTTGCACTTTGGTCCGCCGTAGATGGCGAGGGAGGAGACGAAAACGTAGAGGGGACGAGGGGCGGAAGATGGGAGGGAGAGGGAGTGTTTGTGGGTGGTGCGGAGGAGGTTGAGGTTGGAGTCGACGTTGACAGAGTATCCGAGGTCAAAGTTGGCTTCCGCTCCGCCAGACATGATGCCGCTGTGATCGAGTCAGTGCCGATTGAGAGTAGGCTACAAGCACTAACTGGAGAGCAAACACTCCATCGATCTTTTCGCCTTTGAACAAGCCTTCGACCTCTTTAATCTTGCCGAGGTCAGCCTTTACGGCGACAAGCCTGTTCTTGTCTGTGATACCATGGCTGGGCGGCTCGACAATGTCGGTTGTGATGACTTTCAAAGATGGGTAGAGAGAAAGCAGGAGAAGGACGAGTTGCTGCCCGACGAATCCTACAATGACTGTTCAGCGTGTGATCAGCAAGGGCGGGATGAGACCCACCTCCAGCGCCAGAGACCAAGATGGTCTTGACATGGTCAGGGAGTTTCAAGGCATCGTACGTAGGGGCGGCCATTATGTTTAGGAAAGTAGGGAGATGACAAGGCTTTTGATCTACATATATACCTCTCGTGACCGTTCATGGCAAGAGAATACTCGGGACTTCGGACCAATCTCGACGGCTGTGGGCGGCGATGGCCCTGTCGTTCCTGGCTTTTAGATGACCTTCGGCCCGAACCTTCTGCTTCTCATCAAAGATGCGTTGCTGCTTGCTTCGATTTCAAGACTTCTCTCGAATAACCATGGTAAGAGTCCTCCTGGGGTGCGCTGACACGAAAAATAGATGAGAAGCGCGAGGGGATGGTTCAGCTAGCGAGGCATAGAAGTTAGATGGCTAGCCTGGAGCCCGTGTAGTGGTTCTATCATGCACGAAGGACGGAGGGTCCTTCCTTGTAACGACTGTCACCCATAGGCGTGCGAATGATGCAGACCGATATGCATGACGGGAACCAAACAATGCGATGGATAGAGGCGGCAGCCACCGCTCCGCCACACATGGACACATCGGTCTTTTAATAATCCCGTCGAAACTCTCGGCGCTGCCCGCCAGTGAAGTGACACTTTTGTGGAATGGCGTATTGAGTCTTCATCCATCAACCAAAAATGGCCGCCAACACTGTCATCTCTAAGAGGAGAAAGTTCATCGCCGACGGTGTCTTCCAGGCCGAGCTCAACGACTTCTTCACCCGAGAACTCGCGGAGGAGGGTTACGCCGGTTGTGAGGTCCGAGTGACCCACGCCCGTACCGAGATCATCATCAGGGCTACCCACACCCAGGAGGTCCTCGGTGACAAGGGTCGCCGAATCAGGGAGCTCAAGGCTCTCATCGAGAAGAGGTTCAAGTTCCCCGAGAACTCCCTCGAGCTCTACGCCGAGAAGGTCCAGTACCGAGGTCTCTCTGCCACCGCCCAGGCCGAGTCTTTGAGGTACAAGCTCCTCGGTGGTCTTGCCATGCGACGGTGCGTCTCCTTTACTTTCACTGTGAATGTCGACTGATGTAGAACAGAGCCTGTTACGGTGTCCTCCGATTCGTCATGGAGTCCGGTGCTAAGGGTTGTGAGGTTGTCGTTTCCGGCAAGCTCCGTGCCGCCCGTGCCAAGTCTATGAAGTTCACTGAGGGTTTCATGGTCCACTCCGGTCAGCCCGCCCGTGACTTCATTGACTACGCCGTCCGACACGTTCTCCTCCGACAGGGTGTGCTTGGTATCAAGGTTAAGATGTGAGCCAAATTTTGCTCGAGGAAAAATAATGTCTTGCTGACGAGATTGATAGCATGAAGCCTTCCGACCCCCAGGGCCGACAAGGACCCGCCAAGAACCTCCCGGACGACGTCCAGATCACCGAGTGCGCCGTTTCGACTTTCTCTTCCCAATAATTGCTGACGTATCCCACAGGCCCAAGTCCGAGGCCGCCATCGAGATCCGATCCGACCACAAGAACCCCCCTGTCCAGGCTATCCCCGCCCCCGCCGCTGCTGCCCCCGAGGCTCAGGAGGCTGCTGCCGCTTACTAGGATGGTTCTCTCTCTTGTCTAGGTTGAGGATGCATGGAGATTAATGACAACCCCCACTTCTTGCGAGAAGGCTGTGCGGATGTGCAGTTCATGACAGGTGTCCAGGAGGGATGGGGGACGTGACTCGTGATTGTGTATACTGACAATGACATTCAGTCTGTACGTGATTTTTTTGCTCTTTTTCTTCCCCCCACTCCCCACCCTCTACCCAAAGGCTCTATCTGCTCGTATCAGCATCTCCACCGCTGTTTGCGTTTCCTGAACGGGCCTAGATTAAACACCACATCTTTTCTTTTCTCATCAATATATTATCTTCTCTGTTCTTGCTCAAACGGACAAAGGAGAGAGGAAAGGCTAGATGACATTCTTATCATCGATGATCGTGTTTGTGGGATCCGACGGCAGGAGAAAGCTACCACGACGAGGTGCAAAAGAGGTGCGAGGCTGCTATGTAATCAAGCTCGCTGTAAATGCATCATCTTTTCCATCGTATCTTGTCATCTGTCACGACTACGTTAACTCGCCGAGATCTGAGAGTGTGATCCCAACATCAATGTTGCAAGATATACATCTATCTTCATCCGAAACTTAGCGCAAAGAAAGTATAATGCTTTGTAAGATACGTAAAAGAACATGATTAAATGATTGCTGCTCGTGAAAAACACGTTCTCCGGTGACCCTCGACTACTGCTCGCCCCCCACGTGCACTACGCTCGCCTCTCTGCCTCATACCAGCGTCTTTCCAATCTTTGCTTCCACTTAGTACTAGATGCAGCATCAGTCTTCTATCCCCTCAGAATTGAAAACACAACTCACGACTCCCGGTACGATCTTCCACTTGACCATCTCACAATACCTATCCCAGTCCTTCCCATACTTTTCCCTACAAGCCTCGTCATCCCTCGCCTGGCGATGGAGAAGGAGGATAACAAAGTAGATCAGGTAGTAGTATGTCAAAGGCGTAGAGAGACCGGTGGGAAGACACCAACCGAGGGCGATGAGCCAGTCGCCAAAGTAGTTGGGGTGTCGAGATCGGCCCCACCAGCCAGAAGTGATGAGCTTGGTGCCCCGCTCAGTTTGCATAAACTCCAGGTCTGGCCCAAACATTAGTACATCACGTTGACGACGAGTCCCGACTCACTTTTGGGGTTCTTGCCAGCCCTGAAAGTCGCCTTCTCGTTGTTGGCGACTCTAAAGACGTACATGCCGTAGAGCTCAATGGCGACGATGGCAGCGGTAGCAAGAGGGGACAAGTAGGTGGGGTGGAAAGCGAGGAAACGGGCCTGGAGGCCGTATGTGAAGGGAACCCAGACGAGATCGCCAAAAGCGAGCATGAAGCCGAAACCGTCGGTGGTGATGTCCATCTGGTTTAAGATCGTGTGCTGTTATCCATCAGCGATGCACCCGACAAGAGTAGAGTACGTACCTCTTGGAGAAGACAGTCAAGAGTGTACCAACCCTCAAAGATGAGCACGATCCACATGCTGGCTGTCAACTGGCCGAGCCTGGTGTATTGCTCGCATGCGCAAGAGATGTTGAGAAGGAGCCAGAGGATCATACCGGGTCGGACTTCATTGAAGGTTTTGAGATCAAACGAAGGGACGCCGGGGACGGTAGGGTTGAGGGGGCGGCCGAGGAAGTACTAGACTGGTGTTTAGCCTAGTCAAGGAAGGAAGCAAAGAAGGTACTCACGTCGTAGATAACGTTGCCAGAGTTACCGCCCAAAGCCAGCAGCTCTCCAGAGACGAAACTGTAAGCGTAAACCCATGTCGCCTGGAACGTCGCCATAGCCAGAGCGGCCGAGAGGAGGGGCACAAAGTGGTCATGCAGCCAAGTGAAGGCTTGCACACCACCCGGCTGAACGAGAAGACCAGTGATGATACCAAGGGCCAGGAGAAGGGTGTAGAGACCTGTTCAATCGTGAGCGATGTCGGGAAGGAATCGGCAAAGAGCTCACCGTTCATTCGGTAGGTCTTGCGCGTACCATCTCTCAGAAGGTTTCCCTGCACGCGCTCCCCGGGAAGAGCAACCTCGCATATCACACAGAATGCGTACCACCCAAGATAGACAGCAGCGGCCTTCCACTCCCACCACTGCCCAGCGCTACTCGGGAACCCATCAATCGCCAAATTCCATGCCTCCTTGAACCCTCCTAGACTCGTGGGCGTGCATCCTACGGCGTCATTGCAGGCAAAGAAGAAAAAGTAGGAAAAGAAGGGGCAGAGGAGGGTGATTGCTGCCGTGCCGATGGGACCAAAGAATTCAGTGGGCTTGGACTTGGGGTTGAGCTCGGCGTATGTTTTAGGGATGGGGTGAGCAGGGAGGTCAAGGCTGGTGGCGGCAGTGATGATTGTGGTGGTGTTGCCCTCGCGAGAGGCGGCGTCGGAGGCCATGTTGGTGGTGGAGAAGAAACGAAAAAAAAAAAAGAAGAGACGGAGATGGAGCGACGCGTCGGGAAAAGAGTTTGTGATGACGACAAGATGGGACGATACCGGCAAAGCATGGGACGACGTCGAGAGTCCCGGTGGTGGGCTCAGCGGTCTTCACGCCAGCTTCTGGTCATATAGGAGCATGCATGGCGATGGAATATATGCATACAATGTATAGGCCCCCATGCTTTCATTGCCCCTTCTCCCCTGCCAACACTTCACCAACCCAGACGCCCAGCTTCTTCTCCATCACCAGCAAGATCTTGCTAGCATACGGGTCTATGGATGATCCGCTTTGTTGGGTGAGGGAAGGAGGCAGGGAGAGGGAGAGGTGGACTTGATGGGCGGGGAACTTTTTGGCTGCGGGCAAAGAGTCAGCCCGAGTTTTCGTATGCATACCCCTCTTGACTCGCATGCCCAAGCAAGGAGTGCAGAGAGACCTCACTCACCAAGACGCTGAGACATTGGTAGAGCAATATCGGTAGACCCGCTCCTGAACAGTCGTGTCGCCGTCACCGGTATATTCTGCTCGGTGTATCAGCTCTTCATGTCTCCATAGCCGCGATTGTAAGGTGAGCACTCACTCCTCTGGCAGGCATAGCAACAGCCCAGTCCCCAGCCAGCCGCCTTTCCACTCCTTCTCCTTCCAGTCTCTTTCCTGCTCCCTGTGCTTCGCCTTCCACCTCTCCGGCACCGCTCTCTTCTAAACCGATCCCACCCCCCGGCAAAGAGCCAGGACCTTCAGAGTCGGACGCGGGTCCTGATCCAGCCCATATGAATAATGTAGAGGTGAGGAGGGTGAGGTGAAAGTTGAATGAGGGGGCGGAGGGGAAGGGTGAGGGGAGGTGCGTTGTATGCGTTGTAGGGGCGGAGTGGGACATGCTTGTGGATTTTCGGGGGACGGGTGTAGTAGTAGGCGGTACCTGATTGAGTTGTTGGACTTGGCGGGCCTGTGGCAGTGCCGGAAGAGCTGGTGTTGCGAAGAAGTGAGTTGAAAGTGACAATTGAAAGAGGACATGCGCCGCGCGTCTTGAGTCCCTCGTCTTTCAACCCGTCGGCGATCTCATGTGGCACTTTGCCTGCACTTAGACGCTTGCTTCCAGGTGGTATGTAGCATCATAGAGAGAATCTCTGAGGGCGTATACTTGGTGAATAAACTCTCTTGTTCATATTCCTGACTTGACACGGTCACGCCGACTTCAACCAAACCTCCACCTCCATCAACCCTATCCCAACTGCCTCTCTCCATCTCCCAGTCTCTACTTTCTCTACACCTTCCATATCCATTAGAGCTTTCCCCCTCCTCTCATCCTCTGTCTGACTCTCATCTCCACCTGTTGGCGCCTCTCCTGGCTGAGCTGGGCGACGAACGATGGCAGAGTCTTGGGGACTAACAGGTTGGCGGGCGGGAGATTGAGGATAGGTTCGAGAGTGGATTGCTGACTATTGTTCTCAGCTCTTTCCTCAATGGTCCATATGAAACAAGACATACTTTGATTCTCCCCCAATTGCCCAGAGCGACCTTGACCCCTTCTTGTTGTCCGATTTCACCGCTCCTCTTGAGCAATCCTCCAGGTGTAGACACCTCATCAACGAGCCCCAGCTTCAAAAGATCTTTTTGGACCCAGCGCTTTCCTGCCACAGTATCTCGCAGGTCACGGTGACTGGGGAAGGCAGTGGAGAGGACTGAAGCGAAAGAGCTGGGGAGGGTGGTGCCGAGTGTGATCTTGATTCTCGTCAGTATTCTTCACAATGTAAGGCCCAGCGTGGACGGCTGATAAGCAAAACGCACTTCATTCATGCTTAAAAAGCCTTTCCCGGACGTCATGATGCGGTGGTCGCACGCCAGAGCAAGTATCATCCCCGCGGCAATAGCTACCCCTAACGTCAGCCGAGGGCAATTGAATCGAACGTGGCTGTGAAGCAACATACCATGTCCGTTGATAGCAGCTACTGTGTATAGCGGGAAGGTCATCAGCCTCCATAGGACCGGATCGAACACCTCTACCGCCCCATCACGTCAGCACATTCCTTTCGGGGAGATGAAAGACGCCGTTGCTTACTGGGAAAGAACGAGTCAGGGTCGCCGCCCTGCTTGGCGAGTTGGAAAAGAGCAAGGTGGTCGATACCCGCGCTGAAAGATCTACCTTCTCCGGTGAGCACCAAAGCTCCAGCTCCAGCTCCTTTGATGTTTGCCTTCTTTGCGTTGTCCTCTTTCTTGAGCTGGGTCGAGGACGCGGATGACGTGGGAGAACGAGCCAGCCACTCATACTCAACAACATCCAACGCCTCGCTGAGATCTTGCAGCGCAGAAGCTGAGAGAAGGTTGTCGGGTGGTGAAGAAAGGGTGAGAAGCCATGTGTTTAGCGACGGGCGGGTGAGGGATATGTGGGGCATCCGGTAGGGTCTTTATGATGAGTGTGTTGGGTCTTGAGTTTGTGACTTCTGGAGCTTCCGTGGTGGCTTGAGAAGGATGGGGATTCGGTGGCAGGTGATAAAGAATGTGTCTCAGCTCTTCTTATATAATCGTTCCCAGCCCCAATTTCATTGTCTCTTTCCCGCTGCTGCGGCTGGGTACCGATTCTGAACACATCAGCGTGATCTCTGATCTCTGAATCAAGGCCTCGAGCTTGTCTTACTTCTCTATGGGCCTCGCACCTTCCTGACCCCTCCCCTGGGCCCTGGAAGGCACGACGACGTGCACCATGGGACATGTGGTATGACCCTCGTTCGCTTGAAACTTAGGATTAGGACCGGCTACTGCTTGGTGGCGGCGTAGAAGGGGGCAGAGGGGTACTACCCGCCAGCCTCGAGGTTCTGGACAAGCATCTTGGAGCCTGCGTATGCACGTATGCAGGGTCTCGTGCGGCTAGGTGGTAATCATCAGCATGTGTCATAGAGGCTAAGTGGTATTGTGAGTCATGAGGATGGTCGCCATAGGGAAATTTCTCACTAGGGAGGGACTCGAAAAAGCTGGGATACGTTGGTCAACTTTAAAGCTTGGCCAGGGCAATGAATATCTATCCTGGTGCATGGTGCAACCCATGGTGTACCCCCCCTCACCCACCTCCCCACTCGCAGTTCAACAAAGTACAATGTATGTGGTATGCAGGAAGAAGTGTGATCGGTGAGAGAGAGAAGGCAAGACCTACTAGACCTCCGACGACCTGGCGCCGGACACGTGTTGATCAAAGATGCACACAAACCCACTCGAGGGCCGGGAAGTGTAAATCATGCTGGGGAATATGTGTCGAAATGTTGTCGGCCTTCTGTCCGGGGCTCGCCCTACCATGTACTGTCTGTCTGTTGATATAAAAGGACGACGAAAGGCAGACTCTTGAGATCTATAGAACGATCAGAGATCGGTCTCAACCAGAATCGAAAGGAGGAATTTAGATATCTAGTCGTTGATGTATCAAGAATGATGACTACTTATCCTTGTACCTTGTACTCTCTCTTGTCCCCTCTCATCTTTTCCACCACGGACACCCCACTCCAAGTCTCAAAGCTGGAGGCTGAAGCGAAATTCAAGGAGCCGACATGGCAACGTGATGTGAGCGGACGAGGACGATTTACAAGAACGGGGTGAATATCTGTGTTGTTGGGTTCCGCTGGAGATGGAGCAGACTGATGATGTTGATCCAGTATGATTGGCCCCTACTATCACCCTGAATCTCAAGACTGACTCTCAAGAAGGAAAGGATGATTGGACCGACGGATCAGAAGAAGAGACAATGAGAGGCGAAGTGATCCTTCCTTGCTGTCTTGGTTATCATCGACGCACACCTCCCGTGCCGTTTACCGCTGGGATCTCCTTCATATAGGTCAGTCGGTAGAGCTTAGCACCCCCAGACCAAAAGATCTTTGAATATATGAGCATGATCCCTCGCCGCGCAGCAGTCATCAAAGAGCCAATAGAGATGCTGATGGTGATTCAAAATGGATCAACTTGGGCGCTTTGAGAACAGCCATCAAACGAATGGTAGGATCGAAGCAATCGTAGCTATGATGATGTGGCTACAGCATGATCGTATGCTACCTCTCCACTCAAACACTCAGGTGTTGAAGTGCAGCTCTGCCCTACAGGATAGCCTTCTTCATATGTCGTACCCCATCATTAGCGACAGAAGCTTGCTCAGTGATCAAGTCTCCAACCCTCGAGTATTAACCACAAGCATCAAAGGGGACTTACAGCAGACGTTCCAGTCTGATGATGGTATTATCAGTCATCAGTATAGCGCCATTGCATGCTTTCTTGTGATGTCTTTCGACTGTTAGTCATCCCACAGCCCTAGAAGATCATGCTAGGCGTCCCCTGTGCCATCCAGTTGGAACCGAAATCAGACATTGGGAAGTGGGCATGAACGTGGAAGGGGTAAAGAGATGCCAAACTGTTGAGAAGACAGGGAAAGGAAAAGGCCGTGAGCAATACTCAGCAGTCTTGATGGTCGGATTGATCAGCTAGTCGTGTGAATATCGTAGATGTACAGTGTTGATGCAAAGCCGACAATATGGATGCCACAGGGTGAATGACAATGAGTGAGAAACGATATCGGCCGCACTCGAAGCCAGCTCGAAGTTGGCTCGAAGCAAACTCGAAGAACCCGCGCGTCGCTTTCCGCCGCTCTCCATGACATCTTGTTCTGTCTTACCACCAGCAACCTACAAAATGGCAGAAATAACCCCGCCACCATCGCAGAACAACACCCCCCAACGTACCTTCCCAGCCCCATCTCATCCCCAAGGTTCTGAAGGGTCCCATGCTTCCGGCTTGGGCGCGGACGAGGTGACTGTTCCCCCGCTTGCTTCGGCTCTCTCGCCCCCTGGCGCTAGTGCAGGGGCAGAGATACCAGAAGGCGCCTCGAATACTGCTGCTCCGTCCGGGCCTGTGCCAGCGGGAGACAGTATGGATTTAGACAATATCCCGTCGCCGGGTTCCGTCGGCTATGACGAGCTGCTGGAGAGTGATCCCGAGGCTTTGATGGAGGAGCCCGAGGCAGCCTGGGATGGAGAAGGAGAAGGAGAGGTTGAAGTAGATCCTCAGGAGATAGATATTGATAGCGAATCGGAGGAAGAGAAGGGCAAGGGGAAAGGAAAGGCAAGGGCCACTGCTGTGAGTCCACCCCGAAATGCGAGGTGGTGGATGTGCTGACGAGGTGTAGACCAAGAAACGTACCAAGCGCGCCACCCGTAGACTGCCCCAGCAACACCAGCCCTCATATCCCAGCCGTACGCGACCAGACCGCACCGACCGGTTGGACTTGAAATACGAGAGCGGGAAAGGGGGTGGAGGCAGGAAGGATGAGCAGTACGAGTCCGAGATCGTGCAGAGGTGGAACACTCGTGAGTCTTGGCTGTGGGATATGATAGGAGAGGTAGCTGACGGGGGTGCTGCAGAATTCGGGGATGTTCTGGGTCCTGCGCCGAAGAGAGACATCTCTCCTGCGCCTGCCAAGGCCCCCGAGCCTGAGCCAGAGGTCGCCCCTGCCGCCCCTTCCGCCCCTGTCGAACCTGTCCAGCCCGCCGAGCTCACTCAGCCCACTGAACCCGCTGAGCCTACTGAGCCCACTGAGGGTGAACAAATCACCGCCGAACCCAGCGCTCCCGAGTCCGCCCCAGCTGCCTAAACAGACCCTCACCATGACCACCGCCCAGAGGCTTTGTATACTAGCATGAGAGAAAGATAGTCATGAAGATATGCCATGCAATGATTTGTACTATACAACAATGTGAAACCCTTATACTTCTAGGATCTATGCTCGTCCCGTCAAGCTTGACCACCAGCTCTTGTCCTCTACGATACTGCTCTCTTTGATACTCTCGGGTGAGAGTTCCGTGCCCGGCGACGTCTCTTCCACAGCTAGTAACGCACTCTCCTGCTCGTTCGCTTTCGCCAGAGATGATAGCCGTTCTTCCTCCAAGCGTAAACGCCCGATACGGTGCTGAGCCACTTGCATGGACGACGTCAAGGCGCCGAGGACAGAGCCCATGACGAGGGAACGGATGAAGAGCGGTCTTGGAAGTTTGACTGCGTCTCCGTCAGCCTGGTCTAGTGATACAAGCAGAAGGGGACTTACATCCCAACCCGACAACCAACCCCATCAACCCCCCAGCCCCAGCCCCATCTTCCCATTCGACCTCGCCCTTTCTCCATCCTATTCTCCTGCCCTCTACGATCTCCCTCCGTATCTGTTCTCTCTCTTCTTGCCCTCCTTCACCAATCTTTACGCCAAAGATTTGTTCACGCGCCCATCCGAGTGACTCGTCGAGAAGGACATAGGTCAGAGTAGACCCGCCGAGAGCGGCACCATAGCGGCCTCCAGACTTGAGAGCGCCTTGGATGACGCGGTAGTTTCGGGTTTTTGTGTAGAAGTACTACATCCCATTCCATTAGCTACACGAATTTACCCGCAGCTCAAAGAAGACGTACCCATCCCCCAACGGTCTTTGGCATCCGATGCGCATTCTCCGCCAAGAATCTCAGTCGCGCTTTCGACCCGCCCCGAACGAATCCTATAGAGAGACCAAATGACAGGGCGACAGACGGAAGGACAAGGAGGGGGCGGGGGATGTGCAGAAAGATGGCCTCGTCAGATGCGGTGGAGGGCGTAGGTGTCTCGTCGAGGGGTGCGGATGGGGATTCGGCAATGTCGGAGAGGGACATTGTGGGCTAATCTTCTGGGGCGTAGATTTGCGATGGGCGGCAGGCGATGCAAGGGCGGGAGTTGGGGTATATTGAAGTGTTGCAGCCACGGTTGTTGTTGTTTTGGGAGAGATGAAAGAGGACAATGGCGCAGCGAATAGATCGCCGGAAATTTCAGAGCCCTGGCCTCCACTTTCCATGTCCACCCACCCCGAGGGGCCTCTGCCGCCAGTATACAGGGTGCTATGCATATGTGTTCACAGGGTGCAATATATATGGGAGGACATGGACGGCTATGATTAGAAAATGGGGAGCTTGGAACAGACAGCGCCCAAGAAATCTCCATAAATGTCCACTCCGTACCAACACCAGCCTACCAGGCCCTGGATCTTCATTAGCAAGTGGTGATCGCTCTCGCGGGTCATGGGACTCACCATCCCGACCGCAAACCACAAGGCCCAGAATCCCGAAAGGATGATCCAAGAGAGCATGCCGAGCCCCTCCTTCATCGCGTTGCCCTTGACGGCGTCTTCGCCGTAGTGCCACATGACTCGACTGAGATCGGAGAGGTCGTTGGCGTTGTGCTTGCGGCGAGAAAGGATGTAGCAGGTGGAGAGAAGTGAGTAGGGGAGTGCAATGCTACGAAAGTGAGCTTAGATTATAGGAGTGTGTATAACAGATAACGCACCAGAGACGGGTTGTACGAGAGCTTTTGCCCTGCGAGACGAGAATCCACACCAGCACGAAACCGACCACCGCCACTGCATCCATGGCCACTAGTCTGTGTCAGCTACATGCTCAGCACAGGAGCACAGACTTACCAGCAGCCATACAGACCCCTACATCCATTGCCTTCACCCTCTCCACGACATCTTCGATGTCCTCTTTCTGATCGTACACCGAGTGGCCGGGCTCTTCCTTTCGCACCGGTTCGATGGAGAGGTGGCGCTGGTGGCCCGGGAGGGTCCGGTGGCGGAGAGGATGCTGATCGTTGTCTGTGGAGCTGGGGAAAGAAGGTGGGGCATCTTCGGGAGGTGCGGCGAAAGGCGAGTACTGGGGAAAGTTGGGGGAGGTGGGGGAGGTTGGGTCAGGCTTTGCGGTGTGGAAAGTAGGGAGGATGTGGCTGTTGTAGGGGTTGGTGTGTTGCATGGCGTGGATGGGGGAGATTGGGGGTCTGCGAGATTGAAATTCACAGAACGACTAATAAAGGCAGAAGAAGAAGAGATAGATGCAAAAGAAAAGAATTAGATGCCAAGTAGGATCGCACCGCATGGGGGCCCCTGCCGCCGGGAGCCGGGGTCATCCAACATGCCTCTCACGCGCAATATGTCTTACTGGGCTGAGGCTCTCTGAACCTCACATGCAAAGAGTATGATAATATAGCCTGGAGTCTTGGATCACATATGTCAAAGCTGAAATATGCATGCATCTGAGCATGCAATCTTCGGATCAGCAGGCAGATCGTCATCTTGTTCGGCCTTCGGCTAGATGCCCGCTTCCTCTTCGATAGAGCAGCATACCTCTCTGTACAGCCGAGAGCAGTAAGTATCATACTTGGGACTCTTGAGACAACTTACGAGGATAGTAGGTAGTAAGCCATGATTTGCGATGCCCATGTCTTCCGTCCATGTTGGAGCCTATCTTTCGCCAAGACAGAACGTGCCACCAATCCTTGGAGGTGAGATTAAGTTTATGTAGCATACAGAAAATAAAAAAGGCATGCCCTTCATCTAGGGTATGATTGATCTAGATTTTCCCCAGAACCGGTACATATGTCACTGAAAGAACAAGACCAGAGTTGACGTGATCATGGTACAGTAGGAGGTAATGAGCATGCTGAACTCGATCTTTCTCCGAGATGCAAAGAGCTCACTGCTCCTACTACCACTATTAGCAGTATGAGTGCAGTGCAAGCATGCCCACTTCCATGCTGGAACCCAACAGTAGCTCTGCTCGGTCAACCTCTCGGCCGCCACAAAGCAAATTTGATCCCGTGCACAACAACCCGACGCGTGCAACCGACATTCCATCCCTCTTCAGTCCGTCAACAGTCTGACATCGGCCTTGCAATACAAAAGGCATGCGGCTCAACTTTTCGGTCCACAGGTCCGCCATCTTCAATTCCTTCCTGGGCTTACTGGATATCAAGCTTGGTGCGTGCGGCGCGGTGGTCGTAATGCGGAATTGGACTGATCAGTCATCGTTCATAGGAGCTGAAATTGTCCTGCTGTTCGGAGTGCGTGACAATATCGCATACATACACTGATGGTGACTGACGGCTGATTGTAGCTAATAAACAAAGTCGCTGGTCTCTATGGTCTGATAACCATCGTTGTCGGAGGAACATTCCCTCAATTACTGTACTATGCGTACTCTACGGGCACGCTGTTCGCATTTTTGTGGGGATTGAAAGTGGTCAAGTCGGTGAGTATTATTGTGGCAAAGAGAATCGAACTGACAGTTTTGCAGGAAAAATCAGCGCCGGCGCTGCTGCTCTCGCATCTCTATGCCCTCGACCATGCCATCTCCACAGTCTTCCACTACGTCTTCTTCTACAAATACTGGTACAACACCCCCCATGATGGAAGGAGGACGATCAACTCCCAAGCCCAGCAGGATTTGATCAATCTGGCTCTCAGCCGAGGCGAGATCACAGAGCCAGTTGGTGGAGACAGTAATAGGCTTGATGAGCTTCGTGCGGCTCTTGCGGAGGATATCTGGGCGCAGGAGAAGGGGTTCGCTGTTTGGACTTTGGTCGCTGGATGGGCTTTGAAGGTGAGTCATATGGAAGCTCATAATGGTCCCAAGGCTCATGTGTTTGAAGATCTACTTTATCCTCATCCTCTATTCCTACGCCGCCCATCTTGCCTCATCGACGTACCACACTCTTCCCCTGACCGCCCGAGGGAGAGCCACCCAAATCGCCCACCCTGATCCTTCCAAGTCCTCAGACCGCACGGACCCTCATACCGGTGGTCGCGCGGCGGCTGAGAATGATGATGACGAAGAACTGAGGAAGGCACAACATGCTACTGAAGAAGTTGGATCTGCCCCCGCGCAAACCCAGGGGAAGGGTGAAGGAAAGGGGAAGGGAAAGGGAAAGGCCGGAGGAGATGAGGATGATTTCTCTTGGGACTAATCTGAATGTATAGAGTTGACTTGGGTTCGCGTGAATGACCGCTGAATGCTACAGACGTGGCTTATCGACTATTGCCTGGTGATGCATATCCCGTTCTCCACACGCCCGATTATCATTGATGACTCCAGTTATAAACCTCAAAACTTGGGCCGCGTCTTTCGCAGGCGAATCAACACGAAGATGACAGGGCACCTTGAGCACCGATTGGTTTGTAAGATTGCCAACGGACATGTGGACACGTTCAAACCGTGATCTAGAACGTATACAGAATGACCAAGCATGCCGTACCAGCTGTAGATAGCCATGATCTTGAGCGAGCCAGTCTATGAGCACGATGCATCTGAATATTCCCGTTCAGCCTGACTTACGATGTGAGTCCCAGAGCTATCCCTGTTGAAGTCACCGCTACGACAGTTCCCATCGCAGCCTCGTTCCGGAAAGAATCACCACCAGTCGATTTATTCTGTAGACTCGGGGCGCCTGTGGTGTAGAGACTGACAACGGGGGGCAGAACGGCATGGCTGTCATCCGAGGTCGTGGTCGAGGGTATGAATCGTGCGAAATCTGGGTGTGACGTGGACGATGGCGAGGGTGAAGATGCCGGAGAGGCGGGTGAGAGTGAGATGGATGAGGATAGGGAAGATGATATCATGGTTGAGGGCGGTGAGTGAGAGATCTGGAGCAGTACTTGGAGCAGCGCTATCTTAGCTCATAGCTCACACATTATTAATGAGGCGACTGTCTCTTTTGTCTTCTCCGATGCGGTACAAATTCCTTTCAGTGGTCCATGAATGAGTTGCTGGCAGAAAGGATGATGATTATCGATAATTGAGTAAGTCTCTTCCTTTCAGACATTGGCTACGAAAGAGCTCTGCCTCGTTGAGTAGAGATGGGGCTGAGACCGTGATATGAAGTCCAGTCATCAAATCGTTGGCCCACAGATTAGTGCAAGTGAGCTGAATTCCCAGGGAAGGGATCAACTTGAGCAGTGCAACAACACTGAGTGGATAAGCTGCATGGACGAACGGATGACCGCAACCTTCTTCTTTGTCATCAAACTCATCGCCATGCCAGATGTCATATGTTTGTTTATTGTTGAGGAGGGACTTGCAAGAGCATGTTTCCGTTGGCCGCAGGAACGTAGCTGACGTTCTTGTTCTGCGAAAGGGTGTTCGCTGAGATGCAGAAGTCAGCACTGACTCTCGCCGACTTGCCATGCAATAAGGGACTTACCAATCTCCCTACTAGTCTCAATCTTCTTAAACTGTACAAAGGCATCACCAGCCTTGTTCAAAGCCTTGCTAATAGTGTTGGCCGCCTCGGCTTCACCTTCAGCCCTGATGACCGCCGCTTGCCTCTCCTGCTCGGCCTTTTCAACGACAAACTTGGCTCGCTCGGCGTCTTGCTGGGCAATCTGCTTTTGCTCGACTGCGGATGTGAATTCTTTACCGAAAGTCATGTGGGTCTGCGAATACAGTCAGCGAGTGAAGAGGATACGTGGGGTGTGAAGGGACGTACGATGGAAACGTCTTCGAGTTGGATGTTGAACTCCTTGGCTCGGTTGAGGAGGTCGTCTCGGATTCGGGCGGAGACGATCTCTCGATTTGTGATGAGTTCGGAAGCTACTTCAAGTCAGCTTGGCTCTCTGTCACTGGATAAATGGGAACTCACCATCAAATTGGGCGACAGTAGCCTTCAACACTTCGTTACCGATTGACGGCAGAACCCTCTCATCGTAGCTATACCACCAGTCAGCTCCTCTTCTCGTCGTCGGGGCATACGAGACACGTACTCGAGACCCAAAGACTGGTAGATCTTGGGGAGCTCATTGAGGTCCGGCCTTGACATGACACGCAGAGTTAAAGAGACCATCTGCATATCTACGCCCCATTGTCAGCTTTCTGTCAGAATCCAAAAGGGGAATGTCGTACCCTTAGAGCCGGTGGTTGTTGAGATGTTTCTGGGCTTGATTCGCACATCGTAGAGGATGGCACGCTGGAGCCAAGGGATCAAGAAGTGCGTTCCTTCGCCAGTAGCCTGCGAGAATAATTGTCAGCTTCTTCGGTGAATCTGAAAGTCGACAACGCACCTGGCCTTTAACACCCGAGAATCGGTCAAACAAGACAGCCCGGTAACCACCTGGAACATCGTAGATAGAAGACTGGACTACAGTGGCACCGATGGCGATAGGAACTATCGGATGTACAGCGTTAGCAGACGGACAGGCAGAAGGGATGGGATGCGGCGGAGATCGGGCGGCGGGAGACAAGCGTCTTTCTCGTCAACTGGCAGGGAAGCTAGGGACACATACCAATCAGCCTGGAGAGGTTCTGGGCAAAGGCCATGGCGGTGATAGGAGTTGGGGGAGGATTGGGGGATAGACGAGGTTGAGACGAGGAGGGATGCAGTAATGGCCGGCACAAATCAGCGCGCGGGCGGCGTGCCCCGCCGGACAGACAGCATGCGCAACCCATAGTCATTCTTTGGTTCCGTTCTCCCACACGGCGTTCATGAACGCAGCATGCTCTGCCGACAACCAACGTATACTGGCAGGGGAGACTGGTAGCGAGCAACCCTCGTGAGCCAGAATATCGAGTCACAATGTCAGCCTCAAAAAACTCAACAACGAGCCTTACTTCTCAAGCTTCTCACATTGCAGTGGACACTTGCATAGGGGCGATCCGCATGTGAAGATGTCTCTTATGATAGACTTAAACCTTCTGAGGTCATTGAGTCAGACCAGTCTCTGGCGATAATGTGCAAACAACGAGCATCTAATACAACAGCACCAATATGTTGCGAGAGAGAGCACGCAGTAACTGGCCATTGTACAACCAGAGCCAATGGGGCACTGTTTAACAGATTCATGAGATGATGCGAGGAGGAGAAAGATACCCAAGAAGGTAGAGATGCCAACGGGAAATGTTTAACCATCTCTGACCCATCCTTCCCCAATCTCCCCATGCGGAGGGCCGAGGGGCTCTTTGAGGGGCGGTGAGTTCCGCCTCTTTCACCCTCTGTTCCCCGCAAGTTCCCCGTGCGCATCTCTCACGACCAGGATACGAAATCGACCAGGAGGACCCCAACATTCTAGCACAAACCCATCGACCCCTGCCCTGTGAATACCCGCCCAAACATCACCCAAAGCTCAGCCTAGATCGCCTCGCCCACTAGCGCCTTGGGGAGTCATTCGCAGCGGAGCGATGTCGATGAAGCCTTGAGAAAAATCGATCGCCAACCTCTTTCAATATACTGCCATGATCATACCCATCGCCCCTCGGCGACCTCATTTCCTCGGCGGTGTCCTCCTCGCCCTCGCCTTCCTCCTCATCCTCCACCAAACATACACCCCGCATGGCGTGCTCTCTTCCTCTTTCCCTCGCACAAAGCAACACCCGCATACCCTACCACATGGTCTAGAGAAAGGCAACAATGAAATACTGCAGAGGCTTTCGCATATGCGGGATGTATGCGAGGGCGAAGATCCGTTCGATAGAGAGTATGGACGGGCGAATTTGCGGTTGTCGAGGGCGTATGAAGGGTCGCACGAGCGGATGAGGCTCTTTCTCCAAAAGCTCCTGAGAGGGGAGCATGTGACGATCTCGGCGATTGGAGGGAGTATCACCAAGGGGCATCAGGTGGATAAGAGCGAGATTTGGTTCCACAAGTTCTGGGAGTGGTTGCGTGACTTTGCAGGTGACAATGTCGAGATTGTGGAGATCAACGGTGCTGCCCCGGGTATGTAGCAAAGGCTAGCTGAAGACACGACTGACTCCTCACAGCGACCGGCTCCGACTACTTCTCCTTCTGCTTCCCCCTCCACATACCCTCCGACTCTGACCTCGTCATCGTCGAGCTCGCCGTCAACGACGAAGGCATCCTCGAGCACATCGAGAACATGGAGAACCTCATCCGTGGCTTGCTCGACCTCCCCAATAACCCTGCGGTCATGCTGGTGGAGGCTCTGGCGTTCAGTGGTGGAGGTATGGGCGGTGGAGGAGGGAGGATGCACTTGCCAGTGGCGCAGTACTATGATGTACCGGTGATCAACCATCGGCACCCGCTAGTCAGCCATTTCGCCAGACATCCTCAGCTCGTGGAGCCATACTTCACCAAAGAGTGAGTCCCTACTGTGTGTATCCCTTGGCAAAAGAAAGCTGACAATGAGGTAGCTGGTGGCAGAACCCTGATAAGCGGCATATCAACCCGCGAGGCCATCGCGACCTCGGAATGCTCGTGGCTAGTTTTGTAAAAGATGTCGCTTGCGAGATGTTTGCCCAACCGACTTTTTCCGTCCAATCCGCACCCTCATTCCCGCTCCTCCTCTCGCAAGCTATCGCCCAGCCTCCCCAGACGTCCGACCCTGCCGAAGGCCTTGCGGAGGACGAGAGGAGAAGGCAGGAAGAAGCTTTATGGCCCGAACAGGCAAAGAGCTGGAGACGGCCGTTGAAAGAAGGCGAAGAAGTCGGTGAACTCATGCCTTCTCTCTGGTCTACACCACAAGACTACGGTATCGTCCCCCGTCTCCGCGTCCTCGAAGGCTGGAACCCCAACACCGAGTACGCCACCCCGCCCTTCCACCCCACCTGCCTCTCCACCCGATCCAAAGAACCGCGCTTCAACCTCACGCCGTCTTACAATGACGGCTGGGAATACTGGATTCACCCGGAACATCTCGACAAGCCTTATATGGTTGCGAGAGAGCCCGGGGCGAGGGTGAGTTTCGAGTTGGAGACAGGGGTGGGGATGGTGAAGATGTATGCTTTGAAGAGCAAGACGTTCGGGTTGGGGACGGTGGAGTGTTGGGCTGATGAGGAGAGGGATAAGGCGGAGAAGATTGTGGGGTGGTGGGATAATGGGGATGTGTGAGCGTTCCATTCTGGCTCTGGTTTTACAAGGCTGATGGGTGTGTAGGAATATTGGCAGGTTTGCGACGATACGGACAGGGCTGTCGGCGGGGACACATACAATAACGTGCGAGCTGTTGGAAGAGACGTCCGACCCTGGTGGTGGACATGAGTTCAGGATGATCTCGATGATGAGGTGCGTCTTGTACTCTACGTTTCTGGGACTGTATACTGACCACGAGTGTAGTGTGTAAGCGCATCGAGAGTAGAGGAGAGCACTAGTGTACGCTACGATGAGGGACCTTCATAATCATGGTCATCTATTAGACTTTTTACAATACCTCGCATCGCTCAGGTGATGGCGGTCCAAACTTCAAACTATGTCATGTACAATTGGCCTTCAAGCTGCTACTCGAAAATGGAGCAGATAGAAGGTCGATCAAATGCCAGATGGTGAAAGTGCATGCCAGTAAATACAATTCTTCTATACGTGCTCATCACTCGCTACATTCTCTTCTGTTTCTTCGTGCTTAGAGCCCCTCAGTCAACTGCTCGGGGTCGACACCCTCCCAAGCGATCTGGTACACCTTATCGAAGAGCGGGTACGAGCGAGCCTTGCCCTTGGCGTGGAGGAACTCGTGGATCTCCTTGGCGGTGAGGGTACCTTGCAATCGTTGGCCGTTGAGCATCTCTTCTTCGAGTTGGTCAAAGGTCTGGTATTCCGCATGTCAGCTTTGCTGCCCTAGATTTGGAAGAGGGAGGAGGGGACGCACCTTGCCACTTCCGACAAAGGCCTTTGCAACCCGACAGTTCCTCCCTGCCAGGCATGTGGTGATGACATCTGCGACACCGGCGCTTTCTTGGAGGAATGACTCTTCTTTGACGTCGTCGAAGAATTCTTGGCAAAAGTGCTTCATCTCAAGGAGACCAATTCGCATGATGGCGGCTATTGACGCATGTCAGTCATGGCTGAGATGGGAAGGGAGAGGAGAGGGGCGCACCCTTGGTGTTGGAGCCGTAGCCGAGACCGTCGCAGAAACCGGCAGCGACGGCAACAATGTTCTTCAGGGCACCACAGAGGGAGACACCGGCAACCTAGATCAGCCTGAAGTCAGCGCTCTGATCACAAACCTCTTCACAATCTCCTCGAATCTTGGGAAGGGCTTACATCGTCAATCAGCTGCACCTTAAACTTGGGCGTCTGGAACAACTTCTGCCACAGCTCTCCATCCGCCTTGCTCCTGTACCCAATCGTAGTCTCCGAGAAGGTGTCCTTGGCGACTTCGTTGGCAATGTTGGCTCCGGAAAGGGCAGAAGTCGGGATACCGAGGCGCTTTTCAATGACGTCGGCAAAGATGTGGATGTCGGCACCGCGGACGTCGACACCCTTAATGAGGGTGATGGCTTTGGCGTCTTTGCGGACGTGGCCCTCGAGTTGATCGAGGAGCTTGCCGAGGACTGTCTACAAGTGAGTCGAGATCCGAGACGAGAATAGAAGAGACGTACACTGGTGGGGAGTGACAAAGACGAGGGCGGTAGCGTCCTTGACAGTCTCGAGCAAGTCGGGAACGGCAACGATGTGCTCGGCGAGCTTGATACCAGGGAGGTACTTTTTGTTCTCGTGCTCAGTGTTGATCACCTCGGTGAGCTTCTTGCCCTCGAACTGTCATATGCAATAGTGTCGTATCGGCGAGACGAAGAGATCAGGCAGAAATAGGAACGATAAGGAAGGATGGTCAGGTCCAGATCCAGCTCGTGTGACAGCTCCATAGACCATAGTGGTAGCCAAGGATACGTACCTCTTCTTCAAAGACCCACATGGGGACGCGGGAGCCGTCAAAGACGTCGGTGTGCTTGGCGGTATTGATACCAGCAAGGCGGGCGATGGCAGTGCCCCTATGAAGGTGGTCAGCGCATGGAGCAGTAAGGGACTCGTGCTTCTGATACGAGGCGAGAGGAAGCTCGGCTATTGCAGCTTCGCCCTCTGGTTCTTGACAGCCTCTTGGACCCCTCAATTTGCTGTCCTCCGTAAGAAAGGTGGAGCCCACTCACCAGTTACCGGAGCCGATGATGGCGACCTTCTCTTGAGGCATGATGGCTGTTGCTGTGAATGTTCTGGAGTATGCAGTAGTGGCGCGGCGGGCGGTGAATGAGCTGAGTGCTCTTGCAGATGAATGTAAAAACAGGATGATGGGCAAATAGGGCTTATGGGAGCACGAGATGGTTTATATATCTTGCCCGATGACTTCACTTGCCGCACCGTATTCTCCCACGCTCGCCCGTCTCCTTCCTGACCATGATATAGCGGGGCACTAGCTCTGTGTACCGCATTAAAGCAGTCTTAATCGGGCAGCAACAGCACGCGAGCCAAGAGCACCCCGGATCTTGAAGCAACTCTTTTCGTGCATTGGATCTCGGTAAGTGCATTTTTGGTGTTCAACGCCGAAGAGCGAGTCCGCCACCGCACCTTTGTGCTACTACTACATTCTGTCTATCATGGGTGCATCATGTACTGTAGGGCGCGTCTGCACCAATCAGGCTCTGGGGTTCGCACTGCATACAGTGTAACCGGCGGGAATACAAGAGAACAGTTGGCTATGAAAGACGACCGCTCTCGCTCGGTAAAGCCTGACTCTGTTGGCTCTCCGAGTATCACCGAACATTCCATATTTTGCTGCTTTCACCCCCGCATTGAGCAAAAAGGTCGGATACTGCACCCTCGCACTATCTGAGCTCAATTTCCGTTGTGCTCAGGGATGGGAGTGCAACGGATGAACGAGCTGATGTTCGCTCAGGTCGATGGAGGTTATGTCCGTCCTCGGAAATGTCATGACCGCGCCGCCGGTCCCAACAAACCATCGTTCTTGTGGCTATAGGAGCAGGGAAATCAAAACTCGGCAGAGTATATCAATAATAAAGTAACCTTGTTTTCTCCTGAGTAAATTACCTCTGGATATAATCATAGCAGAGCAACAGCCACGATGAAGAACGAGAATTTGCTCGGTTTGCAGCGATGGTGGCGAAGGAAGAGGGAGATACCTTCTCGTAACCGCAAAAGCGTAGATCGACATCCATCCTTGGGAGCGAATGCATACTACTTGCTGTTTGTTCCTCAAAACACCACCTTTCACTCATTTGAAAGCAAAAGCTAAACCAACAACAAGTAGTACGGTAAGTACCACTTGGCGTGCTTCTTCATGACATCTAGACATTGCTCTCATCAACTCTGTTCTTGAGCAGCAATTATGCTCTCAAGCTCCGCCATACGACTTTGCACTTTTCTTTTCCTGGAGTTATGATACGTGTTCTGGCTTACTCGTGCTGTCATACATGGTGATCAGCTCCGCGCCGCCGTGAATAGGATGATACTACAACATACCCTTCTCGGCCCACTCAGGATCTTCTTCCCTCTTGCGTGCCCTCCAATTCGCCAGCGCTAAAGCTTTTGCTAACATGGAAAAGTGCGTTAGTCAACGTAAGTAATCGATCACAATCACAATAGTGCTATCATGAGCTGCACAAGGGATCTACCCAGGAAAGAACGACCGATATCTGATGAATAACTTACCAGATCGTTGTTTCTGTGGCGCTCTTCTGCCGTCACTACCGTCGTCGGGGTCATCCGTCTAGGAAGTATCTGTGCTATCTCATATGAGCCTCAAGTGTCCCAGTCAAGAAGCGACAGGCAATGAGCACCACATCACCGACCCTGAGTCATCTGGCACATCTGCTTCACCAGATGGGCCCTCTTCCTCCGTCATCTGCTGGCGTGCTTACTCAATGAAAGCGTAAAGAACGTTGTTCGCCTCCCTGTCTGCTTCCGATTTGTAGCTCTTCCATTGGCGCACAGTCTTGAGGAAATAATTCTGCAGTGACAACGTCATGTCAGCGAGCTGAGTATTGGAGCACTCAACAAGAAAGGGTGGCAAGGGCTACTTACGTCAGACATACGTGCAAGCTGGTCAAGGGTCAGATTGCTCAACTGATTGAGAGACGACCCATCTGCTATCGAGTCAGCGCCTGATGAAATTTCTATACCCCCTCAATCGAGGCAGTTTCACAAATAGTAGTAGTATCTATCGTCGTAATCCAGGCGCCAGTAAGGATGTTGGAACTGTACCTTCGATTGGAATTTGGTGGCCTGGCTCGCTCATCGTGAAAATGCGGTGGTTCTGGTCTGCTGAAATGTATGAAAGCAGGACGGATCATGTGTGGAGTGGCCACAATTGGCACATGTTTATCAGCCCCCAGAGCTGTCCACGGAACGCCGGCCATCCGCTGAACAACAAGGGCCGGGAATTCAATACTCTTTGTCATGTATGAGCGCATATACGTAAAAAAGACCAGGCGCTATTCTTACACCAGGCTGATCTCAGAAGATTGCGCTACCCCAAGCTCCTCTCATTCCGCCCCACAATGGAGCCATGCACAGATGTACGAAAGAGAGCCCACCACGATGCCTCAACATGGCCAGCGAGTGCCACCAACAAACATCCCGGAAAGGCCGCGATCACATGCCGGGTGCCGGAATGCCGGGCCGGCGCGCTAGAAGGGAATGGTGCCTTATTGGTGCGTAACTTTGATCGCGACTGTATCGTGTCCCAATCTCTGTGCGTCCAATAAGCGGCGCGTGTCTCGCTTGGGTGACTCAGGGATCGCCGTCCCTGAATTACTTTGGTGAATGCTTTTTCCTGTTTATACGTCTTTTTGGCCTCCGTCAAATACGCCAGTGTTTGGTTCTCTAATTCACGCCCCTATGCATTACAAATGGGTACCTCGCTTATACGCAGGGGCAGCGCTGGGGCTAGTCGAGGCTGAGACCTGTTCTGGAGCTTGTGCAAAGCAATTGAAGTCCGTGTATGCTTTTGTTGCGGATAGTTTGAGATCCGGAGCAGCCGCGTTGAGGAAAGAAATCAACATCCCATTCTCTCTTTCATCTCCATCTCTCATCTCCATCTTTCCATCTTTAGGCTATACCCACGCCAATCCTTAACCGCCTCCCCCCTCATCCCCACTGCTGGCCTCTCCCACGTGAAGAGCCACGCCCACATTCATTACACCACACCCACGCTCGTTACCGACACCGTCAACCACACCCCTCCTTTGGCTCGCCTTCACCTGACTTCGTACTCCCACTCAAGTACAGTACATAAGCCGCCACACCATCCTTCACATCTCTCTTTCCCCTCTCCATCTCCATCCACCGCCAGCACTCTGCCCACCGCCAGCGACGTCCACGTGAGCCCCTCTCAAAACGTCTGTGCGCTTCCCTGCTCGGTGCCTGCCATCTCCCAGCACCTCTCGCGTGACTTTTGCGCTTTGCCATCGTTCTTCCTGTCCTCTGGCCCGCCTCTTACCTATGCTCTAGGGCTATAACGACACCTACGACCATACACCTGCTCCTATAGTACTACCCCGGACGCCTCTACGCGAGTACCCACGCTCCTACCTCTCCACCCCTTACCCTTGCTCCTTTCCACACCTCCTCTACCACACACTCCGCCATGCGTGCTGCCTCCTCCCTCACCATCCTTGCCTCATGCCTCAGTGCCGCTTCCTGCGTATCTGCTGCTACTGCCGACCAATGGAAGGGGAAGTCAATATACCAGTGCGTCCACTTTTCAGCTCTGTGAGAATTGTGCTGATGCTAGGATACGTAGACTGATCACCGACCGGTTTGCTCCTGCCTCGGATACCGCACCCGCTCGCTCCTCCCCCATCCCTGACGTCTGCAACCCCATTGACCAGACGTACGTCCCACCCTCTACGGCGCCGAAAAAGCCGGTACTGACATTTTTGGCAGCTGGTGCGGAGGAACTTGGCTCTCTATCATTGACAAGCTCGACTACATCTCCGGCATGGGCTTTGACGCCATCTGGATCTCCCCCGTCTCCCAAAACACCGACGTAAATACTGCCTACAAGTACGCCTACCACGGCTACTGGGTCAACGATCCCCTCACCCTCAACGCCCGCTTCGGTACATCAGACGACTTGAAGTCGCTGGTGAAGGCCCTTCACGACAGGGGAATGTACATCATGGTCGATATCGCCGTCAACAACATCCCTGGTACTTCCTACAACGACTCGCTCAGCTCTACTGCGCTGAAAGCCGACGGTTCTCGCTGGACTGATCCCGCCCAGTTCCACACCCGGTGCGACATCGACTACAGCAATGCCACGTCTGTCGAGTATTGCTGGCTGGGTGACGAGAAGTTGCCGTTGATGGATGTCAACACCGAGAATGCAGAGGTCATTTCGACTTTGCAGACTTGGATTGCCAACTTTACCGCCGAGTACGAGATTGATGGTCTGAGGATTGATGCGGCCAAGCATGTGCCAGGGTCCTTCTGGACTGGATTCTGTGGAGCCGCTGGTGTTTTCTGTATTGGCGAGGTTTACGGTGATGACGTTGGGTAAGCCTTTTCCTTTGGACTTTGAGCCTAGCTGACGAAATGTTAGCTTTGCCGCCTCTTTCCAGTCCGAAAACTATCTAGACTCTGTCCTCAACTTCCCTCTCTACTACGGCATCGTCAACTCTTTCGGTTCCCCTAAAGCCAACATGACCTCTTTCGTTGAGCACGCCACCGACATCATTGGCACCTTCCCCAACCCCGATCTTTTGGGCAACTTTATCGAGAACCATGATCTGCCGAGGTTCAGAAACGCGACGGCGGATTCGCAGTTGGCGTATAATGCGATGGCGGCGCAATTCATCTTTGATGGCTTACCGTGAGTACCTTTTCATCTTTTCTCGTTTTGATGTCAAGCTGACGAGATGATAGTACCGTCTACTATGGTCAAGAACAAGACCTCGCTTCTGGTGCCGGTGACCCTTACAACCGTGAAGCCCTCTGGCCCACCGAGTACGCCAACACCACCACCTACAACCATATCGCCCGTCTGAACGCTATCCGTCACGCCGTCATCAACAACGGTACCACTTTCAATGACAAGACTTTCCTCGAGTCAACGACCAAGATCGTGGCTAGTACGGAATATGATGTTGCTTTCAGGAAGGGACCGTTGCTTGCTGTTTTGACCAACGTGAGTGGCAGAAGTCTTGTCGATGGGATGCAGCTGACAGGAAATGTAGCGAGGAAGTCCTAATGAGGATGCCAACTTTGGTGTGCCGACTGGCTGGCCCTCCCAATCTTCCGTAGTCGAGTACGTCCATCTCTCTTTCAGTGTATGATCTGGCTGACTTTACTCCAGCCTCCTGTCTTGCAAGCAATTTACCGTCGGCTCTGGTGGTGCCATCACCGTTTCCTACTCTGCTTCCGGCTACGGCGGCATGCCATACGTCTTTGCCTCGCAGGTGGATACCCCGGCTCTGCAGCTTTGTGGTGACGCGGGCGTTGCCAAGTATGTCAGCAGCAACACTACGGTTGTGAAGAGTGCTGGAGAGAAAGTGGTTGGTATATCGATGGGCTTGGGCATGGGAGTGGGTGCGCTAGTGGCTGGGATGATTGGGGCCGGGCTTTTGACGCTGTGATAAAGCCTTCTCTCTTCTTCTCCCCATCCGCCATCCCGCATCACGTCTTCCTTCTCCCTTCCTCAAATGTCTTCGCATCATCATTCATACCCCTCCACCAATCATTGACCATTCCTACCATCAGCATACTCATTCTTCATCCGCACACGCCCACCAAACCACGTCAATCTTTTGACCTCACTGTCTTTCCCGCATTTCACATGGCTTATAATTTCAGAACAGTCGCCGCTTTTTCAGTAACTTCATGCTGTATATTGCGCTCGTCTGCGCTATTGAGTGATACTTTTTACTTTGGTTTCTAGTCACTCTTTTCATCACAGTATATTCCAATCTTCATTCTTCGCTCGACCTTTCGTTTATCGTGTGGTTTTCAATACGGACTTGAATTCTATACCGTAGGAGTATGTGTTGTATTTGTAGAGTTTAGGAGGATGAGGCTTTGACGAGCTGGTGTTCGGGAGGGGTCTATAGTAGCTAGGATAGGGATGGCCGTTCTATGCTATGCAACCCAAATGAGCAACCACGTTTACGCGAGTCTCTTCTTTTGCACTACTACGACATAGTCATTCAACATGTGCCTCGCGGACATATGAAAATGAACCACCGGCTTGGGAATGCAAAAGCTTCTGATGGGCTCGGTCCTTTCTTTTTAGATATTCCGTTGTGGTAGTTGGGAAGAGGCGGTGTCGTGGGAACAATCTTCCTGAGAAGAAACTGAGAATCGAGGTGATGACATGCCAAAGGCTGCAGCTGAGCAATAAAGTGAATCGTTCGGCGCGCGGTACACACCGGTCCTGGAGGCAAAGGGCACTATAATATGAGAAGGACTGGTGGGTATACATAGCACGACTGCGATCCATCATGGTGATAAAGTATCCATCCACAGTCACCCGTCAGAAAGCAATCGACAACATCCCTCCCCCTAGAATGGCATCATCACAGCAGTCATCCTTCTCTTCTCATCAAGCCCCCGCGGAGGGAGACTCTTTCACTGACGCCAACTCATACACGGCCAACGTAACTCGCACCCTCAGTAATCTGCGAGTCAATGCTGGTATCGGTTGCGGACCTCGAAATGATGATTTGATGGCAACAAATAACAAGTGTACATCTTGCGTCAGTTGCAGGACGCAAAAGAAACGGTGTAAAGTTAGCGATATTCACAGTACTCCGTGAGTTGCCAGATCCGGTTACGTCGTCATGGTTCAGATCCGAATATCTTTTTCTGTGATCATGTAATGGCAGACCCTGACGAAGGATAACAGCCTGATCTGCGACCGATGCTCAGAGATGGACATGTTCTGCGACTTTACTACTCCGCCTCCTCCCTCGACTAGCCGAAGAAGGAGGACGGGGGTCCCGATGCAAGAGCAGTCTGCATCTCTGCACCAATGGATGATCAAACATGGCCGGCATGAGCTACATTTCGATCTCACCCCAGCTGATGAGCAGGGCCAGTCAGAGGCACAAGACGCTTCGCACATATCATGGTCGAGCACAGCAGCAGCGAGGGGTTTCTTTGCTGATGATCAGGCTTCTGTGTTTCAAGATGTCAATGCCATGGACGACTGGGCAATGATTTATGAAGAGCAGATGGAAGCTTTGGTGGTTGAATTTTATGCCTCACAGCCGGCAGGGGAGTGGCAAGTAGGGGTCGATCTCAGCGGTGGAATGGAGGAGACTTATCGGGAAGGATTCCCCCAATTATCACGGGCTGCTAAGTAGTACTCTAGCGTAGGCTTGCGCTGCCCATCCCACTGCGAAAGATAGATGACTTCTTGCTATGCCGTAATGTAGACCGCCGCTCCCTCTTGGACTTCGACTCGCCAACATGAGAAGATGGATACGACGGTGCATACTCATTGAATGCACCGGCCATATTAATAAACAGAATGACATGACCTAGTAGATTCTCAATTGTTGAACGAGCTGACACGCCATAGATTCTCAAGTATTTGCATCATTCATCATCACCTTCATAGTAGCCTAACGCCATACTGATAGAGCCATGATGATATCTCAGGGCCTGAGAGGCAAATGAGTCTGACATGTCGTCTAACGTCACTTGTCGATATGCAACGGGGTCGGAATTCTGGCTCGCAGCAGGAAGAGAGAAGAGTAGAAGATGGATCAAAGGAACTAGACAGCAATGAGAGCTGTTATATTGCATCGTTAGTTGGTAGGTATATGAGTCAAAGGCCATCAGTCTCAAAGATCAAGAAATATCATCATCCGGCTCCGCGAAAAAGGGACGACCTATGCTGCAGATGCTGGCGAGGAGATGGATGTGGAGCAGGAATATGATGATGATGTTCATCCGCCTGCGCAGTGATCAGAAGCAAGGGTGCACTAGGAGAGTGTGGCGTTATGTGAGCATTATATAGTCAATAGTGATTGAGGTCAGTATGGCATTAAAATTGAGATATGTGGACGTGAGGTCAACGTGAGGTGTGAATCCACTTGGGCATGGCATGCGTCGGCCTCGTCCGCCCGTCAGGCAAAAGTAGCAGCCATGACCTATGCTGGGCCAAGTAGCAACGTTGACCATACAAAGCTGCCTACAATGCCAGTGCATGTCTGCATGGGCCGGCCCAGCTTGACAAAAGAGGAAAGAGAAGGCGAGTAGCCTCTAGGAACACAATGCGCGTCGACCGCGCGGCTTTACGGTATGGCTGCATCATCTCTTCCCTTCAGCATCCTGACATACGGAGAGGTATGCGCAGACCAGCCATGTACCCAGATGCTCCAGAAGCACCAACCACGTACAGTACAAATGCTGCATGAAAGGAACATGACGCAGGAGATGTCCCGCGCGCTCGGGAGTCGGGACTAGAACATTTATTTTCTTCTTTGCTCTTTCGGTCCTACTCTTCTTGACTTGTCTTTCTTTCCCGCCACTTCCAAAAGGGTCATGGGTTGCGGCTGCAGCCCTCTATCTTGCTGCTGAGAGACTGCCCTCGAGAGACACCCCTGCAAGGACTTCCAGTGAGTCCATGCCGCCCTCATGTCCACTTCGCTGACTCGTACCAAGCCATGCTTATTCTTGCAATACTCCTGGCCACCACCCTCAGCGCATGGGCAACACCCCTCCAGCCAACGTTCTCTTCTTGTCTTCTTGAAACTTCCCCAATCGCTGCAGCGGAGAATCTTCTCGACGTCAATGATGTCTACGCCAGCCTCGTGCCCGGAAGGCAAGCAAAAGAGCTTGGGCTGGTGGGAAACGGGCGTGATGTGCTGAGGCTGGACCTCGTTGGAGTAACAGGAGCAGTGCTGAACGGGTATGATAATACTACAAACAAGCTGGGTAAGTACAGCATCCCTTTCCCCGAACCAACGACTCACCAGGCTCTCAGCCACGCTATTCACCGATACACATGCTGCCTCTTTCAGTGTCTACTCGACAACCAGCTGGCTCTGTAACTCGCTTTTCCCTGCCAACCTCCCGACCCCATACTACCCCTATAATACGACATACTGCCCTCTCGCCGCTGGTGATTTCGCCGTGAATGTCTCAATTCCTCTGTATCGCTCGTATGCCCTTACGACCCTACGAACTCGGATTCGCGTGGTCGACACTTCATCATCAGCTGCCAATCTCGCCTGCATCGACATTCACGTGTCTCCCTATGAGAGGACGGGGTGGTACTACGAGTTGTTCTTGTACCTTCCCGTCGCCATCCTGCTGGGTTTCTGGCTGGTCTCTTGGGGAGCGAGATTCGTGACTGGATGGATCGTGGGAAGCGGTGTTGCAGAGTATGGTCAGAAAGAATCTGCCGGAGCGAGGCTGGTGACGGGAGGTTCCAGCAGAAGGGAGGCGACGATGAGAAAGTGGGGTACGATGATTATCAGTGGGCTGAGTGGTGAACGATTGAGTGTCAGTGGAGGTCTTTTACGATTCGGTGGGTACCTTCACTCTTGTAAAGAGGTGTCGCTGACTAGCTCTAGTCACTCCAGGTGTTCGAGACATTCTCTTCCACATTCAATACGCCGCCATGCTCGGTATGATCTCGGTCCAATGGCCGGAGTTCTCGTACCCCATCTTTGCCCAAGGCGCCTGGGCCCATCTGCTCGGCAACACCACCATCGTGCAAAGCTCCGACTCTGAACGGATTGACACCTACCCCAGCAATTACACCCCTTCCCTCGCCTTTTCTGGGCAAATGTCCGACTCTCAATATCCCCTCTACATGGACGACACTGCGTTTGACCCTCTCCTCGACTTGCACCATTCCAGTCGAGGGATGGAGTCTTTTGCGACCGCTGTAGGGCTGAGGGTACAGGATCTTTTTGGGACGTGTCTTGTCATCTTCTTGTGCATCGCGGGTGCGGTGTTGGTCATCAGTTTGACGCTCTGGTTCTTCCATGGACTCATGGAGTACCTCTTTGGCGGAAGCAAGCACGGTACACCCGTCGGCAAGCGGGCTACGCTGGGAACGAGCCCCCGACCTAGTTTGGGTGGAAAGGAGACGCTTGAAGGCAGGAATGCGTCCTCTACCGATATGCTGGGATCACTTCCCACGCAATCAGCATTCTTCAGCCACAAATCATCTTCGCCCGGACACCTGAGACGTATCTGGCTGCGTTTCCGACCAAGAGGCGAAGCTGGCGCTTTCCACACTGCTGCTCTTTACGGAAACCTCATCCGCCTCATCCTGGTCTTTCACCTCCCCGTCACCATCTTTTCAATGTACCAACTCTGTCTTGGCTCGCAAGCCAGTATCGTCTCCCGTGTCTTTGCCGCCCTTGCTTTCGCCTTCATCTCTGTCCTCTTCCCCGCCCTCATACTCTGGAAGATCTACAAAACCCCCACCGGAAAACTATACGACGCCACCCGTACCCTCCTCTCCCTCGGTCCGATGTACAACATCTACGTCGAGAAGAAGCAAATGTATCGAGCCCTCACCCTGCTCGCAAGTTTGGTCGTCGGTATCGCCGTCGGCGCAGGACAAGGAAGTGGATTGGCACAAGCAATAGTGCTGATCATTGTGGAATTGGTCTTGCTGATTGTGCCTGGTGTTTGGTACCCATGGGGCGAGGGGGCGAGTATGGGCGCGCCCAATGCGTTGCTAGGCGCCTTGAGGTTGATCAGTGTAGTCCTCGTCATGCTGCTCGCCAAGATTGTAAGTCTTTGCATTGCGTTCAATGAGCCCACAGCTGACACTTTGTTCCCAGATCGGCATGTCAGACACCGCCTTGGACTGGATAGCCTACGCCGTCCTCATCCTCCAAGCAATCATATTCGTATTTTTCCTCTTTATGCTCTTTACCAAGATCATCGAGGGCTCCATCCGGCTGTTTGGCGGTGTGCACTTTGACGAGTCGACGCATCCGCTTGATGGAGGGATCTTTGCGGTGATCATGGATTTGGACTGCTTGAACCCCGTGCGCGGGGGCAAGGCTGCAGAGAGGAGGCGGAGAAAGCACGGATCGAGACAGTTGCAGAAGAACGTCTACGAAGCTGGCAGTTTATCTACGCAGATGATGCTGGATAGGCATTCGCAAGGCGTCCCCCGCCAGGCGACAGCAGAACAATCCACCCCCTTCCTCTATCCCGATCAACCTCCCCTCGGGCCGCCTCCTATCGAACGCCAAAGCTCCGACAGACGGAGCTTCGAGTCGAGGTCGGAAGAGAGGCATGGAGAGGCGAATATCATGGATGCTTGGAGGCCTGCTCCTGGGTCTGGACTGGGGTACGCCCCGCCGGGGATGTATGCGCCGCAAGTATCGTCCCCTCCTATCTCGCCTGTGCCGAACCCGGCGTATGGGACGGGGAACGCACCCAGCAGGAGCTTTTCCCGTGTACGAGGCGGTCGGTCGAATTTTGAGCATCCGTATGATATCCAAGGGCCTGCGTCGAGTGGGGTACCGGTGATGACGGCGATGGCGATGCCGACGCCGACGATCAAGGTGTCGCAAGCGGGGCAGAGACCAATGTCGCCCCCGCATAACCGGCAATATTCGTCCTCGGCGTTGATAGAGATGGCTTCTTCCCCGCAGAATACACCTCCTTCAAGGGGCATCGAGTTGCCGGCTGCGTACCCAACGTCTCCGCCTGCACAGACGCCGCAGGGGATACGGCCCGATAGACAAGGCCAACGCCCGCCCGCGCTTGCCATTCCCAAACGCCGGTCGTTGAATGATATCAAACAAGATTCCGATATGTCCACCGACTCGCATTACTCTGAGCATGAGAGGAAGAAGAAGAAGGGGAAGAGACGGAGTGCGGGGTGGTTCCATCGGAATGAGACCCGGACGGGGGATAGTGAGAGCGAAGAGAGCTCGGATGATGAGCCTGGGCCGTCGAAGCGAAAGACGCGCAAGGCGGCTTTGGTTGCTGCCCAGATGCGCGAGCCGGAACCGTTTGAGGATGTGTCCAATCTCGAGCCTCAGCCGCCTGCGTGGAAGCGGATGTTGGGTATGAAGAAGAAGCTGGGCGAGGAAGAAGAGTTGGAGAGGGACGAGAACAAGGCGAGGAAGGCTGCGCTGGCGACGGAGAGTGGGTCGTTGTTTGCGGGTGTGCAAGCGCCAAAGCCGTCTCCGAAGAAGGGCTTTGTGGTCAGGCGGAGTGGGGAGGGCGGGCCGACGTATGTGCCCATGGCGGCTCCTGCATCTCCTCCCGGTGAACCGCAGTCTGCATCGACGAGCTTTAGGGTGAAGCGTATGGGCCAGCCTCAACAGACGCCTACGCCGCAGAGGGTGGACTCGCCGACTGAAGTCAAGTCTGTACACGCGAGCCCGTCCTCTCAGTACTTGCCGCTTTCAGCTGCGGGAAATAGTACAGGGCGAAGCAGCGGGGAAAGCACGGGGGAGAAGAAGGGGTTCAAGGTGATCCGGCCAGCGAAGAGTGCTGCCCCATCGCCTGCTGCTAGTAGTACCGGCTTTGTCGTCAATCGTCGGTCGTCGCCCCTTGTCACGCCGACTGGCGAGAGTCATCCCGTGCAGACGGGCTATCCACCGTCGTCTTTTGTACCGATGGGGAGGGCGAGTCTGGAAGATGGAAGACCCCCCGCGAGGCCGATGAAGAATCCGAGGCGGTCTAGTGAGAGCCAGAGGGGAGAATAGTGTGTGTAAGCTGTAAAAAGGGGGTATCTTGGATGTCAAAAGGTCTGCGTTCACAAAGGACTTTTATTATATAATACACGTTCAATTAGTCGTTGTCTCTGTGGGATCCATGTTAGTTTGTGATGAAGATACGTCCATGGATGAGATGTGGACGTTGAAAGTTGAAAGACAGGCGCGTTGGAGGCACGGTAAACGAGCGTTATCTCACTTATCGAGACGGGAAACTGCAGCTTCAAGACAACGTCGCTTGATCCATCTCTTTTCTCCCCTGCATCCCATGTCCCCCGCCCGCTGAGCGCCCGCTATGCCCGCCCGAGACCCGAACGCCTCGCCCCTCGCCCCCTCCACCCTCCCCAACCACCCCGCCTCGCCCACCTCCTCCCACTACTCGTCCATCCTCTCCCCCCCAGGCACATCTGGATTCTCCACCCGCACCCACCAGTCCTTCTCTGGCGGCCTCTCCAGCCCCCCCACCCCCGAGCAGCAGCAGCAGCAGAATAACGGCTACTTTGCCCAAGCACTCCGCCGTGTCAGTGGAGGTGCTGCCTCTGGGGCGCTCCCTAAGATGGATGCGGGCAGCTTGAGTGGGCAAGAGATAGCTGCTGCAGGATCCAGTGGCTGGGAAGAGTGAGTCAACCTTTACATAACACCCCCCCCCCCCCTCTCCCCATATCACGCCATGGAGCTCACTACCCACAGCCATAGTTTCCATACGCATGTTGGCTCGACTACTTCCCAAGCGATCAGAGACTCGACCGCCCGCCTCGCATCCATGTCCTACTCCTCCCGCCCTCGAGCGTATTCCTCGACGTCGGGGGGAGGAGACAGCTCATTCCCGCTCCACCCATCTCAGAGCACGCCCCACTCGAGACATGGCTCTGTCAACCCGTCTTCCTTCCGCGAACACCGCCCAGTCCACCCCAGCCACCTGAACCCAGCAGCTCAGAAGGGCGGTCCTACCCCCGTGCCGGAGGTGGACGAGGTGGCCGATTTCTCACCGCCCAAGACCGCCCAAGGCGTTCCCGCGTCTCCTTACGGCAATGCCCAGTCTGGGCTCAGTATGATGCTCAAGCGGGATAACGAAGACCGTCGGGTGAAGGGCCTTGGAGAGTCGGTCTCTCCAGAGAATAGGGGCTATGGCGCGACGGCCACCAGTAATGAGGAGGATCTTTCTGGTGAGCGTACGCCCATGCCGAGAAAGACGCCCCTCGCAGAGCTTCCTCCTCCAATCGATACGCCTGATACAGAAATCCCCCATGCCGCATCAGAGAGCTCTCTCCGGCGATACCTCGAAGCCGGCCAGGGCGAACTGGGGCAGTCTCACGACGAAAGCTCGCCGCTGCTCGGAGGCGAGAGAAAACCCAGATCATGGGGTGGAGAGGTATTGGCCAATATTGGGCAGTTGAAGAGCCAGGCTGGCAAGTTGACGGCCAAGGATGTCGTACAGGGGGCTGTCATCGAACCCATCAAGACTCTGCCGTCTGTCATTTTGGGTCTCTTGCTCAACGTCTTGGACGGTGTGAGTTATGGTATGATCTTGTTTCCCGCAACTCCCGTCTTTGCAGACTATGGCTCTCTTGGTGTATCCATGTTCTTCATGTCGTACGTCAATTTTTAGTTTTCGAGCCGAGATACTGACAGCCACACAGATGTGTTGTGTCGCAACTCGTTTTTTCTCTTGGTGGAAGTATCTTCCCTGGCGGTAACGGCTCCATGATGATTGAAGCTGTGCCCTTCTTTCACATTCTGGTCACCACATTCGAGCAAGTTATTGGAGACGACGACAAGGCTATCGTCGCCACGACCATGGCCGCTTTCGCCTTTAGCTCAATCCTGACCGGTCTCGTCTTTTTTGCCCTTGGTGCTTTCAAGCTCGGCGGCCTGATTGGGTATTTCCCGAGACACATCTTGGTCGGGTAAGTCCATCGGTACCCTCATGACAAGCGCTGACAATCTGGCAGATGCATCGGCGGTGTCGGCGTCTTTTTGATCGAGACTGGACTCCAAGTCTCTCGCGGTCTCAAAGAAGAAGGCTTTGAATACAACCTCGCCACCCTCAAACTCTTCTTCCAATCCGGCCACGCCATCGCCATCTGGACCATCCCCCTCTTCCTCGCCATCCTCCTCCGCATCATCACCCACTTTTTCCACCACCAACTCATCTTCCCCGCCTACTTTTTCATCATCCCCATCATCTTTTACATTGTCGTCGCCATTGGCGGGTGGGAGATTCAGCATTTGAGGCAGACGGGGTGGGTGTTTGACGTGGGAAGTAATACGCAGGCGTGGTGGAAGTTTTATACGCTGTTTGACTTGCGTAAGACGCATTGGGAGGCTTTCTGGGCTGCTATGCCGACGCAGCTCGCGTTGGTTTTCTTTGGGATCCTCCACGTACCGCTCAATGTCCCCGCTCTCGGTGTATCGTTGGGCGAGGATAATGTCAAGCTTGATAGGGAACTCGTCGCGCATGGAGCGTCTAATGTCATTGCTGGTCTGACCGGGACTGTACCGAACTACCTGACCTATGTCAACACTGTTCTCTGTAAGTGGACTCGACTTTTAAGGGACAAGGCTTATAACGTTTGTAGTCTATCGAGTTGGAGGCGGGTCGCGATTGTCGGGTCTGATGCTTGCGGCGGCTACAACGGCTGTTATGATGATTGGTCCTGCTGTCATTGCTACTCTCCGTAAATCAATAAATATTAACGTGGGATAGACACTGACTGATATTAGCCGTCATGGTGGTCGGAGCTCTCATCTTTGTGCTCGGTATCGACTTGGTGATCGAGGCAGTTTGGGACACCCGACACCGCGTCAACAAGATGGAATACGTTACTATCTGGGCTATCACCATCGGCATGACCATGTAGGCGCTTCTCAAATCAATGTTGAATCGAGCTAATACGATACAGCTTTGACTTTGTGATCGGTCTGCTCTTTGGGATCATCCTTGCGTGCATCTTTTTCGTCGTCCAGAGCTCTAGGCGCCGGGCTATCAGGGCGGTGTTTAATGGATCTACGGCGAGGTCGACTGTTCGAAGGCCCAAGTGGCAGAGGTCGTTCATACAGCAAGTCGGTTCTCAGACTTATGTCATGAAGCTGCAAGGTTTCTGTAAGTCGCCTGTCGCCCGTCACAGGCGCCCGGCTGACGTACATCACAGTATTCTTCGGTACGATTACCACAGTGGAAGACGAAATCCGCAAACTCCTCGACCTCGCCAAATGGCAACACAACCCCATCCGTTTCCTCATCATCGACTTTACCCTCGTCCACGGCCTCGACTTTTCCTCCGCCGAGGCCTTTGTCCGTGTGCAAAGACTCCTGGCGGTCAAGGATGTGTTGATGATTATGTGTGGGGCGAAACCGGATGGGCTTGTGGGGACTGCGTTGAGAGGGGTGGACCTTTGGGCGGATAGAGAGGGGACGAGGGTGGAGGTGTTTGATGCGTTGAATGATGCGCTGGAGTGGACTGAGAATGCTTATCTGTGAGTGCATGTCAATGTGTGGGGAGGTGTACTGACTGTTATCTGGTAGGACTGCGTACTTTGAGAATCAGAGACTTATTGAATGCGAAGCGTCTACCAGAGTCATCGACTTTCCGACTGTCGCCAAGCCTCCATTCTCCCTGGCCGAGTCGTTCCAGAACAGTCCTAGGCGAAGTCATCTGGTCAAGGCTGGTGGAGATGTCCTTCCTCAATGTGAGTAAGATCCAAACGAGAAAGACTTGACCTGACCTCGTTCAGCCAACTATCCCAAACAAACTCAAGAAACCTCCTCACCCGAATCTGAAGACCCGCTCGCCCAGCCCGTGCCATGCCTCCTCCAGACATTCGGCGACTACTCGAGCTCTTCCATCACCCCATCCTTCTGCTCTTCCATCGCTCCCTACTTTGTGCGTTCTTGCATCTTGTCCGGAGACACCCTCTGGTCGCAAGGTGAACCCGCCGACGGCTTGTATGTCATCGAGACTGGCTGTCTGCGGGCGACGTACGAGTACCACCAGACGACCAACTTGATTCAAGAAACGATGGTGGCCGGGTCTATTGCAGGTGACCTGAGTACGTTGAGCGAGACGACGAGGAATGCGACGGTGGTCGCGGAACGGGACTCGGTGTTGTGGAAGCTGGAGAGGAAGGCGTTGGAGAGGCTTGCAAAGGATGAGCCGGAGGTGGCGAGGGCGTTTATCCGGATCGTGCTCAAGGGTAAGTTGTTTGTCTTCTTCACTGCATGAGGATAGTTGGCTGATTGAGTTTTTTTTTTTCATGTAGGTGTTGCGGAGGAGCAGGACGTCTTGTCTTCTCATTTGATTGCCGTCTTGTCATGATCGCCGCCATGTCTTTCTAGCTTAGCGCTTATTTTACACTGGTTTCTTACGAGTGTGTGTTGAAAAGTGGGGCGAGAGTATAGTTCAACTGCGGCGAAATAGCGGATATGTTCATTTTACCTCTGTGCGGCCTGGTTGATTTGGGTGGGGGGGGGGGTATGTACAGTAGACCACGCATAACATATATGATTGAAGCTAGATTCGGTGGGAGGAGTGGGGGAAAGGTGGGTGGAAGAACTCATATGCATATGACTTGTCAAATGCATGGTGACATTCGTTTTGGCTGGGTGTTACAGGTTGTGAAACAGCACAACGCGGACCACAGAGCAACACGCAGGCACCCATCATTCTATCCATCATTCCATCATGGTCGTTATTTCTGTAATCAGGTCAGCTGGACATCGATCGCTTCGAAGCGTGGGACTGGGGAGTGGGACACGCAATTAACATGTCTCGAGCACAGATGATCGCATTGATGTATGACGTGTTTGTCTGTGATGGATGGAGAAGATCGAGCGGGAATGGAGTACCTGTGTTGTCAGCCAACTCCTCTGAATGCTCTGCAAGCTGCAAGCGAACAGGGCCGAATATACACCCCCGGGTGCTGCAAGAGACATTGAGCGCATCTCCCTCCGAGCTGCCGGTGCGGGGTGCAGGCGGGCCCGGAGGTCGGGTTTTCGGAGGAAAGAGGCGCGGGAGAAGAATGACGAATCCCGACTCCCGAGCGACTGCTGCGAGATGATCGGCACTGGATTTTTTACGGGACAAAGGCACCCTCCCTTGTGCCTGTGCCTGGGACCCTACCTCGCTCGTTCTGCATTGTTGTTCTGCTCTCCTTGAACGTTCTTTGTTCCACGCTGACATCGCCCACAGCCGGCCGCCGGCAGCCGGTTGCCCTTCGACAAGGGAGTTGGTCCACACCGCAAACAGTCCGGACACTTGGGGCTTCGGGCAAGGCTACATACGGCTGTGTATACTGTGTACTTTGTATATGCTCTCCGTTCCGCATTGGCCGTCGGGTGCCCGAGAGTTCCTGGGCCCTTTGCAGCGCTCCCGGAGAGTTCTCGTCTGTCCTCTGCCGCTTCTACACTCTGCTCTGGGCATCGACGGGGGTTCATGATGCTCAATCAAAGGTGCTTGCAGCTGCAGACCTATGGCCGCTATAATAGCCGCCTATGACCCCATCGTGCACATAGCTGTCTGCCGTCCCGTCTGCCGTCTGCATTCACTGAATTCTACTACGTATCTGCTGGCGGTTCTGGCGAGGGAATCACCCGAAGCTCAATGTGATACATAGAAGACTGCTGTCGGCTGTTGCACGTAGTAGTAGGTTTGGCTCGGTGGTCTGTTGGGAGAAGAGCGGTTTGGCCCCGATGGCCGTTGTTTGACGACGATGTTGAAAGGTCTGGCTACGCTGCCTTGCTATATGTATGCTGCTACACATCATGGGCCGGTAGAACAGATAAACTTTACATTCACAGAAGTGATTCCAGCACTCCCGGTTTCAGCGTGATAACCACCGCCTTCGACTTTCGGTATGAACTGCCGCAAAGCTTCTTGCGCCACCGAACCACTCAAACAACGCTGCAGTGTTCTGCCAGAGCTTCCAGTTGCGTTGCGCGCCAGTAGCACTAGCCAGACAATAGATCAGAGATCTCATTTTCTCAATCACTTTTCAAGGCTATCGAGTGGCTTGAAGCTTGGGACCCGCCTAAAAAGATCTCAATCAGCGAATAGATCTCCTATCTCTGCGCTGTGCCTATGTATTGGAGCATGTAGTAGGTATGCTCAGTCATCGGTCGGTGCGGTTGTCAATGCCTTAGCTTGTGGCTGATGGCATAGCTAAGGGAGGTGTTCATGTTGGCAAGAGGGCAGTTGCGAACGATAGGCTGTGGCCGTTGTTACTCGTGACTATCCTCTGCAAGTGATTGAAACCCTTTGCCAACACGAAAGTGGGAGAGGGGGGAACTTCAGTACCTTCTGTCACTTTTGTTGTCACCTGTACGATATACGGGTATGTAACTCTTCGTCTACTAGCGTGGAAGAACACTTGTAAATTCTCCTCAATTCTCCATCTCTCGTTACATTTTTCTGTCTTCTCCTGTCTACTCTACTGTATATCGACTGCTTCCTGTCATTGCTGTATACCACATATGCATGCGTACTCCACCACTGCTGCACAGAAGTATGACTCGGCGCTGCAGGATGCGAACATCTCGACCCATAGCACGTTCCCCAAGATCCCCAAGAACCCTGTGGCCTTTCCCTCGCATCGGTTCATATGATGGACCCATCAAGCTTTGGTAGGATACGGTGAGCCGAGAGCCCGGGACCGAGAACGTAGCCTTTTCCCTCTTTCTATCCAGGCTATCCAGGCTCATCTCCCTTTTGACTTTCGTCACCGTTGATTGAGCACTGGGAACTACACATGCTCCCTTCTTTCTTACTGCTTTCCCTCGCCCCTTCCCTTGCACAATCCCACGATGATTCGTACTTCCTCAGGCTCGAATACATGTTACTGCGCTTACGGGTCATACATCCAAGAGCAGCAACTCGACCCCATGCGGTCTCGAGCCTCGTCCGGGCGCTTTCCTCGTAGGCCCCGGAGCTTCTCAAGTAGGTTCACCTCGCAGGGGCAGGGAAACAAGAAGCGAAGCTTCCCATGCGTTCACAAACCATGTCACCATGATAACGGGCGGGTACATACTCCGGTTACTCTGGATTCTGGAAGTGGAAGCACACCTTTCTGTCAAAGGTTTGTGCCTTGAAGATCCTTCTTCACAATATTTTTACCAGGGCTTTACCCCAGCTCAGCGATCGCCTTACCATGGCCATGGGCCATGTAGATATTTGCCCGACTCTGACCAAGAGTACCAAGATACCAAAGCCCAAGGCCCCCAAGAACAAGCAGGAGGGCAGGCGCAGTGGCCGAGTAAATGCAGAGGGCCGGGACAGGACATAGGGGGACCAGAGGGCAAAAGCTGCAGAAGACAATCCAGAAAGACAGAGAAGAAAGGAAAAAATCCGGAAGCCGGAGGTTTTGAGGATTACGTGAGATCAGGCCTCAGGATAAAACAGGGCAGACTTTATTCTTCCTTCAGGGCACACCGCGTCGACGCGCAAAACGCAAAAACATCCCTTGCCCCTTTCGCCTTTTTCGAGATGCCTATGGACATTCTACCGCTTTCCTTCTCGGCCTGGATGCACGGGGACGATGATGGGCGAAGGGAGAAGAGGGTAACGGGGGCCGCTATGGGCGGTTTTGCAGCCGGTGATTTTTTATCAGAGTTCAAGTGGACCTGGACAGACCTGGCATAGCCGAGAATTGCGGCCTTGAAGACAAGTTTATGCCTTATGCAACCGCCTTTCCGGAAAGTTTACATATATTCCGAGAGGCAAGACAGAGTGTGATTGTCGCTCTTCCATTCTCATTCTTCCTATTACCTCTTCTCATTCTTTCCTTCATTCCTTCCCATCAATCATTCTTTCGATACTGGCCGCCCCCGCGCACTCGCCCCTCTCCCCCTTTCTCCTAAACCCATCCAATCCTCTATTACTCCACCTTCGGCCATAATCAACCTACCCACCCGTCCAATCCTCCCCCCATCAGTCAGCTATCAGCCACCTCAGCCACAGACGTATACGACTCGATCTTTGAACCACACGTCTGTCACCTTTGTCGACTTGCCGAATCACACATCCTTCATCATCAGCGGGGCCGAAATACTTGCCACCTCCCCATCCTTCTACTACGGGCCATCACAAAGACTCGGGCATCGCCAAGCAAAGATCAGATAGACAGAATAGAGCACGTACAAGGAAGCTCCTACTGGGTGAGTGGGATGACGATTCGCATATGATGGGTAGTCGTTCAACGTTTACTAACCAAGAAGGCACACACCCACAGTATACGCGCTACTTGCCGACCCTTTCCATCCAAATCCTGTACACCCGACCCGGCCTCTACCCGACCCTCTCTCCTCCGCCCCCCACTCGGGAGACGCCCCACGGCCCACGGCTGCGCCCCTTTCCGAACGAACTCAACTTTTTTTTTCTCGGCAAGAGTCTTGGGATAGATGTGCGACGCACAGAACGTGCCGCAGGCTGTTGCTTATGAGATACGAGGCGATGTGGGCGACAAGAGAGACGAGGTGAGTTGCCCGGGCCGTGCTTTGCTGTGGTTGCTGTGGAGTGTTGTGATACACGGTCGGTCGAGGGTCGGTGAAATGTGCATGCTATCGGCACGCGGACGTGGTGACTGGATTTGCATCCACCCCTGGGGGCTTCTGCATCAGCGGAACAAGGAAGCAGATGATGGGCCGCCTGCGCGTGGTCGGTGACTCGCTTGGGCCGCGGGGGAAAGGCGTGGTCGCAGAACCCACTGGGAACGTTGTCGAGCGATGCGATGGACGGCGGCGGGCGGCGATCTTGTTCTCGTTCAGAGGTCCTAGGAGCACTCCCACTGCCACACCTCCCCATCTCGCCCAGTCCGCCCACACCTTTCCCCTAGTGCCTCAGGAATCTTCTTGCTGTTCTTTTTCCGCGCCATCACACTAGAAACTCACGGATCGCGGCCCAATATATGAGGACCAGTAATCCCTTTGTTGCATCTTCATATTCCTTCTGATTCCATTCCTCTTGTTGACCACCGGGTCTCGCGCGGCTGATATATATATATATATATATAAACGCCAAATACTGACAAGATCCTAGTATCCTCAGCCACTGTACGCGCAACAATATCAGCCCACCTATCAACCTCTGCCCCCAATTTCTCCGCCGCTTGCTGCTGCGTCCCCCTTTGCCTTTGTGCCTCCGGCACTCTCGGGGACCCCTGTTTCAGTTGCGTCTTTTCGTCCTCCCTTGGTCGCCCACCACTCTGAGCCCGTGCCGGTCGCCAACTCCAACTTTACCTACTTTTCCATGAAGCCTCAACCGCCGCCTGCTCCCCAACACGGCTATTCAACCTACGCTCCACAACACAGTATACCCATGTCTTACCGGTCCCAGTCGAGCGACAGCGATATATCGACGCAGGGTCCCACGTCTCTGCCGTCCACGACCAGTCCACTGGTCAACATACAGTATCAGCGTTCGGCGCTCACGGTTCAGTATGGTGTGGTTGGGAGTTCGCAGGACAAGTCACCTCGGCTGCCCGGTCCAGGACCATTCTACCAGTCAACGTATACGCCGTCAGAGATGCCTCGATCGATGACTTATCCGGCTGCTGGCTACTATCCCTCGCCTTACAGCTACTCGACACCTGCTTCCAATGGCATGGCTTATCCCCAACCTGTCTCGACGCCGTACGCTGTCCCGGTTGGTGTTACTGGGCCAACACCGGCTTCAGCTTCGACCTCGTCAGGTTATTCCTTTGGGCAAAAGACTCTACATCAAGACAGGCCTTACAAGTGCGATCTGTGTCAACAAAGTTTCGTGAGTTCATTCCCACCTCATTTGATCGGTGCGTGTCAACTGACCCGAGATCTCGTAGAACCGAAACCACGACTTGAAACGGCACAAGCGGATACATCTGAGTGTTAAACCTTTTGCGTGTGAAAAGTGTGGCAAGACGTGAGTAGTTGTTTATTAGCAGTTCTGCCATACTGACCCCCGTTATCAAGTTTCTCCCGAAAGGACGCCTTGAGACGGCATTGGCTGGTGAAAGGATGCAAAGAGGATGGTGCGACAGCGCCCATACGTGAGTCTAGATTTCATTAAACGTCTTGACGATCGATCTAACGCAAAGTAGATGCTATAGCACCCATCGAACATGGTGCTACAGGCCCACCGGCTCTCTCCCCTCCGACACCTACGACCCTCTCTCCTTCAGCAATTCCCTCCCCAAGCGAGTCCGTCCAGTCAACACCATCCTTCTCCCACCCCACTACTCGCCCTTCACTATCAACGCTCCCCTCCCGGCGACAGCAAGGTTCCGACCTGATCATTACCCCGGGCGAGATCCCCAACTCTAGCGTGGTATCTCCACTATCCGCTGGTGCCAGTATGCTACGCGGGCTCGCATCTGGGGTGGATAGCGCGAACTCGGCAAACGACGGCTATGTCAACGGAGGTTACTTTGAAGGATCCATGATCGACAGTCAACGTATGGGAGGTGTATCTGACCCTAGGGGCAAGAACTTGCTTTCTCGACTTGCTTCGTCCCCTCCTGCCATCTATCCCCCGCCATCACGGATGGTGTATCAGCCGTCACTCGCTTCGCCTACGGAAAGCACTATGGCATCTCCGACGACGGCGACTTTTCCCTCGACGGGGATGGTGGCAGATGGGAAACCGTCGTTTGCTATGCCGTTCCCGCCTTCGGCCGGGTATGTCATACAAGAGCAGGACGCTTCTTCCGCCGCCACCGCCTCTGCTGCCGCACAGCAACAGCATGCCGAGGCAACAGAGATGGAGAAGCAATCGAGCCAAGACGAGATTCAGCAACAGCAGCAGCAAACGTGGCAAAGATGGTGAGTCATTCTTCTGAATCTCGACAAGAAGGTTCTCTGACACGTGTAGCGCTAGGCATAGGCCCTCATTTCCATTCCCTCATACAACGGGCATGGCCTACACTTACAGCCCGCAGTCGATGGGAGAGTCGGCTGCAAGTGTGTACCCTCCTCCCCCTCCGCATGCGCCTCAACAGCAATAGCATCAATCTTCTTTGCCACCCTCCTCTTCGACCCACCACATCTCTGCTCGTTTCGACTTGTTTGTGAACTTGTTTATTCCGTCACGGTGACGACGACGTTGTACTTTGTAAAACCTCCCTCGGCTCTCTTTTCTTCTTGGGTTTTATGTTTTTCCTCATTTTATTTCTATAGGGACTTATGTGTCTTACAAGGATAGAGTCTGTCGATCTTCTCTCTGGTAGAGTTCGAGCAAAGGCCTTTACGCTTCTCTAGCATTTTTCTTTGCATTCATTTTTCGTCATTCGATTTCGCGTTGAGTGTTTTTGCACCACGGCGGTTCTCTTTCAACTATCTTCATCTTCATTATCATACCAGAACATACAGTATAAGCACTCAGAAGCAGTCCCATATCATAGCCAAATCATAGACTGGAATCACGTCTAGCATGAATGAAAAAGTCTATACTCTCTTATCGTCGTTTGAGGATGATGGGTAGGTCGTGGGACTTGGGGCCTTGACTATAGACCCACTGCATGCTGCACGCTGCGTAATCGAACAAGACCATCAAGTCCTCAATGATCTTTGTCACCGTGGTGAGAAGATTGTCATCTAACCTAGCCTAGCCCATCAAGCAGATTATGAACTACTTGTGCCCGACGGCCCTTCCTCGCGCCAGCGCATCGAGGCTGATTTGCCTGCACAGTCCTTGAGGCTCTTATTATTTAAGGCCAACAAGGTCTTGTGACCGAACTTTGATCCTGCATGCCCCTGGAGGGTCATCTCTACTCTGTAATCGGAGGCCGAGGGGAGCAAAACATGCCATAAACAGCACAAACACGCAAGAAAAGGTTGAAAGAAGAATGATTGATGTTGAACTTTGAGATCTGGATCGGGAAAGATTTTGAAGAGGGACAACAACAACATCGTCGATTACGTCGATTATCGATAAGCATACGCTCGTCAAGAACGCCTGAAAGTCAATGTTGAATACTGCATGTCCATACCAAAAGTAGAGATGGTACATATTGTGGTGCTGAAGAAATTCAAGGGGGGCTGGTGATCGATTTCCTGAACAATCTGAGAATATCCTCCGATCAATTTCATCCTACGTACCTCGACAGCACGTTGATCAACGGTCGGTCGCGCTTCCATCGGCTTTCCGACAAGGACTTCTGGAACACCCCAGAAGTTTTGCGGCGGAAGAGACAGTGAATACATCGACATCGACATGGCGCGCGATCCGACCGTCGTTATCTTTGCGACACTTCCGCTTCGCCAGAAGAGCTGCTGGATTGGGACGAGATGGAGAGGAGGTAGACTTCGGTTGGGTCATGGACGCTGGGTGATGTGGGGGAAGGTGGAGGGGGCGGATTGGAAGGGAAGGTGGAGGGGGCGGATTGGAAGGGAAGGTGGAAGAAGGGGGTCGTGGGCTCGAGCGGCGCGTGATTACAGTGAGTTCTTCTTCTTCTCTCTCCGTTGGGCACATTCAATTGAAAACTGACCTCTTCAGGGCACCCCGATTCCCTAGTCGTTGCCCGAGCCTCTCGCCTTTCACTGATATTGTCGACAAGATGTGTCATGGTGAACCGCAGCAGTATAGTAGCCCCTGCGCTCCAACATCTTCAATCACCACCTAGCCTTTCTCGATCCTGTTGGTATCTATATCCGTTTTGTCGACAATTACGTTCGCGATCAAAGAGGGCTGTTTGGAGAGGGCTTGAGATCACTTGGGCAGGAGACGGTATCTTGGAAGACGTCGAGTGCTAACTTTTGGACGTCTTCGGCTCGCAAGGCATCTCCGTCCCAGCTCTTGAGCTTCTTGCAACACTCGGCAAAGTTTCCGTGCAATTACTAGCTCAAGAACGGTACGTGGCAATCGGCATCGCTTTCGGATACTTTCTGCCTAGTAGATAGGTAGGACGCTGATCTCGTCTAGTCATCGACACACTCCCCAGGCATAATATTTCTTCGCCCTCAATCCACCCATACCGTCCCGCAAGCACTGCCACTGTAGTACCCAGCATAACACGCTTTTGCCTCGGGGGGGGCAGCTTTCAAAAAGTAGACTTCCAGGTCTACAATCAGAAGTTGTGTATCCCAGCGCGATCCGGTCAACATCGACGGACAACAGCAAAACGTTTACGAAAATATCGATCAAATCATTCCCGGCCACCTCCCGTATATGCGCTTGCTCCTCAGCACCAGAAGACTCACGATCGTCTGCGCCTGTGGACAAGGCATGGGCGAGCTCCTCGATGTTGAGTCCTCAGGCCGGTGTCCTTCGACTCCACTTGCCATCGCCTTCAGGTATCGTCAACCCTTGGGGCCTCCCAACGCTCCTCAACGTGTTTTCGAATCCTCGCCCTCTTCTTCCTTCGCCCCCCTCCCTTGGAGGTTTCGGGCTTCTGTCATCTGAGAATCTTGTAGCATCGTAATCTCCTCAACGGTCCTCGCTCTCAACAGCAACGGCTTTCGGGAAAGACTCGGAGCTTGGTCAAGGTCGAAGGCTCGCCCAGCTGTCGAAAGGATCCCGCAAGAGGTGGTAAGCAGTTCCGGATAATTGTCATGTTCGCGCCTTCTATCTTGTGGCGTGATAACAAGCTACTACCATGCACCATTTTGGCTTCAGAATCTACCGTAACATCAAGCATGACGACAACGTCCATCACAATTTCGCTGATGTCTCGCTGTCGCTCTTCGGGACTTGTGGGATCTGCGCGCACAGGGTGACCTCGTACCTCGGCTTATGGAAGCCTCATTCTTTTCCCGAGGCGATCGCGCTGATGGGGTATAATTATCGGGCGTATCAAGGCCTTCTGCTTCTGCCGGTGCGGCCACTCACCTGTCACCTGGCCCCCTCTTTCCGACAAGCCTGCTGACGCAAATACCGATAGCTTACCCCGAAGTGCCGCGTCCTTTGTCCCATGCGGCCCTATGGCACTGAATGGATCGCCGCAATGCGTAACGGAAGGTATAGCGCTTCAGCTGGGGCTCAGCCTGTGCTGTGTCTACAAAACAACAACATCTTTATTTCTTCACCACAAGGCCATGTCCTCCTCCTCCACTTCCACAACCTCGTCCCCTTCATCCAGCTCTCCAACCCTCACAAAAGCCTCTGTCAATTTCTGGAACGTCGACACCTTCCTCTCCCCCTCTGCCCCCTCCGCCTCATACGTCCGCTCCCACTTTTCACGCTCCAACAAATCCTTCTTCTCCAGTCTGCAATCATGTTTCTCCGGCGAGAGCTTTGACGTCGAGGTGCCAAGTGACTTGGGCACGGCCCTGAGTGAGAAGAGCGAGGCAGTTGTGAAGGAGAAGGCAAGTGTTGGGGAGGGGGATACGGAGGCGTGGTATAAGAAGAAGGCGGACGAGAGGAAGAAGGTGATCAAGGAGTGGCTGAAGAGCGGGCGAAGTAGTCGATCGTCCAAGAGTGGGTCGGGGGAGAGTAGTGCCAGTAGCGGAGGCGAGTCTTCAGCGCCGTCTTCTAGTTCATCTTCCAAACTATCAACATCTACTCCTTCGTCCACCCCGCCCACATCTTCCTCATCTTCTCGTGAAGCTTCCCCTTCATCCTCTCGTCGATCGAAAAACACTACCGCATCGAAGAAACCCTCCTCCAAACCGTCAACTCCTTCGTCTTCTCGCTCGAGCTCAGCATCCCGCCGCCGCAAAGCCACCACCACCGCTGCCAACCTCAAACCCCCACACCCCACCCTCGACGCCCAAACCGCCAAATCCCTCATCGAGACTTTCAAATCCAGTACCGATACCAAGCTTGAAGAGCCAGAGTGGTGGGATACGTGGCATGCGCTCAGGGGTCAGTATGGCTATGGGAAGCAGGGTGTGACGGGGGAGATGGATGAGAAGCTGAGGGGGATGAGGAAGGCTGGGTGGGATGAGTTGACGAGGAGATAGGGTGGGTATGCAGACTTTACAGGGAGAATTACACCCTCTAATAAGAGCAAAAAGTCTAGGTATCATTGACATAACCTTCCAACAGCTTCATCCGTTTACGGCAAGACATCAATTCTCATTGCAAACACTCTCTCAACCACTCTATCAAATCGAGGAGCTCTTCCTCGCTGTAAGTATGGCCCAAGCCAGGGTACGAGGTGAACCGTATACTCGGCCGGGCGAAGACTGATCCCTGGGGAAGGACGGGTCGACCGAATTTGGAGAGTATGTCGACGGCTCTTTCAGCGACTGTTGTCAAGAGACAAGTATGCTAATCAGCTTGGCGTCTTGTCCAGGAGAACTTGAAAGGGTGAGCTAACATTCGTAGCTCACGACTGCATCTTCTTTGCCATGCGCCACGAATATGGGAGTTTCCGAGGCATGTACACTCTTGAGCTATAATATATCAGCTGATATTCGCCTAGAAGATCGAACGACCCACTTCATCAACCCTCTCACTAAGCGGCAACCTCCCACTCAGCGCCACTATCCCCGCCAACCTCCTCTCCAGCACAACACTCCCCAACAACGATATCATTGCACCCTGACTGAACCCTCCCAACACAATCTTGCTCTCCGGCGTACCCCTATCCACCTCGTCTTGAATAATCAGGTCGATGCTTTGGAGAGAAGCGAGCTGGCCCTCGCCGTCCTCGACCACAGGCTTGTCAGGCGTGGCAAGCTCAGGGACGTCAAACCATCCTGATTCGAGGAGGCCTTGGCGGATGGTGATGGGTCTTATGGGGCCGAGGGGGAGGATCCATTTGATTGAAGGGCGAGCGGGGGCGAGGGTGGTGGTGATGTGCTTTTCAAAGATGCCTTCTATTCGATGCCGTCCACCATGTGAGCGGAGAGCAAAGACTCTTCGAGAGGAAACCCGCCTCTATCGCCTCCCAGACCCTAGAAACAGAGCTAATCAATACCTTTCCGGCAGGGGAAGACTCGAGGAGGGAGCTCACATGGAGAAAGATGATAGTCGCCTGGTGCGTCTGTGCTGGCTGGATCGTTTTATACTCTGGAGCTGGGAGACTCATGATGGAATCGGGTGGAGTAATTGACAAGGGATGGTCTAGAGGATTCTTATATTCGCTGATATATGAGAAGGTGATAAGAAGGGAGGTCCGTGATATCGGACTACGACACCATTGCCGGGTTCAAAGCCGACGGGCTTCTCCGCAGAGTTGACTCTTTCCTGACTCGTTCATGAGCTGATGCATTCGACCAATACTGGCCTTATTTTCTATCATAATGATTATTGGATAAAGGTCATATCACCACGACGAAGAATGTAGGATCAATATCGTCCTCGCAGCAGCCTAGCTCATTGATTGCAAAGCGGATAGTCGTCATCAGCTGCTCATCATCAACAAATGTGTCAAGTGTCCTCCTTTCCTTTGGATCACTCAGCTTAAGTACGGAGTACTATGAGCCTGATGCACCCCGTCAAACCACTGCATGATAGACTGATCACAATATGAACGACTACCTGCCTGTACTCTTTCTTGGCTCCTTTTCACAATATAGCACGTGAATGCTGGTCCATAATGGCGTCGTCACTCGTGGCGGGGGTGGGTACTCATGGCTCCTGCTAGATCCTTCATCGGAGTTATTCTGATAGCCACCACCCCCTTGACCAGGATTCATCGACATGATGGCGTCCCATTCGGCCTGAGTCGGTGGCTCTTCTCCAGCCCCCGGCATGGGCGCATAAGAGCCATCACCAAAGTTCATGTACATCGCAGGATCTACACTCCCACTACCGGTGGCTCCTGCGCCGCCGTAAAGGGATCCGTATTGGTTATAGTCAATGGGGGGCAGCATGAGGTTGTTTTGAGCAAAGCCCTGCGGATCCTCCGCCTCCTGAGAGTAGTCGGTGGTGTCGATGTCGTATGTACCCCATTCGACGTCGCCGACCTGTCGGCCCCTTTGTGGCGGGTCAACGATTTGGCCTCCTACTAAGACCGGGCGGGGGCGCTAAATGCGGGACTGAAAGTGGAGTATGTATAGCAAGTACGCACGAAAACAGGTAAACCGCAATGTGCCGCCGGTATCTCGAGCATCCAGTCACCGCCGGGTTCTCGCGACTGTGGCGGCCGCCACAAACCATCATGATCGTACCAAGTCGGATCTGAGCAGATCGCATACCGTCTTCCTTGGCCCGGGTATGAGAGCCCAAGATCCAAAGACTTAGCATTCGGCACAGCCTAGGAATTCACCCCAGATGCCAGAAAGAAGCTAGAAGGAAAGTGCGACATTCAACAAAACTCACGCCTCTGCTCATGTGACCATATCGACGAAAATGAGGTCTTGACGTCTCGGTCTAGCGCTTGGCTTGATGCAGAAAGGTTCGAGAGCATGAGCTTGAGGCCGTGGTGGATGATGCATGGCTCTCGAGTGCACTACAGTTCATTGGAGTGGAGTGGAGTGGCAGATGGACGGTGATAGTCGGGTAAGCAAGCCGAGTGCGGCGAGGCACGGGTATATCCTTGTGTACCTTGTGCCTTTGGTGTCCGGCATCGCCCGCAGATTATCGCGATAAGTGATTGGCAGATGGGTAATGTTGTTGCGAGCGTGGCGGGGAGGGGGGAGGAGGGAGGAGGGGGGAGGGAGGGAGGGGGAGGGGGAGGGAAAACCTGCACTTCACGGTATGCACCAGTGACCAGGTGGATCCGCTGTGTCCTCTGGGCTGATTCCAGCTTGCAGCTTGCCATATCATGACGAGATCCAGGGCACCAGGGTTTGTTTATAAAAGCTTACCCGGCTAGCCCTCGCCGGTATCAGCCGGAATCCTTAATCTTGTGCATTTCTATATATCCTCATTCCGCACATCTCCTCCCTTCTCATCCATCCCTCCATCCCCCCGCCCCAGCCACGACCCCTTCCGCGACGCGTGACTACCCTCGCTGCGACCCCTTTGCGCTGCTGTGTTGCCCCGATTTGGCTGTATCCGGGGCCACGCCTTAACGAGAGCATCACCTCACTCTACCGCTTTTTTCACCACCCATCAAAAAAGGCTATATCCTCAGCCGGTATCGACTACACCGCATCGCACCCATTGCGACATCATAGCCCTGGCCGTTTGGGTGAGTTTGCCGGTGTCGGCTGGAATGTCGTCGTTTGGAGCCGAGCTGATTGTTATAACAGGTCCGCCACTCTTGCATTTACACTCCTACCACCACCCCCCCCCTGTGATTCCAGCGATCATGGCCACCGCGACCATGGACGACCTCGTCGCCAGCCTTTCTGGCAACATGCATGTCTCCCAAGAAGGCTGTGACCTCAAAGCTCTCCAAGTCAGTCCCCTCTCCCCTTCTCCTCCCCCACCACTACTCCTATGCATAGGACCCAACTGACATATCACCACAGGAATACCTCTCCCAAAACCTCCCTCTCCCCCTGGCACCTCCCAGCGGCGGCCTGGGCTACCCCCAAACAAAATCCCGCTCCACCTCCCTCACCCGCAAACCTAGTTCATTGCCTTCATACACCTACCCCTCCCCCACACCGAACGCTTTGCCTCTGCCTTCTCCTTATGCTCAGCCCCAAGCCCAGTTTCAGTGGCAGCTCCAAGCGCAAGGCCAAGCACAGGGTCAAGCGCAAGGGCAGCAAGCAGGCACCTCAGCCTCAGCATCATACGACCCCCCCTCCCAGATCTCCAACCTGCCCCCCGCCCAACGCCCCGCCCCTCCCCGCCGCGCAAGCTCCTTCGGTACCCTCCCACACAGCTACATCCCCGTCTGCAGCAGCGGCCAACAGCCCAGCAGTCCTTCTACGAGTTATGCGGCGTTTGAGAGTGATGCTTTTGCGCCTGTTTGGAAAGCTGAGGAATCGGCGGTGGTGGAAGATCCGTGGGCCAAGATTCGGGAGGGGCAGGGTCAGTTGGGGACGTTTGGGTATGCCCATGCGCAAGGGGGGCAAAAGCCCACTGCCGCTCAGGACAATCAAGCAGCAGGAGGAAGGGGAGGGGGAGGGGGTTGTCAATGGGGTCTTCAAATCGGTGGATTCGACCAGCCGACCCCGCTTTCTCTCGGCCAGGAAGATAGAACAGGAGGGGAAGATATGGATATGGATGGAGATTCCATGATGGACGCGTCGGATGATGAGGATGATGAAGAAGTGGAGGGGATGATGGATGAGAGAGATCCTTGGGGAGCTGGGCGGGGGAGGCCGGTTTGGTAGTACGAGTACTGCCAGTTGGGACATTCTTTCCACCATTAACATTTACATATAGACAACCCTCCTTCCCCTTCTCCAAACTCCAAAAAACAGTTGCTTGTACCGTACCTATTGTACTTAGAATAATGATCATGTTGTGTTCTAGCTGATTATATACATATATACGAATTTCCTTCTCGCATATTCAATGAATCATCGTTTGCCCATCAAGATTGTCCAACCTCGTCTTTGTGATCCTTTCCTTTGGGTTCCCAAGCCTTCTTTCTGTGCAGAAGCTTGCCTTTCGAAAAGAATCTTTTCTCTCGCTTCCCGTCTCTTCCTCGCAGCCTCCACTTTCAGCTCATCCTCATGCCTGGCCCGCTGAGCCTCCTTGCCATAAAGAGTGACGGTACTCCTCAGGCCTGGTCCAATCAGCTTCTTGTATACGGGCCCCCTTGCTTTCGCCTTCTTGCTCGATGGTCTCCCGCGGTTTGAGGGGAGAGGGAGGCCATTGGTGCCGATTCTGCGCACGGACATGAGAAGGTGAGGTGCGTTGGATAGGGAAATGTTTTCAGGGAGAGGACGAGGGGTGAAGAGCAGCCGATAGGAAGGTAGCTGTGACTGTTCGTAGGACGCGACGCAGGAAGTTGGCCTGGGTAGTACTAGTGAGTCAATCGATACCATAGAATGTGGCCAGAATCGGGAGCTTACAGGACAGGATGCAGGCGGACGTCCTGAAGGATGAGGAGGTTGTTGTTGGGCGGAAAGAAGGATCATAGAGAAACGCCTCGAGGCGCTGGAGAAGACGAGAGCGCAGGCCGCAGGGGGAGCAGCTCTGTTGAGATCGTTCGAAGACAACCACCTCCATCTGAAACAAGTGCAGCAAAATAGTGATACCGGATGGTAGCTACCGTACGGACCACCTCTACCTGATGGTGAGCTTTGGCGCATGCAATGGTACCATATGCATGAGATAAGTAGCAAGTTGACCAAGGGATTAGTTGCTCTTAACCATACGAGGAATGGACCCGCGCGCCTTCCTCGTAGTACCAGAGAGGCCCGCCTATCTCCGCGTTTCCACTTCCAGCGAGATGCCTCTCTTGTTGGCGCGCGATTCATTACCCGTTCCACTCTCCTCTTACACCTCTTCAACAACCCACCCGACTCTCGCCTCTTCTTCATCTGCACATACCCGCCGCCCATACACTTTCAAGAAGAACAGAAGAAAAAAGAAACACGAAAAAGCAACAATGTCTGAACGTCTCCAAGAAGTCGCCGATATCCCAAGACAGTTTGTCAAGGAGGGTACTCAGGTCAGTTCTCCCTTCTCCTGCTTTAGCTGAACAATAATCTTGGAAAGCACTCGATTGGTAAAGGGATCATAGCTGATGAAATGGACTAGTTTGTGAACAGGTGTACCAAGCCCTCAGCAGAAGGTTAGCGCGTTTCTGACCTTGGCTTTATGTGGTGAAATGGAGTGGGGCCCGGAGATGGTGTGGGGAGGGGGAGGGGGGGGGGGGGGGGCAAGGGTGATCCTGAACGAGCAATGGAGGAGTCGCAGGCCACGCAAAAGGAAATCAAGACGGCCGTCCGAGCACACCGCCCCCTCTCTCCTTCTCTCCTTCCCTCTCCCTCTCCCTCTCGCCCACTGGCCCTCGCTCCGAACTTTGTGGTTTATACAACTTACTGACAAGTGTGATATACTATAGAGTACAAGCAGCTCTGTCGCGCCATCGCCATCGGTTTCGGTGTCATGGGCGTTATCGGCTACGTTGTCAAGCTTATCCACATTCCTATGTGAGTAACTCGATGTCAGCCCCTTGTTCTAGTCTCTGCTTCAGAGTATCGGGGGCCGGACATGGTAGATACACGAAGGGCAGATGCTGATGATAGTTATAGTAACAACATCCTCGTGTACGTTGCTCCCCTGAAATCCGACTCAAAGCACATTTACTGACCTATCACGATAGCGGTGGTGCTTAATTTAATCCTCTTGTGTCCAAAAGGAAGATGGAGACGGGAAGAGACAGCGGGGGACGAGGGTTGTAGATCATTCTAGCTTCTTTTCTATGGGATTTTTACATTTATCTGCATGTCTTGTCGCATGGTACCGAAAAACATGACTTGACTGGTTCTCGGCTCAAATGGAATGATGCACATCAACAGCATCGGTCATAGCTTTCATCTTTACAAATTGCGTAAATTAGAGCACCGCACCTCTCTCTAAACCACCCAGCACGCAGCCAAAAAAAAAGACCTTACTCGGTCTTCTTCTCCTCGGCGACAGCGGCCTCAGCAGCAGGAGCGACCTCCTCCTTGGCCTCGGCAGCGGGAGCCTCAGCCTCCTTGGTCTCGGTAGCAACAGGGGCAGCGGCCTCCTCGGCGGGCTTGGTCTCTTCAGCGGCGGCAGGTTCTGAGGGGGCGGCGGTCTCGCTGTATCCCACGTCAGTGATCGTCTTTTACAGCGACAAGGAAAAGGGACGTACGCGGTCTCCTCCTTGGTCTCGGCCTGCTCCTCGTCATCCTCCTCATCGTCGTCCTCCCTGGTACCAGAGACCTCGGCGTTGTGGGTTTGGGCCTTCTCGAAAGCATCCTTGAAAAGGTTGGCGTCTGTTCCAATCTCTTATCAGCCAATGCTCTTCACTTCGAGAAGAGAAAGGGAGAGACGTACTCTCAGAGTTGCCGAACCTGATAGCAAGAGTCTCGGCGCTAGCCTCACCCTCAGTGTAGTCGGCAGCGACGTTATACACCCAAGATCGGTCAGATCCGACATTGGGAGAGAGCTTCATCTCCGGGCCGACTACATTCCCATCAGCATGTTTCCATAACATACCAAGAGAGGTGGAGACGTACTGATGTGGTTGGCGCAGACCTTCAAGGTCTTATCCCGTCGCATGACGAGTCGCACCTTGTTGGTGGTCTTGTGCTTCAACAATCGGACGTCACCGGTACCTCGCTCTTTCCACTCGGTGGTGTCCTTGTGGAATCGGAAAAGCTTGGCTCGCCTGTAGATTGCATCGTTAGCGAGTGTTAGGAGACGAGAGTGGGGAGAGACGAGGCTTACATCTTGAAAGTGGACTCTTCATCCTCCTCGTGGGTCTTGGCCTCGACTTGCTCGGTGAGTCGGACAACGGGCTCGAACTGGGGGTCGTGCTCCTCCTACCAAACATCATCAGTACTGTGACTTCCCATCGACCAAAGCACCACGCCTCGTCCACGCCTTTACCACCTAGGGCATCCCACATCACGTTCCAATTCGGAGGGTTTCGAGTGGCAAGCGGCCCATAACGAGAGCGAGATGGATATCCTTGACGTACGACGGGGTTGACTTGCTCGGTGGTGTCGGCCATTGTAAAGATGTGATTTCTAAGGAAGGGGCAAAATTGAGCACGGATCAGCGACTGTTCGTATGTTGTTTTCGTCGCCCCGTCCCTCCAATTCCACTCCTGATTTCGGCCGTTCTCCGCTGCCTTCTCGTGGAATATCAACATACCTTGTGGAGGTTTTGGCTGGAAAGAGGGAGCTAGAGAAGAATAGAGATGCGCGTAGAAGGAGCGCTGAGCACGCAGGGGGGCGCGTTGACAGGCTCCAAAACTAGAACGCGTGCCTATTGAGCCAGGTGGAAGCCTCCGCCGCGCATGCCTATCCCGACGCGCCCATTCCACGTCCAGCGTCATGCATCGCTCTCAAACAGCCATCTCTAAAGACAACAATCCTATACCCCTCCCTCCAGCGTCTGCAGGATCGAGTCAAAAGTCACCAGCAAAATGCTCCACCGAGCAACCTCAATCTTTGCCTTTCTCGTCCTTCTGCTGGTGCCGTTAGCAGCTTTCGCCCATCGATTAGAGCTCGAAGCTGGCGAGAAGGAATGTTTCTTTGAGACTTTGGATACTCAGGATAAGGTGTGTCCCTCGAATCCGATATATTGTTATGATGGAACATTTACAGGAGCTGACTTTGGTGCACAGATGACAGTCACATACGAAGTCGGCGGTGGTGGTCACCTCGACGTAGACTTTTACGTTCGTATACCGTCTTTCGCATACTATTACCAGGCTGACAATGGGCTCATTGAATAGGTGATGGATCCCAACGGCAATGTCATCAACAAGCAAGACCGAAAGCCTCAAGGATCCTTCTCTATCCAAGTCGACAAGCCGGGGAGGTTTACTTATTGTTTCAGCAACGAGTTTAGCTCCATGTCTTCCAAGACCCTGTCGTATGTCTACCACTCTCTATATCCATTCATTTACTGCTACGACGGAATTTGAACCACGAGAAGACAGCTAACGACGACACAGGTTCAACGTCCACGGTCAATTATTCATGGGCGATGAAGAGCAAATCGCGCCCGTTGAGCAGGAGATCCGAGATTTGAGCGCGGGGTTGCAGCTGGTGAAGGACGAGCAGGCGTATCTCGTGGTCAGGGAGCGAGTGCACAGAGACAGTACGCCACTTCCACCTGCGGCAGCTGTCGAGGCCGCCAGAAAAGGGAAGACAATGCTGACTTGCTTGAAGCTTGCGAATCCACAAATTCCCGTGTCAAGTACTGGGCTATCGCCCAAATCGGTATCGTCCTTGCTGTCTGTGCTTGGAATGTACACTATCTCAAGAGCTGGTTCGAAGTGAAGAGGGTGCTGTAAGGATCTTTCTTGGAGAGCGAGGAGATGAGTGTCACGATAGAATCATTCATATGCACGCACGATCACGGCCAACACCATACGATTCTCACATTGGAAGCACATCCCTGTGCGGCGAGAAAGAGTCCTAGAGATGCATATACGTTGCAACAAATAGTTATATACCACAGGGGCTAAATCGACAAGGTACTTCGTCCGTACCAAAAATGGGGTATATCCTATATTACCAAAAGACCAAACAATCATAAAACTTCTTCCTAATTCCCTTTTCCCTTCTTGACCACGTATCTCCTCACTGCCAATGTCATCTCAATGTAGAGTCTGAGCGACCATAAACCAGCGAGACTCCTGCGCACTGAAAACTGCCAAACGACGCCAACACCCAAAGAACCCCTCGCTTATCCCAAGCCAGCCCATTGTCCTCTGATCCGTCGTGCTAGGTGAATGTCCTTCTGCATGATGGTGACTCGTTTGGCGTGGATGGCACAGAGATTGCTATACCCGTCTGTTAGCATTCACGTCCCCTAGCTTCGCCCTATTCTCGCTGCAATGGTCCTTCTGAGAGTGCGTTATGCACAAACAGAGAGGGAGCATCGGTATATATAGAGAAGGATGAACTCACGCGTCTTCAAACAGATGGACTAAAAACGCCTCTGCTGCTTCTTGCAACGCCATAATTGCCGAGCTCTGCCATCTCAGTTCCGTAGCATCCGCCGAAGCCACATCCATCGCTACTTCTCTCACCTACTCAGTCATAATCAGCCTCCCTTCTTAAGCAGGATACGTGACACAACGCACGACTCGGGAGAATGGTAATTTGGCAATAAGCAGATCCGTGCTCTTCTGATACTGCCTGATTTCACGCAAAGCGACGGTACCGGGGCGGAAACGATGTTTCTTGCGAGGTGCTGGGTCATTCGGTCTCGCTGGAGCAGGGTTCGACGCTTCAAGTCATCCATCAGCATCGCTCCCAAATCAAATACAAACAAACACCCATCCCACTCTCACGCCATCCACCAAGACCAGGGGAAAGACTCACGCCCACTCCTTCTAGGAGCTTTACCACCCGTACTCTTCCTGGCCGTATTCTTCCCGCTCGTCTTTCCTCCTCCTGATGGGCCAGCGCGTGGACGGCCAGCATCGTTCAAGGAGGACCGGCCTCCCGCGCGGTTCGGGGACGTGACTGTTCGGGCCATTGCGCTTGCTTCTCCTGTTCTAGTTTCTTGCGGGGGTCAAGGGTTGGTGTGGTGTGAGGACGGGTCGAATGCGAGTGAGGGGCGGGCTGGGAGACGACGGATGGATGGACAGCGGTGGATGGTGAGGAGGACAAGAAGAGGACAAGAAAGATCAGCCGCCGCGCTCAGAGTGTGCAACATTTCATTTTCAGGGTTCGGGATTACGTACACGCGTTTCTAACACTCAACGAGCCACATTAAGGCCATAATTACTAGTTGGGAATTCTTACGCGACGCGCAGAGCATCATCATGTCGTTCAACTTGTTCATCGAGATGGTTTATGTGTCTTGCCGGTGAAAGCAAGGATGAGGAGCAGCTGTCAATCCGATATCCTTTGCTATCCCATACCTCACCGGAGCGCTTCACGGGGCCAGAAAATGCTTGTCTACATGTGCGGTCATCCTATTTACTTGCTGGGTTATTTTGATGCGCGATATACTGAACCTATGAAAAAGGTCGGGGGCATGACAAAGAATGAGAAAAAGAGGTCGTTATAATCGCAGAGATTTTGAGAAATCTCTCGTCAAGGCCGGGAAAAGACTGAATAATGGGACATCGTATTTACTAACATGAGAAGAGATGAATAGATGTTTGCACTATGCACATGAGTGACGTCCTTCCTACAACTTTTATGCGCTTCACACATTTTTTTTTTTCCCTTTTCAGTGGCTACACTCTACTTTCTCTTAGGGCTCAAGCGGAACCCCAGAGCCTGACTACACCATCGGCTCCTACACTCGCAACGACAGGCAACTCTGGATGGCTCCCCACTGCACAAACACCTTCATCTGCGCGCTTTCTGTGCCCCGCAAGCTCTTGGATGGACGTCTTTTTGCCCAGATCCCAGAGCCGGACAGTGCAGTCGGAAGAGGAGGTGAGGATGCACGTTGGCGAGGAGGGGGACAGGGCGAGGGATGTTATAGGTGAGGGGTGGGCGAGGATGGTGTGGGTTGATGATGAGGCTGTGATTGCGTCAGTTGGGCGCGAGATGATATTTTCAGAAGAGACATACAAGACTTGGCATCGTAGAATCGCAGCTGCCCGTCTTCGTGACCAGTGATGATAGCTGGCAGCGTCGGGTGACTCAGCACGGCGTTCACCTGGCTCCCCGCAGCCTCCCCTTCACCTTCCTTCCCACCAAACACTTGCACCTCCTCCCCGGTATCTACATCCCACAGCCTAACAGTCCCATCCGATGTACCAACCAAAATCTTTCCAAAGTCGAGGTTGTACACCGCCAAAGACGTGGGCACCACTGTTCCCTTGGCATCGCTCCCGAAAGAGTTGAACGTCTTGGAGAGTTTCCATTCTGATGACGAGCCAGACCTTTGCCATAGCTTGACGCTACCATCCGCAGAGGCAGAAACGAGCCTGGCTTCGGTGGCTTCCCTCCCGAGTTTGGCAATCTCGCGTGACGGCAGTAAACAGATATCCCAGACCGCCTCCGTGTGGCCCACGAGGGTTTGGATGGCAGTGGTCGGATCCCAAGGAGCATAGGGATCGTGGTCGTGCGGCGGGAGTTTCCAGAGACGGATGGTAGAGTCGAGGGAAGCGGAGAAGATGGTGGAAAGGGAGCTGGAGACGGTGACGGCTGTGATACCGGCGGTGTGACCACGGAGTGTTTGGATGGGGTCGACCTCTTGCGCCGCAGGTCTGAAAATCGTTAGTGGGATGATCACAAGATAGGTTCTGCAACTTACCGATGAGACATGACACTTGCTGGGTCGACCGCCCACACCTTGACGGTACAATCATCCCCACCAGTCGCCAACACGATCCCGGGCCCATGCGCAAAGTCAACAGCTCTGACGATATCCAGATGGCTCTTCAAGCTCCGCTTGGTCACCCAAACCTTGTCGACAGACTCGTCCGTTTTGACTTCTTCATCTGTCTCCAGGGTCAAGTTTGCAAGCTGGTCATCTTCAGCCTCCGGCTTCTTCCGTTCTTGCTTTGCCTGTACAATCGTTCAGCCCAACTTGCGTACAGTAGAATATGAAACAAACCTTTTCAGCCTCCTCGTTCGCAGCTCGCAATTCTTCTCTCCAAGCAGTCTTACTCTCCGGTCTATAGATTGCCGTCAGAAGCTGCTTCTGCTCCCCAAACCCCGACTCTTGATTCTCCTTTGACTGTTCCGTCTCGCTAGCGACATCAGGCAGACCGATCTTTTTCGGCGCAGGAGACGATGGCGGTTTGTTATCCTTCTCTTGCATCCTTGGAGGGATCGGAGCAGGGATCTGTTTCTCTTCAGGCTGTGCACCTTGGGTTGACGCCTCGCCATTGGGCAGCTCTTCACTTTCCTTGTGCTCCTGTCGCGGTTTAGGGAAAGGCGCAGAAGGCACCTCGATGATTTCTTTCCGTGGACGGTCGAAAGGGTCTGGCTGAGGGTTGCTGGGGTCGGATGTATCCGGGCCGGGGATAAGAGACGGGTCTACAGGAGGATGGGGCGGTAAAGGGTTGAGAGCACCAGGAGAGGTGAGGTAGGTTATTTCTTGCAGACATCTGTGGTATTGTCGGTTTGCGATCTTTGAGGGAGAACACGTGTACGTACTGCTTCAAGTACTCTCGACTTCTAGCCCGAGCTTTAGGGTCCTTGGCAGCGGCTGCGCCAATGCCCTTCCACTGGCCCGTCTCGAGGGGATGGGACCGTGAGGCGATGGTAGATGATTTGCCGATTGCAGCCGGGTGAATACCGTTAAGCTTGGGCACTTGAGATCCAGTCAGTAAGAATCGGCAGATGTGACAAACGACGTACAATCCTCTTGGCTCCCTTCACTTCCACTACCCTCCTTCTCGCTACTCGAAAGCTTGTCTTCATCCTGAACAGCAGCCAATCGAGCAGGGGGCACGCTGTGCGGCTTACCGCCGACACTGACAGTCTTTGTCCTCTCTTGTCGCAACGCGAATTCGAGCATCTTGACACGTCGAAGCAGATCTACTTTCAAGTTTTCTGCTGATCTTCTTTGACCTTCCAGCAACGCGATACGAGCCTATACTCGTCAGCCCGAGCGCGTAGCCCATCTAAACGGGACATACCCTCATCTCTGCTCGCTCAATCTCCCACTCATTCCTATCTCTCTCCCACCGCCTCCACTCGCTCTGCAGGTAATGCAGCACGCCTGCCAGATTCATCTCTTGCCCTGGCGCGCCCATGCTCCCGCTACCCTCTGCAGTCCCGTTCGTGCTCTGCGGTCCTTGCTGCTGCTGCGGTTGTTGCTGTTGCTGCTGGGGCTGGGGCTGCGGCTGGGGCTGCTGTTGTTGCTGAAGCGATTGGAATTGCTGAAAGCCGCCAGGGCCACCAGGTGGCAAGCCACCAGAGCCTCGCTGCATACCCACACTGGGAGGGTCGTGTGGCCGGTTATCGAAGCCCTTGGGGCGGGTATTATTGTGGTTCCGGATCATGGCTGTCGAGTGACTAGCGAAGGGGCATCAAGTCTGCCGTGGAACGAGGACGTGGCGCGTTTGGAGGGGTGGCGCGGTCTTTTGGGGGGCGTCGTGGGGGCGGGCTGTTGTGGGCTGGGCTGTCTACTGCTGACTAGCGAGACCGTCATCCAACATGGCTTCAGCGCCATCCACCGCACAGACCCATGACGGCCTTTCGGCGTTTGACGGGGTGGCGTAATCGGTCTCGGGGGGCTTTTATATCATCTGTCGACCTTTGTCCTGGTTTGCTTCCGCTTGTTTACTGATGTCACATTCCCTGGCTTAGCCCGTCATTTATAGCGGGTTCCGTAACGAGAAATTGTCAACAAGCTGCCGCATTAGGATTGTTCTTTTTCAGTTCCATCTTGTATCTCACACATTGGGTCCATCATGAGTGCCCAGCAGTTCTACCAAGGCGGTAACGACAAGCAAGGTCAGCCACAACAGCAGTATGCTCCTCCATCAGGCGGCCCGCCTCAGGACTACAACAACCAGCAGCAATATGCCCCTCCCCAGGGCCAGCCGAACTACAACATGAAGGGCTCTCAGCCATACGCCCAGACCAACCCCGAAACTGGCGGCCAGCCCAACTACCAGAATGGCGACACTGCGCCCTTTTCCCAGGCGGAGGAAAAGACTGGCCAGAGGCTGAACCCTAGAAAGCGGTTGAACGACCCTATATTCTTGGTCTTGTTCTTGGCCGCCATCGCTGGGTTTGCTGTCGTCTCTGGTATCGCCATCAACAGCTTTATCGAGGTGAATGGGCTGGGAGGTGGTTTGGGGAGCAGCAGCTCGGGCCAAACAGGTTCAAGCACGACCCTGGATTAGTGAGTGAACGCCAAGAAAACATCTGTCGCTTGGGTGCTTTCGATGCTCATCAATCAACAGCCACACTGTCTACATTCTTCTCGTCGTTACCGGCTTGGGTCTCTTTATCGCTGCAGTGTACCTTTTTGTGAGCAACTTGCAGCAATGCGGAGTCAATCGTTATCTAATCTCCGGGCGTAGATGTTGAGGACGTTTACGAAAATCATCCTTGAAGTGACTTTGGCTTTGACTGTGCTGCTCAATATTGGTATCTGCATCTGTAAGTGCTTGCAGTGTTGTGAGTCAACGCGCTGACATATATGTAGACTACTTTATCATCAGATGTAAGGTCCCCCCAACTCTGCAAGAGCGTCGCTGACATTCCGCAGACTGGTCCGGCGCCATCATCTTCCTCGTCATTGCCCTCCTCTCCATCTTCTTCTACTGGGGCATGCGCAAGAGGATCCCTCTCGCCAAGCTGCTACTCCAAACCACCATCGACGTCACCAAACACCACCCTTCAGTCTACCTCGTCGTCTTTATCGGTCTTCTTGTCCAAGCTGCTATTTCAGTATGGTACACTTTTACCTGTATCGCCATTTACGTCAAGTGGACTCCGGGTAGCGAGGGTACGTCCACCATCATCGCCAAGACTACCAGCTAACGCTTCATAGCATGCTCTACCGACTGTTCCTCCAGCAAAGTCGCCGGCCTCATCTTCTACTCTACCTTCGCCTACCTCTGGATGTCCCAAGTCCTCGGCAACGTCATCCTCGCTACCCTCACCGGCGGTGTCTTTGGAGGATGGTACTACTACGGTCCTCGAAACCAATGGGGAGGCGTACCAAAGCAAGCGAGTTTGAAGGCGTTCGTGAGGGCGACGACGTTGTCGTTGGGTAGTATTGCTTTTGGAAGTTTGTTGGTTACGTTGTTGGAGCTTTTGAGGTTGATCTTGCAGATCTTCCAGCAGTACGAGTCTGGGCAGGGTGATAGTGAGTGCATTGGTTGTGTGTTGATGATTGTGTTGATGGATGCAGTGATCGGCGCGGCTTTGATCTGTGTTGTCGGTTGCTTCGGTTCTTGGGAGCTAAGGGAGATGTGCTGATTCATGCTTAGGCTCAATGTTGTGTCGGGTGTATCGAGTGGCTCATTGCCTACTTCAACAAATGTGAGTGTTCTCTTGCTGAATACCGCAACCCATGCTGACGCCTGTACAGATGCTTAGTATGTCCAAGCATCGATGACTCAAAGAGAAGACTAAACTAATCCTCTTCGCTCTCTCTAGCATCGAAATCGGTGAGTCGCTCTGCTCCAACTTGCCGGACAATGCTGACATACCATAGCCCTTTATGGCAAGGCGTATATTCCTGCTGCCAAGGACACCTGGAGACTCCTCAAGGACCGCGGAATCGACGCCCTCGTCAACGACTCTCTCGTCGGCACTGGTACGTCCATCCTTACCCCAGCGAGCTTCGCTGACTTGTATAAAGCTCTCATGTGGGGCGCCTACATTAACGGATTCCTCTGCGGCGTCCTTGGCTACTTGTATCTCAAATGTAAGCACCCCCTTCAAACACCCATCGACCCCACTGACGTGAATCCAGTCACCAACCCGTCCTACAACTCTGACGGTCAGTACTCTGCCCCCGTCATCCTCTTCTCCTTCCTCATCGGTCTCACCGAGTCCAACGCCATCAGCGCCGCCATCGATGCGGGTGTATCGACCATCTTTGTGGGACTGGGCGAGGACCCGATGGTGTTGGCGGAGCGAAGCCCGGGATTGTTTGAGATGATCAGGCAGGCTTACCCCCGGGTTCTCCAAGGGGTTCCCGGCAGGTCCTAATTCAGACACAATGAGCTTTCAGCTAGCCCGAGGACATTCATAACAACGCTATAATAATGCATACTATTCTATACATGCTATCCACTCTTAGCCTTACACACCGTCCTTCCAAGCAGCCTTCTCTGCTTTGACGTTCCCTTCCTTCTGCTTCTCTGCATCGCCCGTCACAATCCCCTGCACACTCTCCAGCTTTCCCTTGACACCCTCTACGCTCGGTACGGGCACAGACAGAGGTGAATCGGAGGAAGCTTGTTTGTAGTCCCATTGAGCCTTTTCGACTTGGGTGTTGCCTTGGGTTTGTTGGGATTGGTCGCCTGTTACGTAGCCCACCGCTCTGCGCCATCTGTCAGCTTTATCCGAAAGTGATGGGGAGAGGGGAACGTACGACTTGACTTTACCCACACCAGCATCAACACCAGCTTCAACAGCCTTCTTCCTCTTGGCCTCTTCCACCTCCTTCTCCCCTGCTGCCTGTAGCGCCGTACCCGACTCTGTCCAGCTGGTCGAGCCAAGTGATTCGTGGATAACCGCACCGACTGCCTGTTCAGATGTCAGTCATGACAAGGCAAAGAGCGTATAGAGGGACGGGACGCACCTGTTCAGCCAGCCCGATGGCGGTATTGATCTGGCCCGTAATTTGGGAGGGTTCGTTCGTCTTGGGGTTTGAAGCCATCTTGTCTATATGTCTTGATTTGTCTGTGGTTATCTGAGTATGGGAGGTGGGGATGGTGAGTGGCAAGCAATCTTCGATTCCCTATATATGGCGGCTGGAAAGATCAGTCGGGTGGTTTTCACGTAAAGGTGAGGTACAAATGACATCATTCCACCAGCCACCCACTGTCATCTCTCATCCCTTTCATTTCCTTTGCGCTTTGCTGTGCGCCTTGCCAGCCGGAGCCATGCAACAATCCCGACTCACAGCCTTTAAACTGATCCAAACTGCCCTGTTTGCTGAGATTGACTCGATCCTGTAGCAGATGGAAAGGTATTTCAAATGTGGTGTCCATTCAAGAATCGTTACAAGGACATTCTAATTTGTAACTGTTATGACCTGGATAGTAATACTAGATACTCCTATAGACCTGTGACAATGCCGGGATGAGGCAAGGAGAAAAAGCCCAAAAGGAGCAAGGACCAAGATAGATAGGAGATTTGATGCGCATGAAGATAAAGACCCCATTAACCCATATACAATGATAAAGAGACGCTGAAAGCGGAAGTGAAAGAGCCGAGACCGAAAGTAGAGGAGACTATTCGCTGGTGGGGAGGTGAAGCGAGTTGAGAGCATCGGCGAGATCAAAGTGGAACTGTAGATGATCGTCAGCATCTGATCCTATCATTGGAAAACGTGGGGAAACTTACGAAAGGTGTAGTCCTATCGAGCAACGGCAGACTCTTGTCACTGCCCCGTCTCTGGTCCGCCTCGTGAATATTCTGTACCCTTGGTGGTGTACTAGCACCCGACGACGAGCTACCTAAGCTCTTCTCCTCATCATACACTGACGTCCTCGCGCTATCCGATCCTCCAGCCTGGTGCGCCTTGCCAACTCCATTTACCAAGAACAAGCCATCCTCTTCACGTTCATGAGTGGGAGGGGAAGCGGCGTTTTCGAGATTCTCAATGACTGCGGGCGCAACTTCCAGCGCGGCCCCTTCCTTCGTCCTGCCCTGTCCAAAGCCGCCCGCAATAAGCGCACGTCGGATCCAAGGCGACAAGATACCGCAGAAGTGGAATTCGACAGGCCCGTCCGCCCACTTTTCCATAGCTGTCCGCGTATCAATCAAATTTTGCACACCCGTGGTATCCAAATTGGCCACCGCCGCGAAATCAAGAATGACTGCCTTCAACAGCGGCTTCTCACTCTCGACCTTGCGCTCGGCTTCTTCATCCTTCTTACTGTGCCCCGGGTCGTTCCATGGACGGTCACCAGCTTTGATAGCATGGTGGTCCCCGCCTCGGCGGGTGGTAGACTTGGCACGCTCGACGAGACGGTCGTTGATGTACGAAGCGTTGGGGTAGAGGAAGGATTCTTCGAAGCGGTAGATAATGATGCCAGGAGGAGGGTTCTCCACGGGCACATCCTGGTTGTGCGAGTCGCATAAGGGAATGTACACGTCTCGAGTCTGCTGGGCATCGTTCTGAGGCTTGATACGCACACGTCCGAGGAAGTGGCCCTTGGGGCGGGCGATACGGAGCAAGAGGAGGACGATGGAAGTAGCGAGGGACCAGTAGATACCGGATTCGATGGTGTAGAAGACGGACCAGAGAACGGCACCGACAAAGATGATGTACTCGATGGGGGAGACGCGCCAGAAGGCGTAAGAGTGCTTGGGGGAAGCGACCAAGTCGGCGACGGCGTGGATGATCAACGCAGAGAGAGCGGCGTTGGGGATCCAGTAGAAGGCTGGAGCAACGGCGTACAGGGCGACAATGACGACGACACCCGTGGCCAGACCGGCAGCGGGGGTTCGCACACCAGCCTTGGACTTGAGCGCTGATCGGGAGAAAGAACCAGTAGAAGGGTAAGCAGAGAAGAGGGTACCGAGCGTGTTGTTGACGCCGATAGCGATGAGCTCTTGGTTGGGGTTGATCTTGTACCCGTTCAATCGGCCGAAAGACTTGGCGATGGAAATGTGCTCGAGCAAGAGGATGATGGTGGCCACGGGGATGTGGGGACCGATGGCAGCGAGGAGGTCTTTGTCAATGTAAGGACGGCCAACGTGCTGCAGACCTGAAGGGACGCTGCCGACGAGGGAGATGCGGTTCTGGGGCGCGTGAATGTTGATACGCCAAGAGATGATGGTGAAGAGGATGATAACCAGAGCGTGACGCAAAGACTGGGCAAAGAAGCAGAGACGGTTCCACCTGGGGTAGCGGTTGCCCAGCCAAGTGAAACCCCACTTCATGCCATAGAGCAGCACAAGCGCGCTGATACCAAAGGCCGTGTCGAGAGACGCCTCGGGCAAGAATTTCAGCGTGTTAATGATGACCCTGTAGGTGGCAGCCTTGGTGTTGAACTTGTTGGCGAGACCAAAGATGGCGGGGGTCTGACCAGCCGCAATGTTGAGAGCACTACCGGTCATGAAACCTGATACAGCAGGTTGAGGGACTATGGTTCGTCAGCGCTGCGCTCACTCGGAAAAAAGTGCTGACTCACTGAACTCGACGAGCCATCCAATCCTGATCAATCCAATACCCAACACGATGAAACCACAGATGAAGGCCAATGCAGTAGCAATCACTGGCTTGTCGTATAAGTCGCCATATTTCTCCTGGACCGCAGTAATGATGTTGCCGGTTTCGAGAGACATGACAGCGACGGGACCGATCGAGACATCCTTGGATGTGGCAAAGAAGGCGTAGGTGAGGACACCGATGAAGGATGAGTAGAGACCGTATTGAGCATCTAGGTTGGCGATTTTGGCGTAGGACAGAGACTGGGGGACCAAGACCAAACCGACGGTTATACCACTGCGTCATGTCAGAAAAGTCGGCTGATCAATGTACAAATCGACTCACGCAACGAGATCACCATAGAGCCAGGTAAAATTGTACCTCGGCACCCATTGGATGAAGGGAAAGAGCGAGAGGACATAGTCCTTGACCTATAGGAGCGTCAGTGGCGGCTTTTGACTCGGCGAAAGGACGCTTACACCCTCTTTGGCGTTGGGCGTGGACTGGGTGACCCAGGAGGTGACCGAGATGGTCTTGGGGGTGGTGTCGGTGTAGCCAAAGTAGTTCTTAACTCTGCGCTTGATGCCCTGGGGGTCTTTGAGGGCGGCGACGTTGGGCGACATGCCGGGGTGGTCTCCGTTGGAGGTGCGCGAGCTGTGGGCGAGGTCGAGCGCGAGCTGTCGTGTATACGAATGAAGCTTTCGTCGTTGGGAAGGGGGCGGTCTACGAATTTTCCTTTTGCTGAATTACGAAGTGGATGTATATATACCATGCGCCGGGGGCAGGAACAAGCACGTCTTGGGCAAAAATGAGATGAGGACAAGCGATGGCAGGTTTTTCGAGATAATTTCTGTCTACGTAGGGAGCACGACGTCACCTATATAACTATACCCAGACATCGCAAATACACCCCCCACCACCACCACCACCCACAGCACGCCATCGATGAAAGCACGCAATAGCAATTTTCCCTCAGGGACACAGGGACCCAAGCGAGCCCAGCTGCTGACGTCCGCACTTTTCGTGTGGAGGCGCCGGTCGCCGCAGTGACCGCTGACTCACAAGACAGTGGAGCGGCACACAGCACGGGTGAGCATCGAGAGACGTGTACGCTACGCAGGTGCAGAGAAAGGATAGGATAAGAGATACATCCTTCGAAGGCCGTGCCAGTATCAGCCCAAGCATGCCTCAAACACCAAAGGCCCTACAGTCACCATTGAACAACCGTGCCTCGGGCGTGCCTGTCGATCATTTGGCACTTTGGCAGTCACCTCCTCCCAAATCACCAGCGCACGCCACCGCGAGCCATCTCTTCCCTCTTCTTCTGGTGCAGCATTCCCGATGCACGGTATCTTTTCCCGTCATTTCATCATCAAAACTTTCCTTCAAAATTGCAGCAGTGCCTGGGCACTCTTTCTTATCGATAACGCCATCTCCTTCGTCCCTGCCTCTTTCTTCCAGATCCCAATCTCACGCCATCTGTCAACAATCTTCCCTGTTCTTGTTTCGCCGGAGATGGCTCCACGGTGTCTGATTGATTGAAGCTTGTTGTTGGCGACAGCGCTTCCCTTGGGCGTATTCAGTGATAAGGAGAATTATTAACTCTGCGATCTTATTTTTGGAGAGCGGCCTGAACGCCTGACGCCTGACGCCTGACGCCTGCACGTGCAAGTTGTTCGATTGGAGCCTCAGATGTCACGAACGGAGCCATTATCGACATGTCTCGCAACAATGGCGTTACCTCTTCTTCCTCAGGTGTCAGCTATCACCTGGTCCAGCTGACTCCCTGCCCTGCCTGAGCGTACGACGAAGAAGGCCAAGTTGTGTGTTCTGTTCTGCTCGGTGCTTTCTTCCAGATGTCTCGAGAGGCAAAGACGCAATCAACGTACTCCTGGCCGTTCCTCGAGATTTACCGCGTACCGACACTACCGAGTGTCGTCTCCAGGGATACCGCCGAGCGTTTCCCAGCAGGTCCCAAGATAGAAGAAACAAGCATTTTGCCATTGGCTGGTCTGCCCGTCGCAGCGGACTGAGACAGTTGGTTGATAGCACCTTGTATCAGACATTCCAGATTGACAAAATGATTCCAGATGCCAGAGCGATAACATGCTCGCTCACATTCTTGTTGTTTTGGACAGCGATGACGTTGGTTGATGGGATGAGTTGCTTGGCATGGTGTGATGGATCATACAATCTCACGAGAGGGCAAGGCTAATCCAGATGACTTTCATCAAGCGACTTTCTTATCGTACGTTCGGACGCTCAGGTGAACCACATGTTGAGCGATGCTCCAAAGATGCTTTGCACTAGACAGCCTACTCTTGCTTGATCTATCGCAATCTGCACATTCGTGAGCTGAATCGTATGGCATACTCGCACACGACATCTTGGCTCTTCGGCGCTCCTCGACCCAAGGAGGATATATAAGCGGTAGTACCGTTCCACTCGACGACCAACGGCATCATCCACAGATCACAATCCTTCCGCCTTTTGTCTTCTCGCTGTCCATTCCGTTTGACTGCCAGCAACAAGATGCATCCCCTCCCAACATGCCATCTCCCTCTGCCACACTTCAGCTGTCGTACAATACTGTAGCCTACTCGGCCCTCACTCTTCCTCCGCTCGGGCCGCTTTCCGTTTAGCAGGCATCATCGGCATCATCACCTTCTTCACCACTTTCCCATTCTCACCCTCTTCATCGCTCAAGGCAGATTTAGCCACCTTCTGCCATCCGCCTTTCCCCTTTGGAGCAGCCGTCGTCTTTTGCTTTTTCACAACCTTCTTCCCCTTCCCCGCCCCAGCAGCGCCAGAAGAAGACTCTTCAAAACTCCCCCACCGCCCATACACTTCCGCCCACACCTTCTTCACGCCCGTACCAACATTCGCGCTCTCAACTTCTTCTCCCGACAACCAAAACGCTTGTCTTGGGGCTGTTCTGAGGATATCGGGTGGTTCGGAGGACGAGCTCGAGGGAAGGGTGAGAAGATGGATATGGTACGTCATGTTGATATGCGAAAAGATGTGCGCCACACTTCCCTTCTCTTTTGCCCCCTCCATCATATCATCAAAAAGGTTGGGAGGTTCGGATACGTCGAGGTAGTCGGAAAGAGTGATGATTGATGCGTGCAGCCGTTCGGGTGCTGAGAGGCCGGCAGAGACGGGGGTTGTGGGTGGTTCGAAGAGACCTGCTAGGAGGCCTGTGGGGTGATTAGTGATTCATTCCCAGGAGAAGGTACGAATGTCTGACCTTTATCAGGCCGTTTGACAAACAACCATCTTCTCTTGCCTCTTTGTCCCCGCCATTCAAGTACACAGACATCCTCTTCCTCTACCCTTGACGCCTTCTTCTCCTTCTTCATTGGGAAGACTGTGACCGATGTTATTTGGGAATCAGCCTTCTCTTGGGGGATGGGGTGGCAGAGGGAACATTCGCTGGATGTTGACGGAAGAGGTAGCGGGGCTTTCAACTGCTCGCTTGTTAGCTGACGGGCCGTGATGCAGATGTGGATAACACCTACCTCAGCAGAAGCTTTACAAACTGTCTTCACAGGGCACCCGCCACACTCTGGCGAGACGGGTTTACAAACCTGGCTTCCGAGCTCCATCAACCCTTGATTCCAATCGCCCGCTACTCCTTCCGTCTCCGATGGTAAGAGCGAGACAAGCTCGGTGGCGGCGGCCCAGAGGTGTTTGATAGTCTGAGGAGCGGCTTGTGGGGCGTGGATGGCGAGAAGGCGGGTGAGAAGGCGGTGGATGTTTCCGTCAACCTGGATGGACGAGATGAGCATGAGCGACGGTCATTTCATCGATAAGTAAGGGAGTGCTCACGATAGGTGTTCGGACGCCGTAGGCCATGGAACATATAGCCCCAGCAGTATACCGCCCCACCCCAGCGATATCCTTCTCCAGCACCGCCGGATCATCAGGTAATCTCCCTTGGTATCTAGGGTCGGACATGACGGTTTGAGCACCGGTGAGGAGTGATTTGGCACGACGATAGTAGCCCAGGCCGCCTATGCACAATGTATCAATATCTATGGACTCAATGTGGGGAGAGGGAGCGTACGCCATGCTGCGTTGACTTCCTGTGAGCGGGGAGTCAGTACGGCCCAAGGTGAGAAGAGGGAAGATGGGGACGAACTTCGATATCGGCTTTGGCAAGGTCGGCGATGGTGGGCCACTTGGCTACCCATCTCTCCCAATAGGCGATCACCTTGATAGTCATACATCAGTAAATGTGGCAGAAGAGAGGCAGGAGATCCTCACAGTGGTAACCTGAGTCTGTTGAAGCATGATTTCGCTCACTGGGAAGAAGAAACAACCGGTCAGTACATATCTGCGTTTCTTGGTAGATGTTGAACCCACCCCAAATCTGGACCTGAAGTCAGCTTTCAAGCGACGGGATGAACTCATGTCGGACATACCTCATATGCCCGTTGTCCTTTCTCTTCCATACTCAGATCATGATTATACCGCTTCCTCCACGGCATACCTCTCTTCTCCCTTCACCGGTGTTAGCGCATACAAGTCACATACCCAAAGCCAGACTTACCGAACACCTTCAAACCAGTCAAGTAGATCCCTCTGACCACCCACGATATCATGAACATCATGATACTCCATCGCATGCCGTCTCGGGATCACATTTCCGGCATCTTCAATATCGCCCACTTCGCCCGCCTTTTTCGGTGCTGGCACTTTTCTTTTGACAGTGACAGGCTTTGGTTTGCCCTTAGTCGAGGCAGAGGTAGAAACTCGTTTACGTTTGGCAGATGGCTTGTCATCAGGCGAGCTTGGGGCGAAATCAGACTCTTCGTCAGAAGAGATCGAGTATACCGAGGGGCTTTTTGACCGGACACGCATAATTCAAGCCAAGTGACGACTCTCCAAGAATTCAAAGAGGGGAGATGAGGATCCAAGAGAGCCGAGAACAAGATAAGCAGCTAGGAAAAGAGTTGGTGAAGAAGCGATGGTGAAAGTCGACATCGGCGGGCCAAACAGAAAAGGCGCATTTGGCCGACGCGTTTGACGCGACGCGACTGTGGTTATGACTTATGACATTGCACAAAAGTTGACCAAGCGGTATTCATGCTGCATCTCGACATTCTATCCTCGCGGTGGCGCACCAGTCAATTAGCTAGATGTACCAGGTCATTGCTGCAGTATATTCAAGTACATCTGAAACACACTGTCGAAGACTACTGTAAAACCCTGTATGCGATGATTGTACAAATTGAAATCTACCCCAACCCCCTAAGCATTCATCATATCCTCCTCCGCAATCTCCACCTCCACCTCAACCTTGACCTTCTTCCCCGCACTCCCTTCTTCCTCCTGCACAACTTCCTCGCCCTGTTGCTCGGCAGCCTTGCGCTTGCCATTGGCGCCGTGCTCGTAGAGAGATTTGGCTCTCGGGGCAGGGCCCCAGTTGGGGGTGGGGTTGATTTGGTAAAATGTTTCCTTGCCTTGACGGTCAAGAGAAGCTTCGGGATGGGGAGTAAAGTCAATCACATGGCTATGGCTTGGTTAGCAAAAGACATGATACTCGAAACATTTCCAACTCACGTCATGGGCTTGGCCAAAAGCACCCTCGTCGGGCTTCCTTCCGCCACATTACTCAACTTGACCGGCACAGTCTTTGCCTCCTCCCTCATCATATCATACAAAAAGCTTCTCGGCGCATTCGTCTTGACCGCCCCCGGCGAACAATGGCTCCTCGACACTTTCCATCCCCCATTGAGCAATGCTGACAAAACCTTTGTGAGGGGGAGGGAAGACATGTTGACGGATTTGGCGATACGGTTGGCGGTGAAGAACCAGAGGTCGGGGAGTTCTTGTGCCGCAAGGGAGAGCATGCCGTGCATTCGGTTGTAGGTCTTGTAGTCGCCTTGGGTGGCTTCGATCTCTTTGAGGACGCGGTTGGCGAAGGTGCTGTCTTGGAGGGGACCGAGCCAGAGGGGACCGCCGATCTGATAATGTGTCAGCAGGAAGCAAGTTGTATAGTGTTGAGCCACTCACGTGCATGGTACCACCGCACTCTTCACAAGACGATCCATGACCAGCAGTAGGCCCAGCAATAGTCTTGAACGAATTCAACTCCGCACCCTTCTGGCTCTTCTTCACAATGACCTTGCCGAAAGGCTGAGTCACAGGCGTCTGGCAGAACTGGCAAGTGTAGACGACACCAGTCTGGCTAGCCAACTGCTTGACCTGCTCTGGTCCCGTGTGCACGCGCACAAAGAGCCTGACGTAAAAGTCGATAGAGAAGGAGAGCATGGGTGTGACGTAGCGGCCGTATCGGGCAGCAGTCTGTTGGAGAGAGTGCATGACGAGTCGGAGGGCGGCTTCGTGGGTGAATTCAGCGTGGACGTTGGTACCGCCGTAGTTAGAGAAGCATTTCTCGGGGTATTGCTGGCCGGCGAGAACGGCCAGGTCGGTACAGGTGATTGCGAGCAGACCTATTTGACATCAATCATTGTTGCAGAAGAGCATGGAATGGACTTACCGCCATCAGCGATACATCCAATCGCGGCATCCAAGAATGGCGCAGCTGTGCCATAAGGATCCAGATCCACGACGTCCACTCGGCTCGTAGGGCCCACAGCAGCTCGGTGGTTGTACATGAAAGCACAAGCGTCGCCTTCGTTGATCTTGACCTTGCCTCGGCAGTTGGGCCTGCGGCCAACGGGGTCTCTGGGTTCGGGCTCGGGAGCAGCGGGTTTGAAGGGAGCTTCGGCAGTCTCGGCCTTGACAGGCTCGTCGACTTGGATCTCCTCTTCAACCTTGGCAGTCTCCGCCTCGGCCTTTGCTTCGATCTTCTCTTCAGCCTTTTCTTCTCCTTCTCCTTCCAACTCCTTCGCAGGGTCGTAATCCAGGCCGACACCGTTGTATTGGACATTTCTCCTCATGGCTTCACAAGCTGAAGGGGATAGGTCGTTGGCGAGGACGTACTTGACGTTGGGAATCTCCTTGGCGTATCGGATAGATCGAAGACCAGTGGCAGCAAGAGCTTCGAGAATGTTGATAGAAGGTGCTTTGAACTTGCTCTGCAGAGAGTCAGCGTGCCGCCCAGTACTAACGGTAGACATACGACTCCAGCACCATTGGAGGGGCCAGCTTCGGCTGGCTCTTCCACAGCCCCCGCAACGACAGTCTCCTCCAGCTCTGCCTCCTTCTTCTCCGCCTCAGCCTCAGTCGCATTCTTCTTTCCCTTCTTCTTCTTGGGCTTGGGCTTGCCGCCTCTCTTCTCCAACCTAGCAGCCCACTTGGCCTCCGCCTCCTCCTTCCTCAGCTCATTCCACGTCCTGATGACAGAGACAGACATGTCCCGGTTGTAGTGCTGGACGGGGTTGAGGAATGCGCCTTCATTCGGGAGGAAGATGGTGGTGGTGGATTCGGTGTGCTGGCTGTGGTTTGGGGGGTGGGGACCCACGAGGGGCACTGTGTAGGCGGGGTTCTGGGCCATGTTGAGTGACGGGGTGGCTGACGCGAGCTTTAAGTATGACCTGCGAAGCCGTGGCCAGAGCATCAACTATGCAGAAATAATTCCTGAAAATCAACAAAATGGCAGGCCGAAGGGCATTTACGTAATGCTTTGATTTGCCACGTCAGGAAACGCGGTTAATTAGGGATTGTTACGTGTTGGGAGTAAATTGGCGGCGCGGTCGCGACTGAGATGTGATCCCTCCTTCTCTTCTTCTTCTTTTCTTCTTCTTTACACAAAACACCCACAGCCCGCACAATGGTAAGCCCCCCGAGTATCCCCTTCGTGCACCGCTGACGCCCTCTCGCAGTCCATCGTGAGCCTCGCCAGCGCCCACAATGTCAGCCCAGACACTGACCCCCGTTACCCTTACAGGTAAACATCCGCAATATCGAGCTCCTCAACAACCCCGCCAAGTTTGACGACCCGTACAACTTCCGCATTAAGTTTGAAGCCATCGCCCCTCTAGTCGAAGGTACGTCGCGTTTTCGGCAGCTGTCGAAGAGATGGATAGTCTCGATGGGATGCTGATGGGTCGGCGCTGCAGATCTGGATTGGAGATTGATCTACGTTGGAAGTGCTTCAAGTGAGGAGTTTGACCAGGAGCTTGATAACTGCTCTGGTGAGTCGATACCGCACCGCATTCATACCGTGATGGCGCTGACAGAATGTTGCCACTTTCTGAAATATTCCCATCTGTTACGAATCTCACACGCGTCTCTCCCCATTCGCTCAACTCCCACACAGTCGGTCCCATCCCCGCCGGTATAAACGCTTTCGACTTTTCCGCCCCCGCCCCCCAACATCACCTCCTCCCCTCTGTCGAGCCCGACGAGATTCTCGGCGTCACCGTCATCATCATCACTGCCTCTTACCGCGAAAAGGAGTTTGTGCGAGTTGGATACTATGTGAACACGTATTATGAGGATGAGGAATTGAAGGAGAACCCTCCAAGTGTTGTTCAGTGGGATAAGCTTCACAGAAATGTGCTTATTGAGAAGCCAAAGGTGACTCGGTGAGTACTTTTGTCCATCAGCTTCACATCTAGGGCGCGCAAGCTGATACATTTCACACAGATTCCAAAACCCCTGGGACTCTACAGGAGCAGCCTCGGAATCCCTTCCAGCCGCTGGTACCGAATTACCAGCTTCAGGCTTCGCCAATGGTGAACAACTGTTCAATGCGCCCTTACCTCCTCCTGTGCAGCGGGCTGCGCCTGGAGGTGATGTTGAAATGGCGTGATGGAGATGTTTGGGCTGGGGTGTAGAAGTAGGATGTCATGGGTATGGTCATGAGGCGTTTGGGCGCAAGGATGTATGTACGAGATGGTCTATCCTATTATAGCATTGAAGCATGAGTCTATGCACATATATACAATATCAATGGCCTACTGCCGGCAGTTTATCAAGCGTGAGAACACGAAAAAGCTGGTCGGGCTCATATTTGGGAAACCCGACATGAACGTGCTGCAGATTATTGATGATGATACATCATGTCTAGTAGAACACCGTACACAGAACACGATAGATCTATTCCAACTTGTCCGCTACCAGCTCCAACACCTCCTGCGTGCTCTTCCCAACATTCGCCAAGTCCTTCGCCACAGCCTGCCACACCGGTCCATGATGCGGTTGGGCAGCGATACACTTCTCCACCACCCCCTCCTGCCTCTCCTTCTCCCCATGCTGCCTCTCAAACTTGAGCCACCACCCCCACGCATCTCCCCAATCCTGATCCGCCGTGATCGCATTACCAAACCAAGCCCTCGCCTTTTCAATCTTGCGTTCAGACCAAAAGAGACGGGCGACGGCGAGGATGACGGCGGGGTGTTCGCCGGCCTTTTTGAGGGCGTCGACAGAGCGGCCTTTGCGCTGTTGGGGCTGTTCCATGAAGATGGCTTTGGACCAGAGGAGGGGGGAGGTGGGGCATTCTTGCATCGCTAGGAGATCGTTAGCTTGAAGAAAAGTGGAGAGAGAAAAGAAACTTGCCTCGTGCGAGAAGGTTCTTTGCCTGAACCTGACCTCCAGCCCGCTCCTCAATCCCAACACTCTCCAGCCACAGCTCATCATTCTTCGGGTTCGACAACCTTGCCTTCTCCATCAACCCTCTCGCCCTGATCGTCGCACCCGACTTCTCTTCCAATCTCGCCCCCAGGACCCAAAGCGGTATAGACTTGGGACACGACTTTCGTCCGTCCTCAAAGGCTTTACGCGCAGCGAATATATTGGGGGGAGTGGCGGATTCGTAAATCTGACCACGGATCATATGAAGCTTGTCGAATTTGCCAAACTTTTGGATCGCCTCCTCCAAAATCCTGAGCGCTTCTTCCGTCTTGCCCAGCTGTCTCGCGAGCACCGCACCCTTCATCCACACCCGCTCCGTGTCCGCCTGTCCCCGCGCCTTCTCCAATATTTGTTCCGCAGCGGCAAACTCGGACGACTCGGCGGCAATCTTGGCGGCAGCAAGGAAGATGGACTCGGAGTCTTCGTTTTGTTCGAATGCCGATGCGAGGATAGCCTGGGCACCCTGGACGTCGCCGAAGAGCCATTTCTCCTTGGCAGCCATGAGCCAGAGCACTTCGGCGTGAGGGTTGGCAGTGTAACCTCGAGCGAGAATGTCCTGGACAGAGTCACTATATATATGATTAGCGGGAACGTGCATAGTGGGATAGACGTACGGTGAGCCATGTGCTTTTTCAAACTCGGCGGCTCGTCGCCACACGAATGGCTCGTCTCCGTACTCCTCGAGCACCTTGACGTAACAAGCCCTCGCAACCTCATAGAAGCCACCCTTGCTTGCCCGCTCAGCATCCTCCAACCACACATCCATCCTGTCCTCCTCTTCCACATCCTGCGCGATAGTGGCTTTGACAATAGCCTGGGCAGTTAACGGCGACCCGTCTTGCTCGCACGTTTCGGCTTCCTGCAGCCATTGTTCCCTGGATAAGAGCACCTGGTTTTTGCGCAGAGAGTTGACGGCATTCTTCATGAGCGCGTCCACTTGGGTAGCAAGCTTTTGCCTGGCTTGCGTCTCTGCCGCACGAGCAGCTTCGTCATCCTCCATCTTGACCTCCTTCGCCACAGCTGCTGGACTCTGCTCCGCCAGCCTACCCGCCGCGATCCAAATCTCATGACTCGACGGAATCTTCTTTCTCGCCGAGTTCAAGACACTCTTCGCATTCGCCGGCGTCTCCAACCTCGCCAACGTCAACCACAACTCCACCGACGTCGGGATGACCTCTACCGCACGGGTGAGAAGGATCCGGGCGTCTTCGGGGTCGTCTTCGAGGTTGACGGTTTCTTTCCAGAGACGGACAGAGTTGGGGATAAATTCGAGGGCCTTGCGGAGGACGCGTTTGCGGGAGGAGACGTCGGCTTCGAGCTCGGCGGCTTTGAGCCAGATCTTGACGGAGAGGGGAACGTGTTGGATGGCGCGGCCGAGAATGACCTTGGCGTTTTCAGGAGTCTGCGCTGCCGTCAGCCCCGTCTTTCCCAATACCACATGGACTCACGTTCAACTCGGCAGCGTGGAACCAAACATCCTCGTTCTTCGGACATTTCTCGCATCCCTCGGCAATGATCTTTCTCGCCGCTACCATCTTCTTCGCGTGCACCTCCAAACTTGCCGCAGCAATCCATCCGGGGGCGTGCTTGGGGTTGGACTGGATGAGGTTCTGAAGAAGTTGACGAGCCTGTTTGATATCGCCGATTTGGGCATCAGTCTGGACAACTTGAGAATTGAGAGCGGTCATGTAGCCACGAGGGTCAATACTGGTGGACGAGCCATTGCTGGCATCTTTTGTAGCCTGAGGGGTCATTAGGATTTGTCTCGGAGGTGATGATAGACTTACTTGGTCAAGCTGCAATGACAAGACTCGGTCTCGAGCATTACCAATAGAAACCAAATCCGTCTCTGTCCCATCTGCCGCATCGTCCACCTCTCCGACTGTTTGCTTTTTGTTGATAGCGTCTGTGATGACCGTATCGCTGACATTGTAGCTTTTGCCGTTCTGGTTCTCTTCGAGACGCAAGTTGTGCTTTCGCCTTTTGCCGGTCAGATTACCCGCTTCTGGGATAGCGTCCCAGTCCGTATCATTCAGACTCGAGAGCGTACGCTTGAGATCGGCGAATTGGGTCTGTAGCTTTGGGTTACGAGCTCGTTCTTGCGCCGCCATCTCGGCTTCTACTGCCTCCCTACAAACACCATCAGCTTGGATTTTCCATGCAGCGGCAGATACTCGCCTTCTTGCCTTTCTTCTCGCGTCCATCCTCGCATCCACGTTATCCCAGACTCTGTCGGCTTCCTCATCGTCCGCCTCATAAACCGTTCCCGCAAACAGATTCCTCTCGTCGTCCGGGTCCTGCATAGCATCTGGGTCCGGGATATCCTCTTCCCCACGGCGGGCTTGGGCTTCCGAGACAACATCAGCGGAAGGGCCGGCTCGAGCTGGACCGATATCGGATCGAGTGGTGAAACCTGAAGCACCTCGACCAAGACCTGCAACATAGCTCGCCGGAGCGGCCATGTTGAGGAAGTTGTATCTGACCTCCTTGGGGATGTGCTTGACTGTTCCCAGGTTTGACATTGTGGCTGGGTCTGTCTGGCGATGAAGGAGTGTAGAAGAACAACATTTCTGCGGCAGACGGTCGTGAATGCGCAATGTCACAGTTCATATGTGGTAACGTTACGTAAGCATGTCATGTCCTCCACTTTTGAAGTCACCTCTAGTTGAAATGTCAGACTTGTCCTTTCTCGCAATCAGCAAGACATACATCATCGAAATGGCGGAGCGCATAGAAACACCGGTATCCAAGAGGCTATCCTCTGTGAAGAATATCATCATCGTTCTCTCCGGCAAAGGTACGTAGTCTATAATCCACTGCGACCCGGCTGACCAACCGCAAAGGTGGCGTCGGCAAGTCATCCTCCTCGGTTCAACTCGCCCTTTCTCTTCTCGCCTTGAACCCCACAAACCGTGTGGGTCTCATAGATCTTGATATCACTGGTCCTTCTCTTCCGCGCATGGTTGGTCTTGATTCGCCTACTGCTACGGTCCACCAATCGTCAGCCGGGTGGGTCCCAGTATATGTCGATCAGGGGCGAAGATTGGGGGTCATGAGCATAGGGTTTCTACTGAAAGACAGAGGGGACAGTGTAGTCTGGAGAGGTCCAAAGAAGGATGGAATGATCAGGCAGTTCTTGAGTGAGGTGAGGTGGGGCGAGCTGGATTACTTGGTAATTGATACGCCGCCAGGTGAGTTTGATACTTCACGTTCGGACATGGCTTACGACATGACATAGGCACGTCGGATGAACATATCTCACTCTTGACTCACCTCCACCCCCTCTTCACGCCCACACCCTCCTCCCCTACGACCCCTTCCTCAATCCTCATCACTACCCCTCAAACCACCGCTCTCAACGACACCATCAAATCCCTTTCCTTTACCCGCAAGCTTTCCCTTCCAGTCATGGGGCTAGTGGAAAATATGGCGGGCTACGTCTGCCCATGTTGCGGAGAGATCAGTGATACTTTCGGTAAAGGCGGAGGAGAGGCGCTGGCGCACAAAGAGAGCGTCAACTTCCTGGGACGAGTACCGATCGACACCATACTTGTGGCGCTTCTGGATGCTGTCTCGAAAGGGGAGGTGCAGGGCGAAGGAGCCAAGGAGACGAACGGCGGGGATCAGGCTGCATCGTCGGCGGGATTCCCTCTGCTCGAAAAGTATCTCGAGACGACCTCGTCCAAAGTATGGCTGGGTATTGCGGACAAGCTTGTTGCCAGCATAGTGGAACGCAGCGAGAAGATAACCGAAAGACTGGGGCCGCAGGAACAAGTGACATCTGCATAGAGGAGCTAAATGATAGAAATGATCATGTTGTAGTATTTTACATCCACTGCGTACTGAATGGATAGGCCGTTTGCTGTGACTCTTCTCGCATATGCGGTACGTCGATTACACTGATCATAGGTCGTGGGACAGACGCGCTTCAGAATGTCTGGCGATGAAAGGACAAGCGCTGGGTATGAAGAGCTGAGGTCACAGATCCATTGTGCCATCTCATCAAGACACTGATGCAAAACTTCTCCCGCTCCATTGTGGCCGCTTCAGTATAAAAACCGTCTTGAAGTGACGCGTGCATTCACAAATCACTGGCTCTCAGTCAAGATACAAGTATGTCCAGCCAACACGCAACGAGTGACTGTGGTCAACTAGAAAGTGGGGAGCCTAGTGACAGGGCGCTCTCTAGCCTGGTCAGCGGCTACGTCAGTAATGTCCGTATCCGTTGAGTTATTGACAGTGATATACATTGACATGGTGGTCTTAGAGTATCTCGCTTGTCAATGCTGCCGTCTCGAACCATGGAACGACATATTTTGGCTCCAAATCTTTGTCCGAGCTCCGTGACAGCGTCGAGTGAGAGCCCGAGGCCAGGCCCGCCTTCGCCGAGTGTTACTGACTGGATGTTCACCTATAGTAGAACTGTCGCCAAGGGAACAGCCCTCATCACCACTTGGAAGATAGACAACCGCTGTCCAGGTCTGCTCCTATACCCTGAAGGATCTTATGAGGTCTTGTCCAGTTTGATGGAGCGTGCTTACATTGCACAGCATAAGCCAACCGTCTTGTTGCACCGAACGCTTCAGTCCCTCAATGGCGTACCCACCCCACTGTCGACGCCGGACTACGAGACCCTTGTAGGAATGTTACGAGCTGCACAAATGTCAGACAACGCAAGCGGAAGGGGGGTATTCGGCTCTCTGGGGGGATATGATCTCACTCTGAAGGCGGTCCAGTCTGCACGGGAGAGGCAACTATCAGAGGGAGGCGAGGATGGCAATGCAATGTTCGATTTGGATCTCAGAGCGGTGCCCTTCTCTATCGGCGCGCCTCGTAGGTCGGGATGGAGCACCAGGAAAGAGCCTGGTAAGGAGCTTGGTGTTTGGGCCGGGGTAAAGATGAGAGAAGCACATCAAGAGGACCCAGGTACTACCACCGTCGTCCTTGAGCTCAAAGACCCCAGATCCCAGAGCGCTTTCTTCTTTAACGATTCGGACACGAGAAGAAAGTTGACAAAGAAAATCAGACACACGGCAGAAGAGTCCTATCACCTCTTCCAGGTTGAGCGCATCTGCACACTAGATGATACGCTTGCCGGTAGGCACACATATTTAGATTTCACTGTGAGTAGAAGAGAGCGCTGCGCACCGAGCATCTCTCAGTCACCTCCCGTCAGTACGGCACGATTATGGCGAGCTGACATGGCTTGATAGCCGCGTGATGATGAAGCTTCAAAGCGTTTCGCCCGGACCGCTCAACATGCCCCGGAACACGAGCTCTGGATGTATGATACATTCTTGGCGACTGCTGCCAAACAAAGAGCTTTATCCAAGCTAGAGACACATTCGTTGGTGGCTCCCAAGCTACGAGATCAATACTGTCAGTCGACAGATGAGAAGGGGCTCTTTGAACACAGTGCCTACACACCATACGCCAGCAGCAGACCGTCCGATTACATCCAATATGAGGACAAAGACTTCAAGCAGTGGAAGAACGAACTCTTGGCTGCGAACCAACAAAGCGCTCCTCTTAAATGGACAAGCATTCCTTATGAAGGGCACGCGTCGCTACTGGATGATGTGAATCTAATTATAGAAGACGATAAAGGCCTTGAAGTGTATGCGCGAAGGTATGGAGAAGGCAACGACATACCGAATCAACCAGCCACAATCGCCGAAATGTTTGAAGATGCTGAACCATTGGAGTATTTCTTGACGAAGTCTCATAGGGATAGCCACCTCAGTCCCGAGGAGCTGGAGGGAGAAATGCCCCCAGCGGCTTTTGAGAAATGGACAGAGCTGAAAGAAGGCCAGGCAGGAACGGATACTGAAGGGAAGGATGTTCGGGATTACCAAAAGTATCTGATGGGGTATTTGGAGGCCAACCCCGATGCTCGTTCAATGTCCGCTTGATTGAGGAAGAAACACTCATGGTAGTGAGTCGAGTTGACGTTGGTTGAAGGGGGCAATAATGCGATAGATTACGGGCTCCTTTTGTTATGATACGCATCGGACAGCACCAGGCAGTAGCTGAGATGAAGAATAAGGAGGGCGGTGAAGAGTCACACTGGCATACGTCTGGCAAGAAACTAGAAAATTATACATCAATAATCGTGATTGAGGAAATTTTCCTCCCGACCCGACGACCATGCGCTGTCGACTTTCCATGATTGATATTCTATGTACTGCGTCGCTTCATATCTGTGATGATGCTGCCGGTCATCTCTCCTCCGTCCTTTTGTGGCTTCCCAACATCGATATCCTCATAGAGCATATGGTGTTACCCTTATCAAGACATTCTTTTCAACAAGTGTGGCGCCAGGATGAGCTGAGGTTTGGCAATGACGACTGCGCTACACTTTGACATGTTGAGAGACCCCTGCCTTGATGATGCACTTTGACATGTTGAGAGACCCCTGCCTTGATGATGAGAAGACAAAGCCTGTCCCCCGCTCTTCTGAAGACTACTCCATTGAGAATCGGCCTGGAGATTTCTGGTTTCAAGTGTTGCTTATTGCTATGCTATATTGCAGCTAATGATTATCGGAGTCCAAAACAACAATCGATTTTTTTCCTGTTCTAGAGTTATTATTTAGACCGCCAGGCGGCTTCTTCCATAGCTGATAATAGGTCTAGTTCAGATTTGGCCGAGGGCAAAGGGAATAACTATTTCGAGATGAGGTAAGCTATATAGACCTGTGCGCTAAACGGGTCGTGAATCTATTGTAGCTACTTGTTGGATATATGAACGGGCTCGGCATGGAGAAGGACATGCTACCCTAGACTATTTGATTGTCATTTGATCTTGGCTTCAGGATGTCTTTTCACGCACAGACGCACGACGGTGACAATCCCGAGACCGACAAAGAAGATGAGGAGACGGCCATGTCTCTCCTGCGAAGAGGCTACGAAGACAGGGTCTTCGATCCTGGGCCTGGGACAAGATGTCGCAATATCATAAAGAAGGCCCTACTAGCGATGGGGAATTTCTTCAATGTAGTACTCTCCCTCGCGAGGGACATCAGTCCTTGCTGAAAGATGTCGCTTTGATCTCTGATGTGAAGGCAAAGGCCCTGAAGTTAGCTTGCGGAGGTATATGGAGGAGAAGAAGACGACGGGGCGCCTGACGGGGATACCATCGCCGAATATTACGGCAAAGTCGACCCATTGTGGCACTACCTGATAAAGACCCACCACAACTCCTCTCTCAATGCTGTACGAGTACTGTGCGGCTTGAACACGGCATGACTCCAGCTGCTATATCGATCGATGGACAGAGGTGAAAGCAGACCAAGTTGGAACCGACGCCGAAGGGCAAGAGGTGCTGGAATATCGAGACTGGCTAGCTGGATATCTCGAGTCCAGCTCCTAGTTGACTCGTTTAAGGACAGCTCAGACAGTCAAACATTTGGAGTAGAAACGTCATTAGAGTCGGTAGTTCGAGCCAGGAGGGCGATGTGAATGAAAGCATGACATGCATAGGTGTCAGATCTGCCCTTGAACCTCCTTTCGCCGACGAGAAGGGCATTAGAAGACCATGGGGTAAACCTACAAGACTCTCAGATCAAATCCTGCTCCCTCTTTCTCTTGTCACGATTCCCCGATCTATCACTCAACTGAATACGCACGGAGAAGACCGACGGATTTGACTCGGGCGTGCCTAGCTCGTAATAAGTGAGCACGCAACGACATTTTCGCGGTTCTACAGCGTTCCGTTTTACGGCCCGACCTCGACATTCGTTTCTCTTTTCTCTTTTCTCTTATCTCCCCAGAGTATACCCAGAGGTACGTCCCTTTCACCAACTGGCATGACCCCCAGTTGATACTGATAAAAGACTGCATAGCCCGGCTCAAATTATATGCCCCCGTCCCTCCGGCTCGCTCTCACCCTCAAAACCGCCCTGCACACTCCCACCCGACACGTTTCGACCCACATACCCAGAATGGCTACTTCCAAATCCGCCGTCATCCCCCAGGCCAAGAGGATGTTTGAAGGCGGGACCCACAAGCTCGACGTTTGGTCCATCTTTACGTACGTTGAAACCACCCTCTCCAGCTATGACTCAAACCTGACCGGGCTTTTGTCAGCCCTGCGAATGTGCCCGCGGACGCTATCAACCTCGGGCAAGGGTTCATGAACTGGGCTCCTCCTTCTTGGATCTTGTCCGAGTCGCACCAGACTATGGACAACGAGGTGATGGCGAACCACTACTCTCACCCCCGTGGTCGACCCAGGCTTTTGAAGGCTATCAGCAAACACTACAGTCCCCAGTTCTCCAACATTGTCGAGAGGGGCGAAGACTTGAAGCCGGAGGAGATTCTGGTCACTGCTGGTGCCAACTGCGGTACGTGCTTAATCTCTCCAAAGGAGGGGTGGTTTGAAAAAAAAAAAAAAAAAAGCTGATTAACGGGAATAGGTATGTTTGCTGCTCTTACGGCGCACCTCGAGCCTGGAGATGAGGTCATCTGCATCGAGCCGTACTTTGACCAGTACTTTGCTTCGATCCACTTCCAAGGTGCCAAGCCCGTCTTTGTGCCCCTCCACCCGCCTACCGGTACTGGTATCAAGGACGGTTCCGAGTGGACTCTGAACATTGACGAGTTCCGCGCGGCCTTTACCCCCAAGACCAAGGCTGTCATCATCAACACCCCGCACAACCCCGTCGGCAAGGTGTTTACAAAGAAGGAGCTCGAAGCTATTGCCGAGGTGGTGATTGAGAAGAATGTGTTGGTGCTCGCGGATGAGGTGTATGACTGTATGGTGTATGACAAGAAGGAGCATTTCAGGATTGCTACTTTGCCTGGCATGTGGGAGAGGACTTTGACTGTTGGGTCTGGTGGCAAGTCGTTTGCTTGTACTGGATGGCGTATCGGCAAGTAATCCCCCTCCACTTTTATACGCCAGCTGACAAATCTTAGGATGGCTCATCGGTACCCCCGAGCTCACCGCGGCCGCCCTCGCCGCCCACAGCCGAATCGTCTTTTGCACCAACTCGCCCATGCAAGAAGCCGTCGCTATCGGCCTCGAGAACGCCGCCAAACACAACTTTTTCGCCGACCAGCTCGCCGCCTACACTGAGCGCCGTGACGTCTTGTGCTCCTACTTTGACCAGCTCGGCTTGCCGTATACCAAGCCCGAGGGGTCTTACTTTGTGCTGGTGGATATCAGCCAGGTGAAGGTGCCGGAGGGGTACCCTATTGCGGAGACTTGTAAGGGGCGAGGCAAGGATTTCGAGTTTTGTTGGTGGTTGTGCCAGGAGCTCAAGGTGGTGGCTATCCCTCCTTCCGAGGTGAGTACTCATTTGTTTGGGGGAGGGGGTGATGCTGATGGGTGTGGCAGTTCTACTCGGACGAGCATGTGCAGATTGGTGAGCGATTCGCTCGATTCGCTTTCGCAAGTATTTCCCATTGGGCTACAGAGTCGCGCTGATGGTTTTGCAGTGCAAGGACCCCGAGTTGCTGCATGCTGCGGGCAAGAGGCTGCTCAAGTTGAAGGAGTACATTCAGTAGATAGGGACGAGACAGGTTGTACATAGCCAAAAGAAGAGAGATGTATAGAGGCAATACAACGATAGTGCGCAGGGATGAGGAATGGGGTGGCCTCGATGCATCTCCTGCGGCAATGCATGACCTCGATGCGCTCGCCACTGGCATGCAATGGGTGACGCCAAGGAGTGGGAGCTGTTTATAACTGGTGCGTGCCTGGGTGGCTTGTTGTGCGCGGTGCAAATATCCTCTCGCTGCTGTTCCCCGCCCACGCCCCTCCCGCGCTGATAATCCGCCATGGCCCCAATACAGAACAGTACAAGTATGTCTTCTCTTTCTCCTCCTCCTCCTCATCACCGCTCACCATGCACAAACCCCTCCGCCGCGTCTCCTTCCCCGCCGACTCCCCCTCCGACCCCCCAGCCCCCCCCCTCACCGACTCCCCTCTAAACTCCCCCCGTTTTCCTCCCGCCGAAACAGCCCCTGCCAATGCCTCCGCCACCAACCTGAACCCCGAGCTGCCAGAGGGAAACGCTGCATCCGGCAGTGGAGCTGTCCCCGCAGCAGCTGGGGCCGGCACAGGCCCCCGCCGCCGTCAAGGCGGTTCGCGCCAGGTGACCATGGACCCCAATGGCCCGGATCGTCGAGAGACGTCCGAGAGCGCACGATCGAGACCGAGCAGGAGGCAAAGCACTATCGACCCCAATATGGGCCTGGTGCGGAGAGTGACCACGGTCCTGTTCACTCCAGAGAAAAGGATCGGCAAGGCGCCGACTTATGTGCAGAGTTTCAAGGCTGCTATATGTAGTACATGGCTCAACGTGCTGCTGGTGTTTATTCCAGTCAGCTGGGCACTGCACTTTGTCCAAGCGGGTGGCAACGAAAAGATCACCGACACTGCCGTTTTCATCACTGCCTTTATTGCCATCATTCCTCTCGGTGAGTCTCGACGATGGTATCATGGACGTGTGCTCACAACATTCGCAGCTGGTCTTTTGGGTTTCGCCACTGAAGAAGCAGCACTCCGACTCGGCCAAACTCTCGGTGGTTTGCTCAACGCTACCTTGGGAAACGCCGTCGAATTGATCGTCGCCATCCTCGCCCTGGTCAAATGTGAACTCCAAGTCGTCCAATCCTCCCTCGTCGGTTCTATCCTGTCCAACATTCTGCTCGTCCTCGGCATGTGCTTCTTTGCCGGTGGTGTGCGTTTCGAAGAACAGACCATCCAAACCACCGCCGCCCAGCTCAACTCGTCACTCCTCTTGATCGCCGTCATCGCCGTCCTCATCCCGTCTGCCTATCATTTCAGTATCGCCGCGAGCGATTCCAACGTTGATGCGAGCGAGCTGGCCAGTGGCGAGGGTAGTGAACTCTTGTCCCTCAGTCACGGTGTCGCCATCCTCTTGTTGATCCTCTACTTGGGTTACCTCATGTTCCAAATGTTCACCCACGCCGTAAGCCCATGCTCCCCCTCAAAAGTACATCTTCTGACACGTTACAGGCACTCTACGTAGACGACACCCACACAGGCTCCACCTACTATCCCGAAAAAGTCACCAACGTCTCTGACAAGTTCCGCCGCAACTTTCACCGCAACAAGAAGCACGACGAGGAAGAAGGCCTCTCGACCTCTTCTACTGTGGTTTCTGAAACTGCCGGGACAGGGCCCGAAGGTTTGGCCGCTGTGAGCGCAGAGAGGCAAGAGGAGGAGGAGGAGGAAGAGGAGGAAGTGCCGCAGATGAATGTCATCACTACTATTGTACGTCAATCCACCATCTTTTCAAGTGACGTTGCCTGACGCGGGGTGTAGGGTTTGATGGTCCTGATCACCGTCCTTGTCGGTGTCACTTCTGAATTCCTTGTCGACTCTATCAACGGTCTCGTCGAAGCCCACCCGAGCTTGTCTGCCGAGTGGGTCGGTCTAATCTTGCTCCCTATCGTGCGTATCTCCCTCTCTTCGCACAACCACTCTTGCTTACTAGCGTGCAGGTTGGTAACGCCGCGGAACACTATACCGCCGTCATCTCCAGTGTCAAAGACCGAATGTCCCTCTCCATCTCTGTCGCCGTCGGTTCTTCCATCCAAATCGCCTTGTTTGTCATTCCAGTTATGGAGCTTTTGGCGTGGACTATCGGTAAACCCATGACTTTGCTCTTTGACGGTACGTCCTTCCCCCTTCTTTCTTATTTGTGAGGGTAGTGGGCTGATGGGATCGGTGATTTGTAGCGTACGAGTCTATCGTGCTCTTCCTCTCTGTCCTGATCGTCAACCAGACCCTCGCTGATGGGCGATCCAAGTACGTCTCCCTCTCCCCTTTCTTCAGTTCAAGTCACTGACAAAGATATGAATAGCTGGATGGAAGGTATGGTGCTTATGATGCTCTACATCATCATCGCCGTCTCTTTCTGGTACTATCCTGTACGTCTGCTCTTCCACTTCTTCTACCTTTGGGGGCGCACAAAACTGATTTTGTGGAAATAGGGATCATCGACAGCAACTCTTCTGGGTTGTTCCGACTCTTCCAGCGTGGTCGGTTAAGATCAACCCACAGGGCCCAGCACCAGTAAAAAAAAAAAGTAAAAAAAAAAAAAAAAAGAAAAGAAAGAGCTCTTCTCCCTCCGCCCTCAAAGCACAAAAAAGCCCGCCGTATAGAATGTCTACTACCACCTTCTTCCCTTTAATCTTGTTATGTATATAGCGTAGTATACCACCCTTATCACCTTCCTTCTCCCATACACGTACCCCATACCTGGTACTCCCAAGCCTTGATGCCTCTCCCTCGTTATCCCTTTCATTGTCTCAAGTTGGATATTCGATATTCGATGATTGCCTCTTTTACTTTTCTTTGTGAAAAGTGTTACCTACCCTTGCTTCATCTTCGTCTGGCTATCAGCTCCGTATTATGGCCAGTTGCTTTTGGCAGTTTATGTACTATATATGATCATTCCAGAAGGTTTTCGGGATGGGGGGACACTGGCTGATTCATAGCTTTAGAGATGGCGGAACGACCGATAAGTCTTCTCTGTCGCATAAGCACAGTGAGTACTCGTATCCCTTGCTCCCATTATGGATATCTCTTAAGCCGTGATAAGATATCCATCCGCTCTGTCCCGTTCCCGTTATCGGAGTCGTCTTCCGACAGCCAACAGCAAGCCACGCATATCCCGTCCTCTCTTTCTCTCTTCATCATTCGCCGATGGATGATGGCTCACACATCGGCAACTTGCTCTGACTCACAAATCCCGAAGTTTCTCGGCCATGCTGTCTGAGGCCGAAGAAGACAGGGGCTGCTAGACTGACTCTGCAGGCCGTCTGGTACTCGGGGGAGATGAAACCTAGCTGGTCTCCGTCCCTGTCTGCACTCTACTCGTACAAGTAGAGTACGTGATCTTGCGCACGAGATATGTGAGATGGTGTCTGATGTCTTGTTAGTACTCGAGTATGGAGGTTGCCGCCAATCCATGAACAGAACTTCAATAGTCATGGGGGGGGCCCATCCAATATATGTAACGCTCGGCGCGACAGACCATCGACCTGCAAGCCCCGCACTCGTACCAACAATACCGAGAACAATGTCGGCTCTGACTTTTTGCTCAACATTCCACCCGCGGTATTGGCTATTGCGAGCTCCCTGCTGCTCGCATGGTTCTACGACAACGATACGAGGATCCCGCGGCATCTAGCGGCATTGGTATCTCTTGCTCTCTTTGGAGGTATGTGTCGTATTATGGATACCTTGCATCCAGGTTGGCGCTGATCATGATACTATAGTGGCATTGATTGTCCTTAGTGTGTTGACATCCAACAAGGCTCGATACGCAATGATCCTGGTGGCTTACATTCCTTATGCTGTAAGAACCAAGCTCCTGTAGCGACATTTATGAACTTGAAGCTGACGAGTTCACTCAGGGCGCATATATCTCTCTGAATCCTTTGCGTCTTCAAACCGCCGACCCCAAGAATGCAGCTTTCCTGCTGGCTTTTACCAATGCTATCGGACAACTGCACGGCCTGTAAGTCTATCACCCCCCTACTATCTTGGAGATACAGAGCAACCCATAGCAATATGCTCCCCGCTACACTATATCCCTTTCATTATTTGCGTCATCTTCGTCGCCCTCGCCATGGTCGCAGCCGCTGTGTCATGGTACTTTAGTGCAGGAGCGAAGAAAGAGACCAGGAGGATTGCTAGGGAGAGAAGGCAGGAGGGAAAGGCGAAGGGTGTGGTTGTGTGAGGCCATATTGAGGTTTGAGTTGGCTTTTCTGGGAGGAGGGGTTAAGGTACAGGCTAAGCATGATGCCTATCTACCATTATGCAGTAGCCCGTTGCGTCTTATGTAGATTCAACATCCACCCTTCAATCTCTATTCGATATGGTCCGCTCGAGCGCATAAGTACAATGCCATGACGAGGAGGGTCAGTCTTGTGTGGAGCGATCAGTGCATCCTGTCTTTGCGCGAGCCATATGATCATTGGTGCCATGACTGGCGTTGGTTGTTTTTTTTTTCATCTCGTTAAACACTTTGACACGTAAAACTAGAACAAAAAAAAGAGATAGAAAAAGTCCTCCCCAGCTCCCTTCTTCTCATACGCCCCCAACAAAACCCTTCCCCCTTTCCCTTGCGCATCCACTCTCCGCCACTTCTCCCAACCATTCTTTCCTCCAGGCAAGTGACTTGATGAAAGACTAGACTAGAATTCAGCAGAAATGGTACAAAGAAAAGCAGCAGAATGACAGACACTACAAGGCGGCGAAAAGTAATGAAGAACACTGAAAAGATAAGAGATGGAGGAAAAACGATGGACAACGACGGTTGGACGTTCTTTTTGTTGGTTGGGGGGTAGATTTTTTTGGGGTGATTTCGATTTTGATTGTCGAGAGAGGGGAGTGTGATAGTGATAAAAGTTCTAAAAAGAGGAATAGATATGAAAGAGAAAAAGGTATATTATTAATTGGAAAAAGAGAAAAGGAGAAAACCGCATTCTGTCTCGAGATAAAAACCTAACTTTCTACCCTTGATAAAACACCCCACTGTGGATGAATGATTGACTCCCTCTTTTTTTGACACACGATACCACGACCAGATGGTGGAAAGGTACGTGACTTTTCAAAGTTTCAAAGATAAACATAATAAACTTGAAAAAAGAAGAAATGAGACATGGATGAACTCGACCCGGAGGGGATGAGCCAAACGCGACGATAATAACGTGTATCGCGTGGAATAGTCGGAAAGGACAGCTGTCGGAATGGGTAGAAGGGGAAGGATGATGAGGGCTTGAAGTAGGCGGAAGAGTTGGCAATTTGTTGACGAATACCATCTCACCACATTACCACCATGAGGGCAACTTAATACCCCACGGCAGCAGAATGGTAATAAGGCAGAGTGGTACTAAACCTCGTCCTCACAGAAGGAGAAGCATACCTCCCCAAATTCGCCGACCTGTTTTCGATTGTCAATAAAAGAGATTCAACGCCACATGGCCGAAGCGCTAGTAGCCCACCTCTTGTTGCCCATCATCCCACTCATAAACCCAAACTCGGACGTCTGACCCGCTCCCGGCTCCCTGACGACATTCACCCCAGGCTCGAGCTGGTGCCCAACAGGGTACCCCTCACCTCCGACAGCAGCGGCCGAAGTAGCGCCAGTGCCACGGACAGAGCGGTTGCTGTGCCCGTAGGTGTGGTGGTGGTGCTGGTTGAGAGGAGTCTTGCGGCGGTTGATCCTTTGCACAGAGCTGGGGTCGAGGGCGACAGGGAAGCCAAAGGGGTCGGCGTTCTGCCACTGAGAAGCCTTGGAGGACTTGGCAGGAGGAGGAGCGGCGGCGGTAGGCCAGGCGCCTCGAGAGCAAGACGTAGCGGGAGGGATGGGGTGGCCTTGGCTTTGGTTGGAGGAAGTCTTCCTCATCTCCGCGGCAGTAGGCAACCACTTCTTCGCACCATCATACTCCAAAAACTCCTCATCGTCCTCCTCAAACTCTTCGACCTGAGACTCGACCTCGTTCATGTCGTCGTCACTGAGCAGCATCTCGACATTCCTCTCGGCACGCTCAATCTCAACACCGTCGTCCTCCATGAGAGCAGAGACGGCAGGGATTCTGGCGGGGTAGACGGCAGAGGAAGGCTTGGGGTCTTGCTGATGCTGGTAAGATCGAGCGAAAGAGTCCCAGTCGCGGGTGGCAAGCTGGTCGAAAGCAGCGGGGGTCTCGTCGTAAGACAACCTACGGATAGACGCAGCCAAGGGCGAAGCGATAAAGTGGGGCGTGGCAAAGGTCTTTTTCTCAAGATCTTCATCCAACTCGACGCCTCGGGCCTCGGTAGCCATCTTGTCAAGCACATAGTGGACGACAGCGTCGGCGTCGTCCTTGACAGGCTTGTCGTCGAGGTCGACGAAAAGCTGGTTGACGTGGTCGACCCAGGAAGCGACGGGGACGTAGAGAGACCAGTTGAGGTCGTTGAGGGCGCATCGCTCCATGGCGTCAATGGTCTTGATGGGAATGGTAGTGACCTCGAACCTGATAAAATGTTAGCGTCCGTCGTTGATGAGAAAAGAAAAGACATACCAAGACTTGGTCAAGAACGAGTTGTCATCCAACCACTTGCCCGCCAAAATCAAACCCAAAGTAGCAACCCTCCTCTCAACAGCCTCGGGCTCGCACGAAACACTCTCCCTCAGAATCTTGCGCAACCCCGCGCCCTTCTTGCCATCGCCCTCGTGCAAACCGAGTCCGGCGAGGAACCAAACACCAGCCACAAGCGCGGAAGGCGAGATGGTCATTCGCTGAATCATGTCGAGGACAAAACTGACAAGAGTCGAGCTGGGCTTGATGGCATGGGCCCAAGAAATGTTCCAAGGATCGTGCTGCTCAAACTCAACTCGCCTGCGGGAAGCAAAGACGGGGGAAGTGGCGGCCATCCTGCTCCACTGGTGGGCGAAAGCGGTAGGCGAGCTCATGCCCATCCTCTCGTAGCCATCCCTCTCTCGACCGGCAGGTCCCCACTCTTCGTCGGCGGCACCGGCGGTAGCAGTTCGGAACTGACCGGGGTAGACCAAGAGGTTGACGACCTGCTGAGCGTACCAGACGGCGAAGGCAGCGTTGACATTCTCCACGTTGGGCTCGGCCATGAGGGGCGCGGCAGCAACAGCGGGGGCCGGGGCGGTGTAGATGTGCTCGGCGGGGTAGCTGTAGGTGTCGTGGGGAGTGATGGGTCGCTCGGGGATCTGAGCGTATCGCTGAGAAGGAACGCGGTAAGCAGCCTGGTCGTAGTTGGCCCACTGGGCCTCCGCACGGGGCGGGGACCAGACAGAACGCTGCCTGTTGTAAACGGGGTCCGGGAACGTCTCGGGCTCAAAGAGGTACGCCTTGCTTCGTTGCTGTTGAGCTGCAGTGTCGACAGGCGGCATCCAGTCGTGCTGAGTTCGAGGAATGTTGCTCGCACCGTGAGCAGTGGAGTAACGAGAGTCGAGAGAGTCGTAGGCGGACTGAGAGTAGTGCTTGGGGTAATTCTGTTTGGCGGCGGAAATATTTTCGAGATTGTGATGGATGAAAGGAGGTATCGGTAAAAGAGACATAGGAAACGCGGATAAAGGATACGGGAAATGCAACTGTCAGCAAGGGCAATTTGCGGTCGGGGACTGTACGCACGTCAAGCTCCATCCCTTCAGCATCCTGCTCGTAGGATTGCACGTTCATGACCTGGGGCGCGTGGTTGTCAAAGTCCAACTCGTAACGCTCGCCATTCAACAACTTGAGCAACTCCATCTCCTCTGCTACCGCCACCGCTCGCTGCTGCTGCTTGATGGATTGCCCAGAGGGCTTTCCGTAGATAGATGGCATGTTGTCGTGGGAAGGGGTGAACCCCAGGCGACCCAGTGGCCGAGGTACGACTTCTCCGAGAGGAGGAAGCTGCACCGAAGTGTTGGAAGAAGGCGGAATGGAGAAGGTAGGGGGGGTGAAGAAGCCTTCTTCGCTGGTTTGGTAGGCGGTAATGGTGGTGGAAGGCGTGGTGTTTTTGTTTTTCGAGATTCGCACGAGACGAGTCTCAAAAGACGGGTGTTGTGGGTGGGGGATGGGGGAAGGGGACGGGGAAGGTGGCTATGGGGCGATTGGTGTAAAGCAAGGAGACAAGGACACCAGTAAAGGTGTGCAGTTGGGCTAAAACTGCGCTGTCGGTCGACTTGCTAGACGTAGATGCGCCTAAAAGATATTCCAGGTGTTGGGGTTGAGTTGAGCCGGAAGGTGAATTGTCTGGGCTTGAAAGAGTGATAGATGCAGAGGGTTCTGGGGATGGGAATGGGGGTCGGGAGAGGGGTATTTATGGGCGGGCGGGTGGCGAGAGAGGGTGGCGGAAACAGGAGGTCGCGCACGCCGTCAGCCAACGTCTTTTCCGCCGCGGGTGTTGCTGACTCACCGTGCACAACCTAATGTGTCGTCTTTCCACTACGTCTTCTTAAAAGTCCTCGTGCTTCTACGCCGGGCAGGAAGGGGGCTGGGGCAGGGAAGGAGTCGATAACGGGTCCGGGTAGAGGGGAGGTTATCGAGTCGGTGCTGCGGATGTTGATTCCTGGCGGGTGTTTTCCGGGTGACTTGGTGTCTTTTGTAAGTGTAGCCAGAGGGAAGGCAGAGGCAGAGTTGTCCAAATTAAGGGTACTCTGTATGCCGATTTTGTGAGGTGTGGGATGGAAAAGCGAGAGACACCCTCGACATGCCTACGCGCGCGAAAATTACCACCAGCCGGAGTTATAGCGAGTGTGGCACCCTGCTTTCCGCCCTCAGTCGTCATTCCTGGGGCCATTCATCGCTGCAACAGCGTCATACACGAGCGTGGGGGGCTGGGGGGTACGGCGCCCCTAGCATCGTTTTGATCCATGCGTCAAAACGGCCGTTTGTTGACAAGATGGACGCGCATCGCGCATCGCCACCGAGGTCATTTTCACAAGTCTTCCATCTGCGCGACCGGTCTGCGCCTCGCTGCATTTGATGGTGCTCAGCAATGTTGATGACTGACATGTGGCACATGTGCGCATACCACGAGCCTTGGCAGATGTACTGTGCACGGCTTGGACTAGGCTAGCCTTCCCTTCAAATGCCGAGCCGTGCGGAAGAACGCCCCCTTCTAGTTCAACAGATCGACACGGCCTTGCTCAGCACCTGTATGTATCCTTGTATGAAATTATGCATTGATGGGTAACCAAAGAAAGAGAACCGAGACACACATAAATTGTTCAATTTATAACAAGAGTCAAAGAAAGAAAGAATTGTTCGTGGATAAGACCGATTCTATCTTCTATCTCTATCTATGCCATGCTCGCCCTAGACCCAGACTCGTTTCCAGAACAAACAATCTAAACTTCTTGCTTCTCGGGCTGTCGGAGGGTGAAAGTGACAAGGGGGTTATGGGGTTGTACGATCATAGTCTTCATCACTCATCAGCATATTCCTACGCAACCAGCAAAAGCACTTACCCGGTAGTTGGTCTTGGGGAACTCGGGCACCGCCAACTTCAGCTCAAAGTTCCTAATCACATACGTAAAGATCGTCGACAGCTGCGTGTACGCAAACTGCTCCCCAACACACCTATGCCTACCAGCCCCGAAAGGCTGGTACGGACTCTCAGTACCTTTGCTGACAGCGCCGAATCCATAGTCGACCTGGTCGCCCTTGGTGTACTCGTCGGCGGCGGTGGCGGCGACACCGTCGGTTTCGAGCCATCGGGCAGGGTTCCAGGTGGTGGAGTCGGCCCAGATGCGGGGGTCCATCTGAGAGACACCGGGGGCGGCGAGGATGTAGTGGCCCTTGGGGATGACGTAGGTGCTGTTCTCGGAGGGGGCAGAGAGGGAGGCAGGGACGGGGATGTCGGACATGACCTTTCGGTAGATGGAGCTGTGGCAGGTTAGTTGGGACTAGTCAATCGTCACACTAGACATACTGAATAGGAGCGTGCTGCGAAAGATGTCAGCGATGTACGACACAAGCAGAAGATCACGTACCAAACGAAGAGTCTCTCGGATGATAGCGTCCATAAGAGGCAACTCCTTCAAATCCTCATACCTGTACTCCTTGAAAGATCCATCAGGGTTGGTAAGCTTCTCCTTCTGCTCCTTGTAGAGACCCTCGCTAATCCATCTATCAGCTCTTTCCTCTTTCTCAGAAACACCAAAACGTACACAATGTCGGGCCGGTCAGCCAGATGGAGAAGGGTCCAGGTGGAAGTAGCGGAAGAAGTGTGCTGGCCGGCCATGAGGAGCGCGATCATGATGTGGGAGATGTCTCGGTCGGTGAGGGCGACGCCGTTTCGGTACTTGCAGTTCTGGAGGTTGGCAATCATATCCTGGTCATGCTGCGACTCTTATCAGCATCACCATTCTACCAAAGAGAAAAGGACTCACGTCACTCTCGCCCTTCCTTCGGTCCTCCATGATCTTGATGTAAAAGTTACTCATAGCCTTCTGGGCATCATCTCGCCTCTTGTAAGAAGGCAAAGGCAAGTTGGGAAACAAGAAATTCAAAGGCGTGAAACCACCGTCCAGATCCTCATAGTACTTGGCAAAGTGACCGTTCAAAGACTCTCGAACTTCCTTACCCTGGAGGGTTCGGGAAGCAGTAAGAATGATGAGCTCCGACATGGCCTTGAGGAGGTCCATGGTAGCGGAAGGAGAGGAAGGAGTGATTTTGGCTTCTTTGGTGAAGAATTCTTCGCACTCTGCGGTGATCATGGGAGGGTAGGACTGGAGGGACTCGGTGGTGAGACCAGACTTGATCTGTAGCTCTCATCAGCGACTGGCCAATGACACATGGTAGAGAAGTACGCACAAACTTCTTTTGTTGCATCAACATCTCGTTAGGACAGTCGTAAACGACACCTTTACCAAAGACAGGAGTAGTAAGATGCTACATATCAATCAGCTCTTGTCCACACACAAGACATCTGGACTCACAGTGTAAGCGTCCTCAGCAGAGACCTGCGAGATCTTGCCGCCCAATGACAAGTTGTTGCCCTTGGGTCCGAGCGCGACGGTAATTCGACGGCCCATCAGGATAAAAGTAAAGACATCTCCGTACTAAAACATAGTCAGCATGATTCCAAGGCTCGTCCTCTTCCATTTGCCCCTCTCTCCAACCATAAATCTTTGACACCAAGCTCTCCAGAGCGATATCAAAGCCCGAAGTGGAGCGCCTCATCCAGCCACCAAAACAACTCGATAGCGAAAGCACATACCTTGTCACGGCACTCAAACATAAACTTGTAAGGGTCCTCTCCATAGTACGCAGCAGAACCAAACCAGGGAATGTAGTGGAACACTACAGGGGGCAAGTCTTTTCTCGTGGGGATGACCTGTGTTTTTTTTTTTCAGACGCGCGATAAAGACAAAAGCGCGATGGGCGACTCTGATCAGCTCTGATCATCAGGCGAAGAAGAGGGGCGTACGAGTTGTCGAAGAACATTCAGACCAATGATAGTAGCGATACTGCCAACCACAGTGACGAGCACTCTCAAAGCCAACGGCAGCGCGGTGTACCACCCCGGCACATAAGCGCCAGCTTCGTGCGCTATTCTCTGTAGTTGCGGGACGATTGCCGACATGTCGATGATGCAGGCTGGGGTCGGATGGGGGAAGGCGAGGGGGGGAGGGGTGGAAACGGCGGGGGTTTTATAGGTTTGAAAGACAAGAAAGATGGTTCGACGAGAGGAAATTGACGCACATTACGGTTTCCTGTGGCGGGCGCGCGCGGGGAAAGTGGAACGATGTTTCCAGCGCAAGCCCCCCGCGCCCGGTTTATTCCATCTCTCTTGTTCTCCCGATGCATGTAAACGAGAGCGTGTGGCTTGCTCGCTTCTCCATACGCTCACGGGCACATGCGGATCGACGACTATCATAAGTAAATGACATATCATCAACACCCAGGTATACAAGATGTTCTGCTCTATAATGCAGTTCGTACGATAACGCGAAACCACTACTACTCGCCAGAAAAATAATGCTATAGGAAGAGATCTTCTAATCAGAGAAATATCAACGAGAAGACATGGTAGATATGGAAACAGATAATCATAAGCCGCTCTGAGCGCTACGCAAGAGAGGAAAAGAATCCATAGAATACAACGAAGCACTCTTCTTCGTCCCTCAGCCTAACCCCTTACTCTTCCTCCTCCTCCTTGATCCCTCCATCTGTTCCTCGAGAACGGCGTTCTTTTCCGCCTTTCACCAAACTCCCCTTCCTACCCCTGCCCTTTACCTCCTGCGGCGGAGCCTGAGCTTGAGACGGAGGCTGCTCCGCATAATGCCCATACTGAGGCGGCTGCGGCATTCCCACCGGCTGGCCGAAGCCTTCCGGCCCCATCCCCACGGACGGCGAGTGCATCATCCCATACCTCGGATCAGGATAGTATCCTTGCGGTACCATGCCCTGCTGATGCGGATGAGGACGCGGTTGAGCCATACCCATAGGCATAGGCGCATACCCCGGGGCAAAGTAGTACCCCGGCGGCATATGCGGCATCGCATGCATCGGGTGTTGACCGTGAGCATAAGGATGCGCTCCAGGATGGTGTGGATGCGGGTGCGGGACCATGTGCGTCTGGCCTTGAGGTTGGAATGGGGCATGGTGTGGAGGGTGTTGAGCTACGATCGCTTTCGGACCCGGGTTGGGAGCGGGGGCGGTAGTCGTCACTGGCGTCTCTTTCGAAACGCCATTCGAACCGACTTGGTGCACCTTCGCATGTCGTTTGAGGTTGGACTGGACCGAGAATCGTCGGCCGCAGCCTGGTTCGTGGCACACATACGGTCTTTCGCCCGTGTCTACATTTCATCAGCGCATACTCTATAAATTCGATAATGGACTTACGGCTATGCGTGTGAATCTTCAACGAACTTGGCCTTGAGAACGACTTTGCGCAATAGGAGCAGGTATACTTTGGCCCCGCCACGCCCGACCCCGGACCTTTCCCCGGACTATCCCTCTCCTCATCCATCTCATCCTCCTCCTCCCCACTCCTCTTGCCTTCTTCCTCTTGTGCTGCCCGAAGCGCTTCTTCAGCGAGGACTTCCATACCCCTCATCCCCGGGTCCCCACTCCCACTCCCACTACTCTCCCCGACAGACATGACGTCTTCTCGTTCTTCCACTGACCTCTTCTTGCCCCTGCCCGACAGCGTACGGTCTTCATCTTGGCTGATGGCAAGATGCGCAGTGAACGAGCTGATCGATTCTGTCGATTCGCGGCGCCCTGAAGGGACCGGCAAGAATACAGACTGGGGCGAAGCACGAAGCGGTGAAGGCGCGGCGAGGATCGGCTCAGAGAGCGGTGATTTCTCAGCAAGGTACTTGCCTTCTTTCATAGCGACGTCGTCCCCGCTCTGGGCCTTGATCATGTCTGACAATGACGACCGCCGGACTTCACCGTCAGGTGTCGAGGGCTGGGTATTCGAATGCCGTCTCAGCCGATCTGACGCTGCTGATGACGGACGGGAGATGGCTGGTATAGCCAACGACGAAGAGGGGAGAGGTTTCTCTGAACCAGGTGTCGAGATAGGACGTAATAAAGATGAAGCTCGACGTTCTGTACCATGGAAAGCTGGGGGGTGCACGCTCAGTCGCCGTTCTGGTGCTGAAGGAGCAGAGAGGGAGCCTCGAGGACTGTCGGCCGACAAGTCTGCGAAGTGTTTCGCCAGCTGCCCGCTCACCAGGCTCCCGTTCCTCGAGCGAGGACTCGCCCTGCGGGACACTGGCGCGTCCCCCTCGCTCCCCGACATGCCCGACAGCGAGCCTCGCGACATGGCAGCAGACACCCCAGCAGACGGCGCAGAGGGCGGATGCAGGGAGGCGCGACCTGGCCAGTTGGTCGGGGTCGTAGGTCCGGATGATCCGCTGGGGGAAGCAGATGGGAACGAGGCGTTCCGACTTTGGGCCTGCCACTTGAGCCTCGCGAGCTCTTCGTTGTCTGCCGCAGGAGGAGGGCCATCGGATCGACGGCGTTTTTGATCGTGCTCATCGAAAAGGTGGGTTTGTGTGTGGGGAAGGGTGTTGGAGCGGTAAGATTGGTGGGCACTGAATGGGTTGCCGTTGAAATCTGGGTGCCACCAGCCTGGGGCGGACGTCTCGACGGCGGCTGAGGATGTCAGAGAAGAAAATCGAGATGTACGGCCTGAAGCGGCGGTGGAGGGCGATGTCGGAGAGTTTGGTACCAATGACGGGAGCGAGGGTGACTGAAATAATGCCGAATTGAGAACAGGCGGGGGATCTACGCTTGGTCAGCAAGTACACAAACAGTGGCGTGTCTAGGCTCACCACCAGCACCGCTGAGTAACGACTTGATGCCAGGCAGACTTATGGCGTCGCCCCCCGACACCTGCCTCGCCTGTTCTTCTTCTTTCGAATCCTCTTTGACCCGCCTCAAAGGATGTCTCTGACCAAGCTCGCCGTAGCCCTCGTCTTCCTCGTACGCCTCGTCGTCCGTCCGGATCATCGGGTCGGCACGTGAAGAACGTCTCGCCATGTTGCCCTTGGGCGAAGGCGCTGTGGGGTGTTTGAATGTGGTGGTGAACAGGGATGCGCCTGGGCGGCTGGTGGGCGAAATGTTGGAGGGGGAGAGGGGCGGTGCGTCAAAGTATACGTGGTGGGTAGCAAACGTCGCTGTTTCCATATTACCGCTTTCACGGGCGGTGATAGTAGATGCAAAAGAACGGTGTTCGCTGCTCGTCGGGGCGATTTTTGTGCTCACTGCATGGGTGCGCGGGGAAGAACAGGCGGTGTGGGGCGACATGGAATATAAGGTCGAGGGACAATTGAACGTAAAGGACAGAGGCTGCGATGCGATCGATGATATATTGGGAGGGCTGAAGAAGCAGAGGCCGAGGTGCGTGTACCCGAGGCAAAGATCGTCAGAGGGACATGTGTGGGGGAAAGTGTGCAGGGAGGGATCAGAGACAATCGAGAGGTGCAGGGGGAGGGACCAAACAGCAGGGTCGTGGCGTCGGAGATAGAGATGGAGATGCAGGAGAGGAAATGCGATTGTCAGCGTGAGTCCTTGGACATAGCACAGTCAGAAGCAGAGAAATGGGCGATGGCATACGGCGATCACTACCGTACCCCGCCCCAGCCGTGTGCTCCAAGGAATGTACGCGCTGCCCTGGTACTACCCCTCCCCCGTACACCCCCAGAGAAGCACGAGGAAGCACCAAGTGATGTGCGCCACACCGTCCCGAGCGCGGCCCCTGGTGCACTGATGGTCTCATGGTCCCATGGAGCGACAGCATGGATCTAGGAGGGTATGTCTAACCCATCGCCCCTCGACCCTGCGCCACACATTACCCAACAACGAGCGCCTATCATGCCCCTTGCGACCGCCACTGCACATCGCCCACAACCCCATCGCCCATCGCCTATCGTCCCACCGGTCAACGCTCGAGTCCAAAGGCACACGGCACACGGCACAAACACACACCCCCAAGCCGAACAAGGAAGGACGCACCTGCTCACCTTTTTCACCACACAGTCCAGGACCCTTTCTCTGTCGTTTCTTCCCTTGTCTACTGTTGTTCAGGTGTTCGCCCGTCAATCCCGGAGAAGCGATGAAAGGCGATGTGATAAAGGAGAGTGGGGGGTAATTGAGAGGTACGGAAGGGAATGTACCTTGTTGATTGTTGACAGGATCCACAGCCGAGGGATGATGTACAGTACCGTGCTATGCTTAGATCAGCCATCGTACACATCATCAATCAGCGGACGTGAGCAACTCACCTGGAAAAGGCTCAGATCGAGCTTCAACTGTCCTAAGCGTCTAACGACAATCAAGCACAACCAAAGGCGAAGGCTCGCAAGCAGTGGGCTGGAGCGGAAGAGCGAGAAGGGGTGCAGGGGCGTGATGCACTTTTTTGATCCCTGCTGATGGATGATCGCCGTAGTCGTAGATCTCGACTTTTGCCGTCGTTCTTTGTCGACCTCGAATCAATTTCGTTCTTCTCTAGCGATGCTCTCTTCCCTCCGTATATGCCGGGACTGAGCGCTTTATCGTTGAGGTCGAGCGGCTGATTTCGGGGCTGGTGGATAGAATCGTTCACTCTTTCGTTGTCGCAAGACTCGTCTCTCCGTAGAAAGAGTAAAGAGCAAGTCGCTTGGTCGTTCGCACCAGCTGCTGGGTGCTATGAAGGACCACGCACACTCTCTTGTGGTCGCAAGAGTGACGAAACAAGTGTATAACCCCAACAAAGAGGGGTCTGTCGGTTTTGGCGCTCAAGAGATGAGACGGGGGTTCGATGATGTGCAGGGATTTTGGGTTGGTGGACGAAATGGAGGTTTTTGCGACACTACTTGGTGCGACGAGAGCGGGAGACAATAGACGGGGAGGAGAGGAACGAAAGACGGATCGAGAGTTGTGCCGAACTTTTGGGAAGTCCTCGACTTTCGGTCTTTCTTTCTTGGCTGCCTCTTTCTCTTCTCTGCGTTGTCGTCTTTCGCCTTTCGCCTTCAGTTGGAGTGGCGATCGAATGGGAAAAGAATGGTAAAAACAATAAAGTCAAGGAAATCACGCACAGTACGGAGGCAAAATCCGTCTACAGGGTAAAAAGAGGCTGATAAGGGAACGACAACCACCAATTTGTGCGAGTTCCGAGTGACACCTTAAACGCAGACTGGACGAGTTTAAATACCGAACGCTACCGAACGGTACCGAACGAGCGACACGAGGGACGAGGGCCGGCTGGGTGGAAGCTGGAAGGGGAGAGGCCGAGGCCGGCGAGGCAAGACAAAGGGTCAGGCGTTCTCGGGCGTCAGCGGCGTCGAGCGACGTCAAGGGTTATTTGACTTTTACCCTGTGGCCTTGAGTCTGAGAGCTGGGACTGAAAGTTGGGAGAGACAAGTTTTCCCCAATTTTTTGGGTTTTACCGCGGGTTCGGACTGCACCAACTTAGGGCACGGCGAGATACAGCAGAGGGGAGGAAGGGGAGGCGTTAACGTAAAAGTGACGAGATAATTTGTCTCCCCAGCTCCACTCCAGACAGGCGTGCTTTCGGGCGGGCCCGGCATGCATGATTTTAGACAACTCCATGGGGCCTTGGGACCTTGACGCTGTACAACTGTTGCGCTGTGAGCACTGGAGCTTTCGCTTGTCATGTGCCCAACAGCAGGAAGCTGGGGGCTGGGAAGCTTGAGTATGCAGATCCCCAAGAGATGTACATGTGCTTGGACATGTGGATGAGTTACTCCTTGACCTTCGGCCTCATCTTTCCTCTTTCTCTCCGGCATCCTGCCTCTCTCACCTCTCACTGTCTGCAATCTGTAGCTCAACCCCTCCCCCAGCGTCGTACGAACCACACATAAGGTCCATAGGGAAACCCGCAACGGCTCTAACGGGCCTCACGCGCACCCTGCTGGTGAGCACTGCACCCGCTGCTGATCAGGTTAGTCAACCACAACTAGCATCGAAACACCTATGTCATTGCTATGGACCGGGTTGCAAAGATCTTCAGAACATCAGAAGGCACGCCCTGCGCACTGAGGCGGTCTCGCATGGATCACATTCGCATGCATCGCATCTCGCACGTCTCACCAACAGAATAATGGTAATGGGCGATGTAGTCACCGCTCTCTCCAGATGTCATCCATGCTCCGTCTGCTAGGAAAACATGGTGGGATCTTTGTCGGGTTGGCTCATTTTGGACCATGTGGGGCTGGACTTGAAAGACGGGGAGCAGGGAGCACAGGGAGGAGCGAAGGGCGAGGGCACGGGAGGGGCGCACGGCCACAAGGTGGCGAGGACAGTGGCGCAGTACAAATATCCATATGTTTGGCGCCATTATGAAGTGTCAACATGGACAAGCACGGTGGCCACGGAGGCCACGCAGGGGAGGGGAGACTAACGCCAGCCACTTCCATCATCTGGTGAACTCTGACTCTGGAAAAGATCAAGTTTCTTTCCTGTGCCCTGCGCGCCGACTCTCGCTTCTCGGAGTCTCGGCTGTTTGACTTGTTCTACCGCCTCAAATAAGGCCCTTGAGGTCTTCGGGTAAGGAAATGTAATGCCGGATGCAGTTCTGCTTAATCTTGTTTTAGGTCTTTCTTAGTTGAAGGTACGGTACTGAGTACTCGTACATCTCGAGTACACGACATCGAAGATCAGATTAGATCAGATTACAATTTGGCACTCGTCGACTACAATCACCAGATACGTAGGCCAGATATATGTACCAGATAACCTATGACCCTACAGATTCCCGATTGTATCACCAGATAGTCAGTCACTCTCCGCATGTCAATTTCAATTACAGATGCCATTAGGCCGTGAATATTAGACCAGTTAGGATCTGGTTTCTCTAATCAATTAAGCTAAAGAAGGCTGCTAAGGCGTTTGTTAAATGATGAGATTACTGGAGATCCGTTCTATCGGGCCACTTTGCCGCTAATACGCTAACGACTCGTCTCCCCGAAGTGTGATCAGACTCATCGGAGATCAATTGTCATACATTTTGTCTCAATGCAATGCGAACATAGCACTTGTCGTAGCAGAAGCAGGCCGCAGGCCGTCGGGGCCGGTAGCCGGCAGCTTGGAGCAGCAGGTGTGAGGCATGAGGCATATGAGGCCGGATGTGAGGAAGGAGGTTAAGGAGGGAGACGAGTGCCACTGCCGGCTGTCGCCGCGGATGCAGATTGCAAAGCACCCACAATGATGCGCCATTGACCATGGAGGAGCTATCACTGCAGACCACTCGAGGACAGTAAAGCACAAGTACAAGGGTTTTCTCTTCCCCCGCCCCTCCTCTCCCCTCCGCGTATGCAGCTTGTTACATTGTTGACGGAGGCTCGTGGCCCGTGAGTCGTACGAATACTTGTACATAGGCGTGAGGTGCTGCCAAGTGCAGCTCTGGAAAGAACAGCTGCGACTCGGGTTCCCGAAACAGTTCGGCTTCCACCACTTCGGCCCACTCTACCGGGAAAATCGCCCAGGGACCAGGGATTCCAGGGACTACATAAAATGAAGCAAAAGTTCGGCTGGGGCGCTTTTGAGAATGACAGGGTCAACTCAGGGGTGTGAGAACATGTGCGCCGCTGGCAGTTTTGGGTCAGAAATTCACAGCAGGGCGCGAGTGGAGCTCTCAGCTGTCAAAGGAAAGCAGAAGGGGCAAGAAGAGAAGGCAAGCGGGACTGCGGTGGCTGCTTCGTGTTCTGAATCGAGACCAGGGCCATGACTTGCATAAATATGTACAACTTGCAACAGGCACAGTGGTCAGCGGCGGTGGTCACTAATAAACAACAGTTTGAGCCTCATCAGCTTGCTTGAGTCTTCACCCCTGCATCTGTGGCAGATTCTTCTTCTCATTGTACCTAACCTATACACAATAATGCGCACAACATTGTGACCCATTACGATGCGATGTAGGGATGTGAGGCAGCGATCATTTCAATCTCTGCAGATCCCCATCGACAGAAGAAGACTGTTACATGATGACGCGAGTGACGGACGCGACTTTTGTAAATCTGTTATTACGGGAGAGTAGCGGAGATCTGTGCCCAGCTTGCCCGAGCTTCGAAGAGCTTGATATCTGATCATGTTTCTTCAACAGCGAGCATGGGGTACTACATCGTGGCATGGGGAAAGGATTGGCCGGCGGAGCCGGAGGCATAGATCAGCAGAGATATACTTCCACAGGCCGCAGGCTTCCTGGTCACCAAATAAGTGTTGATCAAGTCCCTCTAGGCGGTCTTGTGAGAGCGCAGGTTCTTCCAACGCATGTGGCAGTCAGAGAATCTCCGGGGGAGACGGCAATGGAATCGAGGGCACTCAGCAGCAGAACCTTGCCGATGTTCTTGTATGGCATTTGAAGATCATTTCGAAATCCGTTACCCTGTGGTCTCTCAACAGTCAGGTCATTAAGGAGCGTCTTGTGCTTGAGTACCGAGTTCTTTTGATGTATGATACATGCTGTACGTGTGTAGCTGGTGGGCGGCACCAGCACTGCAACAAGGTACGACGTGCCAAATGATACAGTAAGACGCTCGCACAGCCAGCTAATGGATCTTCGAAACAGTACTCGTACTGTTTACCCTCCTTCTCGTCGAGCAGATACGCCTACGGTGACGAAGAAATCAACATCAGCAAACAGTTTTCCGCCGTTTCAAGATAGAGTGAAGGAAAGATACTCACAAGACCCGCGCGACCAAGGCAGCCGACTTCGCGATCACGTACAAGTACCAGTTTACCCATGCACAGAATCGCAGGCGGTAAAGAACCTTTGTCCTTGTCTGCTCGACTCTCTTGCATTCTTCTCTCCTGCTTTCATTCAGACCGGGGGCGGAGAGTGTGAGGAGGCTGTCTCTGTAATCGCAGACATCTGTCGCCCGGGCTAAAGTTCTGCTGCCGGTTGATCAAGGCTGTTGCCTGGTCGACGCGTGGTGTCGCGACATGCTCTAGGTCTTTAGGCAAGCGCGTAGTGACAAGCTGCCAGGAGAATCGCCACAAGGAAGGATGGGAAGCTGGCGACAAGTAGGCATCCGGTAGGAGGTTTGGCGGGCTATCCTGGCCGGCAGAGTCACTCGTCAGTCTCAGGTGTCCATGTGATGAGGATGAGGATGGTCTGGGCATGCACGACAACATAATACCTTGGGAGAATATTCACACGCAGGATCAGATATGTAGAGCAACCTCAGAGCTAAGCAGTGGGCTAAGCATCATGATCCAGCACCGTTGGCATCGACGCTGCTCACAATATGACTTTTGAGCTTCATGAACGAATGTACAACGAAGACATACGAGATTTGACGTGGAACGGTCAAACGTGCGGCACTGTGCTTGGCCCACAGCACTCCCAAGTACAGCTCACCACCACCATTGCCCTTTGTGTACCAGCACCATTGGACGGGAAGACCAAGATACTGTTTGCATTTTGTCTGGTCATCCAAAAAGAACATGTAGGCGTACTAGATCCTCGTCCGATTATAAAGAGCCACGAGCCGCCATTTCCGCTACTGGATGTTGTTTACCGTGAGCAAACATGTCCTGAACGATAGTCAGTGGTCGAACTCCGCAATACACCATCTGGTACTCACCTCGGCAGTATCGCAGACAACCTTGCAAGCCTCTTCCCGGTCTCTCCACTTGCACTCGTATCCACGACCACCTTCGACCAGCTCTTCCACCTGCCCTTCCTCTCTTACAACGTTCCCCAGTCCGGTGGCAGCGCCAGAGATGGTGCCAGGGGGGTGAGCAAAGTTGTTTTGTGCTTCGGGGGCGGACAGGAAGAAGTCTGAGTGTGGTGATGCTGGGTGGTTGTTGCCGAGGCCAGAAGGACCAGGAGGGAATGGGCGTCTCGCAGGGACGTCCTCGGCGGTCATGTAGCCCCTAGCCGCATCCTCGTCCTCGTCACTGTCTCCTTCGCTCTCTGGCGGCAGCACACCCATCGCCCTGGCCCTCAAAACCTGATTCTCCTCCAACAACTCCACCTGCCTTCCCTTTGCCTTTCTCAGCTTCCTATCCAGATCCTCATTCTCCGCCGTAAGCCGTTCACTATCCTCCCGGTACTTGTCACACCAGACAGCCTTCTCCCGGATGGGGTCGCCAGTGACGCGCGCTTGGTCGAGCAGGATCTTGACCTGTGCGCGGAGCTGCTTGATTTGAGCGTTGTGGGCGGAGGAAGTGGCGTGGTTGAACAGTTCGCGTTGTTTGAGACCGTCTCTAAGCTGGCCTCGGAAAAGTTGGTTTTGCTTGGTCAAGACATCGGACTTGCGGACCAGCTCGACGGCTCGGTCTCTTGCCTTCTCGTACTCCTTTGTCACGAAGCGTTGATGTTCCGCTTCAGAAGCCCGAGAAGCCTCGGCAGCCTCAAGTTGCTCAGTGAGAGAGGCGATCTCGCTCTGAAGAGAGTTCTTCGAAGCTTTGGCTTCTTGGAGCTTGGCGGTGAGGGTCTGAATCTGCTCTTCAGCACTCGCGAGCTTGAGAGCGATCGGATGATCTTTGGCTATCTTCTTTGCCTCCTTTGTAGCCTGTTGGGCGGCTTCCAAGAGCTTGCGCAGCTCGGCCACCTCGGCTCGGGCGTGGACGAGAGCAGAAGAGTCGGGGTGGTTGTTGTACCTCTCATCCGATTGATCCTTTCCAATCTTCGCAGCAGAAAGCTCCTTTCTCAACCCTTCCATCTCCCTCTTCAGCCCCTCCAAAAGCCGTATCTCTGCCCCTTCTTCCTTGCCCTTGCCCCTCACTTCTTCGGCGTCAGCCTGCGCGGCCGCCAGTTCCTCTTTCAACCGTTCATTCTCAGCCTTGACTTTTTCGAGAGCGACACTATCGGGGTGGTACTTCAAGGTATCAATCATGCTCGCCCTGGCTTCAAGCGCGTCTTTCAGCTGCATTCGGAGCTTGTCGTTCTCCTTGCGAAGGTCCTGGTCGGAGAGCGGCGTTTCGTCTTGGGTACTTTTCTTGGGTGAAGAGGCAGGCAGGGGTTGGGTTTGGGGTATCTGGGATTCGGGCCAAGACTCTGTGAGGTCATAGACAACGATTTCCTTAGGCGCGCCCTCCACCTGTTGGCCGTTAGATACAACTTTCAATACAGATAATACGACTTACTCCTGCCTCCTCTCCTTCATCCTGTCTCTCCTTTCCTTTCCCCTTCGTCCTCCCTGACGCAGTCTTCCCAGGCAGGCTGGCCACAGCCTTGGCCAAAGCCTCCGCTTCTTCGTACTCCCTCAAGTGCCTCCGAGCAGCTTCCTCCTTTTTCTCATGTCGCATGAATGGCGGGCTAATGAATTGGTTGATAGTGTCGGCTGACGAAGGCAAGTGTGGGTTCATGTTTAGTGAGCTGACTTCTGGTCGGATGGGAGAAGAGATGGGGTATTGCGTGGGTTGAGGGTCTGTTTCCTCCTCAATGTTGGGCTGAGAGGGCTGGGCAAATTCCGTAGGAACTTGAGAGGGTTCGGGATAGTCGGTGACGTCTTTGGATATTGGCAGTACTCGCTTCTTGGGCTTGGTCTTGGTCCCATTCGCCGACTGCTTGGTTGGAGGCACAACCTCCACCTTTGCCCTCCCCTTATTCTTCGCAGAAGACTGCCGAACCGCATCGTCGTCTTCTTCATCCGAATCCAGCTCGTCATTCTCTGGCTCTTCCTCAGAGTCGCTTGAGCTTTGTTCGACTACAGGTTGGCGTTCCGCGTGCGATTCGCGCGGGCGCGTAGCTCGAGTGCGAGCAGAAGTCTCGGAGGGTTCTGATGCGGTACGGGTAGAGCGGCGGCGGGTGGTAGATCCCGCAGGCTTGAGAGTTATACTGTGCGTTTTGGAGCGTGGTGTTTCACCTGCAAACAATCAGTCTTGTCCATTCCAAAGTTGGACCAGACGCACCCTTGGACGTTCGCGACTTTTTCTCCGTCTTGACAGTCACTGTGCTGCTCCTCTTTCTCTTCTTCGCATTCACCTTCAGCCTCGCCTCCCGCTCCGCCTTGGCCTTCTTTCGGTCCAACTCCTTCTTCCATTTCTGATACTCCTGTATCCTATCGTCCCATCGGGCCGCCCCCTTCCCCACAATGTCCGGGTCACGCCTTTTCACAGCCCTCCACTCCTTGATCAAGTCATTCGTACAGGCCGTCTTGGCCGTCCATTCGGGCAAGTATGTCTTGCCAGTGTCGGGGTCGATACCAGCCCATTCGACCAGGTATTCACCGCCCCCTCTTTTGTTGACGCGTTCATCGAGGATACGGATGGCGTCGTAGAGGGTATCGCTGTCGTCTTCTTGGGGTACAAATTGGGTGGCGTGGATGGACTCGGTGTCGTCGTCGGATGAGGGGGACGGGGAGGATGACATGGTGAAAGAGTCGCGTGAAGGACTGGCGAGTGTCAGTGAGCTCGTGCATATTCTGGATTGCTGTACCCACTGGTTCTTTGTTCACAGGATATCATGTGTGACACATGGATAGGAGTGTAAGAGAGAGGGGATGCCGTCTTACGTAACCCGGCAGGTGGGCATAATTTCCACGAGACTGACTATACTTCTGCACTGCCCGCCATGCCGCCAAAATTCGATCCAGCTGCCCCCGAGAACGCAGAACTCATCTCCCTCTTCCAGAACCTCGGACTCGCCAACAAGTCCGCCACAGAGCTCGTCCGCCAGCCCAAGTCTGGCAAGGCCTTCAAGTCTCTTATCGACCAGTACAGCCTCGGCAACGAGAGGTTCGATGAGAAGCAAGCTGGCGCTCTCGTCAAGCTGAGCTCTGTGGGAGACAAGCTGAGCGAGGAGCAGAAGGGCTGGCTGGTGCAAAAGATTGTCAAGGGGGACGTCAAGTCGCCTGATCAAGTCACTGGTGCGTTATCTTTCGACTCGAAGGGTCCTTTGCCACCTCTAGTAGGGGCTGTGGTATGAGAATGAGCTTGGGCGACACTGACAATGGCTGGGCAGCTGCTCTGAAGTTTGCCGAGAAGAATCCGGACCTCGCTGCGAACGAAGCTGCTTTCGACAAGGAGTGTGGTGTTGGTAGGACTGTCTTCCTTTCATTCTCTGCCTGTACTGACAGTATCATTAGGTATCAACATCACCCTCGCCGACCTCCCTGAACTCCTCAAGTCCTACCTCGCTTCCCTCCCCACCCCAGCCGAATCTTGGTCTGCCCTTGGCCCTGTTTTGGGTGGTATCAAGAGCGGCGGCTCCGACCTCCGATGGGCCAACGCCGCCGAAGTCAAGACCTCCCTCGAAGAGATCTTCACCTCTCTCTTCGGCACCAAAGAAGCCGCTGCTGCCGCCAACGCCGCCAAGCCCAAAGCCAAACCTGCCAAACCTGCCCCTGCACCCAAAGCCGCCGCCTCCGCCGCTGCCACTCCCACCGACCCCAGCGAGCCTGTCATCCCCACCAACATTTTCAGCGACGGTTTCTTGTCAGAGTTCCACAAAGTTGGGGAAAACCCGCAGATCGACCCAAAGTTGAAGGAGAAGCATTTGGAGTGGACTCAGGGCAAGGTGCACACGCGTTTCCCGCCAGAGCCCAATGGGTTCTTGCATATTGGACATGTGAAGGCTATCATGATCGACTTTGGATATGCCAAGTACCACGGTGGTCGCACATATCTCAGGTAAGTTTACATCTACTTGTCTGGATATGACTAATGATTAAAGGTTTGACGACACCAACCCCGAAGCTGAAGAGGGCCGCTACTTCCAGTCCATCCTCGAATCCGTCCGATGGCTCGGCTTTGAGCCCTGGAAGATCACCTACTCTAGCGACAACTTTGACAAGCTGTACGAGCTTGCTTTGGAGCTGATTCGCCGGGGAAAGGCTTACGTCTGTACTTGTGATGGTGAGTTGCCTTTTGCCAAGTCGGGAGTCAGCTGACCATCATCCAGCCGAGAAGATCAAGGAAGATCGAGGTATGGGCAAGGGTAACCCTGTGCCCTGTATCCACCGCGAACGCCCCTCTGAGGAATCCCTCCACGAGTTCCTGAGGATGAAGAACGGAGAGTACGAGGAAAAGACTGCTTGTTTGAGGATGAAGATGGATTTGAGCTCGGGTAACCCCTACATGTGGGATACTGTGGCCTACAGAGTCAAGAAGGCGCCCCACCACAGGACCGGTGACAAGTGGAGTGAGTAGCGAAGTTTAGTGAAAGGGAAAGAGCTGATGATGGCAGAGATCTACCCTACTTATGACTTTACGCACTGTCTCTGTGATAGCTTTGAGAACATTACGTGAGTACATCTTTCAGCATCCCAGCAAGTACTGATTCCCGCAGTCACTCCCTCTGTACCATCGAATTTATCCCCGCCCGAGAGTCTTACGAGTGGCTCTGTGACGCCCTCTCCGTCTACAAACCCCGTCAATACGAATTCGCCCGTCTCAACCTCCAAGGCACTTTCCTTTCCAAGCGCAAGATCGCCAAGCTTGTCCTCAACAAGCACGTCCTCTCGTGGGACGACCCCCGTCTCTACACCATCATCGCTCTCCGGCGTAAGGGTATCCCTCCCGGGGCATTGCTGTCGTTTGTGAGCGAGCTGGGTGTGACCAACATTCCCTCGACGACAGAACTGAAAAAGTTTGAGAGTGTGGTCAGGAAGCATTTGGAAGACTCGGCGCCGAGATTGATGATGATCTTGAACCCCATCAAGGTCATCCTCGACAACGTCCCCGACGACTACCGCCACCCTGTCGAAGTGCCCGTCCACCCCAAGATCCCTGCCATGGGTACTTTCATGACCAACTTTACCAAGGAGGTCTACATCGACGCGGACGACTTTAGGACCGTCGACTCGCCAGACTACTTCCGTCTCGCCCCTGGCAAGTCTGTCGGTCTGTTCAAAGCTCCCTTCCCCGTCCGCGCCACCTCCTTCACCACCGACCCCTCCACGGGCAAGGTCACCGAGATCCACTGCCACCTCGAGAACGACTCTGATTTCAAAAAGCCCCAGGCCTACATCCAATGGGTCAACGTCCCCGACGCTGTCCGTATCGACCAAGTGCGCTACTTTAACCCTCTCTTCAAGAGCGACCCTCCTCCTGCAGACTTTGAGAGCGATATATCGCCTGATTCTTTGCAGATCTATGAGGGTGCTGTTGTGGAGCCGGCGTTCTTTGAGGTGGCGAAGAAGCAGATGGCGGATGCGAGGGAGGCTAGTGTGTTGCGTACCAAGAAGGCTCTTGCGCAGGCTGCTCCTTCTTCTTCCGCTACATCTGGATCTTTGGAGACCGGTGCTTCTGCCCCCGTCGCCCGGTCTGCCGCTGCAGCTCACGCTGAAGACGAGCCCGTTGCCACCGCCGACCAGCTCATCGGTCCCGAGAACATCAGGTTCCAGGGTATGCGTCTCGCGTACTTTGCGCTCGACAAGGAGAGCTCGGTGGCGTGTTTGGAGGACGAGAATGTGAAGGGTGCCAAGGCGGGAGACAAGATTGTGTTGAACAGGATCGTCTCGTTGAAGGAGGACGTTGGAAAGAAGGCTTAGGGTTTTTATATGACGACAGATGGTAATGAAGAGGTTTGCAGCATATCTGGTATGTAGAGTAGATGGGAGAGCATACCCATTGCGTACAGTACATAGTCGTCAGCATATGCACATTGAGCGTGGTGCATACTCGTCTTCTTCGTCGTTCTGATCTTGGCAATTGTTGCAGACGATCACATGCCGAGTTACGTAAATATGCCTCCACCTCGGATGAACGCTCTTGAGCGGAAGTCCAGCTTGAGCTTTTCTCATCTCTCAACAACAAACACCATGACGCTCTACACCCCCGACCGCGCTCTCCTCCTCCCAACATTCGAAACATACCGCCTCAAATCCCTCGACCCATCCTCCAACCTCCTCTCCTTCCCTCTCCCTGCTCCGGGGGCAACCCAGAGCCGGATGGGCTACAACCAGCAACACCTCAGCTTTAAGGAAGTGCGCTCGAGGATTGGGTGGGATCATTTGAGTGTGGATGAAGGCGGGAGGAGGGGGATGTGGGTTGATGGGGAGTGGGCAGTTGTTGGGCTTACGCTTGGGGTGAGTGGCATTTGTACTGGTAAGGCGAGGCAAGGCTGGGAGACTGATGGGATTTGAACAGGACGATCTCGAGCCGACATTCACCAAACTCGCAGACCTTCCCCAGCCTGTATCATCTATCACCCAACAATGCGAGTTCCCATCCATCCTTCCGCTCTCGCAAACTCGCTGGGCTATCGCGACAGGGAGCGGCTCGCTCTATATCCTCCAGACGTCTTCTGCAGAAGAGTCGTCTTTCACCGGAAAGCTCGTAGCGAGATACGACCTTGTCCTCGAAGGGAGCGAAGGGCAAGCTGTTCCTTTTCTGTTAAGGGCGCAACATCAAGTCGCAGAGGATGATGTTCGCTTGCTCGTCTCGCGCTCTGTCCAACCAGCAGAAGACGGATCCGGCAAAAGCAGCTTCTCGTCCATCCAATCTACACCCTTTGAGCTTTTGGAGCTTTCCTTAAATTCGACAGTGGAGAACGGTGTGGACGATGCGCCTGGAGAGTTGAACGTCAAGTGGGCGCTGAGGGGCAAAGACCTGCCTGTTTGGTGTTCTTGGTACCAAGGCGCCGATGCGCAGGGATGGATCGTTCTGAGTGAAGACGAGTTTACGAAAGCTGGAGCAGCCAAAGAAGAGACGGAAGTGGAGAGAAAGAAGAGGGAAAGGGATGAAAAGGTGTCAAAGTTGGGGCTCGGGGCGACGCTTTCGGCAGAGGACAGGGCGACTATTGAGGAAGAGAAGGGAGATGCGATGGATGTGGAGGAAGAGCAGGGGGTGTATCCTTATACCTGGACTCAGACGCCTGATACGCTCAACATCACTATCCCTGTACCCGAGTCTATTAGCAGGAAAGACATCAAACTCGCCCTTTCGCGGTCTTCCTTCTCCTTCTCTCTCTCCACCTTGCCCGCAGACATCTCCCCTCAGCTCGCTACCTTCCTGCAAAAGAGTGCTCGGCAGTTCTGGTCTGAAATCGATCAAGAAGAATCTTCATGGACATTCGAGTCTACCACCCACACCATCACGCTCGACCTCCAAAAAGTCGACGAAAACGTCCGTTGGCCCTCTGTCTTTTCGTCCCCCATCGACGAGGATAGCGATGAAGAAGAAGACGAAGTCCCCGAAACATTCTCCGCCGCCCACCTCGCCTCCGTGCGCCAATCATTCTCTTCCATCCAGACCCGCTCCCCGGACGAGCCTCCCCTCCCTCACCCTGCTATACCCGCTCTTCTGAGGGAAGAGATGGATTTCGACCTGGAGGATGGGGAAGATTTCGGAGAGACTGAGGGGGAGAATGGGGATATGGGTGGAGGGGGTAAGGTGGGGAGGAATGTGTCGACTGGGTTCATACGCGTAGAGACGGGTGAGGCGAGTTGGTCGAGAGGGACGAACAGCGTGTTGTCATTACCTCTCAACGGATCGGGCGGAGAGGCGGTGATTGTCAAGCAAGCTGTTGATGGTCTGGTATATTCCCCTCAGAGAGAGGGACAGCCGAGCAAGAAACCTTGGGCGCATGTGTCGACATCCCCAGCGTTGGCATTTGTCCTCTCTAGCAAACGTGATATCCGTCTCGTCCGGCACCTCTCCCCTTCCCCCTCGTCCTCTTCCTCTTCATCCCTCCCTGTACCAACAACAGTCCTAGCATTCGACTCGGGCTCATCCACCGCCGGACAAGGTAACGTCTATACATACTACCCGCCTCTCGACAAGGCTAGCGCGCAGCAGGGGGTGTTGTCGTTGAGTGGAGGGGATAGGGGAGCGTTGTTGGGTGTTGGGTGGTTGAAGGTGGGTGGGGAGGGGGTGGTGGTGGGGCTTTGTGAGAAGGAGCTGGTGGTCCTTAGGGGGGTGGTATGATGGGGTATGGCACTGGGGATGCATCGCTTTGGTATATTGCGAGCCATACCGAGATGCAGCTCGTGCTACAGAGACTGCTGTGAAGCAAATGCAACTTGGGTCAGGACACGGCATGAAAACAGATGCACAGGATAGGTGTGTCGTCACTCGTCGAGTCATCGCACGTTGAAAGCGTCGACAGCACGTTCAATGACGAATTGATCAAGCGCGGCGCTGCCGCATGGACCATTTCTCCACATGACCGAAGAGTGGAAGGCGTCAACAGACTTCATATGACGGATGCTTGTCGCTGAACTCTCTCTGCACGGGACACAAACCGGCAATATAGACGGCAAGAAGCCCCCGCCAAGCAAGCTTGCAAGGCTGGATGAGACATGTGCAGGATCCGGTCCGTAGACCGGGTGTCAAGGTGTTCAGAATGGGGAGAGCACGAGATATTGGGTTAGAGAGACTGGCGGGAGAACGTTGTTTGATTAGAAACGTTTGTAAGACGTGCGAGCAAGAACGAACGGTTGGCTCATTTTCGCCACTTTCGCAATTGCGCTGCCGGCCGCCGAGAGAGCATCTTCTGTTGTCGAGTGCGCGACATCTTTCGTCTTTTCCCATCTGTTCGCATTGCCAGCATGCCCCCCGTCCCCCACCCTCTCTGCATATCCGCCATGCATCGACTCGACGACGGCCTCCTTTCGCCCCACAGAAATAACAACAAAAGGCGGGAAGAATGCACATAGGCTTTCCGGTATCCGGCCGACGCTTGTAATCAATCACGCCATCATTACAAAGCATTTCACACGGCATTACACAGCGATTACAAATGTCGCCACAGTTTCTAATCGCCCTCGCAAAGCTCGCAAGTGTTTGCGGGGATGGCGACATCTGCAACCTTTTTTTGAGCGCATAGGTCGCCATCGACGAGGAATTATATAATGCAGCCCTTGCCACTCCATTCCCAAATCTGCTATTCCAAAAAACATTCATAGCTCTCGTCGGATACCTCGCAACCATCACAAACATGGCCTCAGCACGCACCCAGCAGCAACCTCCCCTCCCCTCCTCCACCTCCTCCCGTATCTTCTCCCCCAGAGTCGCAAACAATGCCGACTCGGACATCGTCCCCTCTATCCTTTACGAACCCACACCCATCTCCCCCGTCGCCTCCTCATCATCCAACCTCCCCAGGCCTCCTGTTCGCGGCCGCACCCACTCGCGGACGTATGAATGGTACGAGGCCGTGCAGAAGGAGCGAGAAGACCGCAAAAAGTCAAAGGGCTCCAGGTCCTCTGCCTCTTCCTCTTCTGGGTCCGAGCGGGGGAGTGTGAGTGTCAGCCGCGGTGACAGGAGGTCAAGGAGGGTTTCGGAAGACGTCGATGCGCAGACTATCAGCGCGCACCACCACCTGCCGGATGTCCTGGCCGAAGTTGGTATCTCGCCCGACCCCATTCTCTACCTGCCGCCTCTCCTCTCACCTCTGCCTGAACACGCGCACGACCATGCCCCAGAGTACGACGAAGACGAAGACCATCCTCACCCTCACCCTCACTTTCACTCGCACTCGCACTCTCGTCCAGGCAAGCGAGACGACGCTCTCATCTCTGTCAAGGAGGTGAACGACAACCGTCATGGGCTGCATGAGAAGGGCGAGCAGGTCGACCCTCTTCGAGACTTTACGACTCGTCTACCTCATATCGACCCTGCTTCCCTCGCTCTGCACCAGGCTTTACACCATTTCAAGCCTCTTTCCAACGCTTACGCTTCTCTGCCGTATGACAAGGCTTTCAATTGGTCTTCTCTTGTGAGTTTTCTCTTTTTTGAGTGTTGTTCATCCGCTGATGAAGAATAGTCCCTGCCAAAGTCTGCCGAAAGAGAATGGTACTGCGTGGTCTTCCGTTCCCGCCGCAAGCCCGAGTCTGCCAACCTCTCCCTTTACAAAGCCGACCGCGAAGCGCACGAAGAAGCTGTCCAAAATGTGAGTCCCTTCCCTTCCTCACTCTCTTCTTTCTGGGTGCTGACTTGTCCTCAGGGCGGTCTGATTCTGTATTGGTACGGCGTACCCGACTCTACCGGCTTGAACCTCGCCACTTGCATCTGGCAATCGTACGTCACTCCCATCTCCTCACTTCTCAGTACAAAAGCTAACTTCATCCCTAGCCGCCGTCATGCGATCAAAGCCATCTCCGGCCCCAAACACATGTCCGCCATGAAACAGACCGAAGGCGCATACGAAACATACTCTCTCGAGCGATGGGTGTTGAGGAAGGAAGTGGGCAAAAGGGGGGTGAGCTTGGAGAAGTGGGAGGGAGGGGATGTTGGATGGTAGTTCTTCATCATTCTTCTGTTTCGTTTGGCGAGGGGACACTTGGATTGTGGCATATTTGAAGCAGCATTGTTGTAGCATAGTAAGAGAAGAACATAACACTAAAAGATGGCAATTTTATCCATAGCATTTTCATGCACATACCAGGTCTCGTGATGATTATCAGTACCGTACAGCGGTAACGAAATGAATCGCAGACAGTACAAGTACAGGATGGCAAATGTATAGAGGCCAGAGATGACTCGGCGCGAATCGTGGAGCGAGGGTCACTCAACGTACCTTCCTCTGGAATACATCATCTCCCATCATGACTCGATGACGGTACAGTACATACACAGAGCTTACATACACGCTGTCTTCCTCAGCCTAACAGACTCACCCTCCACCTGACAGCCTCATACCCCCACCCCGTATGCACCACAGCAGCCGCCAAAACCAAAAAGGCGCTCTGCCCCCAATAAACAGCTACACCCCCTTCATCTATCAAGCTATTCGACTGGCTCACCGAATGGCCGATGACGGCTGCTTGGGCGATAAAGGCGATCCAGGTGAAGGCGAAGCAGACGGTGACGGAGATGAAGTGGAGCATGGCGAGAGAGTAGAGTTTGTCTTTGTTGGGGGCGGGGGAGGCGCGGTAGGAGTAGCGGATTGTGTAGGCGTGGTGGGCGCCGGAGATGAGGACGAGGGAGAAGGCTGTTGATCTCTTAGCATAGTTGCCCATCGCCCCTCGTATCTTTTGTCGCTTGACAACTCCATCCTCGAAGGTCTACGCGGGGAAAGAAGACTCACCAACGACATTACAAACCACCACCCTCCCCAAATTCATATTGATACCATTCGGTACAGTGAACCCGAAATAACCCGTAGGTATCTGCCACTGAAACCCACGAAAGATGCACCCGAGTTTTCCGGTGATGACGAGGTTGGAGACGTTGTAGCCGCAGTAGTTTTGGGAGGCGAAGCGGACCTTTTCGTATATCTTGGGTTAGACATCGTTGGGACTTATGTGGGAGTGGGAGTGGAAGTGGCGGGACGTACGATGGTATCTTCTGTAGCAACAGAGACGTACCAGACGGAATCGGCGCTGGCGAAAGCGGCTATGGCGAGCAGGGTGCATGAGAGGAGAGGGTAGCCGAGGTGGTACGGTAAGCCTACTGTCCTACCCATGACTAGAGGCCTGGTACGAGTCTATGAGAGAAGAGGGACGGGACGCAAAAGCGATGAGGTGTCGACGTTGATCGATTTAGGGGCGGGTTGTGAAGGTTGAGGGATTGTGGATGGAGGATGGAGGGTGAAGCGATGAGAGCGGATGATAGTTTTGGATGTAGACGGTGGTTTTGAGAGTAGAATTACCGTTCACTCGGCGGAGTCGGAAGGCTCTATAACGATGTACAAAGGACACTCTTCTCATAGATCGACAAGGGATGCATCTGGCGTCGTACTCTGAGCTCTGCTTGTCGTAGTTTTTGACTGTCTTAAATATAGCTTCATGGCACGTATGATACCTCCACATGTACGTGTAGTCTCAAAGCCGCTCGATGCGTTGAAGAAGAGAAATGAAAGAGAAGAGTGGCGCAGCGGCGATGCCCGCCGTTGACGCGTCTGTATGACGTGGAGCGAATTCTTGGTCATGGCACCTCCTCTTCCATCCATCTCCCTTCCTTTCTTTATCTTTCTTGTGTATCAAAGATGCGTCTCTCCCTCTCCCTCTCAGCCGCCCTCCTGGGCCTCGCGTCTTTCGTGTCGGCGAGCAACGTCGTCGACCTCGACCCCACCAACTTCGACCAGGTATGTCTCAACAAGTCGATGGGCTGCGCGACAAAAGCTGAACGGGGAATTGTAGCACATTGGCGGTAGCAAGGGTGCTTTGGTAGAATTGTGAGTTGTCCGCATTGTCGTTTCACAAGATCCGTACTGATATGTCGCGCTTAGCTACGCACCGTGAGTTGCATCGTCAAAAGGGATCGACAAAGGAAAGAAGGTGCTGACAGATGTGCTCAAGATGGTGTGGACACTGCAAGAGCCGTGAGTCTTCGAGCAGTCTATTATATGGAGGATAGAACTGACCTTGATATAGTCGCCCCCATCTACGAGCAACTCGCCGACGCTTTCCCTACTGTTCGTGCTCTGCCATAACCGTTGCCGGAGGATCGAGGACTAATTTGCCCACAGGACAAGGTGGTGATCGCGAAGACTGATGCCGATGGTGTGGGCCGAGAGCTTGGTTTTAAGTACGGTGTCACTGGATTCCCTAGTAAGATCCTCTTATCGAAAACTGGACGTCGAAGCTGATGAAGCGACAAAGCTTTGAAGTGGTTCCCCGCTGGCGGCGCCGAGCCCATACCTTACGCTGGTGCCCGTGACCTCGAGACCCTTTCTACCTTGTACGTTGCTTTTCTCCCTCTTGTTATCAGCACAGCACTGACATGAGTGATGAAGCGTGACCAAGAACTCTGGCGTCAAGTCCAACATCAAGCCTCCCCCTCCTCCCGCTTACACCGAGCTCGACTACACCAACTTTGACGACATTGCGCTTGACGAGAACAAGAACGTTCTCGTCGCGTTCACTGCCCCTTGGTGTGGTCACTGCAAGGTCCGTTTTGCCTTCCCCTCATAGTTTGGATGCTGATACTCTTGAACCAGAACATGAAGCCCGCGTACGAAAAGGTCGCCAAGATCTACGAGGCCGACTATGACGTCGTCATCGCCCTCATGGACGCCGACGAGGCCGACAACAGGCCCATCGCTAGCCGATACGGTGTTGCCAGCTTCCCCACCATCAAGTACTTCCCCAAGGGATCCAAGGAGCCCGTCGCTTACGACTCTGGCCGTACCGCCGAGCAGTTCGTCAAGGTGAGTCTTGGTCCACATTCATCAAGAAAAAAGTAGTTGACAGAAGGACAGTGGATCAACGAGAAGGCCGGTACCCACCGAGACCTCTCTGGCCTCTTGACTGAGACTGCCGGCCGTGTCCTTACCCTCGACACCCTTGCTTCCCAATTCTTCACCTCTGCCTCCTCCGCCCGCTCCGACATTGTCAAGCAGGCCAAGGATGCCCTCGCCTCGCTCGACAAGCAGACCAGGGCTTCTGGCGAGTACTACGTCAAGGCTATGGAGAGGATCAGCGCCAAGGGTGAGGAGTGGGTTACCAAGGAGCAGGCTCGGTACGTCCATCCCTGTACTCTTCTTTTTGGAGCAAAACTGACATGACTCCAAGACTCGCCAACCTCCTCGCTTCTCCTTCCCTCGCCCCTACCAAGCTCGACGAGCTCAAGATCAAGATCAACATCCTCTCCGCCTTCGCCTCTCAGAAGGCGTCGGACGCTTACGACTCTGCCGAGGAGCTTTTTGAGGACGCCAAGCAGGCCGCTTTCGAGGGCAAGGCTAGGGTCAAGAGCGAGCTCTAAACGGTGTCGCGGTCGTGGATCAGAATTAACAAAAATGCATAAGCAGATGAGACGAGCATGAATGTACAGGTTTGCCGAGGACCCTTCAAAGGCGGCATGAAACATGGTATGATACATCATTCATTCATTCTCTTTCTTGAAGACTCGCTTCAAGGAGCCGGAGACCTTCTTCACTGGGCCTCGCGGAGGGTCACGAGGACCTGAGTCGTTTTGAAAGTCAGGGAAGCGCTAGGGCGGAGACCTGATGACTTACCAAAGTCGTCCGCACCCGGATCACTTTCCGCTCGGTGGGGCACAGCGTCGTTCAGCTCCTTCAATGGCCCTTTAACCTGCACATCGCCAGTAGATGGCGCTCGTTAGTGCGGGAGATGAGGGTGGTAGTTTGATTTGGAAGATATAGGGTTAGGGGTGAGGGTATACATGTTGGGGTTGAGCTCTGCTTCAGATGATGGTGTACGCGAGAGAAAGAAGCTGCAGTTGTCCCGTCCTCAGCATGTGCATGCACCTATCCGACTGCTTCCAGATTGAGCTCCTAGACTCATCCGGCGACGGGATCCACGTTGAACCATCCAACTGAAAGGACCAGTTTCGGGGCGGGAGGTTCGAAGGCATGGCCGCAGTCAGCAGCACGGCGGGACAACTTACTCGTGTCTGTGACTTGAGAAGACCTAGATTATTGAGCAAGTTAGAATTTTGATCCGTGACGAAGAAGACATGTCCGCTCACGAAGTTGCCCACCGTGTTGATGATGCCCAGAACCAACGTGGCCATTGATATAGTAATCCAGCGCCTGGCCGTCAAATCAGCGCCCGGTACCCTGTTCCAGGCGGTGATAGGGCCGGGGAACGAGAGAAAGCCGCCAATTACCCAGAAGCCTGGGCAGGCGTAGTTGGTCAGGGCGCTACCCGCAACCGTTGGACTGATAGACTGGATCAGTGTTTCCCTCAACATGAGACAATTTTTATCGACACTCACTGCCCGAAGTTGAGCCAAAACCCAACAGCCAGGCAAATTGCACTCAGCAACAGAGTACAGACTAAATGTATATCAGATCCAGTACATGTTGGCTCGAGGATGTCACTCACTGGCTGCCTTTTGCAATAGCAGGCTTGCTCTTTGCCAACGAGCGTGAGCCTGGGGCTGCTGTGGCTGCTGGGACTGCTGAGTCAGTACGTCTGCTGATTTCCTCTAATAGGTGTCGATGCAATGGTGGCTTACGATACCCATGGTATGATGCAGCAGACGTATCGTCGTTGGGAAGATCTATTATTTGGGTGTCGTCAGTGCATCTCCTTGGATTCAACTGATATCGCTTACTCGACAGGGGGAGGAGAGAGGCGGGAGGTATCGGGAGTGAGGTGTGGGTTTGGGGTGTGAGAGGGGCGGGAGAAGGGAGAAGGGAGGAGAGGGAGGGGATGCCCGGGGAGGGGGGGGCTGGGGGATGGGGGGAAGGGGACATGGGATTGGGATCCAAGAGAAAAGAAAGAAGAAAGAAAGAAGAGAGAGAAGAATGTGCGAGACTTGTTGTGACGCACGGTTGCACCCCAGAAACGTCGTGACGTGTTGCCATCCTTTGCCAGTCACATTTCTATCGGGGCAGCGGTATGTGGCTGACCCTACTCTGATCCCTCCTGCGCATACTTCCACCGGCATGTCCACCCTCTTCTCGATGCTTTACACCACGACGAGGCAAGCCGTCGCCGTCTCAGCGGGGTCATCAATCAACCCGAACCCAATGCAGCGACCGCCAGAAGATTTTGGGCACGGCTTCCATGTGCAGAATAGAGATGTTACATCCAATAGTAGAGGCAGGAAATATGCGCCATTCGGAGTACAGAGGCTGCTTATGTGTCAGACGGGAGTAGTTGTGATGGGACGTAACTCGCAGCTGCTGCCAGCTGGTTATATTAACGTCAGCCACAATGATACGACGGCGCGGTCGGGTGGGGTGCGGATTGAAGATGATGATTCGGAGGGAGGAGGTATACTTGGGTTGATGAGGTCTCGCCGCCGAAGGGGTTCCGGGGGAGCATCATCTACAGCAGGAGATGGTTCTCAGCAGACGCGTGCTGTACTCGTACTGCTGCGTCTACCGGCTCGCCAGCTCCCAATGGTCCTACTGCTCCTAGACGCTCTGCTGCTCCTACGTATTCTATGGCATCTGATACCGACACTTCGGATCATCAAGCGCGCAGGGCCCAGCAAAGCGACCAAGTCCGAAAGTGAAGGATTGAATGCGACGTAGAAGGCGTATCATTATCGCTCGGGGTATGATGCCTGCCATTGTTCTATTTTTCATACGCATATCGGATCCTGCATCATGTATTCCAGCAGATTCAGTGGCGAGCTTGACAAGGCAAGAGTATGATGATATACAATGCGTCCAACGTTACACCATATACCTCTCTCATCGTCAATCATGACAAGAACAATTTGGCGTTACATATGATTGTACTCTGAAGTGGAAAGCCAAGCTCGATCATGTTTTGTCTGTAGTAACTGTTGAACTACATGTTCTCATAGATGCATTATGCCTAGAACACAGTACTACCATCATCAAACACCCCAGCTGGCTTCAGAAATCAAACAGACTTCCGTGGCACTTTCTTGCTCCCGGCTCCTTTTTCCACCCTCAACGACGACTCTCCTCTCTTTTTATTGAGAGACTTTCTCGTGCGCGACCGCATAGGCAAAACAACACCCTCAAACACAACTCCCTTCCTCCTCGGGATCTTTCCTGCTTGATTTGTGCTAGTAACAGTTCCAGTATCTGCCGCTGGTCCGGCTGAACCATCCTCCACATCTCCCGATTTGACGTCGACGTCAGGCGCCCGCAAATCAGGGCCACCACGAGGTGCAGACTGCGTTGATGCGGAGGTGGTTCGTATAGGCTGCGAGGGCAGGGCCACGAGCTCGGGCACCGGTACTACCACTGGCACCGGTACTAGTACTGGCCCTGGGACCGGCGCGGGTGCATGTGAAGCCGAGGCTGAAGGTTGAAGTGGGTTCTGCTGCCTCGGCCTGGGTCTAGAAACCGGATTGGCTCTAGATCTGAACGGTGCAGAAATAAGCTCTTTACGAGCCGGCACCGGTGCGGGAACAGGAATAGATGACTGGCTGGCGAGTATGGGTGATGAGGGAAGTGGAGGCTGCTCTTGAGGGCTCGCGAGAGCAATGTTCTCGTGTCCATCGGTGCTACCATTTTCCGACCACAAGGTATCAGGAAAGTCGACAGTCTCCTTGTCCCGGCCATGCTCAGTTGATACAGGTTCACCTTGCTTGGAACCTCCAGCCGCACGCGCAGGTACGGGCGAGAAATGACCATTCTGAAGCGAGACAGACTCTAGGTCACGCAAAGGGTTATTGAGCCTTTCCATAGCCTCTTCAATGACAGAGAATGATCTCTTCGAGGCTGAAAGTTGGGCAGCTTGAAGCGCAGGGTGTTTTCGAGTCGGCGTTGTTGGGTCATCGACTAGATCTGCTCTTGAATCTTCGACCTCTGGCGCAGCTCGCTCCTTGCCCTTCAGACTCCTTCTCGCCCGCTTGACAGTTGGGATATCTACGACGACATCACCCCGAGACACCCTTGGTCGTTTCTTCTGAGGCCGGGGAGCTTGTGCCGCGGTAGTAGGTGACGGCTGGTGCGAGGAGGAAGGTTGGGCGAGTCTTGAATCGCTCTGTGGGGACCGAGACTCGGGCTGCGAGACCTGCTCGAGATGCGAAGAACCAGCCAAACTAGAGCCTACCTCTGGGGCTGCCCCATCATGTGGTGGAGATACATGTTCCCCATCTTTTCTTCTCTTGGCCGAGCCACGGCAAAAACTGGGAACTACAATTTCAAATTTCTTGAATTGTCTTCTTGGAACGGCTTTCGAAGACGATCCCCGAGCCTTTTTGACTGGTCTCGTGGAGAGCGCTGCAGACGTTTCTTCGGTTGGTACAGCGCTCCTACTTTGAGCTGACTTGGCCGTCGATGGTCGTCCTCTTTTCCGCTTCACCACTGGCTCCGCCGGGGCTTCCTCTTTTTCCTTCTCCACTGATTTCTTTGCAATTGGAGGCTTCGCGTTCGGCTTGGACTGGAGCCTGGAAGCTCCTGCAGTGGCACTCTTGCCATCCTTCATGCCTAACAACGAATCGCTGGACTTTCTCTTCCCAAAGGTCTTGTAGGTGTTGACTACCAAGGATTTTCTCTGCAGTGGAGGAGACGATAGGTTGTTTGGAGAGGCGGAGCGTGAAGCCTGGGGTGTTGGAGTTAAGGGTGCAGCAACTTGGGCATCGAGATGTCTGGGTGGCGGATCTTTTTGCTTGGGGGAAGGCGTTGGAGGCGCGGACGAGGCGGTAGATGACTGCCGAGTGGCAGTCTACAAAGGGCGAGTCAGATACCAGGACGCATACGAACAAGATGACTCACTGAAGATACAATAGAAGCTGCAGGTAAGCCACTCTCCTGGGCCAACACATCCGAGTCATTTTGTGATGTCTCGCGCTATGTCAAGTCAGCCAAGGGTTGTTCAATCATCTAGGCAACACTTACCGGTCTCTCCGGCGCTCCTTCCATCTCCTCTTCGTCCAAGTCTCCTCTTACATCTCTCTCAGCTTCTTTCAGCGCACTCTCCCCATCCAAGGGTACATCGTTCATGACATGTTCTTCTTCATCCGTAGTTGCTTGAGCACATCGGGTGAGAAGGAAAGGGGGGATATTGTCGGATTTGCGGCTTCTCCTGCGAGGAGCGGACGGGGATGTGATGGGATTGCTGGCCTCGCCGCGGACAGTGCTTTGCGAAGCCGATGCTGTAGGTTGAGAGGGCTCGCCCGCCAAGTCTGTTTCTGAAGCTTGGGCGCTCTGACCAAGTTCGGCTCCATCGGCGCGACTGCCGTTATCCCGAGCCGGACCTTCAATAGCTTCAGTGGCAGCTTCTAGAGCAACACCGTGATCACTTTCAGGCAACGCCGTAGATCCCTTCGTGATGCCATTTGTGATGTCTTCCTCGGTTCTCACAGTGTCGTTATCGGGTTGAAGGGCAGCAGCTGCACTTGACGCCTCGAGACCTGGATGGCCGACTTGTATCTCGATGGACGGCTGCTCTTGAGACTCGACGTCCGCAGGCAGCTGAGACTGCTGTCCGACGTCGATATCATCACCCGCATCTTCTCCAGCAGACGCTTCTTCATCTGTGGCTTCCTTGGGAGGAGAAGGAGCAGGAATCTGACCTTCACCACGCACAGGGGAGGCATATACTTGAGAGGAAGCAGGGATCGTCGGGATAGCCTGGGAAGCCAGAACAGGGTCACCTTCGGGAGTCTGCTGTCGTTGGGGAAGTAAAGAAGCTTCTGAAGCTGCCTCTATACGCCGAGGTTTTTCGACGACTTCTCGGTGGACAATGGTCTCAACAACAGTCTCTTTGACGGTTGTTACCTCAGAAGTGACTTTCTCGGCAGTCGACGTTGGTCCAGTATGCGCTTTAGTCACAGAGGGCTCAACATCTGGTGTTCCTTCCGTGGACTCTCGCCTCTTGGATGCTTCGACAGCCGCCTCGGGCTCGGCTGATTGTGGCGGGAAGACGCCCGACCAGACAATTTTTCCGCTAGACTCGGGAGGGGACAGATAACTTGAAAGACGCGCTTGAGGCGCAGAAAGGGCAAGTTGTGGTTGTTGTACCTCGGGTGATGCAGCCTCTTGCGCAGTATCGGCAGGTGGCTCAGCAGGCGCTTCGATGTCCGTCCGTTCGTTGGCTGACTCTTCCACTTCCGCTGACACCAACAATGCGGCATCATTAGGGATGACTTCGGGTGTGGTTGATACTTCGAGGTCGACGGGAGCGACTTCAGATTCTTCTGGCGGCCCGACAGATGCAGGTTGGTCTTCCGGTAGAGAGGTAGTCTCTCTAGGAACGTTGTCGGTTGTAGAAGGCTGAGCTTCACCCAAAGGTTCCTCGACGGAAGGTTGTATCTCCACCTCTGTCTCACGCACCAACTCCTTCCGTACGTCCACCGTGACATCAACATCTCCAGCCGGTTCATAATCGACCATATCCAGCATTTCTGCCTCGGCTTCTTCGTCCGTTAACCAAACGCCTTCTTCGGGCAGACGTGGAGGCTCTGCAGGAGGAGCGGAAAGAGGAGCTGCGAGGGAGGGAACCGGGGAGAGGGCAGGCTCGGGGAGAGGTTGGGGTGGGGGCTGAATAGGAGACTGAGGGGAATCATCGCCGAAGGCGGGGGACGCGAGCTGAGTGAGTGTGTCGACTGCTCGCTCTTCAAGGGGTTCCCCGCTGTCCGACCCTTCATCCTCATCATCCCCATGAGCACTCGCTGCAGAGGAAGCATACGGGACTATCCCCAACCCCAGACCCGGCAGCGCCTGTTCCACCATTTGAGATGACTCTGGCGGGGGCTGTATTTGACTTTGGCTGGGTCGATTAACCGGGGTGGGGAGGATGGGTGGTTCGACGAGAGGAGCTTGAACAGCAGGAGATGGAGACGTGGGTGAGATTTGGCACGCGAGTGGCCGTCCTGTTTCCTCTTCGTCGTCAATGTCCATATCCATATCCTGCTCTTCGTCGTCGTCGACCAGGTCCATAGCCACGGACGTATCGGGGCTCAACTGTTCGCCCATTGACTGTTCCCCGACTTCCACCCGAAAATCGCGTTCCTGCAGCACTGCTAGTGCTGTCCCATAAACGTCTTCTCCACTCCCGTCTCTCTCGCCAGCGTGCTGGCCCTGGGAGCTTTCACCAATTTCGGCGGAAGGATTATACTCCCGGCTTTCGAGCACCAAAGTCTCCATACCGAGAGATTCTCGGCGCCAGCTTTCGAGAGCGAATATGGCGCTCGGCGCGAGGGTCCGCAAGTCCACTTTGACCTCTTGCAAGACCCTCGTTGGCGGTTCTGCCAAACCTTCATTTCCCGCTTGCTCCCCTCCATTCCCCTGTACCAATTCTGGTGGCCCACACATATCCTGCATGGTCTTCTCGTCCACGTCTCCTTCAAAATTGCCCAGGATCTCGCCGCTCCCCAAAAGCCGTTCGTCGAAACGATCCCATGAGTCGGGGGTACGGTGTTGAGAGAGGATGGAGAGCAGGCGGGCGAGGGATTCGGGGGATGAGAGGGTTTGGAGGAATTTGGTGAGTGGGGGAAGGGGTATGGAGTGGAGGGTTGTCGGAGGGGAGGGGGAGGGCATGGTTCTGGGAGGGGCGTCAGATCAGTCTTGATAGACAAGACGAAAATGATGTAAGCTTACAGGGAGAAGCGGGTGGCAGTGAAATCACAGCCTTGTCAGGTATCTCTATACAGCAGGCCCAATAACCCAGATACGTTCGCGAGCTATTCAACACATCAGCACCAGTTCAACGAGATCATCGCTTGAGACGAGTAACTCACAATCACAAGCTCAGACGATGCGCAAAGCCTTATTCGTTCTCAGCCACAATGGCGGAGCTGTCACGATAGCTCCTCTGAGGTATGACTAAGGAGGCAAGGTGTCAATACAGGCCAAGACGCAAGATACTACGACGCGTCGATACGTACTACAAGCCGTATCTGGACCGCTGAAGTCTAGGTCCCAATAATTACCGTGCGGAGCGTTAAATACACGTCATGAGCAGCTGCTGCAGGCGCGGCGGTGGCGGCGGCGGGGGGGATTATTTACAAATGTACAAATGGCATTCAAACAGACCTCTCTTCTAACGTTGTCAGCCTCAGCTGGGGTCATGTCACTCCTGCCCCCTCTGCCCCTTGGACCCGTATTCTGGCCCTTTTTACGACCTGCCTGTCGAAGTCGCGCTAGGGAGAAACCAGGAGAAAACGCGAGGTCGTCCAGCTTTCTGACACGCGAAGCAGCCACAAAACTCAGACCGCGAGTGAATTTCTTGGAACCCAGATCGACAGTAACTTTATCTAGTGTTGTAACTTGGGACTTATCGATCGTGAGTGCGAATGCCGGCTCAAGAGGGAATGCCTTCGCTCATACTGGATGTTGATCTGTTTCCACTTGGCAGTTACTGGAATGATGGGTACCAAAGGTATTCCAGTGGCAGTATAGCCAGCAACAATGGGTCCAGTATAAGATTTGCAAGCGACGAGCACAAAGGCGGGCATGTCAGGGGGTTAAGTCAGAGGGAGTAGCGAAAGATGACTGCATGCGTACCGGTCCAACCTCTTGAGCTTCAACTTCCCGGGCCACTTCTACACCGTTTGCATATGCCTTGTCGGATTTCCATGTCGAACCATCGCTCCTGACAGCCAGAGCACGTCTCCATTTCCAGAGCAGACAACTTTTCATGAAAGCTGGATATACAGTCTTTCACCTCATCTGGAATTGCAGGAGTATCCAGATCTCCGGTGAAGGGTAGGGCAGTGGGGAAAGGAACACTGGGTTCAGGCTACACAGACAGTCAGAGGGAGTAGCAAAAGATAACTGCATGCGTACTGGTTCAACCTCTTGAGCTTAAACTTGTCGTCTCTCCTCTTGTTGAGCTCGGCGGTCTAACTTGCTGTCCTGTCTGACACTGTCTGCAGATATTCCTCAAACGTCCACGGACATGGCCAAAGGAGGATCAGTGGAGAGTGATTGCCGTATGAGCAATGTTTTGTCGCAGGAGCCTTTTGTCGATTGCGAGGAAGACCTGGACGGATGCGAGGCTGTGGGGACCCTTGGGAGAATCGATCGAGAGCAGACTCGGAAGCAGAGACATCGCTTTGCTCGACGCGAAATGCGGCAACGTAACGCGTAGTGGGAGCCATCTCGAACGGTCCAGAATAGGGCAAGAAGAGTAAAGATAAAGGCAGAAGGATGGCCAGCTGTGGGCTGATGAAGACTGGGTCAGTGAGAGAGTGAATTGATGCAAGGGACGTATGCAAGTATGGTGAGCGAGCAATGAGCGAGACGGAGAAATGGACTGAGAACTGATTGAGAAACGCAGTCTGGACAGAAGGGTACTCCAAATAACCGTTGCGGAGCTCATTAGAATGTATTAGAAAATGCGTAAGCATGTATTAGAAAATGCGGCCGCGGGGGGCTTCAAGTACAAATGGCATTCAACCAGGTCACATCTTCATGCATAAGAAGATTTAAAAACACCGTTCTGTAGTGACGGGGGCACTGAGGGGGGCGGGGGTATTGGCTAAGCTGTATGATGAGTGTGTCGAAAGATATGGGGAAATGAGTGATCCAACAATTCGGGCGCAAGTGATCGCCCTCGCGAGGCTTTAAGTATATTTTCCGTGCTCCGCACGGAATCAGCCTCTTCCCGGTGACGGTTGACGCGTGTGATCGTCCTTACAATATGTATTTCCGTGTGATCTCTCAGAGCTCGTTCTTGAGCCCTTGGTATCCAGACGCACTCTACAGGCTGGATAGACCAATGGTAATTGATTTGTCGAAGGGATGCGGGAGATGGATCATAAATCACGACGCGTCCGCCAAAACATCATGTCAATCCAGAAATTCCAACGTCAGCGTTTCTCAGGCGCTTGCCCATCTTCTCTTGCAATGGCGCTATCAGTCGTCAACCTCGTGCAGCCGATGGTTTTTCTGCTATCTGCGCGGTGCTTTCCAATCGACCAAAAGTACAATGCAAAGCCCATGCTGTCTTCTCTCTGTAACACCCATACAATAACTGCCAGTCTTTCGGAATAGGGTAACGAGTTCATAGCAAGACGTTCTCTATTCATAACACAATATGCAGCAATCAAGAACATGTGCCCAAACCAAGTATCCGTGCTCTTCCTACCGAGCATTTTCTGATTCTTCTCACAGGACGGCTCTTCTACTAGCATAGGTTTCGCTTTCTCTCGCTAACGCTACAAAATCCCTTCTTCTTCCTTTCCTTCTCAAAAGTATGAGGGGGAACGAGATTACTTGCCCTCGAACATCTTCTTGATGGCCTCGGTAGAGTAAGACTTTGGTCGCTCGAGGGGCATCTGTTGTTTGATCAGCTGATGATCCTTGAAGTGGATAGGACTCGACGTACACCAAGAGCTCGGTCCCAGATCAACTGAGAAACAACACCGAAGGCTCGGGAGACACCGAAGAGGACGGTGTAGAAGTCCTGCTGGTGAAGACCGTAGTGGGTAAGGAGAGCACCAGAGTGGGCATCCACGTTGGGCCAGGGGTCTATTCTCAAGTCAGCTTGATAACAAATCAAAGAGGGACAAAAACTCACTCTTGGCCTTACCGGCCTCGAGGAGAATGTTGGGGACGACCTTGTAGATCTGGCCAACGAGCTTGAACAAGGGGTCGTCGGGGAGGTGCTTGAGGGCAAACTCTCGCTGGGCGGTGTATCGGGGGTCGGTCTTTCGGAGGACGGCGTGACCGTAACCGGGGACGACCTGTCCACCCTTGAGGGTAGTCCAGACGTACTCGGCGACCTTCTCGTCGGAAGCGTCTTCGCCGATCTGGCTCCTCATCTTCTGGAGCCACCTGAGGACTTCCTGGTTGGCGAGACCGTGCAAGGGACCGGCAAGACCGTTCAAGGAAGCGGCAAAGGCAAGGAAGGGGTCGGAAAGGGCGGAACCGACCAAGTGACCAGTGTGGGCAGACACGTTACCACCCTCGTGGTCAGAGTGGATGGTGACGTAGAGCCTCATGAGCTCGACAAAGTCGGCGTTGTCGCCGAAACCGAGGAGGGTAGCCAAGTTGGCAGAGTAGTCCTTGGTGGGGTCGATGGCGGGGACCTTGCCGTCACCATAGACGTTTCGGAAGATTCGGCCAGCAATGTTGGGGAGCTTGGCGATGAGGTCCATAGAGTCATCGAAGGTGGTCTTCCAGTACTCTCGCTTGTTGACACCGTCAGAGTAGGCCTTGGCAAAGGCAGAGTCGTGGTTAAGCTGCGCAACGCGTTAGTAACCGCGTCATCGACCGGGGAAACGCGCGGAAGAGGACGTACAGCGTTAACAGCGATGGAGAACTGAGTCATGGGGTGGAGAGTGTTGGGGCATCGGTCGATCAACTCCTCGACAAACTTGGGGATAGAAGCCCTAGCGGCCCACTCCTGAGAAAGACCCTTGACCTGCTCGTCGGTGGGCACCTCACCGGTCAAAAGCAACCAGAAAAGGGCCTCGGGGAGGGGCTCGGTACCTCCGGGGGCGGTGGGGAGCTGCTGCTGGCACTCGGGGATGGTAAGACCCCTGAATCGGATACCCTCGTTGGGGTCGAGGACGGAGCCTTCCCAGATAAGACCCTTGATACCTCGCATACCACCGTAGGCCATGTCGACAGAGACCTCGCCGAGGGGCTTGTTGCCGTGGGCGGCACGGACAGCCTTGACGTTCTCAATCTCCTTGGGGATGAGCTCGGCCATGCGGTCCTTGAGGGACTGGACCTGCGCGGCAGGGGTGGAAGCAAAGTTCCTCACGAGGGGAGAACGGAGCTGGGGCTGTCAGCGGCGGTCCCCGTGGAGGGGATGGGGCTCACCTGGGAGCGGAGGGCAGTTCTGGAAGCAAGGAAGGACATTTTGGGCGGTGCTTGGGAGAAAAGAAGAAGAGAAATGGGTGGGGAATATAAACCGTCTTAGATACCAACGGGATCAAAAAAAGCTCGGAATATCGGCAATTACCCCGGGCGGGTACCCGCAATGGCACATTATTGGCCAATGGGACGACGCGCGTACGTGGTCGGCGCGAGTAACCGGCTTACGTAAAAGGCTGATGACACCACACTTTTTGCGCCTTCTGCGACTTTCTGCACCGTATACATCAAGCATGGTCGCAGACTCGGCATACTACGACCTCCTGGGCGTCGGCGTGGAGGCGACGGAGGGCGAGATAAAAAAGGCGTACAAGAAGAAGGCCATGCAGCACCATCCTGTGCGTACCCTCTAGACTCCGGACGGCACGGCGCTCATCTTTCATAGGACAAGGCAAGTCGTCTCGATGTGGTTGGGTGGGATGTACTAACAGCAGGGATAGAATCCGGATAACCCAGAAGCCCACGAGACCTTTCAAAAGATCGGCCAGGCCTACGAAACGTTATCGAACCCAAACGACGTCCGTCTCTCTCCTAGCCTCGACTAGTCTAAGTGCTAATGTTTGGTTCCCTCTCTACCGATTTCTTACGACATTGCTTCGCTTGGAAACGATACACAGCGCGCGACTTATGATCAATATGGGCCAGATGGACCTCGTGGCGGAGGGGGAGGCGGTGAATACGACATGGACGACCTCTTCAATGCCATGTTTGGCGGCGGCGGCGGTTTCGATGGGTATGACGACTTTGGCGGTGGTTTCGGTGGCGGCTCCCAGTGGTCCTCTGGTGGCCCTCGACGCAAGCCTGCAAAAGGCAGAGATACCACCGTGCCCTACGACATGTCACTGGAGGAGGTGTTCAAGGGAAAGAAGGTGGTCATGAACTTGGAGAGGGACCGGATTTGTAAGGGGTGCACGGGAAGTGGAGCGAGGGCGGGTGTCAAGCCGAAGGAGTGTTCAAAGTGTGAAGGAAAGGGAGAAGTGTTTACCGACCGAATGGTGCGTCTTCCTCCTCATGCTCCTACAGCTCACTGACGCAAGAACAGCTCGCCCCAGGTCTCGTCGGCAAGATGAAGACGCCTTGTCCCGATTGTCACGGCGCCGGCACAAAACTGCGCGACAAGGAGAAATGCAAGAAATGTAAAGGTTCCAGGGTACAGAAGGAGAAGAAGAGGGTAGAGTTTGAGATCGAGGCCGGCGTGGAGGACGGAGAACGGATAGCGCTCAGAGGCGAGGGCGATGAAGAAGTGAATCTCCCCTCGACCACATATCTCGACATATGCTGACGATCGCAGCCCGACGTACCAGCAGGCGATGTCATCTTCCTCATCCACCACCTCCCCCACCCCTCCTTCCGACCCCAACCCCACTCCCCCGGCTCCCTCCAGATCCTCCTCTCCATCCGTCTCTCCGAAGCCCTCCTCGGCTTCTCCCGCGTCCTTTTTATCCACCTCGACGGCTCCGGCGTGCACATCACCTCCAAAAAGGGCGAACGCATCATCAAATCGGGGTCGATCTGGAAGATTGAGGGAGAAGGTCTGCCGATTAGGGGAAGTTGGGGGAAGAGGAGAGGGGATGTGTATGTTAGGTTTGAGATTGAGTATCCGGATGAGGAATGGGCGAGGAAGCAGGGAGATGGGGAGTTGGTGGAGTTGCCGGGGAAAAAGCCGGATTTGCCTATCGACAAGGAGAAGGTGGTGTACAGGCAGCTTTCGGCAAAGCCTGTCAACTAGAGTCATCGGGAATCGAAAGAGCATTAGATCATCTGTTCATACAATTATACACATAGTTTGCATGTCACATCTCAGCATCTTCAGCCTTCGTTTCGACCTCCCCACCTTCTACCTCCGTCCGTTCCACCTCCGCCCCTTCCACTGGTGTCTATCGGCGCCGGATCCTTCGCTTGACTTTTTGAATGGAGATAATCTTGATCTCAAAGACAGCTTGGAATCTTTTTGGGCGGTTTTAATAGAGGATTCGACCTGATATAGGATCAGCAAAGCACTCTTTGGGGTCCTTATTAGTATGACTTACGGACTGCACCGAAAAAGTAGTCTCCCCCGACTTTCGGCGGGCCAGTACCGGGAATCTTTTAAGGACCCAACCCAGCCCATCCTTCTTGTCGGGCTTGCTTTCAACGTTGGGAATGGCGGTTTCCGGACGATTGTCTTTGGTGGACGACGGAGCTGGCGTAGAGAGCCAGAACAGAGAAGAGCAAGGTATCGCGATCATCTCACTGTCACCTAACACCAACAGTACCCTGACGCGTTCGTTCACGATATCGCGGATCCGTTCATCGTTGGGTATTTCACAAGTATTGCGCCGTTGCGAGCACCGGAGACGGGCTGATATCAAAACAGCCATACCATCCTTACCCTTCGCAAAAGTGTCGTCTGAGACTTACTGTGTAGTCGGAATAGATGGACGTGGCAGACATGAGCAGCGCGTTTGGTCTCGATCTGAGCGGCACGCTCGTCGGCGGCTGATGCAGCGTATATGGACATGGGGATGTTGTGATATGGGATCGGTCTGGCTATTGAAAGAAATTCAAGAAAGTTGTGGTAGCTCAGTCTCGACATGTTTATTGTATGACAGATGGCTACCGTGGCGACAGGGTGATGAGAGCCGGATGAGAGGCGACGGACAAGCGGAACTTGAGGATGGGAGGGTGTTTGATATCGCAACCAATCTCTTTGTTCTCTTCTTCTTCTTCAGGACCTGCCAATGCGGGTCCGGGACCTCCATACCTAGGCAAGGCCACCCTACAGGTCCCAAGGGCCGTAGGGACCACAGCCCTGCAGACGCTACAACCACCAAAGACAGCACGCCCCCTCTTGATCTGCGCCCTTCTCACACCCAGCGTAGCCCATCCTATCGCACCTCCCTTTCTCTACAGCCTTGCCGTGACAAGAACAAGAGAGAGAACTGGAATGTTCGGTCGACAGATCTCATGGCCAAAGTCGAAAAACTCCTTCCTCTGATGGGGTTGATTGCCGACGCCATGTGTGGGTCGTATGTAGAGGGTTCAGGCTGTCGCTCTCGTGCTGATACCTTGGCAGGGCTCTCGACTGAGGCATCAGCCAGCGGCACTCAGAATCCTTCAAGCGGAGCCTCCTCCACCACTCGACAGCCGTCACCCAACACCCAACGCCCAGACTGGAATGGACAATGCTGAGAACATGGGCGGGCAGGCAATCCAAAGCCGAGAGCCTGATTCGTTCTTCGGGAATCCCGGTAAGTCATCTAGGCTCATAAAAGGTGGTTCTCTTACCATGCGCTGTCGATCAAAGGAGCGAACCCTCTCCAAAACCAAGACGACAGGCCTGCTGAGCGGCCACACCTCGTCAAGCGCTTGGGCTCGAAGATCCCGTCCTTCTTCAAGCGAAGTTGAGAGTACCAATAGATAATCGAGTAAGGGGACGGAGGCGAGACGTCAGTATTTATGTAACAGGCAGTTGTTATATACGTATCAGTCACGGTAGTTATATGTAAACGCCCATCGAGCTCTAGCCGACTTCAGAGCACTAAGATTTCCATACCTTCAATTGATTGTCTTCTATGCCTTTGTCTTCTTCTTACTCGCCCCATGCTCACTCTCACTCTTCCTCTTCTTCATCTCCCTGCCCTTGCTCTTCGACGTCGATTGGGATTGCGAAGCCGGCTCATCCACCTCCGTATCATCGCCATCACCCAATTCTTTCTTCACCCTCGCCTCTTCCGTCTCATCCACATTCATCTCCTCGTCTGCCTGTTTCTTTGCCTTGGACTTCTTCTTTCCTCTAACCTTCTTTGATTTGGCGTAGACGACTTGTGCTGGGACAATTTTTTCTAGCTCGGGGAGGGGTTTTGTTGATAGTGTTATGGACATGTAGGGGTGATGTTTCATCTTTGGTCTATCGACCTTTCGTCAGCGATTACTCGAAGGCATAGAATAGCAAGCTTACCTAGAAGCCCCACCGAGGACTCTCCGCAAAGCAGCATCACTATCTTCGCCTTCTCCGGCCACAGGCTCGGGCGTCCAATTACCCGTCTCGGTATACTGCCACAACCCTCTGCCTGTCACCTCCTTCTCCTTCTCCTCTCCCTCCTCCCCCCCCTTCCCCTTTCCCTTACCCTTCCCCTTCTTGTCCACCTTCTTCCCACGACCAGATAAAATACTCTCGATATATTCCCGCTTGACGCGTTCGACGACGGTGACGAGTTTTGGGATGGTAGTTGTCACTGGGAGCAGACCGTTGTTTGCTTTTGGAGTTGGTTTGGATGACGACGATCCTGGTCCTTTTGATGAAGAGGAGGCAGAAGGTGGTGGTGGGAGGGTGTGGTATACTATCGGTACATCGGGCACATCCTGCAAATATCATAAGTCTTCGTCCCTCGCGCCCGCACCTCGAACTTCGCGAAGGGTGGACTCACAAGCAACCATTGTAAACCAAACTGCGCATAGTTCCCACCCTTACCAGCGCTTGTGACACGGATCTTGTGCACTGGGAAGCCGTGCCCAGAATCTTCGGTGGACAGTTGTACAGCGCCGAGTGGAGAGGTTCTTGTCGATTTGGGATTGTTGACGGGTGTTTGTTGATCTTGTTTGGGTGTTTCTTTCTGGATATTGCTCGGGCTCGTTTGCGGGATGCCTTGGGCCATGGTACTGAGAGGGTCGTAGTGTAGAGGAAGACTGGAGTGCGCGATGATTGTGAATGGAGACTGGAAAGGGCAGTGGACCAGCAGTGGACACTGAGTGGACAGCAGAAAATCGCGTCGAGCAGACTTTTTATTTGTTCAGACCATTTACCGCCGAGATGGCCGACGGCCTGGCCCACCATGGGTCGCCTTCTGTGCACAATCCTCATGCCCTCGCCGGCAGGCCCGCCCCCAGGCCTTTTCCTCCACCATCCTCCCATCAACCGCCATCGGTCTTTCTCTTGACCCCGATGGCCCACACTCTCTGGCTTCTTGATACAAGCCCCTCGTCCTGCGTACGTAAACATCCGCGGGGAGAGGGGCTTGTCTTCTGTCGGATCCTACCTGGACAAAAACTCGAGAGCCTGCAAATTATCACCCGTTTTTTGAATGCTTAAGAAGCATGCATCTCAACAACCGCTGACGCGATCAGAACCATTGATTGCGTGACAAGTAGCCACAGGTCATACCTAGCCCAATCCGTTCCATGCATGCTTCTACCAGTTCTGTAAGGACAGCAATATCGATATGAAAAAGTGACAAGCCTGCAAGTTACACCTCTCCAGCCGCGGCGCGGGACCCTGAAATCAGCCAAATTACAATGAGCTGACCATGAGAGGTGTTAGCTGACCATTATATATCTGGGTGGAGAGGAGTTAGAATGGTGAGCGTGACGATGTGTGGATCTGCCAGCAGCTCCACACCAGCATCGTCGTTCACCACCTTGTATAGCCTGCTTATCAAGTTGTGGCCCATTCTTCGACATAAAGTATAGATCACGCCAGCGATACATCGACAACCTTCGTTTGGGCTATCTTGACATCACACCACGTCCGTTGCTCTTGCTTAAGCACTGCCGCTGACTAGTCTCCGCCAGACGCCAGTCACTCGCACTCCTCGTCACCCTCGTCTTTGCCCGTCACAGCCGCCTGATCGCAGGAGGGCTTCTAAGGACGTTGCCACTCATAGCTGCGTCATGGTTGGAATGACGAAGAGCTGACTTTAGCTTGGCCATAAGCTCAGCCTTGCCTGAGCTTACGAAAACAGTCATTGTCCCCACAGCATGTCGACCCCCGAGTCGTCCAAGTCGCCCACACCTACTGGACGGATATGGCGACCACTCTATTCAAAGATCTATATACCACCAAGTCTGAACAGACCAAGAATGTGAAAAAGCGAGATTGGAAGCGAAAGCCTCTCAGTGCCGAGGAATATGCATGCGTTGTCGATGGCGACGACCCTAACTTCATCCTCGCCTACGACTTGGTACGAGAAACCTACGACCAGAAAGAGGATACTGGTGCCTGCAGTGCAGCCTACTTCAGATATCGCTCTCGACCCTGCTGGGACGATTTGGAGGAAGTCCTTAAGTGAATGCTCAAAGAAGAACAAGAGAAGCGCGCGAGGGCAGCTGCATCTGCTGCGAAAAAGGCCGCCAAAGCATCAGCGTCTGGTTCCTCTCACCGCCCATCCTCGTCCAATCCCACGAAGCGAACAGCAGAAGTGTCTTCAGCTGCGGGATCGTCTAAGAAGGCGAGAGTCAATTCGAATCCACCAAAGGGTCTCAAGAAGGGGGTTAAGTCTAGAGATATTCCAGTTGCCAATCGTCTCGTATCTGCCTCAGCCAGTGAGATACATCACACCGTGTTTGACCGAGCTGACTTGATGGTAGCAGGCAACGGCGAGCATCCTGTAGATTCTTCAAGCCACGGTCCGTCCTCAAGCACCAATGCTGTTCTGACTTGCCCATGCTCAGATGCTAGTCGGACATCTCAAGCTCGAGGTGGGTGCAGATTTGGCAATAGCCGGGCGCAACATCGCTGACTACCACTAGCCTCTGCTGCGACAATCAACCTGGTCCAGCTTGAACAAGCTTTTGAAATTTACCAGTCGAAACTGAGCAAGTTGTGCAAAGAGCAGAGGCAAGCTGGAACCCTCACAGAAGCAGATGAGAATCAGAAATTCAATTGTGTGAACGAGCTGATTGCCCTGAATGATCTTCGAGACGCTGAAGACCCCACCATCTTATACCAGAAGTGGCAGGATCACCCAGAGGACTTCTGGGTGACTTCGAGAGGTGGCAGCGTTTGGGGATGTAGGGGGCGCTAAGAGATGCCCGTCAGTGACGTGATTCTGCGATAGACAGTACAGTACGCACAGTGAGACAGTCCTCCGGTAACGTATTTTTGAATGACTTCGATACTTTGTATGCGCCCCCAGTCCTCTGGGTGATCCTGCCACTTCTGGTATAAGATGGTGGGGTCTTCAGCGTCTCGAAGATCATTCAGGGCAATCAGCTCGTCCACACAATTGAGCTCCCCGGGGCGTTATCTGGCTCGACACAAGCCCTTCCCCGCCCGCTTCCCCGGGCGTTAAAACAACGTTAAAACGTTCGCGTTCATTATGAAATAATATAATGTATCCTGCCTAGTTGGCTGTTACGTAAACAGAAGAGTCGATTAACCCTCGCGCCTTTTCCTCCCTGCCGCAATACTAGCCAAATAGGCGCACGGCGCGTAGAGGTCGATGGAACAAATGCCATTTTGCGCGTCGACCTCTCAAGCCGCCTCGACCTCGTCTTTCTCCAACAATAAAGCATCAAAATGTCGGTTGATCAGATCAACCCTGGACAGGCCGTGTACGCCCAAGACGAAGTGAGTGGAGAGACAGCCTCGAGGCGGATTGTCATGACAGGAATGGATGGCTGACTTGGACCGTTTTGTAGAATGGACGACCTTTTATCATTGTTCGGTAAGTCTATCATTCTGGGACTATCGAGTCGTCAAATAAGGAGGGGCGAGTGAGCGCCAAGAGCAGTTTGTGCTGAAGACAAGCCCGACTTCGAGGCATGAGCTCGAGCAGACAACCAAGACGTGTGGTGGTATTGTGATTATACTCCATTATATTGTATTCACACTAAGACTGCTCCCACTGGGTGCTTTATGGTTCTATCTCTTTATTATGATTACTACCACACGTCTACTATCTGTGCTCCCAGGTAAAACGAGGCAAGGAAGAGAGCTGACGAAGCCTGCAGTGAACAAGGCAAGAAAGTGAGAACCCATGGTCTCGAAGCTATCCGAGTACGTTCAAACCCAAGCGTCCTCCCCAACTGAGAGCTGACAACGACATACAGAGCCATATCCTCGCTGCCCGCTCTGTCACCAACATCATCAAATCCTCTCTTGGTCCCCGTGGTCTCGACAAGATCCTCATTTCCCCCGACGGCGACATCACCGTCACCAACGACGGTGCCACCATCCTCTCCCAAATGGAGGTCGAGCATCAAATCGCCAAGCTCCTTGTCGAAGTCTCAAAATCCCAGGACGACGAGATTGGAGACGGTACCACCGGTGTGGTGGTGTTGGCAGGCGCGTTGCTGAGCTCGGCGTTGAGCCTTTTGGACAGGGGAATACACCCGATCAGGATTGCGGATGGTTATGAGAAGGCGTGTGAGATTGCGGTGAACGAGTTGGATAGGGTGGCGGACAGGATTGATTTTAGCAAGGAGGACACGTCGAATTTGATCAAGACTGCCAAAACCTCTCTTGGTTCCAAGATGTGAGTTTCGCCATCTCATATGTGGAAAATATTGACGGATGCAGCGTCTCTATCGCCCACGAAAAGTTTGCCAAGATCGCTGTCGACTCTGTCCTCTCTGTTGCCGACCTCGAGCGCCGCGATGTCGACTTTGAGCTTATCAAGGTCGACGGCAAGGTCGGTGGTTCCCTCGAGGACACTTCTCTCGTCCACGGTGTCGTCGTCGACAAGGACATGTCACACCCCCAGATGCCCACGACTGTTAGGGACGCCAAGATTGCTATCTTGACTTGTCCGTTTGAGCCTCCTAGGCCCAAGACGAAACACAAGTTGGACATTGAGAGCGTGGAAGAGTACAAGAAGCTGAGAGAATACGAGAAGGAGAAGTTCTTGGAGATGATCAAGAAGTGAGCCATCTTCTTGGTCATTTTGAACTGTTACTAATGTATTATCAGGGTCAAAGACACTGGTGCCAACCTGGTCATCTGCCAGTGGGGTTTCGACGACGAGGCCAACCACCTCCTCATGCAAAACGACCTCCCCGCTGTCCGATGGGTCGGCGGTCCCGAAATCGAGCTCATCGCCATTGCCACCAATGGTCGTATCGTGCCCCGTTTCGAGGACCTTTCCGCGGACAAGCTCGGTAAGGCTGGTATCGTCAGGGAGTTGACTTTCGGAACGACTAGGGATAAGATGTTGGTCATTGAGGAGTGCGCAAACTCGAGGGCTGTGACCGTGTTTGTCAGGGGTAGTAACAAGATGGTAAGTCCTTCTATCTTGATGTGGACGTGAGCTGATAAGAGTAGATCATCGACGAGGCCAAGCGAGCTTTGCACGATGCCATCTGTGTCGTCCGAAACATCGTTCGAGACAACCGTGTCGTCTACGGTGGTGGTGCCGCCGAGATCTGTGCTTCCGTCGCCGTGTCCAAGCGTGCCGACGAGATTCCTTCTATCGAGCAATACGCCATGCGTGCGTTTGCCCAGGCGTTGGATGCGATCCCTCTTGCGTTGGCGGAGAACTCTGGTTTGTCGCCGATTGACACTTTGGCGGATGTGAAGAGTAGGCAGGTGACGGAGGAGAACCCGAGGTTGGGTATTGACTGTATGGGACGGGGAGAGAATGGTGAGTCTATTTTCTTCGTTTTGTTCCGGCTTGTGTGCTATGGACGACACATGTTCTGCCTCGTATGAGGGTAGAGTATGCTCGCACCTTCCTTCCAGCTGTCGCTCAACCCTGCCATCTTGCAAGGGAAGCCAAGGTGCCAGCTGGAATAATCGTTAGCGCGAACCCCGCGGGGACACGCGAGCGGGGTCCCGGCGATGTCATTCAACGCGACTCCACTCTCCACTCTAGCCCCAAACGAGCCCTCTACCTTTTCTTTTTCAGCCCAACGATTCAATCAATCGAGTAGAAAACTGACATCATCCACGCAGACATGAAGACGCAACACGTCTACGACCCCCTGATCTCCAAGAGGCAGCAATTCCTCTTGGCTACCCAGGTAGTGAGGATGATCTTGCGAGTGGACGATGTGATAGATGCTTCTGCGTTCGAGGAGTAAAGAGAAGGGTAGTCGCTGTCATATGCATGATCTGGACTGTACAATAGAGCGATGCCACATCAAATCCAAAAAGATAGAGGAAATAGGCGCAAGTGACGCATGCGGAGGTCCGCGTAATGCCGACCGGGAATGACGTACCGGGAGCCGCGCATTCGGTCCGTGGGATACCGTTCCCGACTATTTCAAGTTGTTTCCATTTCCATCTCTTGTCTTTTGCTTCTCCATCTTCTCTTTTTACTCCTGCACTGCCTACACCCACCCACCAACACAAACTACAACCATGGCCGCTCCCCAAGCTACTCTCGGTGCCGACATCGAGCCTCCCGCTACCGATCTCATTACCCTCACCAGGCATATCTTGTCCCAGCAGCGCGCTCTGGGCGTTGACGCCTCTGGCGACCTGACCATGCTTCTTATTGCTATCCAGGTGCGTAGTGTTCTTCTTAGAGCTTGCCAGACGCAGAGACAATTGTCCAAGAGGTCCGGGCTGACGATTCTTCCTTTGTGCGCTACTCCACTCGCCTTGTCCTTGTCCCTTTGTCCCCGTCCATCAATGCCACGCTTCATTCAACCTCCAGGTCACCTCAAAATACATTGCTACCAACGTCCGTAAAGCCCGTTTGATCAACCTCGTTGGTCTTGCCGGTGCCGAGAACGTCCAAGGCGAGGACCAGAAGAAGCTCGATGTGCTGTCCAACGACATTATGGTCAACGCTCTGAGGGCTTCTGGAAAGTGCAGTGTGATGGTCAGTGAGGAGGTTGAGGAGGCTATCATTGTCGGTGGCTCCAAGGGTACTTAGTAAGTCGTTTTTGATAGGATAGGCGATGCCAAAAGGCGGCACGGCACTCGTAATCTGTTAAACGAAGCTAACCCGCGCGTGCTTAGCTGTGTCGTGTTTGACCCCCTTGACGGTTCAAGTAACATTGACGCCGGTGTCAATGTCGGTACCATCTTTGGTATCTACAAGGTCGTACGTGTATTCAAGAACCCAACCATTGCCAAGGCTCACCTTTTCACAGCAAGATGGTGCTAAGCCTTCAGTCAAGGACGTCCTCCGCCCCGGTAAGGAGATGGTCGCTGCCGGTTACACCATGTACGGTTCCTCCTGTAACCTCGTCCTCTCCGCCGGCCAAGGTGTCGACGGCTTCACCCTCGACGAAGGTCTCGGAGAGTTCATCCTCACCCACCCTTCGATCCAAATCCCCAACCGCGGCAAGATCTACTCTTTCAACGAGGGTAACGCCCAGCACTTTTATCCTCCCACCAACGACTATTTGAACTCTATCAAGTTCCCTGAGAACAACAAGCCTTATAGTGCTAGGTACATTGGTTCGATGGTGGCCGATGTGCACAGGACTTTGCTGTATGGTGGTATCTTTGGTTACCCCGATGACAAGAAGAGCAAGGATGGTGCGTCTCTCCTCTTTTGCCTTCGACATTTGCTAACAATTAATTTAGGTAAGCTGCGTATGCTCTACGAGGCCTTCCCCATGTCCTTCCTTGCCGAACAAGCCGGTGGTGTCGCTACCACCGGTAAGGAACGTATCCTCGATGTCGTCCCCACCTCCATCCACGGCCGATGCCCCGTCTTCCTTGGTTCCAAGGACGACGTTGAAGACTTGAAAAAGTTTTACGTCGGCTACGAGAACTCCGAGAGGAACTGGTAATCGCATGAAGCTGTAGGGGGTAGGCAGAATGACTTGGACTTCTCTTTTGGGAATTTGTACTAGTTTGAGAAACGAGGGGAAAGAAAGGAAAACAGTGAGAAGTTGATCATAGACTGTACTTGTGAATATCATCATGCACCCGACATGACTATTGCTTCGTTTCTATGATTTGTCTTCTCCAACTATGGCACGGTGGCGGTTCTGGCATCAAGTTGTTCATGATAGTCGTAAAATACAATGCAGATAAGGGTATCCTTAAACAACCCAAACATCGCCCAAACAATCCCACTCTCGCTCAACAGTACCCTTCTGACCACGACATCCACTCGTCCTGTCCGCGGTTTCCCCATCCACGACCTCCCCCTTCTCACCATGGTCGGCGTCATCAGCAAACCGCAATACCCTCAATCCACCCAGCACGCCAACCCCAGTATCCCACCCCATAAAGTCCCAGGACCATTCTACAGAGGCTTCCCAGTACTTTTTGCCCTCCTGTGTTGAGGGTTTGATCTCGGGGATCGGGGTATTCTCGCCCTCGCTTTTGTCTGCTCCTTCTTCGGCCTTTTCTGCTGAAAGGTCGGGAGCAGGAGCAGGAGCAGGCTCAAGTAAAGGTGGAGGGATAGAAGACCAATCCACCACCTCCCTCACCTCTCCCTCCCCTTCTCCTTCTCCTTCTCCAACATCCAAGAACGTCAACGAATTACCCATATGATACACCTCCACCACCTTCGCTTCCCCTCCTCCTCCTGAAGCGGCAAGAGCGGCTTCCCGACCTCGGCCTGAAGCTGAAGTGTGCGATTGCCCAGAACCGATCCGGGACATGGCAGCTGCCACCCCCATCGCAGCTGGATAAGCCGCAGGCCTGTACGGACTATTGAACGCAACATGCGGGGAGGGAGGCCAGGGGGCTCTTGTGCCCATTAGTACATTCTCGCCTCCCTGGAGCTCGGACGGCCCAGAAAGGGCGGGGCGGGTGGAAGAGCCATGAGGCTGTAGGGACTCGCGTTTATCAGCTACAGCGACCGCCGTCGACGTCGCCGTAGGCGTACCGGGCCGACTGCTACCAGTACCGTTATTGATAAACCCCCCGACGGCAGACTTGAGTTCCGCCCTCAAAGGCGTCATCGGGCGGCTGGTCGACCCTTGGCCTTGGGCAGTGTACCCCAAGGCGGTGGGGGCGGATGAAGGGGTGAATGAGCGGGCGGAGGGAGGTGGATGGGAAAGAGGTGTACGGGGGAGGGATGGTGCGGAGATGGCTAGTTGGGGGACGGTAGAGTTGTGGGGGTGGGGGTGCGTTGCGGTGGGAGGGAGGAGGGGGGTGAGGTATTGGATAGCCAATTTCGGCAGGGTTGGTTTCTTCCCAGAGATCAAAGAAGCGTTTATAACCTCCGCCGACCTTATAGACAACCTGAATTTGAGAGGGCAGGTGTTTTCTTTCTTCAGACCTCGTCTGCCGGAGAGCATGACGAGATCATATGTCCATTTCGTCTCTTCCCCATTATCCGCGCCAGACGGGATGACAGGCAGAGGGTGTTCGGAAGAAGAAGGGTCGCGTCGGAGAGGGGATGGAGAGGCCGGGATGGGCAAAGGTTGGTGGACTGGCAGTTTGCCTGGCGTTGCAGGCCCTGGAGCAGGTCCTTTACCCGGTGGTTTCAGACTATCCCTCGCCCCTGCTGTCGAAGCAGCCGCAGGAAGCGAGGCCAAAGCCGGTGCTCTCCGATTCAACATTGACGTCAACAAGTTCCCTGGCGTATGATATGGCCCAGAGATCCACGAGATGGATAATCGTCCGAGAGGCAGGATCTCGCCTGGCGCATGCGTCGGTGGGAACTTTGACACCTCTTCCCCTTTTTCCGTCTTACTCGGGGGAGAGATGGGAGAGAGGACAAACAAGTATTGCCTAACATCCCCGACTTTGAGCTCTTCGCCCTCCAAGCCGAGGGCATCCCCGCTGACCTTGTCCACCACCAGCCCTTCGATCGGCTGGAGCCCGACGGTGGAGAGGAGTAGAGATTCGGTGGGCGAGGTGTTTTGCATGAGCACTTCGAGGAAGGTTTGGTGCCGGAGAGAAGGGGAGAGGAGGGTGTTGGGGTGGGTGGGGGATTGGATACGGGTCTTGATACTCAACGGTGTGATTGCCTAAACCTCCAAGTCAGCTCTCTTTCTTGGCCATCTATTGAAAGAAGAAGAGAGGACTTGCGTTGAATTTGAAGAATCTCTGAAACGTCTTACGCCCATCCAACGTCTCCCACGCCACACTGACAATAACCACCCCAAGCCCCAGATCCTTCACCTCAGTCTCCGCGCTCAACTCGACCCTCTCCCCAAACGCCAACTCTGGAATGTCTTCCTCCCCCGGTTTCACAGGCTCCACCCTGTTCCTCTCTTCCTCTAAAGCCGAAGCTGCCATGGAGGGCTTGCGGTGGATGACTTCGCCCAGCCGGGTGCGGGTGGTGGGCGTTTGGAGTTCGAGCATCATCTTGACGCCGAGGACGGGGTATCGCTGGCGGTGGGTGTTTTCGAGGGCTACCCGGCAGGCGAGCTGGGAGCCCATGTAGATGCTGCCGAGGGGAGGGGGGTAGTTTGGGGTGGGGGAGAATGCGAAATCATGGGTCGGGGTCGGGGGCGGGAAGGGGATGGGAGGGATGGAGGATGAGGTCGGGGGCTGGGAGGAGGGGATGAGGGTGGGGGGGGTGAGCTGGAGGCTGGGGAGTGTCAGTGGGGAGTGGGGGAGTGGGGGAGTGGGGGGCTTACATTCTGAGGGTGAGCGGTGCCGAGTCCATGGTCGGTGGAAGAGGTGGTGAAAGCGAAGATGGACCTCCACTTCTTGCTACTTCTTGTTACTTCTTGTTACGCGTCAACACCGATCAGATCACATTACATCCATTTGTACAATTGATTTCCTTACTACGAGAGAACTACGAGAACGCGAGGGATACACTACAGATACACTACAACCCCTGACCCCTGTTGAGCTGCTTGACCACCTGCCTGCTCTGCCTCTCCAACATCTGGAACGCATTCTCCAACTGGTCCTGGCTCACGCCAGTCTCGGACTGATGAGGGAAAGTGAGGTCTTCGCTGATGTTGAGCTCGCCGGTCCCGGTAAAGGGCGGAGTGCTGCCGTGGGTGGTGGCGTTTTGGCGGATGAATGTTTCGAGCGCGGCGATGCGGATCTTGTCTGTTTGCTGGGACTACGCGGCGTCAGCTTTGCATCTAGAGATGATGGGATGGGGACGTACCATGACGAGGTCCTTGATGACAGCATCCTTGTCTTGGCATTGCCTGAGCACGACCTGGAGCTGAGCAGACTCGGCTTCGAGCTTCTTCATGTGCTCTTCGCGACGACGGCGGAAAGCCTGCTGGGCGCGCTTGTTTTGCTCGGCTCGAGAGAGCTTGCTGTTGTCCCTAACGCGTCGTCAGCACAACGCCAACATGCTCGAGGAAAGTACTCACACGGGGGGCTCGGGAGGAGGAGGAGGTCCAACAGGTTCCTTCTCCTGCGCCGACGCCAGAGTCGGGTCAATCTGCGGCTCTTCCTGCACATGCACATGCCCCACATCCACCCCCGCCGTCTGCCCATTAATCGCCATCTGGCTCAGCTCTGTCAACGACGTGATATCCTGCGCCCCATGCGAAGGCGAGTCGACGTGCAACCCGCTGCTGCCGGGGGTATGCCCCGGATGCTGCGGGATGGCGGAAGAGGGCGACCCGGAAGGGCCCGGGGAACCTTCGGTGCTCTTGCGCGAGATACGGCGTTTCTTGCCGCTTTGCTGCTCCATCTCGGCCCAGCCGGCGCGCTGGTGGGGGAGCTTGCGTCGTTTACCGCCCATCTCGCCGCGGTCGCCATAGTCCATCTGGGCAGCGACCTGCGCCTGATCGACGGGGGCAGGCAGGGGCTGGAGGGAGGGGGAGTGGAACCCAGAGAGCGCGTTGGAGGCGAGCCTGTTCAGAGAAGGGGGGATGGGGAGGGGCAGGGGAGGAGAGGGCGAGCGAGCGCCGACTTGAGAGTTGTGGGTGTAGTTGCCGGCGGCATCCTGGGAGTAGTCTGTGTTGTGCTGGAGGTAGGCGATGAGGCCGTCGTCTGACTGGAAGAGGGAGTTGGCGAGGGCAGAGGCAGACTGCTGCTGGGGCGGCGGCGTGGGCGAGACTGGGTGCGACATGCTGAGGTCAGACCAAGTTGAATGATTCACGGGGTTATGTAATGAAGGACGAGGAGTGAGTTATGTAACGACGCTTCATTATTGGTCCCGCGGTAATACGGCGTTATGTAATCAGTGTGGCACTCGAGTGTTGCTTCTTGTTGTTGCATGATGATACCACAGTCTGGTTAGGTAAACGACATATCTTTGCAACTGAATCAAGCAACTGAGCATATCATCGACCGCCATGGTGACATTGGCAAGCCTTCGACGGATATGTCACGCGAATCCTGCGACGGGTTGTGCCCACTTGCTGACCCGTGTATGTCCGGGGTCATGGAAACAATCATGCTCTGTCTGCAACCCCTGGTGGAATGTCCTCACCGCAAGGGAAAATCCAGTTCCGATCCTTTTTGTCCGGCCAGGCTTGGTTTTGGTGAGCAAGTGAAAGTTTCTGTCTCGGAGTTGACCGAGATAAGTTTAAAGAATTGTTGTGAGCATTACTCGTACATAGTAGACAACAAAAGGATTAGCTGCTGAAGGGGGAAGTAGTCTTCCTCTTCTCAATCTGCTTAGAACCTCAGACCCAGGAAGCAGAAACCGTATGGGAACCCCAACTGACCCGAATCCATCGTCATGGCCCGCAGCTATTCTGCGACTCCTTCTTATTCTATTCCCCTTGGGCCTCGAGGGGAGATGTCCCCGCCCTTGTTGCTTTCGTTTTCATGAGAATGGAAGCGTTACCAGATCAACACATTTGTGGCACAACTGTCCATGGTGTTCACGCTTCAACTCCAGCGAAATACCTGTACCTATGTTATTTTTGGGAGTGTCAGTGCTGTATCGTTGGATTTGCAGCGTAAACGCCATCGACAGCTGTGCCACAAAAGTGTTGATTTGGTAACGCTTCCATATATTATGAAACCGAATGACATCTCCCAACATCTAAATCCTCTACCACTCTAAACCCTCCCCCCAGCCCCACCTCGGCTCTCAAACCCTTCCACCCACCGCACCACCTCTCCCCAGTCCCCAACCCTCTCCACCCCCTCCGGCAACCACCCCTCTTCAATTTTCCCCCTCCTCACCCTCTCCGCCTCCTCCAACAACCCCTGCTCTTGCTTTGCCACAAATGTAATCTTTTCCACGGGGAGTGTCGTTTCGGGTGTGTGGACGATGGCGTTCCAGGGATAGTTGCCGAAGAGAAGGACCTTTGTAGGTTGGGGATGGGGGAAGTTTGCGATGGCGGTGTCGTAGGCGTTTTCGGCAGAGTCGTCGATGAGGAAGAGGGATTGGGTGTTGTAAACGATCTGTGAAAGCAAGATTAGGTCTGTAGATGAAATATGTGGGCAAGACGGACCTCAGCTTTGCTCCGCTTTTTGTGCGATACGATAGCCTTCTTAGTAGCGTGCCCTTCGTGCTCCTTCTTGGTAGGCTCGAGGTCCTGGAAAGCGCCGGTAAAATGTATTTCGTCAAAGACTGTATACATCCTTGTCAGTCCGACCCCATCATGATAGAGCAGCGGTGAGACGTACTATCGGGGAGGTAGGTGGTGAGCCACTCTTCGGTACCTTCTCGTTGACCCTCTGATCTAGCTGTGATGATCACCAGACTACCCAAAGTGGTCAGCAATCGCCCACACATTCTACAAAGTCAAAAGAGGACGTACCTATAACCCAGATCTTTCAGCCTCTTCAACGCCTCCTTCGCCCCTTCCACAGGCGGCGCCTTCATATACAGTCCTTCGGCATAAAGCTTCGTCTACAGTGACATTCTGGATCAGCGCTAGTCCGTGTATAGTGGGGTGGATGGGACGTACGACCATGGCGATAGTCTCTTCAGGGTTTCCCCATCCACGGTTCATCCAGTATAGGTAATTCTGAAAATCGTCTAGGGTCAAGGGCGGTTGTGTACCAAAGATCTCGTTGTGCACTGTCAAGGCATCAGTATGATTGCGATTGCCAAAGACACGCCCGGAGAGGATAAGGACTTGCTGTTGACGATAGTCACGTTGGTTTGGCTACAGTTTCAAGTTCATCAGGACATAGAGCAGTCATATGGAATGAGGACGAAAACGTACCAGAGCACATCGTCCATGTCTACGGCTATCCTGCCTTTTCCTGTACCGAGGTCGAGGGGAGTGTTGGTACCCGTGGCGGTGATGAGCTGCGTATCTTCATCGAGGGGTTTTGTCGGCATTATTGATCTATATGAGGTCTAGGTCGATTGAGAGTCCAAGGTGAGGGCGGTCAATCGAGATGGAACCAAGTGGAGAGAGATAGCGAAGAGTAGGGCGATTTAGATGGTGGCTTCTAGATGTCGGTGGCCCGCTGAATGGAAGGGGAGATGGTGCGGGTAGTGATGAGCTTTTCCCTTTCAGCGCTGTTGAGGTCGTGGTAGAAGAACGTAGGTTGCCTCGTTGTGGAGAGATGGAGGATGAATGGCGAAATGCGTGGTGGACGGAGGACTCCGCCCATTGCAACTGTGGCTATCGATCGAATGCGAGTAGAGTACGTTATACATAGCTGCTTTGCTAATTTCTACACTATACTTTATACTTTGCTAGTACCGTAATGCCCAAAAGAAACCCTCTTGTACCCAAGAAAATGAGAAAATTTATGTTACTTCTTCTGATCACGCTCCGTCGCTGTGTCTTCTCGGTTCCTGCCTCTCCTCCCTCATCTCGCTCCCGTGCACATGCCCATTCTCATGATACCTCATCGCGAGCAGATTTACTCCCCCAAACCTCCCTTCCTTTTCATCAACCCGCCTCTCTTCATCTCTTCCTCCCAAGCCACCAGGATGAGGCAAAGACGCATCCCGATCACGCGAGACATGCCTGTCCAGGTGATTGTTCATGAACGACGGCCCGAGGGGTGTTTGCGAGCGGATAGGCGGCAGGTTGTCATACGGCGAATGGAGGGACGGTTGTCCGCCATAAGACGATGCTCGAGGGAGCTGGCTCGGGTGGGGGTGCGCGTCCCATGATCGTCGATGCGACCAGTCTGGCGCAGGCATGGCAGTCTGAGGCCGTCGATGCTGCTCTTGATGCCCGTTCCACCCTGCAGATGAAGGGTAGCCAAGGGGAGGTAGAGAGGGAGAGTGTGACGGTCTGCTTGTAGAGTAACGTTCGTCGAGATGCTGGGGCGGCTCGTAGCGATAGCTTGGGACTGTCGTCGAAGGCGCTGGAGGCGCACCCTTGGGAGACTCTTCGACCGTACCATCAGACCCGGTTTCAGGGACAGTCTCGAGTACAGGCTTTGTCTCTGCCGGGACATCGTCATTCAACAACGCTGAAATCCGCATACCACCGCCGGTCCTCTGTATGGGCCGCGTGGGGCTGCTATCTTGTGCCGGAGAGGGGGCACGAGGTTGAGGCGGAGGGAGTGACGGGATGGCAGTAGTCGGGGGCTTGGCCGTGGGGAAGGTACCGAGACGAGGTTCGTATCGGTCGGCAGAGGCGAACGCCGGGAAAGCGTCGTAGATGGTACGCCCCGCCGAAGACGAGGGTTCGCGTGCAGACTCGGCCTGTGTAACTGTCAGCTCTTGTATCACTATCGCATGAGCCCTACTCACAACTTGCGCCTTGTCACTCGTCTCTACAGCACTTCCTTCCAACGGCTCCAGCTCCGCCCGATGGCCTTCCATATAGTTCACCACCTGCCTCTCCGACTTGCCCTTCAATTGCGCCGCGATGAGTTTGGCCTCCATACCATGTACAGACACGAGCTCTTTGACCTTGCGCTTCTCTTCCACGGACCAGTACGAATTCGTCGCTGACCGTCGCGCGGGCTTTTCGGCAGGAGGTGCAGGAGCAGCGCCATTCACGGCCGGGGCGGAAGGATCGGCGGGGTCGGCGTTGGGGTTGGGAGTCTGTGGCTCGCCTTCGACAGGAGCAGTGACCTTGCGTCGCTTACCCGGTCTTCGTACAGGCGGTACGAGTTCAGCCTGTGCAGCCGAGCTAGCAGCATCCGCCAGCGATGCCAACGCATTCGCTGCCAGCTCGGTGCCCATATCGGCGCCTCCACCAATAGGCGTGACAGCTTCCGTCACAGCACTGTTGGGCACCGACGAGAATGAGGCATGTGAAGGTGTAGTAGCAATTTCGGGGATAGAACTGACTCGAGGGCGCTTGGCGGTCTTGACAGTCATGCGCATCTTGGATTTACCAGATGTTGCTGGCGTTTCCGATCCCGCGCGAGAAGTCGATGCAGACTCGCCATACGTCTCCTCATCATGCTCCTCGCTGGGAGTCACAGGCACGCTCACTTGCGAACCCCGCTTTTTTCTCCTCCCGCCTTCTCCTACATGTCCACCGCGTCCTCTCCTGCCAGTAGTAGGCGCAAAAGAGACCGATGCCTCTCGAGCTCTGACAGGGGTAGAAACAGGCCCATCGTCTTTTCCGGGCACGGTAGGCTTTGCTCGCGTGAGATCCGCCATCAACGCCGAACTCTTGACACCCTTCTTCAACGCCAACTTTCTCTTGCCTCCGCCCCGCTTGTGCGCCAACATTGCCTTGTAGTCGACCTCCTTCTTTGTGCGGTAATAGTACAGCACGCAATCCCCAGCACTCTTGTTTGGTATCCCATCCGAGATCCTTCCAAATTGCTTTGGGTACGCGAGATACCGCTTGACAAAGATTGCCCTCTCCTCACTCGTCCAAATCGGCTCTTCAATCCCTTCAAAGTCGTAGAAAGAGATGGGATCTTGGACGAGATCGTTATCATCATCATATTTCAGACCCCGCTCTTCGCTGAGGATCATATCCGGTACCACCGCCGCAGTCTTGGCCGCCCGGAGGAGCGGGTCAGATTGTTCTTGCTGGGCAATGGCAGCCATGATCTCTTCGAGCTCGGCATCTGTAGAGACGATATCGCCAAGGCCTCTTCGGCGGTTGGAGCGGGAGGAATGGGAGGAAAAGAATTCGTCGACGCCAGGCGTTGTGGGTTGAGCACCGGGAAAAGCATTGGTCACACCAGTAGGCCCCAGAAGAGTCTGGAAATCCGCAGGCGGCTCTCCCCTCTCCTTCATAAGCCCATCGAGGTATGCGATATGCTCCATCCACTCCTCATTCAACTCCAAGTACTCTTGCCTCAATTCTCGCACCTTTCGCTCTTCTCCCTTCTTCTCCCTTGCGACAATGATCCCGACAAATTTGGCCGCGTGGGTCTGTTGTTTACGCATGGGTTTCGTGATTTTGCGCAGATACTTTTCGCGTTCAGCATCTGTTTTGGCGATGACGCGAGACGTCTCTTCCGGGGCTGCAGCAAGGTTCCAAGCAAGGATCGGGAAATCGTGAAACACAATCTCCTTCCCCTGCGCCTGCTTTACCGCAGCCACAAGCCTCATCTGCCTCATCTCTTCCATCCTATCCTCATCATCGGCGTCATCCTCATCCTCTTCTTGTTCCTCCCTATCCGGACCGGGCGTACCGCCAATGGGCCCAGTGGGCGGGCCGGCATCTTCCGTGTGGTCTGTGGAATTTGTGGGCATGGGGTCTTTGAGCGGGGTACGGTCGAATGGGGCGGTGGTTGGGGGGAGGAGGATGGAGCGGCGTTCGGCGATGGTGGAGCGGTTGGTAGAGGTCGATGATGGTTCGGGCGCAGGGACGGGTGGGGGAGGTAGCGTAGTGGGTGTTTGAGGGACATTCTGTAATCTCGTTAGCATCGCACGTGAATCATTGTATGGGACGTACCTCTGGAACGTCCACACCCATAGAATCACTCTCAGCAATGACTTTTTGCGCCACAACAGTCTCGGTGGAAAGAGACAATTCGGATTCAGACACTTGAACAACTTGGGCGGCGGGGGCAGTAGGCAAGACATCCTTTGTCTCTTCCTGTGTCACCTCCACTTCAGCCTCGGCCATCACTACATCTTCGCCTTCCGGTCTCGCTTGCGTAGTGAGCAAGACGCCGACGCGAGTGGCAATGACTTGGTTTTCCATGACGACGTCTTCTGACTGATTTTCTGATGCAGGAAGAGCGGGCGTGGCGGGGAGAGACAGGTCTACTGTGGGAAGAGGGACGGGAGGGGCGGGGGTTGAGGATGGGGGTGGGAAGCTCGGTGTCGCAGGGGTTTGAGACTTTTCCACCGTGTTGACACCCTTCGGCGAGGGTTGTTCCAAGAATTGCGCCTCAGCAACTTGATCAGGCTCAGCCAGGGGCGCTGCAAGCTCAGGCTGGGGTTCAGCCTCCGAGGCAGGCTCGATGGAAGCCGGTGGAGGTACAGGCGGTGTAGCAGGCTGATCCACTTTACTCTCCTCTACCAGCTCGTGCGTCGGTACAGCAGGACTCGTCGACGGCAGCTCGCCTTCTTCCGGCTCCTTGTCCTTTTTCTGCACCTTCTCTGGAACCGCTTCAATTGTCAAAGCAGGCTCTTGCGCAGGTTTCGCAGCAGCCGGGATTTCCAGCGACGCAACCCTCTCTCTTGGGGGATTGGACAAGCTCTGCCTCGGTCGAGTCCCCCACGGTTCTCTCTCCCTAGGCTCTCTCGGCTCTGGAGACCTCCTCCACCCGTCCAACCCAAGACCAGGCGGGGGCGACCCTCTCCGTCTATCCATCTCCCTCTCCCTCTCCCTTTCTCGCTCCCAAGATAAATCTCGTTCTCGCTCTCTATCTCTTGCCCATTCGCGTTCTCTTTCCCAAGGCGGTAGGGGCCTCTCGCGTTCGCGCGGGGGAGACCACCGGCGGGGAGGTTCGTCCCATGCCGGTGTTGGCCTCGAGACATGTACAGGCGAGACGACTTCACCTTCTTCCAAATCTTCTTCTGCTTCTCCCCCGTCTCGCTTGTCGTCGTCCCCCGCTTGAATTTGCGTAGGCTGAGGAGCAGGGGAAGGGGGTGATTCGGTCTTGACGGCCAGAGGCGCAAAGGCAGATATGGGAGCTGTCGAAGGCGGAAGACTGAGAGGTCTGTCAAAGTCTCTTGAGCGTTTATGATCTATAGGACTTGACGAGCCGCGTTGAGAACGAGCGTGTCCCGAGAGGATGGGTTCTGAGAATTTCGAATGTGTCGGTGAAGGCTGGACGTTTGATGGATACACGGCCCTGGGCGACGACGCACCGCCCGACGTGCGTCTAGGCTGGAAATTCCTGTCGTCTCTTAACGGTGGCGGTCTCCCTGGCGGTATCCGCGCAGGGTACGAGGTGGATGCTGCGGGTGTTGGCCGGGGACCTCTCACGATGGGCGGTGGGGGTGATCGTGCCCGACTCGGGGGATAACGCGACCCCACAAGATGTGGCGGTGTCCTCCCTCTCAGCGCCCTGTCCCTCTCATCCCACCGTTCTCTCTCCCCCCACGATGCGCGCTCATCCCGTCTTTCGCCAGGCGGTATCCGGGAAGGAAGAGGGGAGAAAGAGGAAGGTCTGCGGAGTGTGCGGTTCTCGCCCTGCCACCCCGCGTCGAGCGACACACGATCGCGCACGTCGTAGCGGCTGTCCAAATCGCGTTCGCGCTCCCAGTCTCGGCCTGCTCTTGGGGGATCGCGTTCCCAGGTGGATGGGCGGTCGAAAGACCGGCGGGGGGGTGACGGTGAGAGGCTACGTGGACGCGAGTTTGGACCCGGTGGGTAGCGTGATGTCTGGCGAGGTGGACGGTTGGACCAGGCAGGTATTGGATATGGTCTTGGTGCTGGGCCCTATCACTTCATCAGCGCCTTCTTTCAGCAGATGGATGGCAAAGAAAGACGTACGTCGCCACGATACCCGTCCCTTTCTCTTTCTCGATCAAAGTCATCCCATCTCGACGGCCCTGCCCTGGGCGGGGGCGACCGTTTGAGGCCCCCGCCCGGCGGTATGGGCTTGAGAGGGTACGACGGGGCGCGGGAAGGCCCAGTGTCGGGGTGCATGGTTAGGTGTGGGAGGGTAATGGCTGCGGCAAATGATGGGGGACGGAGAGGGTAGAGGGGGTGAAAAGTGGGTCTCTCTGGGAGAGGATGTTATTTTTGGGTAGGGTGAGACTCTTTAGAGCATTCCGGGGGGTATACAGGGGCTGGGGGGTGAATGCAGGCGATAGAGGGAATGAGTGGAGCGAAGACGGGCGGAAGAGCTGAAAAATCGACGCAAACATCCAGAAGCTAATCCAGAAAACCTCGAATTAGAAATCCACAACCTCAGATCTAATCCCATTACAAACGGCAGGTGCCACTAATCCCCTAGGGGGCGGCCGCCGCAAAAGCCGGGTGTTACGTAAATGCACGTGGCGGGGGGGTGATCGAATGCGGCCATACAAAGGGTGGTGTGTACGTCATCGGCGGCTGAGCATGATTGGAGCATGATGTTAATGGACAAGCGGGGGAGTCGAGGGCAAAGTATATAGGGAGGGGAATTGTTCGCCACCATCTCTCCTCCTCTTCTCCACCTCACACTCGATTAATTCAACATGGCCAACCTCATCGAAGGACTCTACCACACCGTCCAAGTGCGTCTCCCTGCTTCTACCCATACACTCGTCAGCTCACACTGCCAAACAACAGGGACTGCTCCAGAGCATCTTTGCCGTCTTCCAATCCTTCTTCAACGTCATCTATTCGTTCCTCCACGGTATCATCTCGCTCGTCTGGGGCGTGCTCGAGAGTGTGGCCGAGTTTGTCGGTGCTTCCGTCCACTTTGTCATCTGTAAGTCCACCTCCCTCCTCCCATTTTCCACAGCCCTTCTGTTTGTGCTAGAAGGCAGACAAGCTGACATGGAAAACAGCAAACATTCTCATCCTCGGCCTGCTCGGCCTCGGTTTCGTACTCTACAACGACCGAAGCAAGCGCGGGACTATTGGGAATGACATCAAGACTCACGCCCATAACACCAGGCTTCAGGCCCAGAAGAAGGTCGGATGAGCCCGCCTTTCAGTATTCAGCTTGAGGCCTCGGGGTGAGGCGTGGTGAAGGCGCAAGCGTGGCGAAGAGCTGGCATTCGAGGCTGGAAGGGGCGAGGCGATGCGAGGTTTGTGGCGTATGGTCGGTGATTTTGATAGAAATGTGAATAAGCCGCGAATATGTATAATATGTATCTGTTATTTAGTGTAGATGGAGATGGTAGAGTCGAAGAATGCGTTGAGAGAGAGGAAAACGTGCTGAAAGACGATCCATGGGCAGATCCCGATATCGAGGTTCAGGTACCACGCGGGGCACCGCGCCTGCCATCTCGAGAAATCAAAACAAACACCACCTCAGAGCAGTCTGCTCCTTACATCTCAGCACAGTGGTCTTATTGAGCGCACGGTAAACTTCTGGATTTGAGACAAAAAAAAGACACCAGATAATGCGCTCATGCCGCCAATAATCTCCCAAGCACTCTGGATCGCCCAGAATGCGCAATACATCGTACGTCCCCTGCCCTTCTCCTTCTTCCTTCTTACTTCCCCTCCCACGAAACCCAATCGAGCCCGGATCCAGCCCTGACAAAGAGCAGATAGCCCTCTTCCTCCTCTTCACAACTCTCCTCCTCTCCCTCCTCGGCTACCTCATCCTCCGATACTTGCTCTCCACCTCCATCCTTTCGATATTCTCATTCTCTGCAGCTCCCAGTGGGGGTAAGGGTCGAGGGAAAGCGGGAACGCCGAAGAAGAAGGTGGTGATGAAAGGGAGGAGTGTCAATACGCGCCAGTCGGGGAGGGGGAAGGGAGTTGCTGTTGAGGGAGGTATTTTGGGAGGAGTTTATAGGGCGACGATCTCTGCGCTTGGTACCGGTACGCTTCCTTCCCTCCCTTCCCTCTCAGGAGACAAACACAATACGCCGACTAATGCGCTGGATCGGCAGGTGTTATTCTATGCGCCCTCGTCTCACTAGGTATCTGTATCTGGTCCCTAACAGCGAGAGGGTGCGAGACTCTGCGGCACGTTGGTTTGTACGTCACCTCCCCTCGTCTCTTTGCATCCATCATTTTTGGCTTGTGGCGTGGCATTTGCTGATGAGGGGTTTCGAAGGATCGAGCTGTTACCATGGAAGACTGGGCTGAAGTGTTATCGCACTCGTTGGGATTGGTACGTCCTCCCCTCTCCTCTCCTCCTCTCCCCTCTCCACTCCTTCATGCGCAGTAGTTGAGTGGTGTTCGGATACTGATGATAATGTGATAGGGTAATAGACGTAGTCAGCGAAGTTGTATTCACCGTACTGCAGAAAAGCGAGTATGGAAGTGCTGCTTTGAAAGGTATCAACATGTACTGAAAATCCATCTCATCTATTCTTCCTTTTCTGGTATTACAATTCGACATAGTCATCCCAAGAGGCGCTTCATCATATTACTGCCTGCTAAACTCATCCACAGCCTTTCTCGTACTATGCCGCACTTTGTGAGTTTTGATGGCTTGTGGGGAGGGAAGGGTTAGGGACTCACGCTCGGACGTTGTCGAGGGCAGTGGGCATGTCGGAGTGTAGGCAGATCGTGAACCCGCCTTCGAGGAATGGTAATTTAAGGGGTTTGTTATTGATGTCCAACGCTAACACCCACCCATCAGCTCTCCCCCTCTTCCTCCCCCATCCCCTAATCCACCAGAGACTCACTTTCCTTCTCCCTCAGCACCCTCTCCACCTTCTCTCTGATCCCCTCCTCCGTCGGTTTCCGGCTCTCCCCAACACTCAACAACCTCCCCTCCGCATCATAGTCTATATCCACAAACAGCTCTGGAATGAAAGGGATCCCGAGCTCTTTGCAGACGGATTCGTGCGCCGTACCGGCGAGGCCGACGAAGGGGATTGGTTGGTTGGGAGGAGGAGGGGAGAGGGCGAGTTGGGCTTTGAGGAAGGCGCGGAGGAGGGCGGGGCTGTCGCGGAGGATAAAGTAGAGTGCTCCGTGGGGCTTATCACCCATCAGTCCCCGCTTATCCCGCGCAGGAAGGGGAGGGGAGGGGAGAAGAAACACACCTTGACATGCCCCAAAACACCTCCCTCGGCTTCTACCACCGCCTTAACAGCTCCAATCTGATACAAAGCCCCCGCATAAACCTCTTCCTCGCTCACATCAAATTTACGTCTCCCGAAACCTCTTATATCGTCCAAGCCGGGGTGGGCGCCGATGGCGACGTTGGAAGCGAAGGCGAGGCGGGTGGAGGAGAGGATGGTGAGGGGGTCGCCGGCGTGGAAACCGCATGCTACGTTGGCTAAACCATGTGAATCAGTATAGTGGGAAGAGAGAAAGGGAGGAGGGGAGGTACCAAGATCGATGAGGGGCATGAGTTCGGCATCGGGGCCGAGCTTCCATTTGGCAAAGCCTTCGCCCATATCACAATTGATAGTGACGCGGGAAGCCATTGTGCGTCTGAATACTGGTGGTTGTGGGGCGCGGGGGGGTGAAGTGGAGAGACGTTTGAGAGAGCTGGAGAAGAGGCGGGAGATGGCCATGGCTTATCGGGCTGGAGTACGTAAGCAGACAGAAGCAAAAGAAGGATCCACACCTGACCCAGGAAGGAACCACATGTCTCTCGCTTGATCGCTTCAGAGCTCGGCCCGGCTGTTGATTGCCGAGATCTCTTTCGGCTTCTTATCTTTCGGCCCATCGTCATTTGACGCTTCCCTCCATCTCTCTTCTTCCCAGCCCCCCAACGACTCAAGGATGCCCCCGCCAAAGCTGCTCATAGCCAACCGCGGCGAGATCGCCCTCCGCATCATCCGTTCCGCCATAGCGCTGTCCATACCTACCATCGCCATCTTCACCCAAGCAGACGCTGCTTCGCCTCATGTGTTGGCGGCTGATGAAGCTTACCCTGTTGGGGGAGAGAACGGGGATGGGAGTGACCCGAAGGGATATTTGGATATTGGTGCGATAGTGGGATTGGTCAAGAAGAGTGGGGCGACGATGGTAGCACCGGGCTATGGTTTCTTGTCTGAGAATGCCGTGCGTGTATCACTTCCATGGGTTGAACCAAGCTGATGGTGGATAGGCATTTGCGGAGGCAATCGAGGCTATAGGCGTCACCTTCCTTGGCCCTACGCCATACCAAATGACCTCTATGGGTCTCAAGCACGAAGCACGCGCTGTTGCAAAGAAGGCTGGTGTACCCATCGTCCCCGGTTCGGAAGGCGCCGTGGCCTCGTTGGAAGACGCTGTTCAAGTCGCGGGGGGTATTGGGTATCCCGTACTCGTGAAAGCTAGTGGTGGTGGTGGTGGGATGGGGATGCAAGTTTGTCGATGTACGTTCCTCTCTTCTTCAGCGTCTTGGCTCGCGACTGACTTTGTGGTTCTGGGAATCAGCCGAGCAAGAACTCGTAGCCAACTTTGAATCCACCCGCGCAAAAGGCGCCGCCCTCTTCAAAGAACCCACAGTCTTTCTCGAAAAGTTCATCACCCGCGCCCGACATGTCGAAGTCCAAATCTTCGGCAACGGCCAAGGCCACGTCGTGCACATGGGCGAGCGCGAATGCAGCGTCCAGAGACGACATCAAAAAGTCATTGAAGAGGCGCCTTGTGTGTTGTTTTCCTCCGAGATGGGGAAGGGGGTGAGGAAGAGGATGTGTGAGGCGGCGGTCAAGCTTGGGGAGCTTATGAAGTATCGGTCGGCGGGGACGGTCGAGTTTGTGTTGGACGTCGACTCGCCTACTTATGAGTTTTACTTTCTCGAGCTTAATGCTCGTATCCAGTAGGTCTCTTCTTCTCTTAAAGACAATCGCTGTTTACTTGTTTCAGAGTCGAACACGCCATAACAGAGGTCACCCATCCAGGCCTCGACCTTGTAGCGCTCATGATCCGCCAAGGCCTGTCCCCATCCAAATCCCTCCCTCCCTCCGACCTCGTCCAAGAAGACTACCTTCCCTTTGACGGACACGCGATAGAAGTGAGGGTCTACTGCGAGAATCCGAAAGCGGGTTTCAAGCCTTGCCCGGGTCAATTGCATGAGGTCTTGTGGGGCTCGGTCGGGAAGAGAGGTCGGATCGATACTTGGGTCAAGGTGCGTTTCCATCTTTCCATGCACAACATACAAGTTGGGGAGGAGCTGATGGGTTTGAGAGTAGACAGGAACGACAGTGACTCCGCATTACGACCCGATGATTGCCAAAGTGGTCGTACACGGCGAAACGAGGGATGAAGCTATCGCCAACATGCTCACCGCACTCGACGACTCGCGCATCATCGGGCCGACTACGAACCTGGACTACTGCAAAATCATCATGTCCACCCCTGGTAGGCTTCCGTCAAACTAGGTTGTGAAAGGTGATGGTGCTGATGAAATGCGCAGAATTCGAAGCTGGCGAGATACACACCACTTTCCTCGACTCGTTCGTCTATGCCCCACCGGCTATTGAAGTCCTCTCTGCTGGCCTTTCCACCACCGTCCAGGACCTTCCGGGGCGATTTGTCGGTAAGGGGATTCCTCGAGGTGGGGCTGCTGACGGTCTGGCATTGTCGGTGGCCAACTTGCTTGTCGGCAATGGCACAGGGGTGGAGGGGTTGGAGATGACTATGATGTATGTCCTCGGGCATCAGTTATGATAGAGCTGACGACGGGCAAAGGGGCGCAAAGCTGTTATTCCATGTGGATAGCGTGGTAGCTGTAACGGGTTGTCAGATGCCGCTCGCTATAGACGGCCAGAAAGCAGAGATGTGGTCTAGCCTCCCTATCAGAGCTGGCCAAACCCTCCGTATCGGATCTGCCGTAAGTGCCTCCTACGCTCATCGTTCAAGCTAATTCCTCACTAGTCAAGCAAAGGTCTGAGGAGTTATCTCGCTGTGCGCGGAGGATTGCTCAACGTCTCCACCTTCGAAGGCTCCAAATCCACCTTCACCGGCGCCGCTCTAGGCGGTTATCAAGGCCGCGCCCTCATCCCCGGCGATCTCCTCACCATCACCCCTTCCTCCCTCTCCTCCTTCACCCCGTCCTCTTGGCCCTCCGTACCGGCCTACGGCAACACCTGGCAGATCGACGTCTGCCCAGGCCCTCAGTGGGATGAGGAATACTTGTCTGAGGAGGGGATGAAGACGTTGTTGGAAGGGAAGGCGGGTGGGGGTGGGTGGAAAGTGAGCCCGGCGTCGAATCGGTCTGGGTTGAGGTTGGAGGGGCCGAGAGTGAAATGGGCGAGGACTGATGGGGGAGAGGGTGGGAGTCATCCGAGTAATGTTGTCGATCAAGGTAGGTCTTCAATCGGACTTGTTGAGAATGAAGAGCTGACGAAGGTTAGGATATCCGTTCGCGGCGCTCAACATGAATGGTGACACTCCGGTGTTGTTTGGAGTGGACGCACCGGATATGGGCGGGTTCTCTTGTGTCCTTGTAAGCATCTTTTTGTATTTCGTGATATCTCGGTGCTGAAGGGAGTGCAGACGGTGGCGACGCATGATCTGTGGAAACTCGGTCAAATTCGTCCAGGCGACAGTATCTCATTCAACCTCATCCCCACTTCATTCGTCCCCAAACTACTCACCACCCTCGAGTCCTGGCTCTCTTCGCCTTCCTCTCCTTCCCCCTCTGCTTCTTCCTCTACAAAATCATCGGAGCTGTTAAAGACCAACGTCCTCCACCGCTCCCAGAAACAAGGGAAAATGGACACCATCTTCCGCTCTTCCGGCGACCGCTTCATCACCTACGAAATCGGCCCCATGGCCCTCGACCTCCCCAACCGCGTCCTCATCGAACTCTGGGAACGTTCCATCCGCTCCCTCTCTCTCCCTGGCATCATCTCGTTTTCGACTTGTATCCGATCTTGTATCGTCCACTTTGACCCCACCCAGATCTCGCAAGAGGCACTGTTGAAAGTGATGGTGGAAGAGGATGGGAAGTTGGGAGGAGCGGAGGGGGAGGAGATTGAGACGAGGGTGTGGAAGTTTCCGGCGGTTGTGGATGATAAGTGGTGTAAGGAGGCGGTGGAGTACTATATGAAGACGGCTAGGAAGGAGGCTGTCTACTTGCCCAGTAACGCCGTATGTTGCCGCTCTTCCTTCTTTGTGGGACAGATCAGAGCTGACTTTTCGTCAGGACTATCTCGCCAAGAACAACGGTCTCGGGCAAGATGCAGTGTACGATATGATCACCAAAACCCCATGGCTCGTTCTCGCCCAAGGATTCTTCGTCATGCTTCCGTTCATGATCGTGAGTCCTCTACCTTCCTTTGCGTGCATTGGCAAGTGGCTGATGGTAAGCGTAGCCACTGGACCCGAGGTTGAGGTTGGTAGGCCAAAAATACAACCCATCGCGTACAAAGACACCGGAAGGCGCTATTGGTCTTGCAGGTGTCATCGGCGCGTACGTCCCGATCCCCCTACCTCTTCTTGTCTCGAGAGACGTTCAGCTGACATGGCAAACGGCAGGATCTACCCGATAGCGTCTGCAGGCGGTTATCAGCTCCTCGGCCGTACGCTCACCCCCTGGAACGCCTGGGCCAAGGAAGATGAAGGCGAATCAAAGACGCTCTTGAGCAACTTTGATCAGATTGAGTTTTACCCCGTCAAAGAGGCCGAGTTTATCAAGGTCAGTCCCCCACTTCCCTCTCTCCCTCTCTTTCTCTCTCGCCCAAGGTACAGACGATACTGACGTATATTTGATGGGGGTAGATCGAACAAGCCTACAAAGCCGGTTCCTTCAAACCCACCTCCTCCCAAAAAGTATTCAAAGTCGCCGAATACCTCGCTTTTGTAGCGTCCCACGCCAAGGAGGTTGAAGAGTTCAAGAAGGGACAGAAAGAAGCTAGTGAAGCTCTTGGTAAACAGTATGTCCCCTCTTCTTTTTCTCTGTCCTTTAGAGCGCAGGGGAAGAAACAGAGGCTGATGGTGGTGGCGTGTTTGCAGAGAGGAAGAGATGTTCTCAGCATTCCAAGCCGACTCTGAAAAAACCTCCGCCTCCGCCACTTCCACTTCCACATCTTCCACCTCTGATACTGGAGCCCCCGGCGGAGGAGGCCTGCCCATCGTCTCACCCCTCGCAGCGACAGTATGGAAGATCCTCCTCAACCCCGGCGATGTGATTGAAGATGAAGAGCAGAATGTCGTCGAGCTGGAAGCTATGAAGACGTCGGTCTTCGTACCTGCTGGGGAGGAGGTGGTGGGGAGGAAGGTGAAGAGTGTGGTGGTGAAGGAGGGGGAGGGGGTGAATCCTGGGGATGTACTTGTAACAGTGGAGTGATGCCGCTCGTGTCGTGTCTGGAAAAAAGAGAAAGAAAGAAGCTTGTAGCAATGTAGCGATATGATGTGCACGATTGAACGCGAGAATGGCGATGGGACAGATGTAGCATTCCTTCTTTAGATTTAATACAAGAAGAGACAGTATAAGTTTTGATAAGTTTCGAGATTAGAATATGGGAGGTACCGGAAGACAATAGAAAAATGGCGTACCAAAGCCAGACAAGAGATGACAAAAGCGAATAAACCGATTAGAGAGTGATGATACAACTAATCCACAACAACGACTCTCCCACAACTCCCCCAAAAGTCCGAAAGACAAGACAAGACACGGTTCTAAACAGCCTCCCCGATGGTCATACCTCCCATCTCATCCTCCAACGCCACCTTCGGTACCGGCTTTCTCTTCCCCCTGGGCACTGCTGGCCCTTGCCCAACACCCGACGCTCTCCTGACTCGCTCGCCTCCATATCCCGAGCCGTAACCAGAGCTATACCCCACATCCGACGCTGTACTTCCCCTACGCTCGGCAAAGTTGTAGAATGCAGGTTCGGGCGGGAAGATATCCTTCGGCTCGGCTGTATAGTACCCCGACCCCGACCGCGACCCCGACCCAGAGAGGGTGGAGGGGTAGGCCGCGTAGTATGGGTGGGTGGCGGAGGTGGGGGTGTGGATCTCCCAGGATGGTTGGGATAGGTGTGACCCGGTGGACAAAGAGTTGAGCGAGGGCGTGGGGTTTGGGAAATACCCTTCTTGGCTGCTCTCTCCCCTGATCGAGCTCGACGTGCTTTCACTCCTCTTGGACGCTGAAGACCCCAGGCCCAAGCTCATCACAGACAGCCTCTTGGCGTTGCGCGAGAGCACCTTGCCGAATTTGGTCTTGGGTGTTTTAGGGGTGGAAGGCGTGCGGGGGGCGGTGGAGTCTGATTGGGAAGAGTTGGAGGAGCGGATAGAGGAGGAGGGTGATCGGGGGCCGAGGTCGAGAGGACGGGGACGGGTGTAGGAGTTTGTCGGGGAGGGGGTGTATGTGGGTCCGCAAGGGCCTTGGAAGGAGGGCGCTGTGCTTGGATCAGCTTTTGATCACGCAAGACAGGGAGAAGCGACGTACGGGTGTAGACTCCACTGCTGGCAGGTCTCTTGGCTGCTCCATCTCGGACTTTCAGAGGGTCGGTCCCGCCAGAGATGACCCTCGACTGCCGCCTCTTGGAATCGTATGGCAAGGGGTAGCTTGGGGAGTCGCCCAAGCGGGGGGATGAGTGGAGAGTGGGCGAGTTGAAATTCGGTGTCGACGGAGAACTCAGTCCTCGGGAACACATCCTCGGAGAAGAATACAGTGAGGGGGAGGGCAGAGAGTCGAAAGCCACAGACTGTCTCTGGGGGAACTGGGGAGAGGCGGCTCCACGGTTGCTCGCCAGGGTGGGTGTGGTGTTGCTCGAAACGGTGGATTTGGGCGGGGCTGCTTCGCGCAAGCGGGAGCGGGCTGGGATGGGGGGTGGGATGGACATGATGGATTCGGTAGAGTACAGCTGAAATAGAGAGTCAGCTTGAGGAAATAAGGGAAAGGGCTGGTGAAAAAGCCACAACACGCGCTCAGACCACGAGATGGATTGATGCTCGCAACGGCCCATCCCCCATCCTCCCTGCGCCATCCTCCCCATCTCGTCCTCACAAAGGATCGTCCACCACCGCGCCCACAGCGCCCACAGCAAAGGATGAAGCCACTCACGTTGGACTGGGACCAGATCTCCGAATTCACCCCGTCTGCTCGCTGTCGGCCCAACCGCAACTTGAACGAGAGCACACTCGAGCAGCTCAGCCTGGCCTTCCTGATGAACCCTGCGCGCGGAGGTGCGAGCTCTTCCTCGTCCTCAGAGTCTTCCTCCTCGACAAGAGCCTCGTCCAAGTCTTCTACGAGGTCGAGGGAGCTGCCTGCCCAGAAGCGATCTACGAAAGAGGCGCTAGTGCTGGGCCGTCTGCGAAAGTCGTCGACGGATGCGAATGCGGGCTGGAGGGTGTATGGTGGGCGGGGGCGGGGGTGTGCGAGGTTGTAGGAGGAGGTGGAGAAGAAGTTGTCGATGGAGAGGGGAGATGATGTGGACAAGGTTTCTGACACCGCCGCTTCGGGCGCACAGATCTCGTTCTCTGGTCCGCGCCGCGATTGTTTTGTTGAACGATCCAGAGCGCGGGCGAATACATTCTTCTTCTCCTTGCGCACCATCGGAGGAGTGGCGAGCTCGGCAGAGGACTGGCGCCGTTTCTTGGATAGGAAGGAGACGTTGCTGGGCATCTTGGGGGACTTTTTTTTTTGCGGGTGGGTGGGCAGGTGGAGGCAGGGGCCGGAAGGGCCTTACGTGGGCAAGAAGCTTCTCTCGCCGCTATACCAATTGCCTGGTTCGTATCGAACACCTGGAAAGAATGGATGAGAAACAAGTTGTGGACAAGACGGCTGGGCCGATCGCCTATTATACTGTACTTACAGTACGAAGTGCCCATCCATTTAAATCCATAAATAAACCTTCCTCCCGCCATGCAAATCGGGCTTGCCCGTCAGAATCCCACTTATGTATACGATTCCAGGCCACAGGCCGCAGAGTTCCTAATCATGTATGTAATAAGAAGCAGAGGTATACATAATCGCACAATCGCAGCTCCACGGCCTGAAAAGCTTGAAAAGAGGGCCCTCCGCCTCCGGAAGTGTATCAGCGATCTCTGCGACACTGCGAGAGGGAGAGAGGGTTTCGGCAACGGCAAGCGAAAATGGTCACCCCCCCGTCGCCCCGGTGTTCGGCATGTGCTCAGGTTATTACGGCTTGGTAACGTTTCTGGACCCTTGCTGTCTGGGGCAAGGCGGGGCAGCAGCTGCAGCAGAGAGGTGACTGTTGCCTGCGACTATCTAAAGTAATCACTTGGATTGCTGCTTACTGCTTGCTGCACATGCCGCAGAGCCGTAGTGCCCCGGCGTAGCCACCGTGCCCAGAACCCGACTTCGCCCCAAAGTCTATAGAGAGCCGTAGCCATGGTACAGTATAAACATACCCAGCACCGCCGAAGGCTCCATGAACCATAAAGCTTCGGGGTGCCTGCGACCTGCGAGGAAGAGATCTCTGATGGCTATATGTATGCAGAAGAGGTGCCGAAGTATCCACAAATCCAGAACAGTCGAGAAGGTTGGAGAATGAACGTTCGTACTCCACTTCGAGATGAGCCGCAGCACCTCGCTTGGGGGAGAACTCGAGGAGAGTTCTCGGTGGAGAGTGAGGTGTTGAATGACGACTTCCGACGCTCCACATTCGCGTCTGCCACAAAAATCGAGTTCCTCCTTCATCTTTCTTCTCGGTGTCACGCCCGAAGCTTTAACACCATCCCAAGACCTGCCGTCTGTACGTGATGATCACCCATAGACGTATATGACATATGGGAAGGGTGGGAAAGCACAAGAATTGGCAGAAACGGCAAGAAATGGCAGCATGTTCTCGTTGGATGGCCAGCTTTCCGCCTTCCGCTTCTCTCCCGGGTGTCCCGCTTTCCCGCCCGCTGCCGGCTTCAATCTTCAGATGCTTCAGATACAGGGCTGCAAGGTGGATCTGTTTATGTATGAACATGTGCATATGTGCCCCTGCAGCTTCTTGGGGAGGTGTGAAGGTGGATGGATGCATGCATGAGTTGTGGACGGTATCTTTTAGAGCGCATTAGCGCCAGCAGCAGAAGAGTACTGCTGTTCATTCAACTATGACCAAAAGTCAAGATACTGGAGAAAGCCCCCCGCGACGAAAGCGCCAGGCGGCATCCCCCGCAGCTTGCGCGTCGTGACACCTGCTCATCATCTCCCCAGCCTCTCTATCACCCCTCCCTTCCATAACATCCCCCCATACACCGGAGAGATGGCCAACGAAACCCCCAAGACCACTGAAGCTCCTGTGAAGGACGGCGAGAAGAAGGAGGTGGAGGAGAAGAAGGAGGTCGCCCCTCCCCCTCCTCCTTCTGTCAAAGAAGGTGTGTCTTTCTTCTTCTTTGACGGGTCTGAGAGTGGCGTAAGGAGGTGGGGTATGGTGCTGATGGGCATGGCGTATAGAAATCCTCAACAATATCTCCTTGATCGGCCGGGCTGTGACGACCATCGAGCCCCGCTTCACCGTTCGTGTTCTTCGTACACTCACCAGTCTGAGGAAGAAGGCTGGTAAGGAAGATTTGAGGGAAGTGCTCAACCAGGCTTTCCCCAAGGGATGTAAGTGCTTGCCCGATCTTGGGTGTGAGGATGAAGGCTGATAGGCGGCGATTTGTAGCCAAGACTGGTCAGGCGTTGATAGCTTCTCCCATCTTCTCTGGATTGCCTGAAGACCCTGCGCCTGAGGCGTCTACCGAAGAAGAGTCCATGGACGTCGACGCTTCCCCTTTCACCGAAGCCACCACCGAGCCCGCTGCTCCCGGCACCACCACCCCCGCCCCCACCCCCACCCCCAAAAAGAAGTTCTCCCCTCCCCTCGACTCTTCCTCCTCCGACCTCATCCCCGAAGGCGTCGTCTACCTCCGTCTTCTCTTGTTGCTCAAGAACCTGGATGCGGGCAATGTGAAGGAGGCTGGCGAGTTTGCGGAAGAGACAGCGGAGCTTGTGTCGAGCTGGAATAGGAGGACGATGGATGCTATTGCTGGCAAGGTGTGGTTCTACCTTGCTAGGGCTTATGAGCTCCAGGGACGACTTTCTGAACTTCAACCGTGAGTCTTCTGCTGGAGTGATGTGCGAGTATGGTTGTTGATGTTGTGTTTAGTCAACTGCTCGCCGTGCGCCAGACTGCTTCGTTGCGCAAGGACGAGACCCTCGAAGTCACAGTGCTCAACCTTCTCCTGCGCTCCTACCTCTCCGCAAAGCAATACGAGCAAGCCGAGAAGCTTGTCTCTAAAGCCTCCTTCGACGGTGCCGCCAACCAGGCCCAGACGGTCAGATGGTTGTTCTACAAGGGACGGCTGAGGGCGATCCAGTTGAACTATGCCGAGGCGAGAAACTATTTGCAGACTGCTATCAGGAGAGCGCCCAAGGATGAGGTTGCGCCAGGGTTCGTTCAGCTCGTGCGTACCTCTCCATGACAAAATCCGAGAATGAGCTAATGGGGAACAGATTCACAAGTACTTTATCATCGTCGTCCTCCTGACCGGTGTCATCCCCGACCGCGCCCTGTTCCGCAAACCAATCCTCAAAAACGCCCTCCACCCCTACTTCCAAATCGTCCAAGCCGTCCGAAGCGGTTCCGTCCCCGACTTCCAGGCCGCCTTCCAAGCGCACGAAGCCACCTTCCTGGCCGACCAGACCCATTTCCTCATCCTCCGTTTGAGGCACTTTGTCATCAAGACGGCGCTGCGAACCATCACTTTGGCGTACTCCAAGATCTCCTTGGCGGACGTTTGTATCAAGCTTGGGCTGGACTCGGAAGAGGATACCGAGTATATTGTTGCCAAGGCGATCAAGGATGGGGTTATTGAGGCACTGATCAATCCGCAAGGCGGGTATATGGAGAGTAAGGTGGCGAAGGATGTTTATGAGACGGATGAGCCGCAGAAGCAGTTTACCAAGAGGGTGCAGTATTGTACGACGGTGTATAATGAGAGTGTAAGGGCTATGAGGTATCCTCCTAATGCGCATCGCAAGGGTGAGTCATCGTTTCTTTTGAGTTTCGAGACAGAAAACTGATGAAGTTGTAGAACTCGACTCTGCTGCCGAGTCTCGGGAGCGAGACCGAGAGATTGCTCAGCTCATTCAAGAGAGCGAGGAGCCTGACGACATGGACGACATGGGAGACCTCTAGATGATCTTGCTATCGGTGAAGAGAGTAGAGTGTTGTTGCGTAGAAGCGATGCGAAATTGAAGATTCATATGCAAGATATATGACTATAGAGTCTTGGCCCTGAGGCTATATTGGAAAGTGAAATCTTGTAGCCGATACTAGATATATCTATAAGTGCACGTATGTGGTTGCCGAAAGCACGAACGCCCATCTATCCAACCCAACCTCGTCCACCAGAAGGAGGCAGCCCAGGCTTACTCTCCAACACATTCAACTTGACATCCGAGCTCGCCGGGCTCGACTTGCTGCTCCCTCCTTCCCTCGCCGTGCTTCGACCTCCGCCGCCGTAAGGCTTGCTTTTCGAAGGCGTCATGCCGACTGGGGTCTCACCTTCGAGATAGTCGTGCGCCCGCATGCCGGGGGCGAGCTTCGTGGGACCCGTACGCGGTTTGCGGGCAGCAATGTCTTTATAAGACTGCTTGGACACGGTGGGAATGCCGAATAGTATCCGGTCATTACTTCCGGCGTAAAGGCTCTTCTTGCCCATACCCAACCTCTTTTTCCTCTGCGATCGCCTCCACCACAAGATTGCGAATACGATCAACGCCACGCCCACGACAGAGCCGACGACGATACCGGCGATAGCACCGCTAGAGAGGGAGGAGGAGGAAGAGACGGATTTGCCGGAGGCGGTGTAGACCCGGAGAGAGTTGAGGGACCAGTAGGCTTCGGTGAAGGCGGAGGGGGTGTTGGTGACGAAAGTGGAGCAAGTACCGGGGCAGCCGGCGGAAGTGTAGGTTGCGCCGGCGCTAGAGTGTTGTTAGTTTTATGATGCGCGAGAGGGGAGAGAGACGTACTAGTCGCCGCAGAAAGTCAGGTCAAAGACGATAACGTGCTTGTTGAAGTCGGAGGTACAGGTGGGGATGGAAAAGTTGGCGTTGGGAGTGCCCCAGCCGGCCAAGTTGGTGGTTGCGGTGTCGACGTTCTGCGGTACTGTGAGCTAGATTCTTGAAGAGGCATAGGAGATGGCATACCTTGACGTCGTCTGGGACGGTAGCGGATCCCCTGGGCCAGAACCAAACGTTGATGGATCCAGAGCTGCGTACAGATATCAGCATTATGCCAAAGGTCAGTCTCGCGATGTAGCTCACTTTTCAAGATCTCTCCACATAGCATACCATCCTCCTCCTTCACTGTTGACCCCACTGCCATACGTCCCATTCGTCGCGCCCTCGCCGCCGTCCATATTGACTCCACACCCCGTATTTCCACTGACATACGCGCTGCAAGCCGTCTCTCCCACTTGTCCATTCATATACGACCCTCCTTCAATCGTACACGTGTCGGAAGTATGCAAAGCGACGGTGTTGACAGTCTGGCCGGTGGCGTTGGCGGAGATACCGGTGGTGGCGTTCCAGGCGGAGGAGTATTGGACGGGGAGACCGTTGGCGCCTTCTAGGATATCGATTTCACCTCCCACAGGCCAGCCGTTCTTGGTCACAGTCCAGAAGGCGGGCCAGGTGCCACAGCCGACGGGCATATGGTTCAAATCGAGGATGTAAACACCCTAATCACACCATCAGCTTGGCGCTCGTCGGGCTGAAGAAGCTGACTTACATCAGCAAAGTAGTCTTTACTACTGATCCTCACACTGTCTCTTCCACGGCCAGTGGCTACCGAGTCGGAATCGGCGCGCATGATGAAGGTGCTATCGCTTTGAACGTCGATGAGGCCTGCTGATTGACCGCTCGATTTTGAGACATAGCTACAGTTCGCGTTAGGCCACACACAGAGGGCACTGAAGAGAATACATACTTGACGGTACCAGAGGTGGGATCATCATCCGTAAAGTAGTCTAGCAAAGTCACCATTAGCTTTCACTTCCATCTCGTGTCGATATCGGACGTACCAAAGTCATTCAAAAAGTCATCCCCCACATACGACTTTGCCAGCTTCAACGCCGAATTGGCAGTATAGTGTGTAGTGCTTGATGTTGTGGTGGTAGTCTGAGCGGAGACTAAGAGAGTGGAAGCGGAGAGGAGCAGAGGGAGGAAAGATCTGGAAGGAGCCATGATCGATAAGGGGCCGACGCTCAAGATGTTGCTGAGGATAGGCGGTGAATATGGGGCTGAGGGTGGGGGATGATCGTCGACCACACTTCCAACTCGATTCGAAGAGTGGTGGTAGGGGTAGGTCGATGACGAGTCTGGTGACTCCCTGGTACCAATAGAATGCAAGGCAGCAACTGTGAAAGAGTCTGTTCTCAGCAGTAAGGCGGCTCGCTTCTTAGCAGTTGGGGCCGATCAAAAACTTGAAGCTGCCGTGTTGTGTTGCTCTTGTGTTGCTCTTGTGTTGCTCGCAAGCAGTCGATAGAGGGGAAAAGAAGATGTGGGAGGATCGACGACTGGCGCGACTGGAACCACTATACTCGGCTTTTGACGATATTAAGATTCGGCGCGAAAAGGGAGAGAGGTTGGCACTCCTCACAGTCGATACGATGCTGTCGAAATGAGTCGCGAGAGCTGGTATTCGGAGAAGAGAGAGGTGAAAAGCAAGATGGACGATGTCTTGATCTTCTGGTCTAACCGAGGAAGATGATCTGCATAAACAGGTTCTCACCCAGGGCAGGAGAGCAAACGGAGGAAATTTAGCAACATATCAGGAACCTCCTCGCCGAACCCTTCACCTCTTTTGGGCCAGTATTCTGTCACCCTTCGGCTGGCCCAGAATTATCGTGATCTTGTAGCCGAAAGCGGCAGTTTTACGAAGGCACTTTTTGAGATGGGGCGACGGAAGAATATTTCAAGCTTTTCGGCCCACAGAAGATTTCTCCGAACAGACGTGTTTGTTTATGTTGGTCGTTCCATCTTCTGTTTGTTGTGATAGCGCAGTCGTTCGATGCGGCAACAAGAGCGAGCAGGCAAAGCAGCGAAATTATGAGAGGGTTCAAAGACTCATTTGAATTGAGGCTCAGCCGGTGGCATCCTGTCAAAGAGGACGACTGCTTAGAGACCGACCTTTCAGTATAATGATGATCTAACGGCCACAATGCCCCGACAGCTCTCTATGATACTTGTTTTGTCAGCTAGGCTTGGTAAGATAGTGGCGGACTCCAAGCTTACAGATCCTCTTCGGAATCACCAAGTCATCGGCCTGCCATGTTCATCTTTTTGGGATTTGACCTGTCAACGCGGAGTTTCAATGCGCGGGAATGCGTTTCATCGTAACCTCAAAGGGATTGTACTCTAAGATTTTCATCATAGGAGCTTAAGGAGTAGAAACTAATGGTAGCCGTCCACAAATATACCAGCAGACGCAGAAGACACCGTCCTTTCATACTCTCTTCAGCAGCGCTCATTGCCAACTACTCAAGCGATACGAGTACGAGTAAAATACAAAAGAAGTACTCGTACTGAGAGAATCCACTTGAACATACCTCATCCACAGTTGGAACTGAAGATATAGTCAGACTCGAAGCCACCGCTATGCCATCAAGACGATCCGATACATCATCATCTTCCGACGACGATGACGAAGCACAATGAACCCATGTCACTTCTTCGTTACCCTCTTCTCCGACATCTAGAGCCCAAAACCGCTTCGAAACGGGCAGTGCGAGCTCTACAGCCGATTCCAGAGCTACACGCAGGAGATCTCCCTGGAACCCTTTCTCTCGTCGTGGTCGCCAGGATGACAATTCTCCTCCAAACGTGAATATCATGAACAATAACAACCACGTAGCCGATGGAACCAGTCGCATACTTGGAACCACGTTACCCTCCTCATCCAGGACAAACAACAACAATAGCCGCCAGAACAGGGGAGGAAGGCTATTTGAGCAGAACCAGGATCAATCGTCAAACTTACCAAAACAGCTCAAGGAAGAATCTCTAGCAACCATGCAGCTTGTAGGACCCGACGATAACACGTCTTCCGACAACGAAATGCCCCACCAGCTGACTCCAAACGAATCTGCTGCCTCGTTCGGAACGGCCTAGTTAGATTCGACAGCTAGTGCGAGTACCACGTCTAGGAGATCTCGATGGAGAAGGAACCCATTCGCACGCCGACAGGCCAGGGTACAGCTCGAGGATGACGACCCCAGTCGCAGAAACAACACTGCAGGTGGCAATGGGACGACGACGACCAGTCGTACAGCAGAAGAAGGACAAATGCCCTGGGGTAGAACGCGCAATATCGACAGCCGGAGGATGTGGATGGGACAGCAGCAGGCCGCGATGACTGTAACCCATAACACCATCGATACTGGACGATCCAGGGGAACTTTGGTCCTGGGTGCGAGGATCGGACCTAACGCGACGGACCTACCACGGGGCGGCATGAACGTCAGCAATAATAGCATCACTGGTTCGACAGGCTCTGGAGGACACGTTGTCATTGGATTTTCCTTTGAGGGAGAGCAAGATCGGAGAGGGGACAGGACAGGATTGCCACCTCACATTACTAGCAATGATGAGTCTCTCGGTCGAGCAGCGAATGCGACTGGCGGTACAAACGCCGCCGCTGTTTCCAACTATGCCTCAGCTTCCACTAGCCGTCCTACTGATCCACCCAATAGTCATTCTACTCTTTCTGTGTATTCGTCTCCCTACGGTACCAGCTCATCTGCTCCCACAAGCGGGAATACGAGGACAAATAATCGAGTACAGAGAGCAGAAGATGATGATCGAGCAGAAGAAGGAGACGAGGGCCGTTGAGTCTCGATTCTATGATGCTATTATTAGAGAGACATTGCTACAGAAGTCAATCTAACTATAATCCATCCATGCATATCAGTCCAGGTGCTTATCATATGCGCTGTACCTGGACCACTACGAGTGCTAGGCTGTTGGCGACGGCGCAGGCTGCATGTCATGTCTTCTCCTTTCGACAGCTGAGCAGCAGAGATGTGCCTCTGATCTCGTCTGCAATGCGTACTGTTGTGATCGATCTATACTACAAAGACGCAAAGACTCTCAAAGTACATAATGCCCCTATCGTGACAAGCCAGCCTAAGTCCCACAGCAAGTGACATGAGTATGGTATCAGCCGTATCAATCCGTTCCCATCGTCAACATCAGGACAAAAGGTATTTGCCGTTGCGCCTTCCAAAGCCCTGTGGCAGTGATATCGCTTATCGAAGGGGAGCTAATGGTATCCTTTCAGTCGTATTCCTTTTTCGAGAAGAAGGAGGTTGAGTACATGGTACGTAACGGCCTTCCTCACCCTCTAGCTTAGAATCGTGATAGCATATGTATCTTGTTTCCATTTCGGCACGTGTTATTGTATCGAGCACCTCTCTCCAACTACTACTCTTAAGCCTTCTAGCGACAAATATGAGCTTACACAACGACAACCCTTCTCGCTTGAACCCCAACGACGAAGACGACGACGTCGAAATGATCGACGTCCCATTGTCATCTCGATCTGCTTCCTCCTCCCCCGAGCCAAACGACGAGAACCAACGTCCCTCTACTCAGGGCGAGAACCCTCCTTCCTCGATGTTCAACTGGCAATCATACGACGGTTCGCCATGGGCGCCTCTAAGCGGTTTCTTGCACTTGTACTCTCTCCCCGGTAGTCTCGGGTCTTTGGTACCACCCTTGCCTTCTATTGGACTTTCGTCTTTCGGGCCGGCATCTTTGTTCCCCTCGCCTTTTGGGGTAAGTTTGGAGCGGGATGATGATTTGGAGGATTATTATCGGAGTTTGGAGAGGATGTCTGGGGCTCCGATGGACCGTCCTGTCACTGTCAGCAGCCCACCAGCAGAAGAAGAGGAGACTGACAAGAGTGTCATCATGTCCCCTGATGAAGCGCTCGAATTTGTAGCTAAAAACAGAGATGATTGGGAGAAAGTGAGACCTGCTTCTTCCCGCCGCGGAACTCCTTCGCCAAACAGCCAGGCTCGAGAGGCCGGAACGCGCACTCTGGGCAGTCATCGGCAATACGGGATCTCAAAAGCTTCCAAAAGAGGAGGAGCCTCGGATGGTGCTAGTCCGGGAAGGAGAACGGTGTATAGGTCGCCTTGTGTTGAAGAAACGGATGACGAAGATATCTGATGGGCTCTTTGAATGACATGCATGATCATGAGTCCGGTGTGCAAGATGATTTCTGCTTGAAAGAACGTATACACACCTCCACCCAAGCCACAAGACCACTACAGCACCTCTGACAAGCCCCTCCCAAACCTCTCATTTCCACCCAGCCTCGTCTCACCAACGGTGCACGGAAACCCACCTTGATAAATCTCATGATCTACCCCCAGCAGACTGCAATCCAGTTTCTGACCCTGTTCGACGAGAAAGCATTAGCACAAATGGCGCAGGAAGAACTTGAGACTCACGCATTACACTCTGCTATTAGGGACTGATCATGGGGCTTGTCTTGGAAGCTTTCTCCTTGATCCAAAACCCCGTGTGCCACCCCTTGTTTTGGCTTCAACTCTGCATACACCTCGTGCTGCCGCTCAATCAAGCGATTGATTTGTTCTTGGGGGATTTCGTCCCAGGCCGTCTGGATCATTCTCTCCAGATGATCAGTATTTCTTGGCCTGGGCATCTTGTCGACCTTCCTCTTCAAGATCCCCCAGACAGGCTCAATTGAAGCATACACGACAAACTCGTCATAGCCGTGCCGATCGGCTGTGCCGAAGCTGGGATCTTCCCCGTGGGCTACGAGGACCGGGTTCAACATACCGCCCTTGATGGCCTTGCGGATAAGGTCGTACTCCCGAGACTTTGCAACAACGGAGTTGTCCCGATTGACTATCTCCATCTGACGGTGTTGCATCTGCGTGAGCACATCAGTAAGCACCCGAGGGCTCTACATTATACAGAACAGAAACTCATGTCTCTGACTCGTGTACGACAGGCATTGTTTTGTCTCGTCACAAAGCTCAAATCGGCATTTCTGTCTTGCCTTACCCCTTCCGCCGCATACTTGAAAGACATGGCGGGGTGGTAGCTGCGCTCAATGCCTAATTCCTCACGGACTTCCTGAGTTGCCGCTGCGTTGTGGACTGGGGCGTTATCTTCCACAACTAGCAGATCCTCATCCTATGCATGAATCAGCTTTACCACCCTTCGATTAATGAGATGAGAGGAGAAAGCCTACCCTAATCGTCTCCTTGAAGTCTTACACTGCTTTCACCATCGGTTTCTTCAAGATTTTCTCTCGGTAGGCCGCGCATGCTCGTCCATCCTCCACTGCTCTTCCGGCCGACTGTCTCGCAGAGCCTCGACCTCCCTGGCTCCCTGATGGTCTGACAGGTACCACCACTCCTTCCAAAGGGTCTCACCCCACTCCTCCCAGTCCTTCCGGTTGCGGGCGGCCAAAGCAGGAGGAAAGGTCTTGGACTTCCTGCTAATCTTGAAGATTGCAGACCCCATTGGCTCGGTCATGCTGTCGATGGCATCCTTTACCTGTTGAGGGACCTCTTCATCGTGGAGCGCCTGGAGCATCAACAGCCAGCCACGCGGGCTCCGACCCTCGGAGTCACCCAGTTTGTCGAACCGACAGACAACACGGGAGAAGCGATGAGCAAATCGCAGTGGGACGAGGCGGCATTGGGGTCCTTGATGAACGCCTTGACCCAGGGGTCGTGGCTGTGAGTTTCGCTTGTGACAAGCTTCACCCTCTCTTTCGCATGCCGCTCGGAAAAGAAGCACCGCTTGGGCTGCCACAGATGGTGGGCGAAGATCAAGGGGTGTGATGAAGAAGGGGAGAAACAACGCGTCAGCCCGGTGCGCTCCGTCATCGTACACACTGTCGAGCATGGCCAACAACAGCTGGCACCATCCACAAGTAGTGATGTCGAGTATTCATCGGCCATGCTACACGGTCGGCCAGATGACCGGACCCGCGAGACATGTGAAGTTTGGCTTGTGCCACCTTCGGGAACGTCGCATCACAAAATCGGCACTGGAAGCGGCCGGTGCTTGTCTGCGCCAGCCACTCAGGGGGCCGGCAAGAGCACTCTGATTACGTTGTACCTGGACGGCCATCCCGAGGCCAAGGTATTGGCCATCTCTTACTGACGGGCACTCGGGAAGAAGGCTGGTCTTAGTAGCCCAGAGATCCCTACAGTGGAGGGGGTAGTCGTCGTGTCGGAAGACAGCCGCGACAGTCAGAGGGTCCGCAACTCCTACACTGCTTTCACCATCGCTGTCTTCAAGATTTTCTCTCGGTAGACCGCCCCTGTGGCCGGGCCATGCGCAAGCCATGCGATTTGCCGATTGGTCAAAGATGAACAGGGCGGCCGCTCGTGGACGGGAAGAGGAGGATGACTGGTCAAGAATGAAGAGTGCGGTGACTCCAAAAAGGAAAAAAAGGAAAAAGGGGGTGTAGGCTTGGAATCATGTCGAAACTAGTAGGGTGTGGATGGGCTTCTTGCAGTAGCGCGGGCAGAGGAAGTCGTGGATGATATGACACACGGGATCGAAGGCAAAGAACATTGCCTTCAGCAGCGAGCGGCGTCGGCACTTGGCAAAGTGCCTCACTCGCTGAAGGGAGCCGGGAGGAGGGCATGACGCGCATGATGGTGGTGGATGACTGGAGGGTGTGTCAGCTTGGGTTGACCCACTAAGAGAGAAGTCTCGCACCTTGTGGGGTAAAAAGGTCTATGCTAGAGTAGGAGATTGGACTCAGCGAGAAGTTTGAAGCAGAGAGGGATGCAGTAGTAGATGTGCTAGATGCTAAGAGAAGGGCTGTCAGGAGTGCCCTTATATATCTCTGCCAGCCGGTCTCAGTCTTCTTCGCCAGCAGAGATGGGATGGCATCTTGATTCATTCAGACGCTGACAGAAAGAACGAATAAGATGACTCACCCAAGCCTTCAGGTCCCTCTGTTTCCACCACCTATCCTTGTCGCCTGCCGACGATGTCTGGTACAACGCGCTCCACTCTCCAATCTCTCCTCGCCAAGTCAGACTGTTTCTTCTTGCAAACGTTCTTGAGCATGTCTCTGAGCTCCCTCCCAGCTGCTATGTCCCTGCATGGTGGGGTATGACGGAAGGCAAGGCTCCTCGGTCTGGGTGTCGACCTTGCGCGTCGACGGCGATCCGAGCGCGCGCCGCCAATGACTGGTTGTCATGAAGTGCTCGTAGAGTGATTATGTTGAAGCGCGGGGCACAGGAAGAGAGGTAGGTGCGTGCGCGAGCCAACAGGAGTCGAAAAAGCCTCAGAGACGTGTCCAAGAAACGAAGAGAAGAGTCTAGGCGGAGATGGCGAGGAGAGATTGAAAAGTGAAACCCGATGTACCAGACATTTGTCGAGCGCAGAGACGACAGGCAGCGGTGCCATGTCCCAAGAGGGAGGGGGAAGGGGGAGGCCAGCGCCCGGCGGAGATGAATGGCGAGGGGCGAGATGGAAATGGAGATGGAGATGGAAAGACAAAAGGCTTTCGACGAGGAGGTGAAGTCAGGGACGGGGTACGTGCCCGTAGGGTTCATTTGTTCACTGTCCCTGGCTGACGCGTCTTCTTTCTATGTCCATACATGCCTGGGTGGTAAACAGAGTCCATATTAAGCTCCCTGTTGTAATCAGTAAGTCTTTGTACAGAGCGCTACATGCACAAGAGGCTGTGCTTTTGTATCGGAATTCTTTTCCCCACCACCATGATCGATGTCCATGTCAGCCCACTTTCCGTCGTCTTCTAATGACTACCTCTTTGGCTGCTCATTATCCGGATCGCTCACCCCGTCATCGCTAACAATGTCAAAGCACACTGCATCCTGCTTTCCCAGCGCTGGCTGGCGTTCTGAAAGGAAAAAGATTGGAACCTTCTCCTCATCTATCACTCTATTTCGATCGTCTCATACACAGCAGCAAGACAGGGGATGTCAACAGTCACCAACAGGAATACTGCAGTACACGATGATGAGTCTCACGATCGTACTGGTACCACATCAAACAGTCGAAACCACTTACCCCTACCCCTTTCCCTCCCAAGCTCGGCCCAGCGGCCCCGACACCCACCCCGGAAATCACCAGGCCCGGGACGACCACCACCTTTCCCCCCGCAGCTGCTTCCTCAGAGCGGTGAGCGGTGAATTCCGGGGTGCTTGATGACGAATGAATATATAGGGATGGCTGCACTTCAGCTTCAGTGGGATCCGCAATACATACTTGTACAGTTGACATGGGTCAGCTTGATAAGAAGTTCGGGACAGAAAAGAAAAGGCAAAAAAAACGACGGCACCCGGGATTCCCAGGTGGTCCCCCACCCTGGTACTAACCGAGCGCTCTCCTAGTTGACTTCGCGGATCAGACGGGACGCGGTACTTTGAGGAGGCTATGGCCGTCGATGTTACTTTTGCAGCAAAGGCCATTTAATTCTACAGGACACCGTGCTCTCTCGTTAGAAAGCTCGAGACAGTGGGTCTTTTCATGCAAGTCGCAATACGATGAGGGGGTCGGGGACGATGATGGATGGATTGGTGCATTGATTTCAGTGCGCGGCCTGGTAGTAGGAACGATGATGGCTCTTTGAGTGGTGGTGGTGGAGGGAGAGGAGCAGCAGGGACAAGGGCTGATGGTGCGGAGGTCGCGAGCCGAGGTAAGACCTCTGAATATAGAGCTCCCACATCAGAGGACGAAGACAACGAGGCAGACCGTGAGTAGAACTTGTAAATCACACCCGCGCCAGGATGATATGATGCAGAGGGATGTGCAGACCAATCTCCATGAAGAGTATCATACTATAACCCATTGTAAATCGTAAATCGTATATGAAGAAGAGCACCTCCTCAGCTCGATGTCGCAATGCTTCTCCTCCCACCCGGACCGGACCCACCAGCCGCCGCGCTATGAATGAATACCAAAATACCCGAATGTGTCTACTCTTCCTCCTGCCTCTTCCACTCTTCGTCATCGTCCCCATCCTCCTCATCGTCGTCTGTGGGTGGAGAAGGAGAAGAAGGAGAGGAGGAAGCGTCGCCAGATACTTGATGCGGCTGTTGAGCCAAAAAGCCAGCTGGGAAGTGTTCGTCGAGTACCACTTGCGAATAGTTCCTACCACCCCCATCAGCTTCCCTCTCTCCTCCTCCCTCACAAAGAAAGATAGATACTTACCTAGGAATACACATATCCCCCCCACTAGGCCCCACATGCTCACAATGCACCTGGGGTCTCAACGGCACCATCGGCACATGCAAATTCCTACACACCAAATTATCATCCCCCGCCCTAAACCACTCGCCCAGATCCTTCCCTCCCAGCTGTTCTTCGCAGTCTTCAAAAGAGGAGTATTGCTGGTTGGTGCCGTTGCAGTAGGAGAGGGCGGTGGAACAGATTTTTTGGGTAAAGTAGGAGCGGAGGATGGTGGGCTGGGAGGTGTTTTGGGGGAGGGAGAGGCGGGCGGCCATGAAGGGGGTTAGGTAGCTGGGGTGTATTAGCGTGGGGAGTAAAGGTTGAGGGGGTGGGAGACGTACGGTGCGAGGTCTTCGAATGCCTACATCATTGCATTATCAGCGCTCGTTCATCAGAAAAGGTAGAGAGAATGAGCTGAGACGTACCCAAGCGGCTCGGCGGAGAACGAGATCGTACTGCTGCACTTCCAAGTTGTCGTTGAACAAGAACCAGATGTCGATCTGCACTGGCACGGTAGTGTTGAGTACCGGGTAGTAGACTGTCATCACATCAGTCAGGATTTGCGAGAGATGAAGAGGAACAGACGTACAGCCGAACTTGACGGAAGCTTGGACGTAGGGTTCTTGGATCATCAATGCCGAGTACTATCGACGCACGTCAGCCACCCAAATTTTGAGATATACGATGGAGGAGGAGAGACGTACCTTGTAAGAGACGGGGATACCGTACGGAGACGGGTCAGTGGCATCTTTCGCTTGGCCGACAAAGAAGCCGAAAAGCTAGCAGAGACGAGGTTGGGTAAGGACGACGTGGTGTGGATTTGAGGATTGGCTCACGTATTCCCTAAAGGCATGGTCAGTACTCGGTCAAGATGAGAAAGAAGGTGGCTTACGTTGCCAGTTCACGCCCGTCAAAGCTGAAAGCAGGAGGCGAGGTGGTCAGCTCGAGGGAAGATGAGGTGCGCAGTACTTAGCACACTTGGTAGAGACTAGCCAGGGCATCGATCAGGGCTCTTCTCTCGCCGGAACAGGTGAGACTCACTATCCACGGTGCCAGTAACATTCTCAGCAAACAGTGTACTATCCACAGCATCAGCACCTCTCTCCCGGTGGTTGACGTCAAGCCTTCACCTGTTGATACTGTGCGCGACCTTTTCGTTGTTGGGTGAGAGATACTGCTGGATGAAGTTCTCGGTAGCGCTGAGGTAGTCTTCCCTGGCGAGGGCGTGGATGGAGGTGGCGGCGGCGAGGACCGCGAGGGTGGTGAGGAAGGGCCGCATCGTGGCGAGGAGAGAGATGGAGGCAAGAGAAATGTCAGGATATGTAATTGCCTCAGTCACGTGGGGGGTGCCTCGGGGGTGGTTTCCCTGTATTTGTTTGAGAGGAGAAGCGACGAGTAATGAAAATGAAAGGAGGTGACAACCCATCACCCGGGACGCCGAGCGGCAAAATCACACGCGTCGAGTCGCTCCTCTGACATCATCGCACCGCAGAGCTGGCGTCTCTGGCGCGGATGCCATCTTGGCCTGTCATGTATACTCTACAAAGACCAAAACCTACGATGTCCTGTCAACACTCTGCCGGCGACGGCCTCACCCCAGCCAAAGCAGCCTACGAAACAGCCACCACATCATCCATGTCGTCCGTCCCTTAATTTCAATAAATCACAACACCAACGCTCACTCTAACCCACAGCTTCACCCCCATCAACCAGATCCATCAACATCTCTGCGGCCTCCACATCTACGCCGACGACCCCCTCCGGCCCGTGCGCGCCCATCACTATTGTACGCATTTGAGGAAAGATCTGCATCAGTGTGTTATTTATGATGGTGATGGGCCGGGGGCGCGGCTTATTGGTAGGTCCCTTTGCTTCCCGGGGGTAGTAGAATAGGGGTGCCAAGGGATGAGAGCTGATGGGGTATACTTCAGGCGTGGAGTATCTGATACCAAAAGAGTCTTTCCAAGCCCTACCCTCAGAAGAGAAAAAGGTACGCATCCCACAGCTTCCCTCTAAAGTCTCTACCAAATGTGCTGCAGCTGAAAAGATGTAACAGTATTGGCATTCCCATAAATACGAAGTCGACTCGGGCATGCTCGTCCTCGGTACAAAGTCGCTCGTCCCCGGTACGTCCCCTTACCGCCCTCCTTTTCTTCTTTTGTTGAGAAAGCCCGGGAGGATTGTAGAGAGATGTAGCTGATGTGATGGTAACTAGATGCAGTCACGGATATAGCCGAACAGCCCGCTATGATGGAGTTACATACGACGTATGGCAAGACGACGCACACTTGGTACGACGCCCCTCCTCTTCCTCTCTCCTCCTTCATCCTCCCTCCTCCCTCGCTCCTCGCCCGTCTCCTGCAGGTCGATGGGTAAGCTGACGAAAAATGATAGGCAATACGATATCCACCCAAACCTCCCCCTCGGCCCCCCAGCGCTAATGATGGCGTATACCGACGATGCCCAACTTGCTTTGGGAGGAGGGAAGGGGCAGGAGGCTTTGGATGCGAGGGATAAGTACGTCCCTTCTCCTCCTTCTTCTTCTTGTCCTTCTTGGTCTTCCTCTTGGTTTTGACTTTGAGTCTGATGATGTACACAGGGATCTGGGAATATCAACACCCGCGAAACGTCAAGTTCGACAGAACTACCTTGCGAAGGAGGATTTGGAAAGAGAGCCGGTAGAGGGGTGTGATGTGGTTTGGAAAGGCAAGTTGGGGAATTGGAAGTTTGTCGAGAAGGAATGAAAGGAAAGGGTCATTTTGTACATGCTACTCAATGCCAAAGATATACGCTAGACAAGGATAAGACAGCAGATAGTCTGAATATCAATCCTCCCTCGACCCGCCACCAGCGCTCTCTGCGAAGCCGCTTGTCCTCCTCCTCGCTTTCGGCTTATGCTTCATCTTCTTAAACCCATCAATCAGCCCAGTGACAGTCGTCAGCCCGCCAGTAATTGTCGAGAAGGATTATAAGGGTCATTCCGTAAACAGTACTCATTCCATCGAAGATATACGCTAGACAAGGATATGACAGCAGATAGCCTCAAAGTCAATCCTCCTTCGACCCACCCCCACCACCACCTCCTCCCATCGAGCTCTCGGTAAACCCACTAACCCTCCTCCTAGGCTTGGGCTTATGCTTCATCTTCTTCACACCATCAACCGGCCCAGTGACCACAGTCAGCCCGCCGGTACGTACTGCTAATAACGGAGGGCAGCGGCTGCGAAACGGTCTTTAAACGCTCGTCGGGTCATGCCGCCCCATAATTCGTCTTGTTCATTGCGTCGGGAGAAGGTAGGGGTGGAGGAGGTGGTGGTGTTGGGGTTGGTGTTGTCTGAGGTCTGGTGCGATCAGAGGAGGCGTAGTCTGCGGTTAACAGCGGGGGGAGAGTCCATTTGGAGGGTGTTCGGTGGTGGGTTGCTGGGTACCGGGGGCGGAGGTGCCTGCAGCAGAGTTGGTGGTACGGTAGGAGTAGTATTGTTGGTGTTGTTGTTGTTGGGGGTTGGAGTTCATGGAGAGTTTCTTCGAGCTGCCTTTGGAGGCCGATCGTCAGACATTTTTTTTTTTTTACTTGTTACTTTCTTTTCGGTTGGGAGTGCCCTTGTGCAGGATGATTCGGTTTGATTGAAGTTACCCACAAAGGTCGGATGGGGGTTGATAATATGTCTTCATCCATGGCGACTGCGAGAACCCGAGCTCTCAAGATCCTTGGTGGCCGAGCCACTTGGGGAAATCGGGATCGCCTCGTTAATATTTGGAGCTCATCGCAAAACTTGGCATCTCTCCTACCATCGCCGTGTGTAAAAGTGCATACTTTTTTTTTCTTTCTTTGGAGGCTATAGTTGCCAAGCACGATATGTCACATGCGCAGCGAAAGTAGACAATTCCGCTGTGTTCTTTGGTCATCGATATTTGGAAAGGGACTCGAGAGTTGTAATTTCCTCGGGCGAAGGAGTACTCTGGTGATCTTCTTTGGTCGAGTATGAGAGTGATGAAGGGGGCGGATGTTTTCCCATCTGGTCCGAGTTTGTTGCTTATGGCAGGTCTGAAAGGTGTCATAGTGGGCGGATGCTTGCCCAAGTGATACCCGGCGAATGAGATACCAAAGGTCGCCGCCATTCCAATCCGAGAAAATCAAAGTCATCCTCATACATACCCCTCATCACAAAATAGCCTGCGCATTAGGCGGACTCGCAATACCCCCCTCCACAAACAACGGCATACTCGTAAACATGAACGTCCACCTCCCCAACTCTCTACACTTCTGCGCCAACTCATCAAGCTTGAAGAGCTCGCCGATGGGGAGACCCCAGCCGGCGAGGAAGATTTGGTGGGAGGTGAGTTGGGAGGGGGTGGGCCAGTTTTCGTATGAGGGGCTGAGTGATCGTGAGTGGGGTGAAGGGGTGAAGAAGGGATTGGAAGGGGTGGGGAGACTTACCAGTCGGAAGCGACAGCAGCAATCCCGTTCTCCCAATGCCACCTCCAAACATCCTCCCCCTTCCCAACCCCACAACTTCCATTAATGTCCCTCCGCCTCAACCCCTCCCTCTCCTCCTCCCCGAGCTCCAAAATCGCCTCCGCAAAACCCGTTCGGACGAGGAGGATGTCCCCCGGGAGGAGGTGGATGTTGGATTCGGCAGCACAGGCTTTGAGGAGGGGGAGGGGGATGGAGGAGGTGGATGAGAATGGGGAGAGAGGGGGGAGGGAACGGGTGGAGAGGTGGTGGGGGATGTCGAGGAGGTGGGCGCGGGATGTTATGGGGTGGTTGACATAGTCTGACCGACTATCAGCTTCGTCTTTTACGGAAATTGCAAGCACTTACTCTGAGTGCCCAGCTTCTTCACATTCACATCACTCGCCTCCTCAAGCGTCATACCATTGTAAAACCTGGCCCCATATCAGCCTTCCCAAAACACATTCACGAACATGAACGGCACGTACCTGTATTGTCCCTTCTCCGGCCAGTCTTGATATGGGTAATGTCGAAGACCGTCCCATTGAGTCGATGTCTGGGTGTTGAGAGCGAGCTCATCGTCATTGGAATGTCCGCTACACTTTCTACCCCCCCCTCCATCAGCTTCAAGCCCTTATCAAAGTCGAGGAGATAGTCATGACGCTTACATATTGTGTTCGAGCCTCTTGCGAGAAGCATGAGCCGGAAAAAACGAAAGCGGCAAACTATCCACCCTGTATTAGCACCCCACCCCTCTCTTAAAATAGGAGGTAGTGTAAGAGGCATACTTGAGGTTGATAGCAATCCCCTCAGTGATGGTATTCTTCCCCCGTTTGACGGATTCGGCGGTGATGAGGTTTAGCCGGCCGAGCTCGTCGTCGGGACCGTAAAGACCCCAGGCGTTGTAGGGAGGGCCTTGTTTGTCGATTGGGAGGGAGTCGAAGGGAGGAATTTGGGGGGGCATCTTTATAGAAGTATGGCTGGGAAGGGTGGAGTGGAAGAGTGTTGAAAGCAGGTTGAAAGGACTTGTGACGAGGAGGTGGAGGCCATGTCCGGATGCTTCGGGGAGCCGAACCCGGACATCGCACGTGACGTCATTCGTCCAACATTCGTCCCAAGTCCAACCTGCCATCCCTTCGCATCGCATCGCATCCATCCCCTCCTGTAGACATGCCCCTCCCACCCCCCACCGTAGCGATAACAGGCCTCACAGGCTTCATCGCAACCCACACAGCCCTTGCCTTCCTCACCCACAACTGGTCCGTCCGCGCTTCCGTCCGATCCCCCTCCAAAGCCCAACAAGTCAAGAACCTCAAAGTCTGGGAGAGGTATTTGGAAGAAGGGAGGTTGGAAGTTGTTGTGGTGGAAGATCTGGGCGGAGGCGAGCTGGGGGGGTTGTTGGAGGGGGTGGAGGGGGTGGCGCATTTGGCGGCGCCGCTTGGGATGTGAGTTCTTGTTTCTTTTGCGCTTGGGCGATGCTTCTTATGGGTTGGGGTTGCTGGCTGATGAGCATAAAGGACTGAACTAGGCTGGGAAGGGTACAAAAAACCCACCATTGACGGTATGCTCAACATCCTCAAACAAGCTAAATCCGTACCCTGTAAATCCTCGCTCCTCCATGCTCCACTTCTCCATCTCTACTCTGGCACAGCTGACGCATTCGAAAAAGCAATCAGGGGAATCTCCGTCATGTCCTCAATGTCCGCCCTATACGACATCCTCACCCCCGAAGCCCAGCAAGACGGCAAGATCTATACCGAAGATGTATGGACGCCTCTCACTGAAGAGGTCGCTTTGGACTTTGATCCCGAAGAGTACGTCTTCTTTACTCCATGAGGGGGCGGGGAAGAGAGCTGATTGAAAGATACTGTAGTCCGAAAGCGATGTGGATCTACTATGGTGCGGCGAAGCGGTTGGCGGAGGAGGCTGCTTTGGCGTTTGTGGAGGAGGAGAAACCTCGATTCAGCGTGGCTACTTTTTGTCCTCCCAGTACGTCCCTTTTCCCCACATCTTGACTTATGCCTGTCTGATACGTGACTGTAGTGGTCTACGCCCCCTTCCAACACATATCCTCCCTCTCTCAAATCGCAAACACCACCGGCTCCCCACCCATCTTCGCTTCCCTCCTCTCCGGTCGTGACGAGCCTTTACCCTCGAAAGGCGGGTTTAGCTGGGTCGACGCGAGGGATGTGGGGGAAGCTTTCTTCCGGGCGGTTGATGGGCAAGTGTCGGGGCGGTTTGTTGTTAGTGCTGGGAGTGAGTTCATCCTTCTTAGCTTCTCCCTCCAAAAAAAACAAACAAGAAAGGAACTGATGAAGGGGGTCAAGAGGCGAACCAGCAGATATTCGTCAACAAGCTCAGAGAACTCCGGCCCGACCTTGATGAGTATATCATCAAGGGTGAGCCTTCGGACGACAAACTTGGGCCGACGTCGTATATCGATGCTACAAAGTCCAAGACGGTCCTTGGGTTGGAATGTGAGTGCTTTCTCTTCAAACATCGCTTGAGAAGCAGGTGGAAGGGGATAGTGCTGAATGGGAGGTATACAGATCGACCAATGGAAGAGACTTTGAAGGATACGGTAGACTATTTGGAAAAGATTGGGGCGTTTGAGGAAGCCCCGGGGGCGTGGAAGAAGGATGGGAAAGAGTAAAAGACGGTGATTGCTAGTAGAGGGTAGATTGATTAGTAAATGCTGATATAAATGATACATTGCGATGCATGCAAAGTTTTTGCGGGACTGTTGCAGAACGTTTTTAGCTTGGGCAGTTGAAAGCTACCTCGGGTCTTCGGTGGGCTGGTCTATCTCCACTGAGTCCACTACTGGTCTTTGGAAGGCTGACACGAGATGTTCAGGAACGAGCCGAGATAACTGTTACTGTTACTGCCACAGGGTTTCGTTCGGCGAAATGATTGGATGCGACGTGAATCCCAAGGTACCTGTCTCCTCCATTTACTGCTGCTGAGCAGCTCTCACGGCGACAGAACGACGATTTCCCCTTAGAACGGTTTCATCTCCAATGCACCAACCTCACCCACCCACCCACCCACCCACTGGTAAATGGCTCTGCAACATGTGCAGACCTCCCGCGGCGGGCGAAGAGGGCGGAGAGCCAAAGAGGAGCCACAAGGCTGGTGCTGGTACCAGCCACAAAGCGGGAGCGGGGAGGGAGTCACAAAGCTGGTGCGGGTGCAAGCCATAGAGCTGGACTTGAGGAAGGACTAAGAGCAGGTGGAGCGGACGAAC